ATTATGCGTTGAAGACGACGAGCGGGCAGGTACTCTCATGGCTGTACGCGACAAGTAAGCCCATATATGCACTTCTTTTCACTGTTCTACTCATTTGTGCTAGATATTTCGCACTATCCGCCACCTCCGCTTTGTTCAAGCACGCTGAAGCCAAGCTGAACACTAGATTCGCCGCTGGGTCCCTCCTCATTCGCTATGTACCTGTCGATGGAACTATGATGATCGATCCTGAAACTGTAAGGAATCTTGAGTTGGTAGGAAACATGTCGAACAAGAAGTCGCCTCATTCTCTTTTCGGGTAATTCAGTATTATATTCTTTCTGAGTCTATAATGAACTGAAGCTGACACAGAACTATCAACCATACCTTCACTTCCATGGCGTCTCGATTACTACGCGTCAATCTTCTGTCTCCAATCACAGGTATTGTACACTTCTTGTCACATAAAACTTTCTATCTAATTGGCATCTCTAGGGCAGAGTGCTATTGAAGCACGGCTAGACGTCGTCGAAGGTAAGTAAATGTATCCTATCGCTCCATTATCTAACCAACGCTGCCCATAGAGTTTGTTAAGAGTGAAGATGCTTTCACAAACGTGAAGGTATCTCTGAAACCGATGAACAAAATGGATTTCGACAAGCTAATAGTTTCTGTAGTGCTTCTGTTCCTATCGCCAGAAACCAATCTCATTCATCTGTTTGTAGCTTGCTTCGTCTGAAACGAAACCTACCAGCACGGCCCAGGGAGCATCCACTCGCGTGTCGCAAATGCTGAATCTGCGGAACATCATCAAGTGCATTCCTCAGCTCCAGCAGGCTCTTAGTGGATGTAAATCACATTTGCTTCGAATCGTCTGCGACGTATGTGCTTCATTTCGTTCTTATCACACATCGTTGGCAGCCTGACTAAGGAACCTGTCTCTCAGATGGTCTCGGACGAGCGTATTGCTAACATTGATCGATTAATCGCCAAGAGCTTGAACGAAGATACTTTGCCTTCCAAGGTTCATTTTCTCCGTATTTATATAGAATTGATTGTCCTAATGGCGTATCTTGCTCAGCATGGCATCGGTGCTGTCAATGCTCGCGTCTACGCCGTGAAGGTTGAACAACATTTATACCGCATCTATGCATATTCTGAGTTGCTCTCATCAGGCAAACTACAATCGGCTGCTAGACGTAGCCCGCGAGACATATAAAGAAAATGTTGGCGACATCTACGCCCTCAACACTACTTTGTCAGAGCAGCACGACCTGCCGCTGACTCTTATCTATCACGACACGGGTTTTGTATTCTCATTGAAGAAGTCTGATGTGACAGACGAATTGCCGAGGGGTTTCATTAATGCATCGTTGAAGAAAGGGAGATGGCAGTTCTCCTCTATGGAGTTGGTAGGGATGGATCCTTTGATATGCCATACTTTTCTCACAATTTTGACAGAAAAAGATGAATGCAAGGATGAAAGATGCTTTAGACGAGACTTTGATTCTGAGCGACAAGTGAATGCCAAGATTTCGTGGCTACGAGAAGTACTGAAGCACTTGAATTACAGAATTATTCAGGACCTTGTCGCAGAAATTCTCATTGACGTGGGAGCCTTGTATAAGGCATCAGAAGCGGTAGGTTCATCGTTTTTCCTAAAGGTTCGTCTTAAAATTAGTTGGTAAGATTGCCCTGGTGGATATGTTGCTGTCATTCGCCCATGTATCCATCAGTAAGTGCAGGAGCTTTTGTATCTGTATATTCTCACGTATTCAACCCTTACCAGTGCGCAACTACGGTAATCCTGGTCTGATTCTTAGGGCACCTATCCTATTTAACTCTCTCCAGTCAGACCAGAATTCACGGGAACGCTTGCTGTCAAGGCAGGCAGGCATCCTATTCTAGAGACTCTACGCACGATGGGCACGCTTGTACCCAATGATGTATACTGTGATGATTCTTCCTCTTTTCAAATCGTTCAGGGACCGAAGTGCGTATGGTTCATGAAGTATACGCGTCGCAACTAACCTTGAGGCGCCTTTCAGCATGTCCGGTAAATACCATGGTTGATCGGGGATGTATTCATCTGACGACCGCACCCCTCAGGCAAAAGCACTTATCTACGTCAAGTGGGGCTATTGACTGTGATGGCTATGTGCGGATGTTTTGTACCGGCAGAGTACGCAAGTTTCCGGTAAGGAAGAATCAGCACTTTGTTCCAATGATGCCAATGTTGACCAACTTTCCGTCAGGACACACGACGCCCTTCTCACCCGGTTGTCAAACGACGATGACATGGAGAAGAGTCTCAGTACATTCGCTAGTGAGATGGCAACGTCTGCGATGATTCTTGGTATGTGTCAATAGCGTATCATCTGTAGATGCTACATATTGGTCCACGTAGGTCTAGCCACTCCGAATACCCTTATCCTCATCGATGAGCTTGGAAGGGGGACTTCTCCCAGAGAAGGCGTGGGTATATCACACGCCATTGCCGAGGCTTTGATGGAACACAAGGTTTTCTTTACTCATGTTTCAAAGATGGACCTAATCTGACCTGGATTTGCAAGTCGTTTGTCTTCTTTGCGACGTGAAGTTCATCGCATATCCGATTGTTTGTGTCCTGACTTGCTGGTATTCTTCACAGGCACTTTAACGAGCTGAGCACCACGCTTTCTCGTAAGCCCTCTGTAGTAAAGTTGGTCTGACCTTTCTCATTTTGTTCACCAAATTTAACCTGTCTTTCAGTCTGCACCTATCCGTTCAGGTGTGACTTTCCTTGCTCCTGCATTTCGCTCAATTCATGTGCCTTTGCCAGAAATCACGTCCGTCTGAGTCCAATCTTGGGATGACTTTTCAATACAAGTACGTCCAATATCTATGGACCGTTTTTCTATTCGTGACACTGCAGCTTATAAGGATCGTCGATGGTGCTCCTGACGACATGTCGCATTATGGCACGTTCAGGAGAAGTCGACTTGGCAGTAATTCGGCTTATTAACCTCGTGAACATCTAGGACTTGAACTCGCTCGACTTGCCGACTTACCAAGTGATGTACTCACAGAGGCTAAAAGAGTCTCTTCGAACCTCTCTGCTTTGCACGCACGCAACGAGGAGGAGAGCGAGAGCACGCAGATCACTACAAGACGAAAAGCATTGTTACGGGTGAGCCGCTTCTTGTGCCGCTAGATGCCCATCGTTTATTGACTCCCCAAATTATAGTTAAGAACACAATTGAAACAGGCGCTAGATCACTCTATGCTTCCAGACGAGGAGCTACTAACGTACATCGGGCGTTTCCAGAGAGATATCACTAGGGCTTTCTTGTATGGTAAGTGAGCTAGAGTGAGTGTAAGAAATAGGTTGGGGAAATGCAACTTTCATTCTAAATACGCTGAATGGTTTTCTTGAGGAAATTTCGGATGGTATGCTTCATCCATACATGTTTATTAAATAAACGTTCCGAGCTCTTTCAAAACTCAAAGTCCTCTAAATAATGAAGGGCCTACGTCAGTTGTTACTTGAAATAACCTTCACCGAATGGTGCTAACACGTCTTTGAAGCCTTCGACATTCATCCCGTCCTTATAGAAGGAAACTCAATGGTGAACAGATTGGCAAGGACCGAGCAGTTTGAACGATAGGCACCGTGGCATTTCAAGGTACGCTACCTTCTCGTCATTCCGATCTTGGACACCAGTGGCACAATGTAAGATGGCATTGTCCGTAAACAGAACAACGATTGTTGACAATATGCTAAAATTTGCCACTGATGACGCCCACCATGGCTCAGAATAAAAAGACTCGCTGCCTTTGCGGTTGTCACCGCTATCATCCCTGGCATCTTGCACCATGTCGTATACCGCCTCTGCCTCATCGATGCACGCGACATCCCCATCCTCCATCCCCACAATTCCAGATGAGAACGACGAACATACTCTGACAGGGTTCGGCGACATCTCTCTTTCTGATGACTGTTTCATCCCTGGCATTGCCTCGGATATTTCACCAACAAAAAAGGATTCCTTACGACGTCCAAAAAAGCGGACGACTCCTCGATCCCGCCCTGGAGTTCTATCTAACAGACCTCCCCCGCCCTTGATGGCCAAGGCATTGAGAAGCCCAACCGAACATGTATGTCCTTACCGTCTCGATGCCGCCCGCTTAACAATGATTCCGTTCTCAGCAGCAGCTCATCAAGGCCGCTCTTGCAGAGCCCAAAGTCGATTTCAAAGCCCTCATCGACAGCGTTCGTCTCACAGAGGAGAGAGTCTCCAAAATCAGCCCCAAAAAGAAGGGCGTACCGTCACCCATTGCGATCTTTAAACGCGTCGCCTCGTCGTCTCCAGCACCGTCACCTAGGGAGTTCACATCGCCCACATCGCCTAAAACACCTAAGACACCGGTACCCAAGCCAATGACGCCCCGGACGCCGAAGCCTCCGACTAGCCCCCAGTCGCCCAAGCCATGGCGCGGAAATTCGCCCTTACCAAAAAGGCCACCCCTCCCTACCTGGGATCTTGTATATCCTGAATTGGCGGATAACAAAGAGCTCGAGAAGGAGGACAAGGCGACGCAGGACAAAGTGCACGAGGAAAAGTCATCACAGCAAACCAAGACCTAGCTTGAGCACGGACGAATTCTCCTCTTTCCCGGTGGGTAGTAGGCCAAATAGATTCTTAGAGCACTATACCCTATAATTGCAGTTTTAAAAGTAAGTACATCCAATTCACTTGGCCCTGCCAATTTTTTCTTGTTTTACCATGTAAGATGGATACCTTGAGATGTTCAGTTTGGACAGTAGAAGGCACGCATTGTAGTCCGTGGCGTGAAGCTTCCTGACGAAAATAGGCAAAGGTATTCTCGGGGACTAGCAAGTCCCTATTGGACTGCCAGCATCTGAATAGCTACATCGCGTCCACTAGCAAGCACTTTTTATCCGAAACATCAGGAGCTATTGGGAACAAAGCCGGCGATACTTTCCGTCACTTGGAATGTGCAGTCGAAGAGTTACTTGACACAAAACTTGACCAGCGCGTTGATCGGCAAGAGGCGGCCGTTTTTTGAACTCCGAATAGATGCCGACCTAGCGCCGGCACGTGGTCCGCGTACTCGCGACGTGTCTCGTTTCAGGCTCCATATACACACAGTAACACTACCTTCCACTTGCTCCACATGATATTATCATGCACCCCAGAAAATATACCCTGATCGTTCTCTTTTGGCTGCCTCACCTTGGGTGCATGTTGTTTCGGACCTGGGCGGCCGGGCCAGACTAACTTTTCATCTTCGCTGGCTTGTTTAGAGGCTTCGCAGACGAAATCCTGAAACTGCTTTTGATTGCAATAATGCTATATGTCGTCCTGGGGCCTAAGGCCTGGTCTTCTGAAGGGTCAGCCAGAATTGGGTGTAAATTTTTAGACTTCGTTCTCTTTCCTCGTCTACCCTTTGAGTTGATGGAGTATCTCGACTTCGTCTAAACTTGGAGTCTTCCTCACTATCGGATACAAAGCTCGAACAGATGCTTTCCAAGACATTCTGACAACATGCTGCTTCTCTGGCAACACTGACGATCTTCGCTTGTCTTCTAACTATGGTACTTCTTCGTAACTCGGCGTAATGGCCTCGAGTAGTCCCAGATATCCATAAAACTAGGAAAGAGGGATACCAGAAAAACAGAAGCAGGAGGATGATGGGGAGAGAGGTGAGGGTGAAGAACACTCCCCAGGAGGACAAATGAACCCAAGGAGTTCTTTGCCTCATGTTAGCTCAGTCGTCTCTCATATGAACGACGGCGAGTCTACCGAACTTGCTAGCTGAGAGCATTTGGATTACGATGGACTCAGAGAGACTGCGCATTGACAGATACGTTTCTATTCCAGGACGTTACGATACCTCAAAGCATGATTACAAAAGGTGTGCTGCAACATGTACAGTTCTGGACACCTGTCATTTTTGTTCGACGAACTCTTAGACTTGTGGCTGATATCCTCTCGTAACCAGTGCGATGCTGTAAAAGCCCACAGAAATGGCACCCCAGATCTCGAGGAAACTGCTATGCTCATGATTCACGATCTCCTTGTAACCTTCATCTCCGGCAATCGCGCTGTGGATAGCACCCAGTGTAGTACGTACTTTTCAACGTACAAGCGTTTCAGCTTCGTTTCAACCAGGTGAACTTCAGTGCGCCACCACTGGCCGTCGATATTCTTACTTCTATGAATCGCTCGAATCGAATTTGATCATGCATTCGATGAGGACACGGGTATCTGTGTAGATATGCGTTTATCGGTAACTCGTGTAGTGAGCTATTATCAGTTCGTCATGCTGGTATCGATATCAAGACAGTCCGACCATCGCCAAGTTCTAAATACCCCTCAGCTAAGCTACGTACTGCTTTCGTTCCTACAAAGCCCATTTGGTGTTCATGAAGTCCTCACCTTTGCCGTACGCTTGAGAATCCGTGACGCCACCGAAATTCAAAATCCAAGATCTGAAGCAGTTCACAGTGGGGAAAGCTTACATTGGTCGCTCAGGATGTTGGAGGGATCAGCATCGACTAACGCTGACGACTGATTCCGACATTAATAATCCCCGATGTGTTAGGTAGATCCACAATGAACAGTTCATCTCTATAGACGCGTATCCTAAACCCGAAGACGCTCTGGACGAGGATCGCCGCCAATGTCAGGCACCGCATCTCGGCCGTTATGCGCGTAATAAGTGAAGTCTCAAGTAAAAGGATTGATGAAGAAGAGCCGATGTGGAAGATCTAGAGATCTGGCACACAAATCTGTCAAGGGCGTGGCCCCACTCTGTATGACGTTTGGAAAGAGAAGCATCAAATCCTTCACCCTAGAAAAGAGGTTCTTTCGAGGAAAGGAAAGGGGATCTGAAGAGATCATTGGTCGGGACTCGCCGAGGGGCTATGGGTCCAATACCTCCAGTGAGCACAGATTAGGATCAGGAAATGCCGCAAATGATGGGTTTAGGAAGACATAGATCCGGTACTTCATTCCTCGTATTCTGCATGCACATCAGCTTTGTTGGAATGAAAAGAGGGTTCACAATAGCCCCAAACAACAAAGGTAGGTGTGGTGTAAGCCCAATGAGGAGAAAGTTTTGTCCCGGCTCATTTACGGCGTCCCTCAGATGTGCGGCATATGAAAATGAGAAGAATCAGCCCACCGACCATGGCGCTGCAGAAATAATGCCACAGTTGTGACTACCATGTAAGTGAACAGTGCAAAGAGTCCCTTTGAACATTGAGGACGAGTCCTACAAGCAAAGGCTGGCCTCTGTATGGTAGCAAGTCGTGACGGAACGCTTTGAATGCACGGAAATTCTGTTCCTTACATCCCTATCTTTCTCAACATTACTACTGTTCAGTAAAATCAAGCCTCCCCGGACCCGGTACGCAGATTCGGCCTCTTTTGAGACAGATTCGTCGACGTCACTGCCCTTTTTCAAGATAGCAGACGGCTTTTGAACAAGGTAAGCGACAGGGTCCATGGGCTGTTAATGCTAGAGGTCGAATTACGGTGGCCAGATGAATAGAGTCGAATGAGTACGGTTATTTGGATTTTACGAAAATAACGTATTAATAAACAATTTACAGCCGGCATGGGGATGGGGATGATTCGGCAACGGCCGTCGGCCCTTTCTTGCGGACCACTATCACAGAAATCTCTGACTACCGTTCACATCCTCTAAAGAGCCTCATCTCAAAATTCACTAAATTATCAAAGCTTCCACCGCCGCCGCCCTTTATGCTACCGCCGGGGCTCTCTGAAGCAGTTAGTAAATATGTATGCGACCCTCCAACTAGGAACATTTGCATTTCGTGACTATTTTCAGCTTTGTGTCGATGACCTCAAAAATTTCCGAGCATGTTGTAGACGGATGAACGATGCATCCGCGGCAGTTTTCTTTTCTTGTCTTGTAGTTGACGTGGTCTGTCGAGGATATCGGACGACAGTCGAAATGCTTCAAGCTCTGGCCAATGCGCATCCTGCAGCTACGCACGTCCGTCATCTCAAGATACTATCGTTGAGTGACCAGTGCATCGCGTACGCAAGGGATTACACCGACTTTGACCTGAAACCTCGTCAAGAGTGTCCGACTCGTATCTCACCTTCCGAGACGACGATGTTCAAGCGAGCATTGCAAACTGCATTGCCAATTGCCATGGCTGCGCTAAGCGGCTTAAATTCTCTAATGTGAGTGGTTGTATCTCTAGTTTAGTCTCAAGATTGACCGGCGATTAGAATATACACTTGCGGTCAAGACCCACAAGGGGCTGTCAACGTACTTGTCAACTCTGCTGTTACCTATAGAAGCTTAGAGAAATTCTCCCATCTCACATCCGCCGAGCAGGCAAATCTCCGACCGTTCATCACCCAGAATGTTACGAACCTCCGCAAGCTCTCGTTGTCTTATTGGATAGATCGTCGCAGTCCTTTGGTTCCAATCCTTGTCCAAATCATAAGTAGGAATCTGGCGCTTTCCTGCCTGGAGCTCGATAATGGGGCCAATGACAAATCCAATGAATCTTTCAACGCACTATTATCCGGAATACCAGACGACGTTTCACTACCACTTTCACGCCTTGTCTTGGGATCATTTGATGTTACCATCGATGATAGGCTGATGGAGCATTTTCGTTCCCTCACGGAGCTGCGACTAGGGGAAGCTACTTCCTTTGTTGTCAACGACAGAAAACATATTCCGGATATCTGGACTACTCTTCAGGCCAAGTCAATATGTCTGAAGAGCATCTCAATCCCTAGTTCGCATGTATCCTTTTCATTGGATGGAGTATTTGAACTCGTACTGTGGATTGGAAGAGCTAGAACTCCAGCATTTCGAGCGTCCTATCCAGAACCATACGGCCTCCCAGTACGAGATTGCGCTTGCAGAAGAGCTCTTTTCTTCAATCATTCCAAAGCATGCTGCGTCTCTCAATACACTGATGATATTCTCCCATCTGGAGCGTCCGTGGCAATTCTCTGTAGCGCGTTCTGCCGTCCTCGCGCAATGCCGCTCCCTAATTAGGCTTGGTGTGGGTATGGAGCGAGGTGTGCTACAGCAGCGAAACCGTAGAGTTAGGTCTTTTTTCGGAGCGGAGATATCTGTGCCTATTCTCGAGCCAGCGGCGAATACTCACAACATTGTCCGGGATATGGTAAGTTCATATTTCATATTATTCATGAGCGTCAGACGTCTGATGACTCTATTCCACACAGGAGTCTCTCGTTCGCATGGCAGAAACTCTACCCTCGTTGGAAGGACTCTGGATTTCCATGGAAAGTATAACGCTAGAAAGTATGGGCGTCGATGATGAGGATGAAATTGAGTATAACGACGATTTCCCGGATCATTATGCTGCTCTTCACTATGGACTGGACAGGGTTACACCTGGACAACGGGAGCACCCCTTAAAATATTTGTAGGAGAGCATGTCTTCGTGGCACAGGACGGTGCATGGACTCGAAAAGCCAATGGACCATCGAGAGGAAATGATACCAAGTATTCGGACAGTGCGGCCCTATACTGGGGTTCTACAGAGGGGATGTTATCTCGTGGTCACTCGTGGTGAGTTCACAAGTATGCATTGCAAACATAACATACTGAGATCAATCATTGCAGAATGATAAATGAGCAATATGGTTGCATCTTATAGGATCTGCCATTGTATTCTAGCAACGGAAATACTGCTTATATGTCAAGGGCTCGGGGAAACTTCACCGCTAACGTTTACAATCAAGCCGCGGGCACAGCAGCTTTTCAAATGAATATTGTTCCCGTTGGTGGCGATTTAGTTTTCACTGTATGCCCTCTCTATCAACGATCAGCTGCAAGGACAATATAAGCACGTCGTTCGTATAGAGCGGGACAGCGCGCATAATACATCCCGTCACGTCAATTTCCGCCTGGCTCCATTTGTGCGGCTGCCGTGTGGCGAGGGAGCAGCCGGCTTCATTGACTTTCATTTCGTTTCTGACACTCACACGACAGGTATCACTCACTGGTTTCTAGGCGACAACTCTCAGGTCCATCCGTGTGAAAAAAGTGGATACAGCTGCATGTTAGTGGAGCGTTGGAGCACGTGTATACACACGGCAAAATGTAAGTAAGGGGCTGACTATAATATCCTAGGTTGTCCGGGTTTATGAAACGAACGAATAGTAAAAAAAAGTCCGAAAGTCTCTTCCCAGAATATGCGAAATAATGCTTTTTTAATACCGACTCGCCGCTCATGCTTCGATCGAGAATCTTCCGCTCCAGTTGCCCGAATCACCAAACACTAAAGAAATATTCAATGGGGATGAAGAACGGATATTCGAAAGAGGAACACTCACGGACGACAACATAGTCGTCGCCAAAGGTGGTCGACTCTGGAACAGTCACATTAACGGCGCCATCAAGAATGGAGAAGCCAGAGGCGAGAGCAGCTGAAGGTAAGGTCAGTTTATGGGTGGTCAGTTGTCTGACAATAAAACGTACGAGTCTGCGTTTTGGACCCCTTCCTCAAGAATATAGCGCCATTCTCATTTGTAATCTGAGAAGGTGCGTTGGAAGTGTCCCTGGAGTCACACAAAGTCTGAGCGATGGAACATAAGCACAGTGCGAAAGAATGTCACCATGTAACCGTGTAGGTCGAGCCAGGGACCCAAGTATCGCCAGCAGTGGGAGATGTTATATGCGGCACAAAAACATCGAGGGCAGCAGCTTTAACGAGGGTGAGGACGGAAGAAAGGACGGCTGCGGTAGCGAAGGAGGAGAACTTCATATTGGTGGGAGGGAAAAATAAGGTAAGGAGTTAACTTCTCAAGCACGGCATTTTATACTGCGTTAAAGTTTCCTCGGTTCCCATCCTTGCGGTCCGTGTAAAACAGGGTCTTGCACAGCCGCCGATGCTGAAATTGGAATGATGATTCAAAATTACAGAATTCTTTATTTTCGCTCTTCTCCCATGAAACTACTTATACCCGACAGTTTAGAAGCCCTGATGCTCCGCCGCTACGTGTCAATATTCTGACGGCGACAAACTGCGCTTTTTCGACCTCTTCTCTTCCAAGGGCCCGGATAAGCTCGAATGCGATGTCATACAAAACATGGTGATTTCTACATTTTCAATATCATAACTGGGGACTTTCATATTGAATGACGGTAACAAGGGCATGCGAACAACGATAACATGGCAATCACATCAAGGAGCATCGAGGGTAAAGCGTACGTACGGTTCTTTCGTAAGATGTGAACGATGTCTTCAGTGAATCATTATCTCTCCCGACTTACTGCGACTTCAGTGATCCCACCGCTCTGGATTGCATGCGTAAATTCGCACACGGCCTTTCGAATACTGACCTAGTGATCTGACTGCATTTGACGCCATCGGCTTGTCCATTCCCCCGGATTTAAAATGCTTCCCGTGTTCGATGGAAACTTGACGAAGGCCCTGCAATTGACAACAAGCACGAGTAGACCTGAGTAGGTGGCTCATCTCTGAGGTCCAGGCGTCTGATTTCATTCCAATGATGGGATCTGATTCCACGCTGGCTGTTAACAATGGGCATTGGCAGGACAGGGCAGGACCTTAGCCGGGAAGCTTCTAATCCCTTTTACCGGCGCGGAGATCTCCAATTTCTACGGGATATATACCCTTTGGATTGGAGTAGACATTATTGTCGACCTGGGCCCTGCCAAGTTTTCAAATATCTACATTCTCGCAAACGCCACTACGAAGCTTCGGATGATGGAGAGTCCAGCGGTTCCCGGATCGATGGCATATTGCACCGACTTTCAAGCCTGCTGTGCACACCTCCATAAAGCTCCTCTAACATCTTTTTGAATTCATCATTCTCTGGCCGGCGGACTGAATGGTCAACTGCTTCAGGTCACCATGTTGTCCGCTGTGGTCCATCAGCTTCGCGAGAGATCCAAAGCACTCTTCTTTGTTCTAATATGTGTGCTAGTCCTTTGTATATACGTAACATTTCCCAGGGATAACTAGTACATTCAAGGTATAATATGATAGTATTTATGAAGATATACGAGCGCCCTCCAGCTGTGGCCTACGTTGTAGGGCCGCGTAGGTCCATATTTAACCGCAGACGTCCAGGACAATTCTCTGAGACTCCCGTCTATCTCTGGATAGCAAATACGATATGGTAAAGAGGATAACAGATACAATTTCTTAATCAAAATATAGTACACACCTGAGCCGTGAGAGATGATATATAACTTGCCACTATATATATCGCTGAGAAAGAGCTCATGGTTCTTCGTTCTTCCAGATAACATCCATCATAGGAAGTGGTAGACACGTGCCTTATATTCCGCTTGCGGGTTGTCGACGGCAAGTTCTTCGGGTGTATGAGCTCCGGGCTTATGGTCACTGAATCAGTTGCGACCGAGAGATGCCAGTGACGAGACGATAACCTACCATGATAACAATAAGGTCATCCTGCTCCATCGTCACTGCCTCAACACTACCACAAAGAGTCGCTGTGGTTTCAACAACACCGCGAAGCATTCTTGGTTTCCACATGCCAGCTGCCATACTCGCCATACTCGCCATCCTTATGTTGGCGAGATGTGCGTTCCACCACCGTTGTAGCATACTCTGTGAAATCCTGGAGAGTAAAACTGTCCCGAGACGCATGCACTGAAAGCAGCTTGGACCCATTCATGACGTGCGTGCTGCCCTCCTTGGCTTGCCAACATTTCTGAGCTCTGAGAGGAAAGAAAGGCCGCCTGGAATCACCGACGTGATCGTTCCGAGTAATGACAAACACAACGTCTGGTTTACTAGTCCATTTGTAGAACGAGAATTTTATACCGATGGGTTGTCGATAGGGATCAGCATAAAAATCGCCATTCCATGCAATGTCCGTAGGGGATTTGACATAATAAGGACCTTTAGTAACCGGATGAGAATAATAATCGGGCGTCATATATTGGCTAAAGTCGACGCCTTGATTAGAGGTGCCGATCGGAAGAGCGACATTAGGGATGAACGTGACTTTCTCGACAATCGACTTGTAATCGTTTTTCCTGTTCTTGTACGCCAAGAGAAATTCCTGGATTGTTGGCAGCTCCGCCTCGAGATGGTAGCGTTCATAGCGAGGTATTGCCGTTCCACTCCAGTGTACCTCGTTGCATGCCTTGAGAGTTACGACATATAGATATGGATGCCATAGGTAGCTGCTCCTTTGGTCGACCTCGTACTTGTCCAAGATAGCCGCAACATCGACGGATAGAAACTGGAAGGACATGGGCCTAGCAGGAAGAGGGTCGTTATGAGATTCATGGTACTGGTGGGGCTACGTCTGAATAAATCAAAGACATTACACGATATCATGAAGATAACACATACATAGACCGTCCGAGTCGTCTGCCAATCGTAGAACACAATCGGCGAATCAAATAGATGCCCAGCTTTGAAGCAGCACACGCCAACAATAGCTCCAAAAACGCGTAGCGTGATGTCGCCAGACGTCGACCACTCGCACCCTAGTGAATGATATGGTCTCAGCTCAACCGCATGGTTAATGCCCCTTGAATAGTGCTTATCGATGAGTTTGTAGAAATGCAGACGCGGCGATACATTATTGTGCCTGAAAATTCAAAGTCAATCAACATATGAAAATGACTGTAATACAGAAACCGACATTTCTAGGAGGATAATAACATTGACGCGTCTGTCTATAGAGACCTCTCGAATTGGAAAGTTGAATTTGAGCGTATATTCCTCCAAAGAATCGCTTCGCCGCGGCGGAAGGCGCGTAGACGGTAAGCGAGATAGAAAGAGCTTCCAACCCAAGCTATTCCCCCATGCATGATACAAATATCCATCACAGTGGCCTACAACCGACGCGGCATGTCCGGGCCAACGAAAGAATCTGGCTTTCAGTTTCCTCGGAGTGTACAACAATCGTAGGGAGGCCTTGGTCCAGTTCAATATCGACCACCGAACGCTGTAGTCCAAAGCTCGCAATAGTAATGAAAAGATATTAGCTGGGGTCCTGAGTCCGCCATACACCATACCTATGATCTTCAGAAAAGCAGCGACGTCTTCAAAGGCTAACGGGTAGCCATCGGAGCGGGAAGCGACTCTGCCATTAAGGACGCCCTCAACAGTATTCCAGCGCTGTTAAAACAGTTTAGTAGAAGTCATAACGTCCAGAGGACCATGTTTGTGGATCCACCTTCTCTAATTCGAGAATTTCATCAGGGCACATTACCTTCCCCCGAAACCCTGTAGTTGTACAAGATAAGAGGTCGCACAATGAGGAATCCGGTCTGGGCCGAGATAGTCGCCGGCATCGTTGAAGCCTTTGTCTGACGCAACTTGAAGAACCTAAGCTGGCTGCAGAATTATCAATCTCGTGTCAGAGCTTTATAGAGCGCTGCTTTGTCTCCATCTCCAGGGAAATGTATGAGTGTGAACAAGGCAAACATCCACAAGAGCTCCAAGTTCCCGAGCTGGCAACAATAACCACGTTTCTAGGCGACAGCGCGCCTGTGGGAAGCAGCAACGGCGTCTTATTAGCACTATTTCACCTGCGGGGGGCGATTATCCCTTGTCCGAGATCAGCTACTTCAGGATCTTCTAGAGTCTGAGAACTCGGTCAGGGTAACCTGAAAACCAGCAAGCAACGAGTGTGCTAATAGTCAGTGTGCGAAGTCGGCGCGGAAAAGAAGACGTGTGAAAATCACGAGCCACTTTGATGGGAAGAGGGGTGGGAAACTCCTAATCGCGCTTGTGCGAACCTAGCGATGTCTTATTGTATACATAGACAAAGAGGATCTTCATTTCACTATACGGAAGAAAGAACGTAGCCTCCACGGTCTGGCTATTGGAGTGCATAAAAGGTATCCAACGTACAAATGCTTCCCAACGCTTGTTTTCCCAGGTCAGGACTAAATTCCTAATCATTCATTCGCACGCTTCCAAACTGGACAAGTCGACAATACACACCTCGCATACAGCTATCTCGTGGTCACCACCATCTTCTGTTATCGGCGATGACGAATAGTTAGTCGTTTTCCCACCATCGCCTCGAACGTCCCACCTGCAACGAAACCGATGACATCGTTGTATTATCCCTACCTCCGAAGATCACCGTTCTGCAATTCAACGTCGCCAGTAAGGTGTTGGAATATCTGATAATGGACGTGAGAACCAAGCCTCCTAAAAGCCGTGACTTACAATTTGCCAACGATGAGAAAGCTAGACGACAAGGGACACAGGATTAGGCACTGTACTACAGGTAGTAGAAGTGTGGCGCTCACCAAGTGAGATGAAAATTATATTGACTGAATGTCAGCCACAGGATCAATTGCGCAATCACAGCAAGAGACGTGATAAGCCCCGTCTCTATGGTATACCGAATAAGTTTCGTGATCACAGTAGACTGTCGACTGGAACGTTAAATGCGCCTTGACTCTGCATAGCTGTTGAATTGTGGGGTTATCAGGCTTTGCAGGTCTTAGAAGGAAGAAGGTAACAATTACGGCGTAGACGATAGAGGCTGTAATCATGAGATCACAGGCGGCACTACTTGCGAGCCATAGCTGTAGATGCGTAAGTCATAAGGTCACAAGCGGATGACTTGACTACAGCACTGACACTGATCATGGGGGTGTCGCTGTGTAGATCCATTATCCCCTTTCGGCTAACAGCCTGCAAGTTCATCAGTCAATGATTGCTATAATAAAGCACCTACACGATCTCACAGCAATTCCGACCCAAAACGCCACTATACATTGCATGACAGCAACCTAGAACACCCTTTGAATACAAAGGTTTACGAACACAGTAGAGCAAGAGACATACACACTCAATTACGATGCACATCCAGTAATTTCTGGTAAGGTTCCAGATGCGCCATACATAAAAACTCTGGACCATAGCGGCGACTAATGTAAACAGATGTCAGAAAACCGTTCGTAATCCCGATGAACATGGACTGACTAAAGCCATTCAATGGCGTAAGAGGCTTCCAGGACCAATTTGTGTCATATAAGGTGTCGGTATTGCCCCAGCCTTTACCGAAGTTATTCCAGGCCGATATATTGGAAAGTATAGCGAACGCCGTCTCGACCACAACTAAAAACCACACTAGAAGCCTTTGTCAATCGTGAAGAAGCACCAGACAAAACATAATGCACCAAATATCTTGATCCCTCTTGGATCATTGTATTGACGGCAGTATAGGTCTACGAGGTTGATGTGTCAGATTGACTTAGGTTAACTGAGCCCAAAAGAACCAACGTACAGAATTGCAGAAGAAGCATACCATACAGGCAAGAACCCCACATATAACCTAACAACTGTGATTCTGCCTTAACTTGCAGTTAAATATAATTTCCTTGCGGACGTACCAATGGCCCTGTTCTACAGAGGCGTTGTGAGTAAAATAAATTGGTATCAGGAAACTTGCTCACAAAAGAGGGACATTCACGCCTGGGATATCCACGGGAGCCATAACGCAGAAGGGAGGACGAAAACGTCGCACTATATATACTAGCCGCAGTGCTGTATCTCATCCACCGCTCTGAGTCTTCGATGCGGCGAGATTATATAGCAGACAAGACTAATCGGCGATATACTGTGACTTGGTGTTTCCCGTGATTCTTCACGTTTCAGATGGTTGAATGGTGTAGTGCTTGCAACCACAGACGACGCTTCGCTTGGAGACGGGACCTAAGCGGATGAATGGCCCTAGAACCAGGAGGCATGGAGCTTTGGCATGCGTATGTGAACGATTGTGTACTTGCGATTGCTCAACGCTGAGCTTAGGACCTCAGGTGTTCATTAATACCCTTACTATCCCATGATATCAATGAAGAAAACCGGTTATTAACCAAGAACCTTAATTGACATGCAACAACCTGGAGTACCGTTGCCTGGTCAGGCCACCACAAGAAGAGAATCAACAGCCCTTTGCTCGGGCTGGACCCAAGTATGAGATTTCTGGAATAGGAATTTGATGATCTTCAGTCTTCGACATCGTCTAAAAAGGAACGAAGCACGCTACCTAGTTCATCCTGCTATATAACCTCTTACCAGTGCTCAGCTATACACAGGTATCTTGTACATTATCCCGGGGGCAACGTGGTCGATACTGAGAGCATACACGTAAGAGTCGTAGGCCAGTGGGTGAGTTATATAAGCATTTAATTTCATTTACAGCTGTTTGCATACAGCTTGACAGTCAGGGGCATTTTCGTGGATGATGAAAGAAGGCTCGGACTTGGTCATAAACCGTGTTTTGGGGACTTCAAGCGCGCAAAAGGACCTCCGAGATCGCCGAAATAGCCATAAACCAGCCATAAACGCGTCTTCAAGTCCATAAACCATGGTTTATGACCAAGTCCAAATTACTCTCTTCTCTCGTGCAAAACACATGCTACTGTCAAGCTGTATGCAAACCGCTGTAAATAAATAATAGATCCTAAAAATTAAATCTCATCTTCTCTCACTTCCAACTCGCTTCTAAGCTCATTTTCAGCTAGTGTTCATTAATTCAATAACGGAAATCTCCTTTATCACATTTCCGTACTTTTGTATCATCTCTGGAAGCCTCACCATCTTTCAATGAAAGAACGGTAGTACATTACTGGCACTGCTGTATTTTCCGTGCTTGTTAGTCGTTCGTCCTATTCCACGTCCAACCTACTCAAAAGTCACCGTACTGCTCAAGCTTTCGAAGATGCAGTTTTGATACTCTCACCAGAAACTCTCTTTCATCTTTGATCTTCCGCACTTCGTCGGATTCCGAGTCCATATGATACAATATCGAGGGAATTTCGATGGGGACTTCCGTATATCTCGTTCTCACTCTTCACTGAGTTCCGTATCTCGTTCTAGGTCTGTTTCCATGAAATGAGCCGCCCGAGGAGGGTCTGCTTTTGTCTCTCAGATTCACACCACTATCTCTGTGGCGGTGGTTTTACCAGCGCCAGGTCCCACATGGCGAACCATGTGCTGTGGCTGCGAAGGCTCATACCGTTGTATTCACTGTTGAGTGCGTAGTCATTGGATGATTTACGTCGTTTCTAATTGTGGTCCATAGCTAAGCATCGAAAACGACTGCTGCTTTCACGCTCTCCGGTGTCGAAAATCAGTAAATCTTGGGATTGAATCATCGTCGCCGCCAGATGTTTCAGAGGTCTCAAACTCGGTGTGAGAAGGATGGATAGTAAGCCAAAGCTAATCTCCAAAAGCCTAACAGTGGGGAGGAATGTTCGAGGTCTGCATTGGAGAAAAACGGCTTTACACCATCGTCTAATGGTTCTAATAGGGAAGAGTTCAAGTAAATGAGTAACCCGTGGCGTGTTCCATGTTTTTGGACGTAGGGATTCCGACTCAGCGGTTGTGTACTGACAAAACCCTATCTTATATCCCAGATTTCAGTTAGGACCCTGTATGTTACAACATTTTCGCACGAATAGCTATTCTTTTTACGTGGACCGTGGATCGGAGTGACAACCAACCCATTGTTCGATTCATCTCAGTTTCAATCGGATATGTATTCCAGAAGGGACTGCGACTCTTTAAGAGCCCGTTCGTTAGCAACCTCAACCTCCACCGAGTCTTCAACCCCCCCAACCCCCCAAATGTCTGAGTCATCCACAGAAATTCTAGACCTTTACGACCTCGCCCTCCTGTTCAACTACGAACGCGGGTCCTCTGAACCCCGTTATCGTCATACCAAGCTACGCGAAGTAGTCAGAGACAATGAAAGCTTTCAAACGGTCCGACTCTTGAATACCACCTGGTCTACTAGACACTCCCCCAAAGTCGCTTTTGCATTCGATACCATCCGTCCCCCAAAAAACAAACTCAACGAACCAGACCTCCCAACCAACATCCTACCCACCCCAATACCCCCTAACCTCGCACACCTCTCCTCAAAAGAGCTGGAAACCATCTACTGGCAAGCTCGTAACCACGACGCTTGCTACAAATCCGTCACGCTCATACAGCATTTCTTCGACTACTACCCTCTCGAAACTAGGGTTCGTATTCGCACTTCCGCGGGTACAAACTACACCACCACCATTTCCAGTCGCGACATCATCGAATTCAAACTCCACAGACCCAAGCTCGCAACCAACGCATGTGTGCTACCCTCCGGGACGGGCCATTTCACCGGAATGGAAGACGTCATGGACCATGCAGTCCTGGGGTTCGGGGACACCATCCTAGATCTCACCTCGATGCAATTCGGCGACGAGGGAAGGGGTCTGGGAGGGAAGAGCGTTTTCGTTTTGGAATCTCGGGAAAAGTACTATGAGCGATTGAAGAAGTTTGCGGAATACGCGGACATTGAGAATGCGAAGCATTCGTTTTATATATTTCCTCCTGAAGATCCTGGTGTCAATGAGTGGCTTTTGGATGTTGCAAGGAGAGTGAAAGAGAGATGGGATAGACGTGCGACGGAACATTGGTGTGGTCATTGCGGTGCACCGGCCGTGATGATGAGATGCTCCTTATGCAAGGACGCATACTATTGTGATAAAGAACATCAAGCAGCTGCATGGCCATTCCACAAGAAATTCTGCAGCGGAAAGAAATAATACAGCCGATGTAAGTTTGGACTTGACGAGCTAGACGTGATGCTTATGAGGAGCTGCAAAATATATAGCGACCTTGTGTGTCGGACAAGACGATAAATACCTGACAAAACTTCATCATAGTCGGTCAAGAGGTCTCAGATATTACACAGAACGGCAACAGCTTGCAGATTAGGGCATGACATCAATGTGAGAGTAACCTGTGCCATATTAAATAAGAGATATTTACATTCTGTCTACCTTGGAGTAATTCTCCATACCTTACAAACACCATCATCACCCGCAGTAGCTAGCATATCCTCGAAACCAGCCCTGGGACACCAGACGATGGCATTCAGATCGTACACATCGTGTGCACATTCCAGCTTTGCAATCATCCTATGTTCCAGGAGCCCATCACCCGACTTTTCCTATAAGACAAATTATGTGAGCTTCGAACTCGTCAAGGCTTAGAATTTAAATAGCTCACATCAATCTCCCAAATGCGTATGACCCCGTCGCCACCAGCACTAGCAAGCCATCCCGCTCCCGCTCCCGCTCCCGCTTCCATTCCTTTTCCCCACGATACAGAATACACTGACCTTTCGTGTCCCTCCAAGACCAACACCTGCTTGAACTCAAACTGCCCCGTCCGCTTCCACACCCTCACCGTCTTATCATCCGACCCCGAGGCGAGGTACTGGCCACTCGGAGACCACGCCAATGCCCAGACTGTCGATTTGTGCCCGGTAAGCGTTGCACAGCAGAACCAGTCATCTTCTGGGTCGTCCACGTAGAGCTTGATGGTGTCGTCGTATGATCCAGAAGCGAGAACCTGCATGGGTAAGTGGTCAAGTATGGGTTGGGGTAGGAATTTGAACGACCTCTTCGGTGGGGTGCCATGCTACGCATTTGACGTCTTGGGAGTGTTCCATTATGACGCCTAGGCATTCGAAGTCTGATTCGGGTTGGACTGGGAGGTAGTGAAATGTGAGAACGGTTATGAAGAAAGAGTGTTTTAAGACGCACCTTCCCAGACCCAAACAGACTTGTCACGGCTACAGCTCGCTAAGAGCGTCCCTGTGGAGGAGTACCCGATACTTTTGCATTCTGTTTCGTGTCCTTCTAGCAGACTCACGCATTCCTATTCTTCTCCGTCTTCCCGCTCCCATATCCCGACGTTCGAGTCGAACGAGGCTGTTGCGAGTGTGTTGCCGGATGGCGCCCAGGCGATGGCGCGGACGGTCTTGGTGTGTCCCGTTGGTATTGATGTGAGGAATGTGAATTTGGTAGCTGTGTAGTCATACAGTCGGACGGTTTTGTCGCTGGAACATGATGCTAGGATTGGTTTGGTGGGGTTCCAGGCGATGTGCCAGGCGCGGTCTTCGTGTCCTGTACTCGTCAAGTCAGCAATAATTTCTAGGATTGAAGGAGAGATGAAAGACCTGGAAGTTCGGCTATCAGAGAGATCTCGTAAGGAAAATCGACCTGCATGTTCGGAGCTACTTTTTCTGGAGATCCGAATTATTGCTGTATTGCGGCGGTTATAGTACAGACGAGATAATTAAGGCCAGTATAGATGAGCGGAAGTCGTGATGGTGGGAGCGGCAAGCGACCAAATCCGGTTTGAAATTTTGTCCTTTGCCTATAAATGTACTTGATGTCTGTCTACCACCTTCCTCATCATGGCCGACCCGACAGCTCCAAAAAGACGGATCGTGGTCCTCATATCCGGCTCAGGTATTGCCTAGATTTGCATTGGGGGGCAACAGACTAATATTTGGGTAGGGACGAATCTGCAGGCTCTGATTGATGCTCAGAATACCCCTGCATTACCGGATGTCGAGATATCGCTGGTGTTGTCGAATCGTAAGGCAGCGTATGGCCTGATGAGGGCTGCACAGGCTGATCCACCGATACGGACGGCGTATCTGGCTCTGCAGCCGTATCTCAAGGCCAATCCGGGCAAGACGCGAGACGACTACGACGCTGAGGTCGGGAAGATCGTACTGAAAGAGAATCCTGACCTTGTCGTACTCGCTGGCTGGATGCACGTATTCGGCGATGGGTTCTTGGATTTGGTTTACGGCGTCAAGTCTGTTGAAGGCGAACGACCTGTATCGTCGCCGATCCCGGTGATTAATCTTCATCCTGCGCTGCCCGGAGAGTTTGACGGTACGAATGCTATTGAGCGGGCGTACGAGGCATTCAAGAGGGGAGAGATCAATCGTTCTGGTGTTATGGTGCATCGGGTCGTGAAGGATGTCGATCGGGGAGAGCCTTTGGTGGTGAGAGAGGTTGTTTTTGAGAAGGACGAGTCATTGGAAGCGTTCGAGGAGCGTCTGCATAAGGTCGAGTGGGAAATCCTTGTCAAGGCAGCTAAGAACGTATTGGATGAACTGTAAGCCTCGTTATTTCACTAATTTTTCTGTACTTGACGGTATCTTCCAGAATCTAACGACGAAAACCGAAAAGCTCTGCAGAAATGTACTACTACGCGCCCATTTTTATGCTGTTGCCTACAATAATGTAGTAGCAGTTTGGATGCCAGAATAATCCACTTCTTTCGCTCTGCGAATAGACGAATAGACGTACTTAAATTTTTTTCGATTTCCCCCGGCCCGATTCCGGCGGCACCACAGCTTACAAACACGAACAAAGAACGCGTCCGTTGAACTTGCCGCCGTGACCCGCCTCCCCACTTCCTTGCCTTCTACTTCCACACTCGCCGCGACACCTCGCCTTGGACAGAATGTATGCTCCATTACTCCTGCCTTTGTAGTCCCTAATAGGCAGCCACAGAGATCCAATTGTGCTGTCTGCAAGATGTCAGAACGTTCTTCATGCGACACATACTCATTGGGCGGGGTGCGTATAATTGCGCTACTGGAGATTTCTCGTTAACTCAATTCAGCAGAGCTCAATACATCGCCACCCTAGTATCGACTTACCGCCTGCTCTATCGCTTCATGATATTGAAGAATATGACGACACGCCCTTTTCTGTATGTCGGAATCTTTATACCGGCGTGTTCTTACTGTCGACTTGCAGGAATCGTTCTCTGCGAGCGGCTGGATCGACGACACTGCGAGCAGGGTGGATACAAGCTACAACATTGAGGTACGGAAGCCTCCTTCAATAGGATTCTCTCGTTTACAGTGGGCGCAGCGTATCACGGACATCAAAGCAGTCGTACCAGAATGGGACGATGAAGAAGTAGACGTATGGCCCTTCGATTTTCGTCTGCTTCATTGTTCTTTGCTTATAAGCTACAGGAGATCATGGTCATGTCACCCAAAGAATACCACCCCCTTCCTACTATACTGGAGGACGCCGACGAGCCGGGAAATGGGACGGGGGTACGTTCTTCTGGCTATTTACTTCATGTTCCGTTTTTAAGCATCTCCATCAGGTGTCGTTGACCATAAATGACTTTGAGATCCTCAGCGGGCATCCAAGCAACATCTGCCGGCGCAGAAGTAATGGCAAGGTGTTCGCTCTCAAGCGCGTTACTCGGCAGGCAGCGTCACCGCCTCGGCATACCATGATATTGGAGGCTGTGAACAGGTTATATGCGCCTTTTCTTGTCAAGATGCATTGGTCTTTTGCCGATAATGATTCGTTGTGTATGATTCTCGTATGTCGTTCTTCGTTGACGGTAATGTATGTGCTCACTGGCTTCCAGGATAACGGGCATGCAGGTGACCTGCTGACCTTCATCTCCTCACGCAAGCTGTTCGACCCAAATCATGCGCAGTTATATGCATGCGAGCTGGTTAGCTTCTCTTTCTCATCGCCGTTTTTGTTCTCGATCTGACCAAAGATGATTTAGGTTGAAGCGCTAAGCAGCCTCCTTTCTGCTGGCATAATCCATCGAGCGTTAAGGCCTGAAAATGTGGTGATCGATGCTGAGGGCCATATCATGGTGACGGGGTTCGACGATGCGGTAATGCTCGGGGAGGACTCTGATCTTACATCACATTATTGCTGCTATGAGTACAGGGCTCCGGAACTCTTACTGGGGTGGTCATACGATTTTGCGGTGGATTGCTGGGGGTTCGGAGCGTTGTTCTACTTTATCTTGCTTGGACAGGTTCTTTCTTGTTCCTTTTCGCCAATCTTCGCTGAGACATCTATGGCCTTACCTTAGCATGCATTCGGGAGGGAGAGGGACGCCATTCATGCGCCCGTCGTGGTCGATTCGGCTTTGTTTGCGGCACCGACTTGTGATCTTATCCTCAAGGTGGTTCTTTGTCTGTTTCTGTGTGGGGCTGTCTAAACCCTTCTGTCCACAAGTGTCTGGAAAGAAACCCTGCTCTCCGTCTTTCTATTCAGGAGATCAAAATGCATGATTATTTCGGCGACGTGTACGGTACACCTCGTCTCTGTGCCAGCTCATACTGATGGCGTGTTCTTTTGATGTAGTGACTGGCGTAAGGTCCAAGATAAACAGCTTATAGGCAAGCGTTTCATCTAGTTTCGCGCTAGTGCTGATGTCATCTCAGTTCCTTTTGTCCCTCCAACTACTAAAATGGTCCAGTCTACTCTTGCGGAGACCTGCTCACCGACTACTAGCACCTCTGTTCACTGTCAGGATTCTCTTTCATCTTGGTCTTCGTCTCGACCAGGCTCAACAATATCTGGTTTCTGCCTTGACGCTAGGAATAGTGTGCAAGATCTGCTTCCGCCTATATTTCGTACCTCTCCTTCGACGGACAAGCTTTTAGACACGAGCACTGTTACATACCAAGATCAAGTTTCTCGACCACAAAGTTCCTATGTCTCGCCTTCCAACACGCCAAGTCCTCAAGAACGCATGGCTCTCTTTTGGCAATCTCTAGACGAAGAATCGAACTCTGGATCGCTTTCTAGGAAACTTCGCCGCCAACGGTCCTTCCCCATCATCAGTTCGCAACGGTTTTCTCTCCTTCCTCCACTTATGTCAGTGCAGAATAAGCTTCGCAAAAAGCGCTCGCAGATGTCAATCCGAAAGACCTATCAGGAACCGCTGGATCTCCCTGCTGGTATCGAGCAAATCGGTGAAGGGATTGGATTTACGTATACGCTGCCAGCTGCTGTGGTGTCGAAGGCGTCGATATGCTCCACGGCGCCGAAGAGCTGTCATGCTGGGCTTGGTCTGGGTATCGGTGGATTATTGCGTGGTACGGGAACGAGAATGAGTGAACAAGACGTAGCGGAACGAGGCTCTGGAAGTTTGGAAGTCCCGCTGATGTCGTGGCACTCGCCGATGTCAGACTCTGATGCTGGTTTGCTCACTCCGCCTCCTCCAGAGGAGTTGTTCAAAGAGGTTGGGATTGGGATGAAGAATATGTCGTCTTTCCAGACTTTGCGATTGGTTTCTCCTTCGAATAGTTTTGTTTCTTTGGGTTCGCATCCGTTTTGTCATGATGTGGATGTCTGATTTTTTTTGGTTTTTGTTTTGTGAGTTGCTTGTTTGTTGTGTTATTTTATGTTCAAATGAATTTTGTGGGAAAAGTGGCTAAGAGGTTCAACGTTCCGATCTTATGCTTTGTATCATGCTTTCCGACTAATATTGTCTCAACGAATTTTTCGGCTCGAGGTTAGGCACCACAGACTCAGGCAGAAATTAATAACATTCATCTTCTACAAGGTCTAATATACTTTCTTTGTATGAAAAAAATACAGTCTCCAACTATTACAACATACGAAAAACATACACCAAGCTCACCGGCAGAGATACTGAGGATCCAAACAAGGCTGCTTGACATTCCTCTCCTCCGCAACCTTCTCAACCATCTCCCTCGTAAGTACAATCATATCCTTCGGACCTTCCTTCTCCCCCTCCTCAAGCCGAAGTCGCCTAACCAGCAACCCCACCTCATTCATAGCAAAAGCCGTATCGTCCACTCGCAGATTAGTCGCCTGAGCAATATCCTGCAGAGTACACTCCAAGGTAATGTCCGTGGTTGCTCCTCCACTGGGGAGCAGTTTCGTCACGAACGTCCGAAGGGATGAGAATAGCTCATCTACAAATAGAGTCAGAGAAGTCGCGAGGTAAGGAAAACGCTATACCATCGACTGAATTGAGCATCCCGTTCGCATGAAGCTCTCCATCCCAGCCTATATGCTTCTTTTTCCGCTTGACCCCAATTCCATCTTCAGACGCCTCTGTAGATGGAGATCGCAGATCTGGGGGATGACCTTTAGTGATAATTTGCGTGGAGCCGATGGGCATCACAGTCAACAGACGTCTGAAAATGTAAATATAATGAGCAGATGCAACGAAAGAAGAAATGAACGGCGAACCTGAAAAATCTAACGAGGGTAGCAACCCAGTACGCTAGATAACTTCTCAGGCCCAAGTCGGACAGAGGTCGTTCAGGCGAACCGATCTTGCCATCACGACGAGACAATTCGTAACCTGTAAATAATTAGTGACAGTCACAGAGAACCAAGCTGCACCCACTAAATTCAATCATCAGCATGCCGAAGCCTTTGCGTTGCCAGGGTGGGAAAGTGATGATACACGCCAGGTTATAGTCGTCGAATGAGATTTTTTCCTTGTCTAGGATATGAGAAATAGCACACGGAGCATTCATCCTACTCACCTTGGAAAAGTACCCAATAACATGGTCAGCGCCTGATGTCCCCTCGGTAAGGATGTAGAACATGACTGTGTACCCGTTATAAGCTACGAACGCGATCGTAGAAAATTCCACGTACAACTTTCGTTATCAAAGAATATGGTCTTGGTGTCGATGAAGAGTTTTCCGAATAATGACAGATTTTGACAGTACAACTGCATATTATGGTAAGCAATCAGACACGCACAGACGAGCTCCACGTACCTTCGCAACAGCACCGTCAACCTCCCAGATAGTATGCGCTCCACGCTGATAGACTTTTCGACCCGGTGGAAACGACATCGTACAATGCTTCTACACCCTCATCAGTCAAAAAGCCCTACACACAAGTACGCAGACACACACCTTATGAAGCTCCCAAGTCATACCATCCGTCGTGTACTTGAAGCACATATCACAAACATACAACACAGACTTTTCAAGCCCAGTAGCCCTCGCCGTGCCACGAGCAAAATCCACCGCTCTTCCCTGAGTTGGCAGCGTCGACCGCCGTACAATATGAGTTCTCGCATGGTCTATCGGAGGGTCCTGTTGAGACTCCTGGTCGCCCGGCGGATCAGGTTTCTCGTTCGTCGCATAGGGAGAGAAATACCTAGGACGCATGGGTAGGTAAATCAACAATAGGCGCCAAAGCATACTCACCATGTCCTTATAACATAGTCCCCAAATACGACCTTTTCGAAGTTCCTCTGCTCTGTCATCCTCTCACGAATCTGGCTGTCCAGCTCCTCTTCAGTCACGGTCAGCTTGACAGGAGAGTTAGACGTTTGTTCATCTGAGCGGCTGGATCCGTCATCGTCGTCGTTGCTGCGCTTTCTCTTCTTGGTCTGATTCTCTGTAGACGGGTCAGAAACACGCGTAACTCGATCTCCCGGTAGCCATTCGTCGAGTCGTTTATCGGCGCCTACATAGTGAACGTATACTTTTTCATCATTTACTGACAGGACGTGGCCTCTTCCTGGAACAAAAACTTAAATCAATACCCAGAACATAGAAAATCACTCACGTTTGTCCCCGTTCTCCTGGATTACATCGAACAGAGGCAAATGCTCTTGTTCCACCACATGGGGCATTTCCAGCCTGAAGCCCAGTAAGACGAATATGCAGTACCCTAGATATTTTCTGTATGCCTAGGGCACACACACGGCTTTCATAGCACGCTGTGTGCTAATAGCAGCGTTAAGTAAATGATTTTGTCCAAAATTTGTCTCCTTCACGATAGTCGGACCAAAATTAGGAAGGACCAATTGGTAAGCATCTATTTGCACCCAATCCGGACAAAACTTGACAGTGCCGCGGGATGATGGTTACCTTCATAAAGAGGTACTAATACCGTCTACTATCAAGATGCATATCTTAGCCTTCCGGTTGCTGTTCATCGTTTCAGATGTGTATAAGATGGAGTTATCGGCGATTTCTAGCTGTCTTTTGTCCCCCAAAGACGTGGCAGAGCTGAACTAATGTCGACTCTCAGCGGAAGCGCCTTCTTACTTCTATGCTTTGCCTTCGTACAGTGTTCTTTTGTGAACGCTGAATGGTATGTGTAATTTATGTTTTCTTATTTTTGGTCTCTACTGATGGACCCACCTAGCTTCAACTGCGACTCTCCCGGACTTGACCTAAGCCTAATAATCGGTCTGGTAGTTGGGATATGTGTGTACCTTCATCTCGACGTACCCTGTTTCAAAATCCTCAATTCCCCATCCTCTAGTCGCGCTTCTCACACTGCTGAGTCTAGTCTTCGTCTGTTGGCGCCGAAATCGTATCCGTAACTTCCAACGGACGTACGTTGAGAACCGCCAAGCCCAAGTATTTGCCGCACAACAAGTGCAGCAGAACTATCAAGCAGAGCTTAATGCTCAGTATTCAAACTATCTGCAAGGCTGGCAGCCCGTCTCGGCGCCTGAACCTGTGCATCAGCACCATCAAGCCCACCCTCAGCATCATATACAATACTAGCCGATGTACGCCCCACCAATCCTTTGATCTACTTCATGTGTGAGTAATGTATCCATGATCGGCGGAAATTCTAAGTCGGAATTAACTCCCAATCAGATACAGAATCGAACGCGTGCTGTTGCTCCAGTTTCTCGCTTGCAACCGTCTACACGTTTCGATAACTAGCAAGCGCTTACCTCGTTCACATCATTTTCTTTTTGCACAAAATTTCTCGGACATGCTCTGACTCGATGTTCTTCTCTTTGTAATAGTATGCATCCTAGGACGAACCACACTGTCATCTTCACGGGTGCACCGCAGCTACTGCTCTCGATGCACTTCCTATTCTACCGTTATTCCACCTTGTCCGCGACGCACTTGAGCCCATTCATCAGTAGCATTACCCTTCGATGGAATGTCCTAGGTCTATTGACGATATTCCCAACCTGCCTAGCACGTCCAAAAAAAAAACATCAATGGTTCATTTTAGGCCTGAAGTATCCAGTTCACCGGTTCTCCTGAAGAGACTGAAGCTGGTGAGATAATGCGAGCGATGCATTTGTAACCGCAGGTTCGCCAATATGTGTTTTCAAAAGCCAAGTTAAAAAGAGGATTGGCGGGATAATGTTCGAGGAGTGATCCATTGGCCAGTACACTCCACTGAAGACGAACGTGCGTCTATGAAGATGATTCTGAAAACGACGTTTTATCAGTGGTGACCGGGGACCGGTGAGTCGCCACTACCGGACGAGGGAAAGTTATCCAAGGTTTCTTCATGATGGTGGAGCGACATGAACCTGTACTTAAGGCGCCGACAATAACCAGCATCATTGGTGTCCAATGATCTTGCTCGTTGGCGTTGTTATAGGCGATTTGGTACTGCGTTTGCGGAGAGCCGTCTTGGAAGCGCTTTGAAGCGGTAGAGTCCATTATCTATCTTCCGCTTGGGACTACACAGTGACACACGAGGGCAATGAACGCATATTCATAGTGGGAGCTACTGAAAACATAAAGCATTGGGGAAAAAGCAGTGGAAGAAGGGAAGGGACGTTTGTATGGATTTTATGTGTGGAAGTCAAGGAAAGTGGAATGTAAGTGAAAGATAAGTAAATGTCCATAGAGAGCTGCATATCGCCACCTTGAGAAATTCAGTATATAAAGAACAAATGGTCCCCTTGAGTTTCGTTTGACATCGCCTACTTAGCGCCGGTGTATGATCCAGAGAAGCTCGACGGCCCCGGACCCTCAGGCTCCTGCAAGGGCGCATCCTCGTGTGAAGGAGGCGGGGAAGATTCAGGGGTAGCAGGCAACGCGCCCGTGAGCATCCTCATTACCGACTCGCTCCGCGCCCTCTTGCGTTCCAAGAACTTGTGTGTCAGATCCGCTGGGATAAGCGCGGTGTCCATCTCGTCCCCTTCGTCTCTGTTTCTGTCCTCGTCCTTGACTTCAACTTTAACTTCTTCGGCCACTTTTTTCGGTGCCGCCTTTCTCTTGCGTCTGAAACGACGGGAGGGCTTGAGCGTAGGATCCTCCCGGAAGATGAATGATGGGGTCGGTCGCCTAAGTCGCTTGCAGTTTCGATGGGTGATCCCTTTGTTATGAGTCAGAGCTCTAGTCGGCATCGGTCGGACAAAACGCGTACGTTCCGGTGTCTTGCTGAACGAGGAGAGTTGTTTAGCCATGGGTGACTTGGAGAAGGGTTTGCTGCCTTCCTTCCCTTACAGACAGGATTTTATACTGCGAGGAAGGTGCTTTGACCTGATAAAAATCTAGTGGCAACCCAACAAAGGTAAGTTTTTTATTGTCTTTCCACGCATTGATCGTTTTTGTTTTTGTTTGAGAGACCAGTCCGCAGACTCCTGAGGGGTAGGGCTCCAACCGTTTAGTTTTCATTATGCTCAGGTCCAAACTAAACGGAAATGGTTGCGAAACCATTTATAAACAGTGTATAAATGATTGTACAGGGTAGATCACATGACACTTTAGAATAGCGGCAAATGTGCATTAATTCTCTTATTAATACGTGTATCTACAGCATTCTAGATTGAATGTCGAGAACGCATCCTCTCTATAGACATTGGCCATGACATGGTAGATGGGATCATCGGATAAAGCCTCTTTCACTGCGGCTGGAGGGAGGTTACTGCAAAGGCATGCAAACTGCTGCACAAGGGCAGACCGAAGAGACTGAGGGTGTCATGGTTCTTGGAAGCCTGAGGGTGCAGTTGGACATGGTGAAGACGGCCTTTATATTGAAGAAATACTTGTGAAAATACACAATGACACACTAGTCGAGAGGCAGACATTGTCCTTGAACAATTGGGGAATGAGATAATATTGGTCAGTGGTGGTTGTAGCATCGCACAAAGTCAACGAAGTGGATAATTGATGCACTGCCTAATTGGATGATTAGGTAACCATTTACCGTTTAGTTTACTGTTTGTTTACCGTATGCCTCTCGACCTAAACTTAAACGGTAAACTAAACGGTTTAAACAGTGTATAAACTGTTTCATACGGAAACGGTTGGAGCCCTACTGAGGGGCGCTAAAGACAAAAAAGACAAAAAGTCTGGTGACGGATTCTTGACCCCGTCCTTCAGCGCTACTTAGTCAGCTTCGGTCTTTAGAACCTGTCCATTGCGACCCCGGCTTAAGTAGGCGCCGGGAGGTGGTGAATCAGTCGCAGGCTGTTCCACCCGAATCTGCTGCCAAAGGACCATGTCGCTACAACAACCTGACCACGGTAGCCATGAAGGTCAAAGACCTCTAAACATGTACAGTTTTTTCGCTCGAACTAAATGGCGCGCGTGGGGGATTATCCCACTCGAGATTAGGATCTTTGTTCAGATGACCAGAGCCTGGACCCTGTAGATCATTTAGTTGTGTAAGGTACTTAAGATGTACTTACCAGTGAGATTTGGGTGAGATCCGGAAGGGCGCTGCCGATGCGCCGAAAGTGCTTAGATCAAGCGGAGTCTCACTACGATCTGACCCGGTAACCAACCGGTAACTTGAATCGTTGAACTTCAACCAAGTTGAAGATATGTGACAACTGCCGCCTGGCGAGCGTATCGAAGTGCTTTGCAATTCGTGCGTATAATCGAGCACAGAATTCGCCCCAAGTCTCCATTGAATCATAACAGGCCCCGGGAAGCCCGCCAAGGTTTGTCCGGATTTTAGCATATTTTAGGCCCAAAAAAAGCGAAATCTTTGTCCGTAGATAGCATATTTCAGACCCAAAATTTGAAACCCTTGTCCGTAGTTAGCATATTTTAGGGCCTCTGGGGCCTGGAGGAATGGCACCTGGCGGAATCCCTGTAGTTGGAGAAGCACTTATTGGGATCTGAAAGAGGGATGGAAGTGACACTGAAATTTCATCCAGAAAATGCAAGGCGAAGGACGCCGAAATTTGGCCTAATTTGGCCCGCGGCGCTGTCCCCCACGGACGACCGGGAGACGCCTTGTCCGAGTTAGCATATTTTAGGCGCCAATCTTTGCATCATAACTGAATTCCATCGGCCTTGATGAATCTTGTCAAGGTGTGAGCTGGAGGTAAATAAAACTCTTGAATTCTGATGTCGGTGAGTTGTACCGCTCACCGACATCATCGAGCCTAGCAACTGATTCATAAGTTACAGTGCAGATATCCCTTGACCACTGTGATACCCCGGCACCGTTGCATCAAGAGACTGTTAGATCTGCATTCGGTATAAGTTACGTAGTAGGGACTCGAGTCACTGCGTGGGTGTGATGTGTTGATTGGCGTCACCTACATCTTTTTGACGTTCTTATGTTCAGAAGATGATCTCCATTGAGTCGGTTGCCAGACCACATCTATAAAGCAAGTCAGCCACATTGTCTTTCTGGTAAATTTCCTTCGCTTCTTTCTTAGCATGCTCTCATGCTTCCATGCTACTTGTGAGTCAATTATCGCTCCATGAATAAATGTCGTTGAGTCCTGTTCATAGCGTGCTGTTCTTGATCAGCGCAAGCAGCGCCTTTGTAATTTCGGCACCTCGATCTGTTAAGTCAGAGGCCAGTGCGACCTGGAGTCGTAACAACGGCGACCCAGATGACTCTGTTTTCGCTCTTCGTCTTCTACCGGACGAAGTAGGTGACCAACTTCCCGAATCTCCTGGCAGCCTTCCATCTGGGACAATAGATGTCCAGTTCCCCGTTGCAGGGTGGGTCTTCCCTTTCTATTGCTTGATCTCATGATCTAACACAAATCTGAAGGACTTATTTAATTGAGATCCGGACTCCCCAGCCCGAATTCAGACTGTTGGCACAGAGCGACACGATACTTGCAAATTTTGACCCCGCGGACAATAGCACAAGTGTTAACAACGGGGAGAGTGCAATAACTGTTGAGACCACAACAACTGCGACTTCAACTTCGTGCGTGATTGTTTATCAGAAATGGTTTTGAGACTGACATTGCTCGCGGCATTAGCATCAGTTCAACTGTTCAACTTTCAAGGTCAGTTCAGCTGTCAGTCGTTGATGAAATACTAACCCAACATTCATTAGGTACAAATTTGCGTGCATGTAATGATGTTCTATCTGACAAGCTGGATCAGCTCCACAACCACTCGGAATATTCAGTCACAGCGGTAATGTCTGATGGTATAACAATATTTTTCTATGCTCATTTGTACCATCATAGAATTACCGTTAGTGAGAGTGACTTGCAAAATACTTCAACCTCGTTAGTGCATATCTTCTGAATATTCGAATACTTGATCTTAGGATCCATGCATAGCGGTCCTGTCACAGTATTGGGAGTCATTACGATAACAGCAACGCCCTCTAGTTCCTTATCCACTGCTCCGTTATCCACTCTCGTTCCAATGCCAGTCAAGACTACTAACCAGAATGTCTCAGTGATCACCAACACTCCTACTTCTACCACCCAGGTCATCGCCAGGTAAGAAATTTGAATCCCCCTTTCTTTCCTTTTTCTGACGGGAGAGCAGTACAAGCAGAACGAACACATCCTCCATATCTTCCTCAGGTCATAATGTAGGGGCAACCAGGTAATATGAATTATCAAATATCTTGACTCTATCGCTGACCAGTTTCATAGTATCCTAGAAAGTACTAGTGTGCTCTCCGCGTTCTCAAAACTGGTTACAGATACACCAAATCAAACCAATACAGATTTACCCAGACCTACAACATCAATACCGTCGGCATCATCACAGTCATCCCGTAGTCATATACCCCAAATCATTGGTGGCACGTTAGGATCTTTCCTCTCCATCATTCTTCTAATTGGACTTTTCATCTTTTATCGTCGGCGTTGGCGACGTTCTTGGCAGCTACCGTCATCTCGGTCTCCAGATACCGAAAAACAGAAGGAGTTCGAGGCGCCATCTCGTTCGGAAAGTATGGTTCAGCCACTGACAAGACGTGAATCTTACACCTCCACATCTACATCTCCCTTCTCCCCCCTTTCTCAGCACACATTCTACCTCTCATATACCGATGGGTTTCTGCGGAGGCTAGACTCTGATCCACACCGCCACGACCGAGATGCAAGTGTAGCATCATCGAGCTCTCACCTCACCGCCCGCCAGTTCTTGTTACATGAACGAGCTAGCAGCTTGCGTGATGAGGCTGATTGGTTGAGACAGACCATATCTTTTGTAACATCTAGCGATCATATTGTTGGGGAGCTACAAGCGACCATATGGAGGTTAGAAGAACATGTACGGCGTTTGGAGGCAGAGCACGAGTCTGACTGGGCTTTGTACCAGTCGGATGAACCCCCACCAGTTTACATGGAGGCCATACGCAGATCACAGTCTAATTCGCACAGTGAGAATATATGATATCCAGTATGGACATGTATGTACACAATCGCACGCAATGTGCGTAGCCATCTTTAATCATCCTGTTCGTCCGATGTCAAGTACGACTGTAATGACCCTAGGTAGATCGTGTTTGCTCCCTCTCCTGGTCCCTTAAGGTACAAACGCCGACGCGGACTGTTCAGCCTCTCAAACATCTTCTCTGCGGCATACTGTATTGTCCATACTACTAAGGGTATCATGATTACACGTCAGCACAAAGTCCTACTATAGTCCATAACCATTTCGTTCATGTGGTATACCGTCTGATTGGCGCCATCCCCTTTCATCTTCATTAATTTCTCTCTCTAACCGCTTTACAGTTTCCTCTCGCATGCGTATCGTCGCAAGGAGTTCCTCACTCTCTTTTCTGTCCGATGGTAGTGAAGAGACCTTTCGTCTTAACCAGACAATCTCCTCACGCAGGGCGTCGGCGCGCTCTTGCAACACAATCTGCTGCGGCATAAGGTGAGAGCACTCGGATGACAGTACGCGGCTGCTGTATCGATCCGGGTCCGAGTCCAACGGTTGCATGACCCCATCCACAAACATGAAGAAGTAGGATTCTGGTCTCGACGTCTGCCGGGAAGTGCCCGAATCGGTGGTGCCGTTCGATTTTTGTGTTCCAGACCTTGCCGGCATCTGGATTATCGCACTCTCCCGCTTCATTGCATTGGGGTGGGATAGTTCAGGTGGTGGTCGGTCGTCAGGAGAATCTAGGAATGGGTTGGAGGATAAAGAATGGTAGGAGTATTGCGAAGCAATGTCCGATGATTCTGATTCGTGACTTTCATGTGTGCGTGCATGTATGTGATCCGGTCCAGTACCATTACTGTCTGGCTCTAGTAGTCGCACGATTTCATCTATGGAGTCAATAGAGGAGCTACGGGAGGATATATATGCACTGCTGAATGACTGTTGGGATAGTGCTCTTGCAATGGGCTGAGTCAGGAGGCTGCTGCCGGGGCGTCCATTGAAGTTCTCATGTGCCTCTATATCACGGTCGCTCGCTTTACGACGTTGATGGCGCCAGTATAGAATGAAACCGAGGATGAGGAGTAGAATAGACAGCGCCGCAAAAGTACCTCCGAGAACTTGGGGAAGGTAGGTTTCTTCCCCATTGGAGGGGTATGATGTAGGAAGGATAGAGGTGCTTGAAGGAATGTTGGTAAGGGATGTGGGACCAGTAGCTCTAAGGATGCATATCAGAGCCATGCAGAATACCAGAAAATCAATCGATCCTTACCCGCTTAAACTAGATCCAAAACTGAAAGAATTAGCCATTAGCAAATGCTCCACGAAAGTAAAAGAGTTCTTACTTTGTCACCTCCGGGTCCGATGTTATCGTCATTGAACTAATTTCCCGTTTAGCCTGGACAAAAAGTTATATGGACATCCCTACCTATGATCAACAACCTGGCTGCTCGTAGCGCTGCTCAGCGTCCCTGACGTAAATTCACTATACCGATGCAAGGTCAAACGCGCACGAAAAAAAATTTCAGCAGGCATCTCACCTGGTCGGACTAGCGGCTATGCTCGTGCTAGTAGTAATATCAATGACACTAAAAGATGCCACTGGAAGAATACTATATCATTGAGCAGGCTTCAGGGAAAGTGTAAGACCAGGAGGTAGTGATCAGCCTACACTGCTGAAGAGAAGCTTGTAGGACTCCTAGAAAGTTATTTAGCCTACAGGAAACATAAAGATCATTCTACGCTTACGTCGTAAGTAAGCCATCCGAGTTGGTGTCAATGCTATTGCTATTGGTCCACATTCACGTTAGCTCCATCGGCCGTGAGTGACCAAAAAAGGGACCTACAGCGAGCTACTGATAGGTATCGAGAGCAAAGGGCTATAGGTTAATCAACTGGTTACAAATCATTGAATAGGGTGAGGATATATATTACCTTGAAGTCGCACTGCTTGTGTTTGGAACAGTGACAGATCCCGGTGTGGGGGAACGCGTGCTTTGACTATCAGTAGGTATTGGGGCCGAAGAGCTGCAAATCGACTAATGAGCTTCAGGTCATCGAACAAGATATATCGCCTCTTACGTAGATGGCGTAGTGCCCAAACTTGAAACACTGATGGTGCCCAATGCAGACGAGGGACTAAACGATGTGCTCTGGCCATCAATATTAACTTGCACGGTCAAAGAGCTGTACGTCAATCGATGAGCTGCAGGTCACAAAGCAAGGTTCTAAAGCCTCTTACCTAGATGCCACAGTGTTTGAGCTTACACTAACAGACGTCGATGCCAGCGTGGGGCTAGACGATGCGCTCTGACTGGTAGTAGTTATTACAGCCGAAGGGCTGTACGTCAATCAATGAGTTGCCGTTCACCGAACAAGGGGCTAAAGCCTCCTACCTTGATATCGTAGTGCTTGTGCTCGGAACAGTAACAGGTCCCGATGTGAACGAGACGCTAGATGATAAGCTGTGACTATCAGCAGATACTGGAGCCGAAGAGCTGCGTGTTATATGAATGAGCTCAGCAGGACATCGTGTAGGACGTCGGCATCTCTTACCTAGAGACTACAGTGCTTGAGCTCGAGCTCGAGATTGGATCCGACGTGGGCAAGGCGCTAAATAATGTCGATCAGCAATCAACATTGTTCGTGATACATAGATGGCGTTTGGACAGCCACGCACGAGAATGAAGTAGCGTGATGCAGCGACTCTGAAGTTGCCGAAGCTGACGTGGAAGGAGCAGTATTCAGAGGGCGTGGACTTGCGGAAGATTGGGGGTTAGACGTCTCCGGTTGGGATGGAACAGTAGGATTCTCGTCTATTCCCACCACTACTGGAAGGCTGAATTGTATTGGAATAAATTTAGTGTCGAATGTCCCAATCGCCACAAAGTAGACTCTGCAGAAATATGTGAGTCATTAGGGAATCTATAAGACAGTACCATCCAAGAACTCACCCACGGTGGGTAAAGTTTAAATTTATCGTCCCAGACGACGAGTTACTCGGAGCATCCCCAACAATTTCGTCGCTTTGGCTCAAATTAGAGCGCAGAGCAACGACGAAATCGCCTTTATCCCATTCGCTGCGGATCCACGTAGCGGTAGCGGTCTCATTTGTGTGGGCGAATAAAGGAGCGAATATCTCGAAGGCCCTGGTAGAGCCTGGCAAGAATAGCAAGGCCAGCCTGCGAAAACCTCGATTTCAGAAGCGGGGAAGAAGGGCAATGAGACTTACAGGATCGAGAGCATAATTACATAGTTCTTTGGAAGGAAGAGCATGACGTGTAGGATCTTATAGCCTCAAAGTTCTCGTTACATGCAAGCCGTAGATCAGTTGGCCTTCCATGATCACCACGGTGATGATGAAGGACGTGTGGGAACAGCACCGCCCTTTGACGTTGTCTACGAGGTCCTGATGGCGGCAACGTCGGTGACTCCTGAGAGATGCCCCGCTGCAACTGAAAGAGCGATACGACAACAGGCGTCTATTCTGCTTCAGTGAGAATCTCGCAGGCGCCAGGGGCTACACTCTCACAAGGTCATGGATCTCTTATCACGAGTTTGATGGGATGAAACAATGTTCATCCAGGTGAATCGTCAAGAGCGAGGACCAATGATGGTAGTCTTCTTCCAGCTGATTGTTGATCAATGCAGGGGAGTCGAACTTTTAGGGTGACAGATCTAAAATGCAACATCAACTCCTTTCTCATGCTAAATCAAGGATAAAAAGCCGTGCATTCATCGAACCATTGGCCCTCGGGACAGATAGTTTTATCCGATTCAATCCTGCAGCAAAAATCATGGAGCATTCAAATTCGCTCGAGAGTTGCACTGTCGCAATTATAATCGATGCATGTGAAGCGACGTAAAAAGTACGAGTAGATGAATAAAATGGCATTTGAGTAGTATGCGCACTATGATTTCCCGAAACGACGAGCCTAGGGGGAAATTTTTGCAGATAGTGACCAAGTAGTACGGACGTACGGAACAAAGCGTGGGAAATTAGAGTATTCGTAATCGTTACCCGACCCCGAAATCCGATCGTAACCTCCTCCCACTTGGACCCACAAGTTCGGAAATTCCATTTCAGGCTGCCCTCTCACTTCTCAGAATCTTCCCCTAGTACATTGTTTGATGCTTGGGTATCTATTTGACGCGTGATCGCTTCCGCGGACCACCACGCGTCTATCAGGCACACGTGACAAATCATTGATCCTCCACTGGTGGCTTGCTCCAATGCCCCACCGTCTCCACATCGCAGTGATCCATGACGGCCAAGCTTGCATTCTTTCTCACGATGTGGCTGTAATATAAAAGCTCTTTGCAGCCTTCATATTTCCTTTTCGCCTCTTCAATTATCTCAAACACGTTTTTATCTTTGTCACATCCTCCAGCTCGTTTACCTCTTGCCATGACCGTCACCAACGAATCTACAACACCTCAGGAAGTTAACCTAGAGGCTACGCGTATTGCGTAGGTATTTCACAGAATTTCCATGAAGATTTATCCTGGCTGACTACGACTTCAAAGAGCCGAGTGCTCTCTTGATTTAGGCGCCCTTGGGAAAAGTAAGTATGGTCCTTCGCTGATGCTTTGAGCTCTATAATGCGGACGTTTACTCAAGATGAGGCCCGAAAAATCATGTCGCTGCAGCATAAAGCTCTCGGATACCGGCCACCGCCCGGTTCCTTGGCTTCCGAAGCCCAAGTTGCAGCTTCCAAGCATCCTGATGGCATATCCGCTTCACCGCCCGACACCGCGTCACTCCGTGAAGCTGCCCTCAAGGATGCAGCTCGTATCGAAAGCGAGCGAGGTCGTTCGGTGCCACTCAAAGTGGTTTCATGCGGGATTGATTTGGATCGAATCGGACTAGGTAAAGCGCGCGTTTCATCTTCTGTTGATACCTCTCCTCATGCCCAGCGAAGCCGAGGCGCGTAAATTAATGTCGGAGGAGCACAAAGCCCTTGGCTATCGTCCTCCGCCAGGTTCACTTGCTGCTGACGCTCAGGCAGCTGCCGCCAAACATCCCGAGATCAAGGACTACAACATCGACCCTCAAATTTTGACTCTGGCAGCCTTGAAAGACGCAGCGAGGATAGCGTAAGTGATACATTGTTGCCCTGCTGAGATGTCCTGCTAACACCCCCTTAGGTCGGAGCGAGGAGCCACCGGAGCTAAGTTTAATACCATATTTGATGGGCGAACTGAAGAGCCGCCTGAGTTGAAATCCGGGGATAAAGCATCGTCTGTATCAGTGCTTTGACTCTGCCGAATTCATGATTTTGATCCTTCATTCAGTCCTGAGGCCTGATGCCTATTCATGAGTCGCTGTTCGATGTGGACAGCGATGTTGTTTAACACATCACGGATCATGTACAACTTTGTCTGCATTATTAGGGAAGTTACTTTACAAGACCCTGGAACCAAGTTCTGGGTGGTACATACCAATAATATTTTCATTCGTTTGAAGCTATCAACTCTCGACCTTGAAGATACCCTCCTTTGAGCACTCAACATCCCACTCGCTTGCTCTGTTAGCTTCCGACGAATGCCTCATCTTCCAATCCTCCTTCTGGTAAGCCGGATTGTAGTACAGCTCTCCTTGTCCCAATATTGCCCTGAGAAGAATGCCAAAATCTTTATCCCCCTCTCTATATCCTCCAGATTTCCGCGAGTTTTGAATTCAGGAACCGATCTAGTAGTGTTTACTGGCGCGGCATTAGCCTTGAGGGAGGTTAGAGTAATACCGGAGTACAATAGCCAGAGGAGGCGACGAAGTTGTAGGCAGTCGAAAATTTCGGTACTTTTGGGCCTTTGGGCGAATAGCGGTGATTTCTCATGGACGGCTGCACTTCGATGTCCCACCTTACTGAATCATATGGGTGGAAGTAAATATCCCACTCCGGCAAGCACTTTATAAGACGGTGTTATCGATGACATGGACATCATTCTAGTCGCCTAACACCACATGGTGGTCGATTCGACCTAGTCCGATGACGCCCTCTTTTGAGCAGTTCGTTCCTGCTTCAGCTTACCTGGTCCTAGGTGTCAAAGCAAAGACAAGCGGAATGCTGTAACTGATTAACACCGCCGCCGCAGTCTGTTTCGACGTGAAAAGATACACCAGAGTAACTGAACGGACGGATACGTTAGACGCTGTCAGATTGAAGACGAAAAATCCTGTACGCACATCCGACGACGCGTCTCGATCTTCTGATCCTTTGATTGGAGACCTAGTTTCTTGATATCTGACAGTGTAAAGTATATACTATCGTCTACTGTCACTATCAGGACCTGAATCTAGAGTCAGAAACATCATGAGCTGTAAAGCGGGAAATAAAAGATGAAATACATGGTCTTTGATCTCTGGATCGTTCCGAGGGTTTTTTATTGTGCAAGGATAGCACCCATCGTGCTTAATATCCGATGGCCGGCCGTAGGGATGTTCTTTAGTCTCCGGGCCAGGGCGTCACGACTCACCATGCTCTAGCATTATATAGTCATAGACGTGTCCTGCGAACCGCATTGTGTTGTTGCCTTGCGAAGTAGCCCCTCAACTAGGCTCAGAATTTAAAATTCTCTGCTGAACCAACGGAAAGAAGGATACGCGAGAGAAATCGAGTCCGTAAGGTACTGTACCTTCTTCGTCAGCCATGGAAGAAATGTATTAGGAGGATAGCGTGAGTTTAGCTGGGTGTCTGGTACCATCAAAACTGTATTCATACTTCGGAAAGTAGATGGGTCAGAAAGGGGAAAGCCTTCTTTTCTTAGGAAACTAGATCCTACTTGGGTGACAAGTATACTTAGCTGTTATCATTGTGACAAGAAACATTACAAGACGGACCTTGAGACTTCCCCAAGAAGGAAATTCTGATATTATGAAAACAGACATACGTTTCCCAAGTGAAACTCAGGTTCATCAGGTTCCACGATTTTGGAAGGTGATCATAAGAAGTTCGGCTTGGAAGCACGTTGTCGCCCAGCCAGCACCCAGGATCGAGTGTACCGATTCAAGGCCTCCCGTCTGCTATTTCTTTGTTACTAAGGAGAAGGAAAGAAATAGACGGAAGGGGACCGGTCCAGAAAGTAGTAAGCCATCTTTGCGAGGTACGGATCTCCAGCCAGATCTAGTCCGAGTCTTGAAAGATTTCTTGCCGCTGAGATCTCTACCAGACGTGAGCACAGGCCACTTGAACTAGAACAAAAACTCACCCTCGATATCATCAGAATTCTTCGAGTTGCGAAGGCAATCTAGAGGTTAGGCAACGGGTTCGGTGTAGTGCTTGGGGGACATGTACTCATTGTACGATCCGGGGTCAAGAACATTATATTTTCGACCTTTCGAGGCGTTAATAACTTACCTGAGCCTACAAGATGAACCCTCATTATATCTTCGGCCCCGCTTTGATTCGATGCAAGGAATTTGACCAGTTACCGCCGAGAGTAGTCGAAATTTTTCTTGAAATGAAAGGGTCGCCGGAAGTTGCTGCATCGTGGTCAGCAAGAGCACAGGCCGTCTTTGCGCCTATCACCGTATTTCGTGTTCACTGCTTGATTCAATGATATTCTGTCGCTACAGAGAGGGAACACGGTATCTGCAGAAGGATAAATGCGGGGGAGGACCGTCATGGTCGTTGGATTGAGAAGATGCCTCCGGATGTACGGGCCGGTATTACTTTTTAACAGATGGCAGTAAACTCGTTGGTACGCGTATATATCCAAGAAGGGAGGTTTTCGTGGTGCGTTCCCTCTCAGATAACTTGCTAAGTATATAAAATAGTGCGATAGCTTAACCCTCTCAGCATGTTAATGCCGACTCAGACTTTATATACCATGGTCCCGATTTTTTCAAGTTTGCCTGGATTTCAGCCTTTGAATTAGGGTACTACTTGTTCCCTTTTCAGCGAACACATGGCCACCAATTCCTTCGTCTGAGCGGTTTGTTCGCCAGACGTTCTTATGGACTTGTGCCGACCAGAATAGACCAGTGGTATCATGCCAATGGGTTCAATTCTGTTCATTGGCAATGCTGTGTATACAATCCGCTTCCCTCGCACTTTTTGACCTCCCATCTCGTCGGACTTGAGTTTCAGCCTTTATATACATTTTTAGGAGGGCGTGAAACGCTAAGAAATTATGTAGTGCGAGTTTTCTTGGCCTTCGGAACATCATAATCTTGTGCTTTCCTCTTGCAATGAGAGTTATCCTCTGTACATAAAAACAGACGGAGAACTACAAGCGCTCCTCGTCTACGGGAATTCGCTTAATTCCAGTGTTACAAGCGAAATCCACTTTCTTCGCGAGTCCAATGGAGTCGACGCCATGCGAGGTTTTTACTTGTGAATCCCGTTGCCATGTTGATAACCTAGACTGGAATCACCCTGAGGCGGGGAGCAAGTTGGTGGGCGCTTCTCGATTGCCGATCCAGACATATTGGACCCATGTGCTCATGTTCTCCCCACGACGGCGATCATATTCCAAGCCAATACTTAGAGCCTGGTTATCCTTTCGTTATGAACGTGAACGCGACTGAGTTGAGCATTGGTGGTTGCTCCGCCGCCGCCGATTTTCGAGTTGCGAAAACCCGGCCACTCACGCCGGTTGTTATGTTGCATAAGGAGGACATTGGTCGTTGGTAACGTATGCCGCCTTTCCACCTCCCATCACGGTGAACGGCGAACGCTTTCCTCCACCGGGAATTTGTCCGGGTTTGGTTCCGACGGCTACGCCATCCGCGGCTGATACTGCGCGAACGTGGCTGTCTCGATCAAATAAATATCCCGTTCTCCATCTTTCCCTCACTCCGTCACAATCCTTTTTCCCCGCTACTTTCCTTCGTTTGTTTGCCCGCCATGAACGGAAATGCCGATGCCAGTGTGCAAGTCATGTTCCAGACGATTCTCTCTCTAATGGAGAAATCGGTACGTTGTCGATGAAGACGATGATGACTGACTGACTGGAATACTGTGCCAGCAACAAGACGTCGCAGAACTGAGGCAAGAATGCGCTGAACTACGTGCAGCAAATGCCAGCCTCGAACACCAAGTTCGGGAAGGATTGCAGGTGAGCGCGGTCATTCGTACCTTTCCGCAAAGGACTGAAGAAATGTCGCAGCACAATAACCATCGGTCGGGATTTATAACACCCGTACCTTCGAGCCCCCAGCTCCGTTCACGCTCGCCGTTCCTCTCACCGAACATTCCGGTCGCCGTGCCCGCCTTTCCATCGTCACACGCGCACCACCCCTCCCCGTTAGGCGACAACGTGCTCTCCTCGTTCCCATTTGGAAATACCCGGGATATACCAGGATTCTACGTTGTTATTCCCGCTGGCGGCGCCGGTACCCGTCTTTGGCCACTCTCTCGTGAAGGTCATCCAAAGTTTTTGCTTGACCTCACTTTGAAAGGCCGCTCACTCATTCAGGCCACATGGGACCGTCTCTTGCCCCTTTCTTCCCAGGATCGCACGACCATCGTTGCAGGTCCCAGTCATGTCAAGACTATCCACGAGCAACTCCCTGATCTCCACGCTGACAACCTCTTTTGTGAGCCTGGACCCAAGGATTCTATGGCAGCTATTGGTCTCGCCGCAGCCATTCTCTCCCATAGAGATCCCAATGCTGTTATTGGGTCCTTCGCTGCGGACCATATGATTTCTGGCGACGACGCATTTCTCGCAGCCGTTGCGGAGGCCGTCGTAGTCGCGCAGAAGGATTACTTGGTCACCATTGGTATTGCCCCCTCCCATCCGTCCACAGCTTTCGGTTACATCCGACTCGGAGACAAGCTACCCATCGATGAAGCCCCCAACGCCCGCCTGGTGTCAAGTTTCAAGGAGAAACCCGATGCGAGGACCGCAGCTGCGTACATCGCGACAGGAAAGTACCGTTGGAACGCGGGAATGTTCGTCACAAAGGCGACCTTCCTCCTCGAGCTCTTGAAAGAGTACAAGCCCGAGTTGCACGATGGTCTGCAGAAGATCGGCTCAGTATGGGATAACGAGAAGGAGCGCCAGAAGGCGCTCGACGAAATCTGGCCTGAGCTGGAGAAGATACCTATCGATAATGCCGTCGCGGAACCTGCTGCAGCTGAGGGACGCGTTGCTGTTGTTCCTGCTACCTTTGGTTGGGACGACGTCGGTGATTTCTCTTCGTTGGCGGATCTTATTCCCGCGGAAGCAAACCAGCCTCGTATTTTGGGTGATAATAATCTTGGTACGTTTGCTTGCTGCGGTAACTGTACTTTACTGACCTTTCTTTCTTCCTCTGTCTCCCCCCTCCCCCTCCCCCTTACCCCCGCGCACACTCCCTCACACATACTCCTTCGCACCCCTCTTTCGCTCTCTCACACTCACACTTTCTCACTCCCACACTCTCACGCATTCTCTAGTTCTCACCGAACAAGTAGCGGGAGGAATCGTCGTACCAGGATCTGGTCGACTTATCTCTTGTCTGGGTGTTGACGATCTGGTCATCGTGGACATGCCGGACACTCTTCTTGTCACTACTCGCGCACGATCTCAAGAAGTTAAGCGCCTCGTTAAGAAGGCCAGGGACGCTGGATGGAAACACCTTTTATAATCAGGATTCAGGATTATCATTGGACACTGCTATCTATTATATCTCTCTCCCTCTCTCCCTCTTTGTGGACTTTATTGGCGGGCATAATTATTTAAAGACAACCTATATACTAGTTTTGCGGTCTACATATCCTCTCCTTAAAATGAAATCTGTATTCGCCGAGACGTACCTATTAACATTTTCCCGTCTCGTTCAGAGATTAGAAACACCGTGGCGGCGACAGTGACAAGTTACATGACCTGAGGGACATGAGTGACAAATACAATGTCCCATGACTGTACGGTTAAAGGCCTTGTTCAGGTTCACATATCGAGGGAGGGAAGACGGATGGGTGACTGAAATGTCACCACGGGGAGCCCAGGTGTTCGGGAGGTTGATGAGTGACCGACAGCTGAAGACCCAATGCGGCAGATGGACGAACCCAAATAGCTATGTCTAACAATGGTACAGGCGGATGAGACGCGAAATTCCAGTCCTGCAGAGCGAGGAGAGTGGGACAAGTTTGATGAAGAATCTGTATGAAGGCCACAGACACCAATATTACGGAGAGCGTAAAACGGATACAAATACGATGCCAGTACTACCTCACAGGCTTGGCCCGGTTTTTGAGGTCCAACATTCAAATTATAGGCCAAAGCAGGAGTGAGTGAAATGGTCCATGCAGAGCTATCAAAAGTTTCGGAGTGGAAAGGTGGCAGATCAGTAGCTTCGGAGTGCATTGAGAGTATGAGATGGCCAGTGGCTTCTTCGAATGATATCGATGGCTGTCTTGGTGTGAGGGAAGCTGTTGTTGTTAATGGTCATGGCGACATCAGGGAGAGGGGCAAAAGGGCGCGAGAATCAATCTCTGACATAAGATGGAACTCTTTGTAGCTGGCGTCATTCCTGCGGTATCCCTCGAGGAAACGCATCTTGAGGATCATCAGGGTTTAATAGTACATGGAACCCGTGGCCGCCACATGAGTTCGTTGGGGCCGAAGTGACTAGAAGACTCGAGTATTGCTCCGGAACGTTCTGAAGAGATACGCTGCAGAAGATGGGCATACCAGACCTGGAACATTATGGGAGCTGCCCCGAACTCATCGGTGCCTTTGAAGATACCATGAGCCAAGTCCTCGGACTCAGGGGTACTGAGATGATGATTTTCGCGTGTCTTGATACAGGGGGTACGAGGCTTTCGAGACCTTCAGAGTCTATGAAGATGGAGACTTGCTGACGAACGTCGGGGGTAACCGTCGCGTGCCTCTCGACATCAGATACCAAAAATTGGCACAAGATTGCACAGAGTCTTGACAGCATAGGCATCGAGACGACCTTCTGTTGGCGGTGCGATGTACTGGGTATATGCGGGTGTATGCAGGGCGATGGACTTGCCGCAGGGTGGCATAATCGATTCGAGATTGATTTCCTCTGGTATATGGTACGAATTGCTATCGCGCAGCAGGCCATGGTAAAACCGTGTCCATCCGTGATAGCGCACGGGCCAACCGACATTTCTCATGAAAGCTTTGATCTTGGGTACAGCTGTTCGTGAGGTGAAGATCTCGGTAGCAGAGAGCTTGTCGATGGTTTGTCGGTGATCGATGAGTGGCGGCACACGGTGCCGCACTGACGACGGGAGCGGAGACCCGACCGTTCGACGCGTAGATGGTGGGAGGAAGAAAGGAAGGAACGATGAGTAGACTCGCAAAGGCGTTGCTTTATATACGCGCCGCGTCGGGAACACGTGAGGATCGTCGGTGACGCGGCTTTGGTTCTGATGACGTTGTGGCTGAAGGAAGTTGTCATGTGAAAAACGTCGGGGCGAGGTGCGCGGGTCGGTGCATGGTGTCAACAGTTGTAGGCGCACTATACCGTGATTTATCCAAATAGCTAAGTCGCCTGTGCATGGCCACGAGCTGGAGCGAGTAGGGCACTGGTAAATAAAGACATAAACCCCAGGAAGCACTTGACGAAGAAGATGATGATATGTCGGGCTCGCCGCTCGATAAGTACGTCGACCGACAACGGTCCGCGACGCGCGCCCTGACTAGCCCTGACTCCGACGTGCTTCCCACGTGACATGCCATCGGCCAGAGTCCGGCATATCCCGGAAAACTGTACAGTTTTCCACCTGTGGCTGCTTACGTCACCACTGTCAGACAGAGCCGCAGAGTCTACCAGCGCTCGCTACCGCCCTCCTCAAGAATCTCAAGGTGTGTACCCCATTTTTACCAGCCCAGTTCACGTCCCTCTAACCTCAACTCAACAGACCAGGGAAGAAAACATGGGTACGTCAATCTAGCCATTTTCTCATCGCCGTATCTAATAACTTCTCCCTGCCAGTCAACCTCCGATCCCAAAAACGGCTCGCCGCCTCCGTCGCAGGCGTCGGCAAACGCAAAATCTGGCTCGACCCCGCCGAGCAAAGTGAAATCGGCAATGCCAACTCCCGCACGCACGTCAAAAAGCTCATCAAGGAGGGCCAGATTATCATCAAGCCTACTACTGTGCACTCGCGTGCACGGACCCGGGAGCTTCTCGCTGCGAAGCGAAAGGGCCGGCATACGGGTCCTGGTAAGAGGAAGGGTACTGCTGAGGCTAGGATGCCAACGAAGGTGCTGTGGATGAGGAGGCAGAGAGTATTGAGGCGGCTATTGAGGAAGTACAGAGAGGCTGGAAAGATTGATAAGCACTTGTGAGTCCATCCTTGAACATTGCATGAATGTCGCTGATGGTTGGATTGGGTAGGTACCACTCGTTGTACCAGAAGTCGAAGGGTAACGTCTTCAAGAACAAGCGTGTCCTTATGGAATACATCCACAAGGCCAAGGCTGAGAAGACCCGTACAAAGGTCCTTTCAGACCAGATGGAGGCTCGCCGTGTCAAGAACAAGGTACGCTTCGCTTCAAAAATAATATCGATTCCTCCGTTTAATTTTTTAATTTTTTCTTAGGCCGCCCGGGAACGTCGTGCTGCCCGTGTTTTGGAGAAACGACAGGGTATTCTTGCTGTCGAGAACGAAGCTGCCGTCCAGGAGTAAATCTCAGATCGTACCTACTACCTCTGCATTCTGATTTGTATGGTTACGCCGCTATGCCCACAATGCAAACACCCCCATGCCTGCCCCAAGTTCTCCTATCAGGACCTCATCGAAAGTGGAAATATGCATACCTACCATGCAAAGGTTGTCAGTACTCCTGATCGTATTGAAAGTCACCTGGTAATTGAATTTCTTGCTGGGGGAGATCTATCATTATTTTGGTAGATCTCTTCTCTAGTGGAGATGTCCATTGACTCTGTTCTGAGATGATGTGGGGTTATATTCACGACTAAGGTGCCTGTTCCATGCGGGTTATGTCGGTATGAGGTGATAGATAAACCACTGAATATCAAGCACTAGATAACTTTCAGTATGGTCGGAATAACATGTCGAGATATTATTATTCACGACATTGCCGTTACGCGCGCCTCAAACGCCAGCTCTCCAGGTTAGTCACTTATCATATATATCAAGTTCTGGACATTGATTCCTACATACATCGTAATTGAGAAAGTCATTCACGTCGACTCGGACCGTGCATTACGACATAGACAAAGACATACGGCAGAATAGCAGTCAGGATCTCATCAAGCAGCATCTCAAGACACATTAACGGGTGCATTAACATCTTCCATTGCGCCATAGCTAAGTATCCTTGATCACTCCGACGAATGGATCTATTTTAGGGTACTTACCGCCGGACCATCGATCTATGCATAGACAGCAGCCACTCGTAATACTCCGTAATAACAAGCGGAAGCTGATTCATGAAGACCGTGTGGTACACTGTCGAATCTCGATACGCAGCGAGCCCAGCATTGAGAGCGATGATTACATCAGGAGAATTGTTCACGAAAAGCGGGTCATTGGGTGGATTGTACAGACTAGTCCTTCCCTCGAGAAGAATCTAGGCGGTCCCGGCTCTTAGTGGTATCCGAATGTACGCGGACAAGGACTGTCGTCCATGTCATCCATCATGGTAAAACGAGCAGACAGGAAAGCCTCTGGCCGATGAAGGTTACCTCCAAGTCTGTACTGGGAAGTAAGAGTGTGAATCTAACAAACCGACTCGAAGGTCAGTAATTGGACGGGACTACTCTGGACGGCAGGGGGGATTGCACCCGTCTGCAGGGCTTTTGGGGTCGACTTACTGGAGTAGATAGCTTAATGTCGCGCCATGGGGCCCGCCCCAATGCACAATAATATTGAATCGAAAAAAAAAATTGGACGGGATCCCTGAAATATACGCGTAGGGTAAAACCACCTTTTCATGCTGGTCGCAAGAGATTGAGCTGATGCTTAATTGTTAAGGACCTTCGTACCAACAGCAGCAAATTTAGTGTAGGTGAAACTCGCGCTGAGGGGTATGCAATTCCAGTACCTCATCGATGAACCCAAGAGTATACAAACATCGACATAAGCCACCGCAAAAGGCGAATCCAAAGGGAACTAGCGTACCCGTTCCAGCTGTCCTTGAACGTCGCTAGGCGCGTCCTTCAGTCATGGGATCCTCTCGTCAGGGAAAGTTTCCATCCTTTCTCTTCTGGAAAGGTATCCAGTGTTTGGATGAGGTTGTAAGAACAGTGTACGGCAAATAACAGGAGCCCAGTACCCAAAAATCTGGTAATCTGCTCCCGAAGGTTGATGGTGGTGGTAAAGGTGAGAGCCCCTTGACGAACACACCGTGTCCGTCATACCGCGCGCACGGGAGCTTATCCAAGAGAGACTTAGACGTGGAGAGAAGTTTGTATCATTATTTGCATGACACCCACTTTCAAACCGTACGTTTCAGACCTTGAATTTGGGTAAGTTTCTTTCATGCCCTGGCAAAACTCCCGCTACCTTGGTACTGGCAAAATATCAAGTTGATGTTCCTGACAATTTGTGTCTAGGCAGGCAACACTACAGTAGAAGATGAAACTACACACCTTCACACACGACCAGCTAAAATAGATGTAGATGAGTGGAGTTACTTTATCTGCGGTCGTTGGATACAACGCACCTCAACGGCAACTCGCGCACCGTTTGGAACGCACGAACGGGTATGTTGGGGTCATCTTTGACGCGACCCCACTCAATGTCACATATTCATTTATCATCGAGTTCCTCCACCTTGCTGAAAATGAAGAAATTATTCAGATTGTCAAGTGCTATACCTCGATGCAGAAACGCCAAAGCGTGGGAAACGTTCCGGACCGCGTCAGCCGAGTCTCCCAATCTCCAGATTTCTGCTGTTACAAGTTTCGGCAGGATATTCTTTCCCCTCAACTCGTACTTACTAGGAGACTCGGTGCTAGCCATAGAACCAGTACTCCTCCTGCAGGAAATTGGTCAATGCCATACCGCTCGTCCGATCATCACCATAGACTCGGTTGAAATCGAAAGCCTATGAGCCGATATCGAAAGTACCATCCATCCCAATCGAGTTGGAATTCAAAACTCGAATGCTCGCTTCCCAAGCATGCAAGTATATTAACGCACCCTTAGTCTCGGTCCCCCGGGTAGTGACGGGTCCGGGGTAGTACGGAGACATAACCAACATAGCACCAAAAGTCTAAAAACAAAACGCCACAAGTTACGAAAGGACCAAGTCATACTCAACTTGCCAAACCCCGAGCCTTAGCTTGAAAGGTCACCTGGGATCTGTGCTTGGCCTAGATGCATTTAGGCATCAGCGGCGAGTCACAATGAACAACGGCACTCCGTTCCTCAAACCGCACCATAAACAGAAAGACCCAAGCTCCCAAGAGATTCCACGGTCCCATTAAACGACAATCGGCGCGCCAAGCACTTTCAACGGTGCAACTTGAGGTCATGATCGTCGATCGAGGCGGAAAGTGGTGGTAGCATAATAATTCCTTCCATCAAAAAAAGAATTATAGATAGATCGTATTGAACTACAAAGTAAGAAGGATAAGTTTGGATTAAAAACTCGTCATGGAACAAAAGGTAGATGGTGAGAGCCAAAAACAACGACCAGAAAACATAGGAGGACAGACAGAACGACAAGAAGCATCAACCAACTTCCCTCAGCTGCGCTTGCGCCAAGGCCCGAGCATGCACATGGACATGCTTCGGCTTCTCCACCGTATGGCATACCTCGATTTCTCGCACCCAGGTCTGCTTCATGATCTCCTCAATCGGCGCCCTCAGCTTGGGATTCGGCTCCAACATCATCCGGATCACGCTTCGACAAGCTCGGGGAGAGAGGTTATTGATCGTTGAAGGGAACACGGTAGGAGCCGTACACGCAGAAGCATATGCGGAGTACATCGCATCGCTCTGCTGGGCCGCCCGCCAAGGTAACTCTTGGAAGTGAAGGCAGTAGTACACCACCCCACAAGCCCAGATATCAACGAGCCGAGCATCGTAGGCTATTTGATGGTTCCAGTATAGGAAAGGGCCGAGTTAAAGTAACAGCGCTAGTCAGAAACACCCAGAACGTTAACAAAGGGGTGTCAAGGCTTACGTTTGCCTAGGAACTGTTCCGGCGCAATGTATGGCTCACTTCCACATAATCCAGTAGACATATGAATGGTAGCTTCCCACGGGAGACGGTACACCGTCGAGGCGCCGTAGTCACCAATCTAAGAGATGAATGAGACCATGAGTACGTCATTGAGGCGGAAATGAAAAAAGATAAGACCTTGAGGTGCCCTTTCGTATCGAAGAAGAGATTCTCAGGCTTGAGGTCCCTGTGGGCCACGCCTTGACTGTGTAGATACGACACGCCGCTCAATATTTGCTTGAAACAGCACTCGACCTCGCTAGGCGACATCCCACCCTTTTTGATGGCAGCGTACAGATCACCACCAGGACAGAATTCCATCACCTCGCACCAGTGCTGGCTCTCATCCTGGACAAGGTCGACGGTCTCCACAATATTGACGTGGTGCAACGTTGACGATATACAAAACTCGGCTGTGAGCTTTTTGATGTACTCCTTCTCCGTCTCGTTCTTGCGACGCTTTCGGAACTCCTAGTCAAGTATGAGAGGATAAAACACATCAAGCAGAACAGTTGACTGACCTTGACGGCATATAGCTTCTCCTCACTCCTGTCCCATTTGTGTGCGAGGCGGACGACGGAGGTGGCGCCTTTGCCGATTGCAATTTTCTGGCAGACGCCATACTTTTGCGACAGGCTGGCAGTACTCTCGCCAGCTGTTGACCGCGGGCCCTGCCGTCCACCCGCATCACTGTCTCCATCAGATTTGCGGCTGCTACCTCCCGTCGAGCGCTGGGAGGATTTGCGGTTGAGCTTGGGACCATTAGCAAGCAGGTCCTTAAGCGTAAATTTGGTCCCTCCGCCGTCTTGAGAGTGGACTGAGGGTGCCTTTGCACGCAGCGTGGCACCTGACCCGTTGGTGGGGGTGGAGGTGGCTTTGGCTGTGCCATTGGCGACTTTGTTGGGCTTTGGTGTCAGCTGTGACTTTGCATCAGCGCCAGCAGACATGCTGGGCGCCCTACTGGGCGCGCGGCTGTTCGCGCGAGTAGACGGAGCGCTGTCCCAGTCTGACTCTGACACGGTAGGTGACGAAGCGGTAGATCCGCTGTTGGAGGAAGTCATGGATGCTTGTTTGATATGGTTGGCCTCGGAAGCGAGCCGCTGAAGGGAAACAACGGTGTTACCGGGCTGCTTCTCGTACGCTCCGGTCTCTGGCGGCGGTATTGGAATGTGTAGGGCGGCGCCGTTGACAGGCTTAGGCCTGGGCTTATCGTGGGGTTTGTCAGAACTGTCCGGGCTGTCGCCGTCGGTCTGAGTAGTTTCTGTCGAAGATGAGTCCTGGTCTGTCATGTGTCCGAGGCAGTCCAGGCGGTGGTTGGGTGTTGTAATGGCCGTTGTGGTAATGGTAATGGTGGGCGAGTTAATGAGGAATACTATTAATGAAATGAGAAAAGGCAGCTGGTCGTAGGGCTCAACTTAGAGCGATATCATGTCGACTGGGTGGGGTGGGTCAAGGCAAAAGCGAGGCTGACTGTAAATATGCGACGAGACGGCGTGAATGGGTGAAGCACCCCTCTCGCCGTCGAGATAAAATAGCCTTGTCGACGACGGTTGCAGTTGCTGGCGGTGATGGTGGTTTGCGGTAAAGAAAGGTGAAGGCAGAGGAAAGTTACTACTTTGAGCCGCTGACGTAAACATCATAGTTTATCCCTGTCTTTTTCTGCCTCAAGGCAAAGCGAAACAAGAAACAATTTTGGCATAGAAATCACAAATGGAAATGAGAATATCTGATAGCATAGTCAAGTTTGCCTCATGACCATACCATCAAATTCGATGATATTGATAACGACAGTACAAGTCGCCTCCTACTGACTCGAGACCCAGTGTATCCTCCCGATTCAGCCAGGGATATGAAAACGGACAAAACGGTGTTCGTTCCAGCTGCCCTTTGCTGATCGCCGGAAGCTTGTGAGACAACTTCTCTTCCTGGTACTCAATCACCTGAAGAACGTTGGTCAGCGCACCGACTCGCCATGCCAAATGGCGAAAATGACGCGACGACCGGAAGGGAATATCCGAGACTATTGCCTCCATGGAGCGTGTGCACTCTCTCCGTTTGTCTTTTGTTTTCCCTTGCATCGGATCCAGCAGCCTAAGCCTGTTTACTCTACTTCAGTATAGATGCCCGTACGAGAGGCGAGCCCTTCCCTGAGTCTGAATCATCAACAGAAGGTCCGTCCAGGCTGGTCCGAGTCGGTGGGCATCATGGCGTTTCCTGATCTGCCTCGACATGAGGCCTAGCAGGTCCACGCTGCTTCATGCGATGCGGCCTTGAATGAAAGACGTGGAGACGTCCAAGCATCCTCGCATTGGCCTGAATCTATGACGAAAATATTAATTCTGATTGCGGAAGTATCAATCAAATATATTCATCACTCTGACCTCATATGTCCTGGAAACGCCACCGTACACACACAGGAACAGGTAACTAGTATCTATTCATAGACACGAATCAGACACCACAACAACACGAACAGAGATCCACTTTACAGTGTCAGTTGAACTGCGTATTCGAAGACCATCAAACCCCGCGTTTGCACTAGCCCCCCTGCATTCGGAATCCATACGAAAAAAATTCCAGAGAAGCAATCATAAAGCGCCGTTCGATATCGCAAGTCCAAATAAGTGGGTTCATCCATCAATTAAATTGCCCCGAGCTTGGGGGCATTTGTGGGGATCATGGCCTAAAGGTTCGGGTATGAAATACATGCCCTTAAATAGCCAAACGTTCCCGAACTCCAGATAGGTGGAAAGCCGACTAACGGCCTCGACAGTGCTTGGCGTCGTCAGTGATCAATGATCTCGGGACGGAAACTACGAGGTTGCCTTGTTGGTAAAGAAACCTTCTTGCCAAGTGCTTGCTCGCCGGGATACAAAGACCTTCGTTCTCAAGTCAACGGAGGCTGGGAGGTAATAGACCGGATTCGAGACTGGTACCTGGCGTGCCTGCTCTTTCTCTAGTGACAGATGCAGGTCACAGCGGTGGGCGCTGGTGAACGCAGGAAGCAGAAGGAAGTTGCAGAAGTGCCTCAACAACATGGTAATCTGATGAACTCGGGATTATCGGTACCTCGTCGGCCGAAGATCGCGCCCTGTCTGCATCCACGCCGACACTAACCCACTCTCACTCCCGCTACCGACTGGTACTGTACGCTTTACTGCACTATTTTTGTCACCACGTCAAAGAATAGATTGCAAATTTATCGTTATCGAAAATAGCTATGGCGATTTTTTTATGTACACTCCCTGTCTTTGATTCCCGTCGCGCGCTACAAGCAACGTTCGTGGTTAGTCAATAATTTACCAAAATATCCAAGCTAAAGCTGACTTCGAATACGTGATCCCAGCTTTCTCATACAGGACCGCAGCACCTTTTGCTCTCTCGCTACTGACTCTGGTGGTGGATCTAATTCTGTCTGGCGCTTATCTCTGCTCTCATGTTTATATGCACCGTGACTCGCTTTAGACTCTGTGGGTCCGTCTAGTAGCAATCCGTCTAACCGCTTTTACGATGGGAAGCGTCCCGTAATATCCTATCTCCGTTCCAGTACGACAGGATGCGAAGAGAAACCGCACGATAACACGTCGTAACCGCATCGTGTGGCAGCAAAATGCGCGGAGTAAATCTATGTTGACCGTTGACGTGCCAGAAGATCTAGCTAACACTCCAGGTTTTTTTCCGCTAGGGACAACTAACTGATGACCATCCCGCGCTGCAATATCTTTTTGGGGAGCCGCTCAACCAACACGAGGTAACGCATCTTCTGTTCGGCGAGCACACAATAGACTTGCGGCGGATTCTTCAGGTCAAACACCGAATATTCAGTACATGTATGAGTGATTTTTGTTCACCAGGCCAACTTCTCCCGTTGACGCCATATGCACTGACAATGGGAACCCTCTCCGGGCTTGGCGCTACCCATGCAACCCTTTTCGTGGAAATGCTCGGGGCGTTCGATCGTGCATACGGTAGTCTTTTGTTCTCATCAGGGATCGACCATCAGTCGAGGCTTCATCCAAGCGCCTCAGAAAGGCCGAACTAATACATTTGGTGGGAATGATAATGTCTTTGCATCAGAGCCACCGCACCGCAGAAGTCCCGAGGATGCTTCCCCCGTCATTATTATGATACGGCTCTCAGCGGGGTGTTAAAGAATTATTTCGGACTTTGACGTCGATTGGCAATATCTCATGAGATTTGAAATCTTATAACTCTGCAGGAAGTATTGAATTCTATCTATATGCATAAGTACAGCGAAATGTACGCCGATGGTGAAACGGTTATCATGCTTGCCTTCCAGTGTATTGTGAGCAAGCGGTAGGGGTTCGACTCCCCTTCGGCGTAATTTTATTAATATGTAGCTAATTGGACTTTTTATTTAGGTGGTGTACGCCCGGCGCCGTTGACGGTTGGAACTTGGAACTTGGAGTTGACTGTGTGTAGCATGGTACGCCGTAGGAATTTGAAACCTAGGAGTAACCTAGGTGCAAGTTCAACCCATGGTTTGTAGCAACCCGTTACCCCTTCTTGTTTTAAATTAATAGTATTTTACGGTTTTCCGTTACTTATTCTATCACGCAGTATTATATCATATGACTGATACGCAATTACAGAATTTCTTCCAGCAGTCGGAGTTCCCGTTTTCACATCAGTTTTGTTTATTTATGATTCTTCCTTGAATGCCAGAATCTATATATAGCATCCTTGAATCGTTATGCTAAAGTAGCGGCGACATGACAGATAAGTTACTGGGATAACTTACCTGTACAAAACCCCATTGTGTCAAAACCTAGGGTTTCGTGCGCAATCCTACGCCTAGGCCGCCATTTCGAAGTTACTTAGGTCCTAACTTTGGCCAGCGACATACCAGCAGGAAATAGTGATGTATAGCCTTGTCAGAGGCAGACTGGCTGTACTAAACCTGAGGTTTCAGACCCTCGATAAGTCCTGGTTGGTACTATCCGAGGATGGATTTTCGTCGAGGTAACTTGCCTGGTTAGTTCAGCACAATAATTTACCGCTGCTGCATCATGCCATATCACAATCCCGCATCACAGGAGGGGTGTAAAAAACCGTAACTTACACTTCCTAGAGGTTTCGACGTTCGTGCTCAAACCCTATTCAGCATCCATATGGATTAATAATGTATTCTCATACACGGTGTAGTCCAACCACTGGTCCGACCAAGGATTTCCTTGCAACGTAACACTTCAATCCCCCTTAAGTTCTAAGACTGGATACTCCATGTTACACATCGATCGCCTAAAATCAGTTCGTAACCCACCCTGAGGAACGTGAACAACGTAGAGAGAACTATATTCCCATGCTTCTTAACTTTCAAACGGCCGACAGAGTGAGAGCCTACCAGACGATCGCGCGAACCCTACTGTTACTCTTTGCTACTTTCATCCCAAGAATTTCACCGACATGCAATCGATCACAATGACGTATAATTGATCTTTGGTCTCTGATTGGGAAAAGTGCGAGTTTGACAACCATGGGATGGGGATATGGCTTAAATCCATTGAGAACCTTATCTGCATACGGATCGTTGGGTCTGGTTTACGAGACTAGGATATGGCGCTGAAACGAATCTTTTTTTCGTTAAAGTGAGGCAGAGGCGCTAGGAACACTTGATCTGTGTCAAATATAGATACAAAAGGATGGCGCCTTGTACGTAGGTAGACATCGGAAAAGGGACGGAACTGAAGCTGTAGACGGTGGTATATATTCAATGGAAGGGTTGATTTTCACAGCTCAACGGTGTCATAAAGATAACAGTCAAGCCAATGAGATTCTTTCAAAAGATACACCCATTTGTCGAGGAAATTTTTTGGGGCATTGATGCGTCGAGGTCGGTTTACTAGACAGGGCGCGTTACGCATATATGCCGCAGGGCCCTCTGGCAGTTTACTATTCCGCGAGACAAGAGATTATCATGAGAAGGCCATGTATTTCCGTCATATGGAAATTGTACGTTCGGGGCCTATGGATCTGTAACGGAAGAATTGTCGCCTGGTCCTGGACGCCTGATAGTCGGTCCGAAGGGAAAGAGATCAATACATGCAGTATAGTCGAGCTCGGCATAATTCTACAAGGAACGGTGAAGCGGCGCCATTGGGGGACCTAAGGTCATCCCTAATTTCCAGGAGGAAACCGTAGTAGTGAGAATGTGTAAGAACCAAGTAGAGTTGGGAACTTGAAAGGCTGGCAAGAGCATAATTCAGCAAAAGAACAAAGCTAGTTCGCGATAGGGCTCAAGCGACGCACAGACCAGTTTGTGCGTTGTTTTGAGGTCGAGCAAAGTGTTGGGAAGTGGTTAGGTCAGACAGCGTAATAGTCAGCGCCAAGTGTCCTGCGGCCACACCGGCCCGTACATCCGAAGGCCTGATACGCGCGTCACCGACTTCGACAGCTTTCATTGCAACGACCAGATCTTTCCATTTCTTCGACCCCATGACTCACTAATATTCATTGTATGCTTACATCATTCTATGCCGACGATATAACATTAACTCTTCTGCAGACATCATGCTCCCTCTCTTTGGCGACGAACGGCGACGAAACATTAACCTGGGCGGGGCATCGTCTGCATCGACGCAAGCGGCTATCCTAGATCAAGCAAAACAGCTGAGAAACAAGCGCAATGAGCTCAAACGACAGCATGAAAACGCGGCGATTTTGCAAGCATGGTGGAGAGGTATCCGAGAGGCGAGATTGGTGCGAAAAGAGATGAGAAGAACATTCGAGAACGATGTCATGGGCATTACTGGCCTTCGATGCCTAGTGCTCATCGGGCAGGACGAGGAGGCACTAGGGGTATGGTCGAATGCGATGCTGTCACAGAACCAAGGTGGGTAACCCCAATGCTGCTCTGCCGTCTCATCGTCTAACGGCGTTGAAGATAGTTTCGACATGTTGTCCTCGAATAAGAGCTGGGTAGTGCTTGTAAGGCAGCTAAGCCTTCGTCTACTACGCTCAGTAGCCGCCGCGCCACTGTAAGTACATTATTTCCTTCCTCTACCCAACCCCCCAAAGTGTTGAAATGCTGGATAGCTGCATCATTGACTTGGTTATCCACCGCTCTGTACTGATGTCATCTGATATAGGTCGTCAAATTCAGAATCTCACCTGAAGGTCCTTACGATGCTGACTCAGTCGTCAATATCCGCGGAGGTGATGCGATATCTGCTGTCACATGGCGGGTATGGATTACTATCCAGATCTTTCCTGGCATTTGGCATGCAGTCGAAGAACTCACCACAGCTACGTCTCTTGGTTCCCTTGCTGACTGTCTCCTTCCGAATATTCCCCCCGCCCTCACCAGAATATCTTCAAGCAATAATAGGGCTGTTTTCCGACATCTTGACCATATCTCTCCTCCCCAACCGAATGCCCATAACATCCCTTACACACTTCTCCTCGACTCTTCCCTTTGCTCAGCTGCCTCTTCTTGAACCACATCTTTCCGCCATCTGTTCAAAGGACACAGAGCCCAAAGTCAATCTTGTCGCCAACCTTCTTACATTTATCACCCCTCCTCGCTATGCAATGCTGCAGCCAATACTTTCTTCCTACTTGTCGCTTCTAACAGCCGTCCTGAACTCGTTACCTGTCAACGCTTTGGATCCACCAGCAGCGAATACCAGTAGCTGGTCCCGCGAGGATGAAGATGATGAAGATGATCGTACAGTCGTGTCGGTGGTGACAGATTTCAACGTCGTCCCTCTTCCAACGTTGGACCCTCGCACCATGACCCGCTTGCGGACTCTTCCTTCTCCTGCGCACATCAGTTCGATCATTACTAACTGCCGCTCATCCATCATAACCTTCGTCCTTTCTTTGACGAGGGTGTGGCCAGCAGAACGTGGCAGTATCCTCACAGCTGTACTGATGTCCACCGGGACTGGCTTTTTGAGAGAGCTATATCGAGTGCATGTTAGGTCTTCACCAATAGGCAAGGACGACGATCCGGATGCTGTCATGGATCCAACACATGCAGGAGCTTGGCCTTCGTTGCTTTTGTTAGCGGATCTATACACTCAGGCGTTATTGACGATGGGTGACGACGAGTTCTTCGACTCATCGGGCACAAGGAATCCTCTGACGTTGGATGATCTGACATCATTTAGTCGCCAGTTGCTGATTATAGCATTCACGCTCTATTGGCGAGATGATCAGACAAGGTTGCAGAAAGAAATGGTGTGCCCAGATGTTCGATGTACATGGGAAGGCGCCAGGGAGAAAGTAACAAAGTGTTTGTTGGCGATTCATTCTCGAGAGTAAGTTCCTGACATTGATCTATGGCCTCTGAATGTTAAAGAAATCTTCCAGCTCTCGCAAACCATTCGTGCCACGTGAACATTGGCTTGTTGGTTCTCAAATTGATATGAACGGCTTTATCGAAGCTGCTGTGTATGTTCACTTATTCGTGAACCTTTAACAACAACGATATTGACGCTCATTCTGCTCTAGGTATGAAGAAAAAGTGCTGTCTGATGACCCGGTCCCTGTGAAGGCCCCTACGAAGCGGCAAATGGCGAATATGTCACCTCGACTAGGTATCCTCAACAACATTCCTTTCGCCATTCCATTCGACGTACGGGTGTCAATTTTCCGGAATTTTATCCTCAACGATGCGCGCAAGCATGGAGACGACCTTCATTCGTTGAGACATAATCGGACAATGGTCACTATTCGACGGGACCACATCGCAGAAGATGGATTCGACAAGCTCGGAGATGCGAACCTGAAAGGCCTCGTGCAAATAACATTCATAGACAAGTTTGGAGAACCTGAGTACTTTGATTTGTTGGGGTGATGCTGGAATAACGCTAACGTTACATCGGATGTAGGGCTGGTATTGATGGTGGAGGGGTGTTCAAGGAGTTCTTTACGTCCCTTTGCAAAGAGGTCTTCGACACAGATCGGGGGCTGTGGTTAGCCAACAAGAACAACGAATTGTACCCAAATCCTCATGGATACGCCAAAGAAGGTGGGTTTGACTGGGTTATCAGGCTTTGGTTCATCTAACTCGTCTTCGTTCGCAGGTCACAGCCTCAGTTGGTACCGCTTTATTGGGAGAATATTGGGCAAAGCCATATATGAAGGGTATCCTGGTAGACGTGGCATTTGCTGGGTTCTTCCTCGCAAAGGTAGGTTTTACTTTCGTCATGGAGGTCCTTGGATGTTCATACATATTTTCAGTGGCTTGGAAGACAAAATCTTCTTGACGACCTTGCTTCTCTTGATCCAGAATTGTACAATGGGCTCATGTTTTTGAAGCACTACACTGGAAACCCGGAAGACCTGTCGTTGAACTTCACGGTTGCTATCGAGGGCGAGTTTCAGTTATTTCTGCGGCGGCGTTATACTAACGACGTTTTCAGAATTCGGCGTGACGAAAACGATAGATTTGGTCCCTGAGGGGAGCACGATGGCTGTCACCAGAGAGAACCGACTGCAATACATCTACCTGGTCTCGCATTATCGCCTCAGCAAACAGATTAAACTCCAGAGTGAGGCCTTCTTTGAGGGTCTTTCTGAGACTATCGACCCCAAGTGGCTGAGGTAGAGATTCCTCACACATTTTGCTGCGCTCGTTCTGATTCCCGAGTTTAGGATGTTCAATCAACAAGAGGCCCAGATCTTGATTGGCGGTGTGAACTCGCCCATAGATCTGGAGGATCTCAGGGAGAATACGAATTACGGCGGGCTTTATGACAACAACGAGCCCACGATTGTCGCTTTCTGGAAGGTGCGCTGTCTTTTATTCCGTGTTTCGAAGTGTACCATTGATGTGGTGCGTGCAGGTCGTTGAAACGTTTGATCAAGATCAGCGGCGGGCCTTGTTGAGGTTCGTAACAAGCTGCAGTCGGCCTCCGTTACTGTAAGTTCTCGCATCTTTACATCCTGGGAAGGCTCTTATCTATCCGGATATTTGCAGAGGTTTCAAGGAGCTTGTGCCCAAGTTTGGTATTCGTGACTCTGGCAGTGACGAGCATCGTTTGCCTACAGCGAGTACGTGCTTTAACTTACTGAAGGTATGTCGTTTCCCTTTTGGTTTAGATATACGTTGATGACCGTTATGAAATAGTTGCCGAGGTACCAGAGCGAGAAGGTGTTGAAAGACAAGTTGCTCCGGGCGATAACTTCTGGTGCTGGGTTTGATTTGTCATAAATGAATGAGGCCAGGTGTGGCGCACCTGCAATGTTGAAGATCGCATACGTGTTTAAGCATCAAATTCTTGTACTGCAATAGATTCCGTCTACTTTTGTCAAACCTCAGCCAGTGACTTTCTCAAGACTCCTCATTCTTAGGCATCGTATTACGTTTGGCCCGGCTGGTCTGTGCGTGGTGATGAAAAAATCATCCGAATCGTTACGGTTGATGCCGTACAGTGCACTTTAGCAAAGGACTTGCGAAACTCGTGGGTACTCTTGATTTGTCGGATGGGAATCAAGCGTGACGCATCAAATATCCACAGATAAGAGATATATACAGGAAACCTGCCTTCACATGGCACTCTGAAACTACAATGACCAAATCCTAGACAACCTCCTTTGTCTTTCGCCGCCTTGTCGAGCGCTGATATGGAGTCCGCCGCCCCAAGCTATGGTACACCTACGCCTCGTACAATGCCGCCTTCCAACCGTACGTGTCTGATTCCAAGCCAAAAGATTAGGAGGCTTATACTGAATTTACAGCGTCGCTCGACGATACCTTAGAATCAGTATTAAACAACTACGTCAAGACATTGCTTGATGCAGTTAGAGATTTGAGTGACACTGTCAAGCAAACCAGGCTATCGGACTATCTCATCAATCCAGCCGGACTTGTTGACAATCCCGTTCTTCGATCCATCATCGATGCCCACCTAAAAACACTCAGGCCACTTCCAGCAGTTACCTCATTCGTTTGGGACTTGTCTTCCGTACCCCCTGCTGTCCGCTCAAGCCCCGGGTTCCAGTTTTTGTTTACCATGGGGTGCAAGTATTGGCCTCCAAGATGTAATGCAATTCCCAAAGATCCTTCCCTGCCCGATTTGACGAATATCGGGGAACCGGCGAATGTTAGGGACCTTCAAATGGTGCTACCGAGTATGGGACACGTAGGAAACTTTGAAAACCTTCGGGGTTTTGTGCAGTCCTTCTTTGAAATATGGCAAAAGAACGGATGCCGGGGTTATGCCTCGACTACAATTCCCATCCCTCTGGTCTGCGGCGGTCCAGGAACAGGCAAAACACATTTCTGCAGGATGGCGATCCGCAAATTCCTCGATAACGATATCGAAGCTGGTGACGACGATCCATTCAAAATAGCATGTGCCTTCAGTGCCCAGAAAAACTTGCACATAGAGCTGTCGTTCCGTGATGGCTTGATTGATGGAGAAACTGCATGTCCAGAGGGGTCGCTTTGCTTACGAATTGCCTACGAAATATTCAAGGGCTTTACTCCCTTCCGATGCCAATACCCGACATCCCACGAGTTTCTATCGGCTTTCCTGTCCGGTTCGTCTTCCCCTGCAAGTCACCTTTCCTTGTTGGATCTACGATACTTTTTGAGGGCACGATTAGCCCTAGCATCAAATGACACGATTATATTTGTTCACCTTGACGAAATAGAACGGATATTCGAAGGATCAAATAAACAGGAGAGTATTGCCTATTTCCAAGGAATCCTTGACAGTTTCGAAGACTTTAATCAGTGGCGCTCCCGTGTCGTCTTTTGCACCTTATTCTCGGGCACAGGGCCGGCGCCGATTGTGGCAGCTATCAAGACCTGGGAATGCTGTTGCGGCTGTCCTTTTCTTATCAACCTCGACCCGATTACTCCGAAGGAATACTGTCAAGGGCTAAGCGACTTTTTATCGATGCAGATAGGGCATGATTCTAGTAAGTGTCTATACGCTGTTATTTTGAGCTTTTCCTGACGAGGATAACAGAACCTCCTCCGTTCAAGGCTTCGGAGATTTCCAAAGGCGTGCAGGGAACTTTGATGGACATCGAAGGCGTCCCGAAATTATTCATTGCTCTTCTTCATGTGCTATCATGCCTCAAAGGACCGCAGTTTGTTAGCCCCCCGAGTGCCCAGTTTCTGGATTGGTCAATCAACCGCCAAAGGATTAGAGACGCCGTAGAAGACTCGTCACTCTCTACAAGCACAATCCTCAAGGCCCTTCATACATGCATCACGGATTCGAATATTCTTCCTTCTTGGATTGCAAGCGATGACGCCAATATCAGTATGGTGAGATTCCCATTCGGAGTGGAACTAACTGAGTCTAATGGCATGAATGAAAGATTTGGTGTTACACTATTACTGACACTCCTACCTCGCCTGAGTCAAGGCTCGACGGTCGAAATGAAGATTCTCCAACCTTTTCTGAACTGGAACATGATGGGAAGGTAGTATTGCGTCGTTTACCACTTTATGTCCAGGGCAGAGGTTTTCACCGTGTCAGTTTCCCGTTTATCTTTCTCAAATGTATTCTCCCGAGGGAAACACCTAAACATCATACCGACCGAGGATTCCGGCCCTCTATATTGGCAAGAGGTCGAAGAATTTGATGGGACTTGGCTGTTATGCAGGCTCAAGGCATTCCAAGACGAGAAGTGGCCGAGTCAGCCGCTTCAGGATTTTCTGTCCATGGAATCTTCGTGCCGACAAGCAGATAGCCTCATTAGTCTGAGCGGGCCAATCGACGATTCCCTCGAACAGCTCGAAACTAAGCCGCATGATATGGTCAATAAATGTCGTCGACTCGGGAAGACAGGATGTTTTGGATGGAAGAATGTTCTCGGTGTGGGAGGCTGGGATTGGGCATTGAGCTTACCTTTGGTCGATGCTGGTCGGCTGCTCCTCGTGGGTAAGAGGATGGAAGGGAGTCTTCATCCGTCGCGTATCGAAGCAGAGCTCAAAAAGGCTACTGCAACATGGTTCCGGACTGGAATGAGAGTAGGTCATTTCGTTGTCCTGACTGACGGAGTGTTTGAAGGGACACTTTCTGCTAATGTCAAGAAGATGGCTAGCATTGTGGATCGTACAACGATGGATAAGTTCTTTGGGAAAATCATGGCTGCTAGATTACAAGCGGTTTCTGATTTTCGAGCATCTGTATAGTAGTATGTTTATGTCCTAGCAATAACATGAAATATACTTAGCTGTAGTGCACACCTAGGAAGGTCGGACCGCGGGATCCTACGGCTCTATCCTCTCCTACAGAGCCATTGATTTAGAGTCAAGTTTCAATCCGAAGAACAGGCGTTTTCCTCGATATCTTGCTGCCATCACGGTCTTGAGGTGGGATTTGTTCGCCGTAATATGCTGATATTTGTGTAGGCGTTTCCATTAGAAAAATATTGTGAATGGTGCTGTCCTGCCACTCTCTGCAGGGAAGGGGGCTCAGTTAGAATTTGGGCAGTACGCTATGATGAGCGGATTGTCCATTGTAATTTGTGTGTTCCCTCTTATCGTCTTTGGTCTGCGGCGGTCTAGGCACAGGTAAAACACATTTCTGTAGGATAGCGATCCGCAAATTCTTCGATATCGATGTTGAAACTGGTGATGATGATCCATTCAAAATGACATGTGCCTTCAGTGCCCAGAAAAACCTGCATAGAGTTGTCGTTCCACGATGGCTTGGTACTGCTTGTCCAATGAGGTCGCTTTGCTTATGAATTACCTACGAAACATTCAAGTGCTTCACTCCCTTTCGACGTCTGAAATACCCGACATCCCACGAGTTTCTATCGGCTTTTCTGTATGATTCGTCTTCCCCTGAGAGTCTCCTTTCCTTGTTGGATTTCGAATATTCTTTGATAGCACGATTAGCCCTAGTGCCGAGCAGCATGATCAATCATATTTGTTCGAACACCTCGATGAAATAAAACGAATATTCGCAGGATCAAAGGAGGGTATTGCCTATTTCCAAGGTATCCTTGACAGCTTCGAAGACTACACTCTAATGTTCTTGCTGGACTCGTCTTGTGTACAATACATCAACCTATTCCCTGTAGTCTAATTGTCGGCGGACCCAAAGCCAGCCGACAGTTTCGTCAATATAGATTCTCATTCCCTCTATCTACCTTCCCTAGCAAGGACACGACTCGATGCCTTTGATGAAAATGCTTCACAATCGCAGGAAAGAAACATCGTAACCCGCAGTATCCAGTAAATTATCTTAACCTGGCAAGTTAGTTATTATATACTCGCGATACTCGTATCTCTATATAAATTATCTACTTAGGTAGTCGGAAATCACATGCTGCCTGTCGTCTTGCACCCATCATCTCCCCAAAATAGTCTTTCATCACGTCGCGATGCACGACACTAGTCGTCTTCTTGACGCCCTTATCGAGACCTTTTGCCGCTACGAATCTTCGGTCCGAAACGACAACGAAATGACATGTTGAGTAACCAGCGCCCCTTTTCACCTCTGATGGCGCATTGAACCACGGATCAACTTTCCTGCGTTCCGTTTCGATGACCGTTTTGGAGATAGTAGGCGCATCCGCTCCTTTTGGTCGCTCCCCTTCCATAGACATTTTACTCTGACCCATCAGCAGTAGGTTACGAGATTTCCTCAAAGGAAGAATTATCGCCCAGTCCCAACTTTCGGCGCCAGGTGCGTTCTTGAAACCGTAGCAACCACGTCTATTGGGGTCGATATACTGAGCCAGTTCCTGCGGTTGGGTAATTTTATGTAAGAGTCTGAGGAGAGAGTCTTCAATCGGCCCGCTAAGGTCAACGGAACGAGTTCGCAACGATTTGCATAACTCGTCATCCATCGGAAGGAGATCGCGAAGGGGCTTGAAGTTTCCATGAAGTTCTTTGAAAGCCTTTAATCTGTACAGGAACCAGGTCCCATCCATATCTTCTGCCTCTTGCCAGTAAAGAGGGCCGCGGCGCTCTGTTAGGGTGTAGCTGCCGGGGGCACTACCAGTCTTCAAAAGAATACTTTTGAGTAAGATTAGAGGAAAGGTGACTCGGTACTCGATCGCCGCTGCATTTACGTCTGATTTACCGGGCTTTATCAAAGGGCGCAATATCAGCTTGCCGTCACGTTCCAGGTCAGAAAAAGTCGGAGAACGTTCCCATTCTCTGTCTAGCCATGTTTCGCGTGTGACTGGAATGTCGGTTATGGCGTAGCACAAGATCTGTTGTTCAAAGTCAATAGATTCAGGTATATCCATTTTTTGAATGAAAATCTTTACCTTTGCTAGGGTGGCATCGTCGCTTGTGGTCCAGGAGGGGATGGCCTGGGAAGACGTAACACAGTCATAGAGGTTGACGAGGATTAGTCTATTTGTGTCAGCACTTGTATCGATTACGGCTTTTCGAATACGTTCGCGATTTATTGTCCAGTCTTCCAACGCATGTTTTGGGCGTGCAAACGACTGCAGTCCTTCAAGAGAAGACAGTACGTGCAGCAATATAACGAAAAACTTGGGGACGCCTTCAATATCCAGCAGGATCCTCTGTAAACCTTTCGAGATATCTGTAGGCTGGATCGGTTTACATTCTGTTACTCTCGTTAACATAGGCTCAGAACAAAAGACATAGACTCCCACCAGGACCATCTCCTATCCGCGCAGAAAGAAAGTCGCATAGTCCCTGGTGGTACTCCTGCCATGTTATTGGTTTTAGATCAATGGGATAGCCGCGGTAGCTTCTACGAGATTTCAAAGCGTTTAGGATTGCCGTTGATTCCTTGCCAGAGAGCAGCAACGAGAAGAAAATCGCATCTTGCTGCATGTTGATGGTTTCAAATGCATCAATGATGTTCTTGAGGTGGGTAAAATCAGCGCCTCGGAGAGCCCTATCTATTTGATCGAGGTGTACAGACAAGATCGTCGTAGCGCCACTTGGGAGGCCCAGTTGTTTTTTGAGGAAACGCTGTAGGTCCAGTAGTGTCATTGATACTCGAGTGGCGAATAATGATAGAAGGCTTTTGACTGTGGGGTATTTGTCCATAAAGGCGGGAAAACCCTTGAACACCTCGTACGTGAGCTGCAGAGCAAGTGAGTTCCCTGAATACGCTTTCTCTCCAGCAACCACGTTCTTGAACAAGATCCCGATGTTGAGATGTTTCTCCGCAGTGAAGGTACACGCGTGTTCAAAGTCTCCGAGTTTTCCACTTTCCCTGAAAAGTTTCTGAATTCCTAAACGACAAAAATATGTTTTGCCTCTGCCTGATCCACCGCACACCACAGGTACAGGAAGAGAAAGGTTGCTTTGAAAAGCAAAATTCTTCTTCCACGCTTCGTAAGCCTGTTGGATGACGGCCCTTAACATCTCGATGTTATCTGAGCGCCCAATACACGGGAGTGTTGAACGAAGATCGAAGACTCTTGTTGGCTCCTGAACGTCTGTCATATCAGGCAATGACGGGTGGCTGGGGAGACTGCTGTCGCCCTGAGGCCAAAACTCCCGCCGTAGAGTATCCAAAAATGCGGAGGCAGACACCGAGTGCACAGCAAAGCTTGAGGGTACGGTCGGTATATTCGAGACAGGCGAGCCAACATCAGGCGTGGGTGCAACAGCGTACGGGTGAACGCATGCATTGAGCAGGCCTCGAAGTTCTTCGTTAAGAATGAATCCAGGTGGCTTGTCCCGATATTCCAAAAGCGTGGTCTGTTTGACAGTGTCGCTCAGCTCGCTAATGCCGGTTGACAGGGTATCGAGGTGGGCACGTAAATACACCTCTATGGTCATGTCCATGGATGCTACAAGCTGAGTATCAGTATTTGAGCCCTTTGGCTTGACAACTGGGCACTTACACTTCGAAGGCAACCTTGTATGCTCCGCCGAGTCCACGTCCATGGGAACAGCAGAGTCGGAGTTGGACTCGTTAAGGTCCGACATAGGAACATCGCCCGTAGGATTTGGGTCCATCTTGGTACACGAAGTAGGCAGATATGATGACAGTAGCACGATAGAGACTCGTCTCGGAATGGCACTGGATAGAAGACAGGTTTAGAGGGCAGCACGCTTGTTTGGTTGTATTATGGTCGCGGCATTGCACCTGTCCTGCTCACTCATCCTGACGGGCTCCTCTATAACAGCTTATCTATCTGCGCATATAATTGTGCGCTTCAGTGATATATAGCACCTCGAAATTGCTTCCCATAAGTGCTGCACTGTCTTTTGATAGCTATGACGGCCGGCACATCTTAGTCGTCGCCAGGCGAGGAATGCGTTCGGTTCAGGGAAACCAATAGCGGTCTGAGTGGGGAAATGGTAGAGGTCCAGAAGCCGTGCTGACTGAGCAGGCCTCACCTGTGGGTCGGGGCAAGCGATTCAGAGCGGAAGAGGAATATAGATGAAGGAAAAAATTTATCGTACAGGCAGACTTGAAGCATCAAATGAACCTTAACATTGAGGCGGGCAGAAGACAGAAGTCGATGCAGGATAGACCAGGGGAGGTGATGAATAAGAAGGTTAAATAGAGGATATAATTGAAGGTGGAGCGAAGATGAAATCCCTTGACAGGCAAAGTCATTTGTGAGTCAGGAGAGGATCATCCTTGAACGTGAATCGTTGAAAACGACTTGTGTGCTGTGGTAGCATGCGATGATCCCGATGATCCAGTCATCGTATGAAGCACGTTAGGTGACCGCACGTACGACGACGACGAACCAGACAGAAAAGATGATAGTGATGGCCCCGCACGGCAATGAGAGGAAGTATCTTCCTGTCGACCACACGAATACCCCAAATTGAGCAGGTAGAGAGGCATGCTGAGGCACGCTGCTGAACCGTGACACTCGCTGGACAAGACGTAAAGACAGACAGTGTCAGGAATAGAGCCTAAAGCTTACAGCCTAGCTTCATCCACTTGCAGCGAGTATGATGAGCGGGAGTTCGTCCTTCTCCTCTTTTTGGGAGAACAACCGAGCTTGGCACCTACTTTTCTCAGGATCTTCATACTTGAACCATGTGGGCCAAGGATCCTTCGAGTCGTTTACATAAAAGTTCCAGGGACAAGGCGTTGATTTTGTGACCCTTCGGCACAGATTCATATGTACCTAGAACGGCGTTCAGTCAATCGTAATAAACAGATAGACACACAGTCTGACCAGTAAGCCATTGTCGTTGTGCCTTGAATCGGTACTTGTCCGACTGAAGTACTGTAGCATGTTCTTTTTCGTCACAATTGGCATGAACGCTGTACCTATGCTTGCCACCGCCATTTTCCATGTATCTTTACAGCAAGTCCATATTGCCCTTCGTCCATGTCTCAGAAAACCTTTCTTTATCCTCACTGCTTCGATTTCGTCCAACCGTCCACTGTGACATTGCGTCAATTCAGTCAAACGTTAAGGAATCCAGAGTCCGGATCGCATTGCTTTCGGATGTACGCCGGTACGTGGGTGTGCTAGCCATCAAGTACATGTGAGATTCAGGATTGAATTCGTTATGGCGCGCAGGAGATATGGGGTATGTCTCGTCTCGGCAAGTCTTATAGTGCAATGGAGGTTTTCCCTTCTCGTGGAGATGATTTCGACTGTCGGGAACAGCTTTCCCTTGTATAAGATGGGCCCAATCTCGGTCTAAAATTTGTTTTATGTCGTTTGGTGGTACGCCTGTTACATCGTACCTGGTACACAGATATTTCAGTCAAGGGGCAAGAAACCGGGAACGTAGAAATAGACGTACATGAGTCACATCGTGGCAAAAACTGCCCCCCTTCTTTCTCTACTGTTCACACTACTACCTTTCCCACTTTGTCACGTATACGCAGATTCCCGGCTGCCCCACCATCAATATCGCTGTGGGAAGCCTATGTCGGAAGTGCCTATATTGAAGATGAGAGATGAACATACAAGGACAACGGATTGCATCTCTTGACAAGTTTTGGATGTCTTGGAGGAAGATAGGAATTATTCAGACCGGAACTTGAGTACTTGAACCCTGGTACCAAGGAGACGTCTGAAGGTGAACATATTTTTTGAAACGTCGCACCAGATATCGAGATTCGATAATCGGGTTGTCTGCCATCAGGAACCGGGCAGTGGAGCCAAATGCAGTTAGCCAGAGTGACCTAGCAGATGAGCTGCAGAAAACGACAACGAATACTATGCATTAGCGCTTATGTACCTTCACCGATTGGCTCACCACAGGTAAACTTGCTCCTCCTTCAAGTCATTGAACAATCATTATCCTCATGTGAAAGGCGGGGCGCTCGTCGATATCCGACAGGAAACTTGTCTTAGATTATCTTGGGAGGCAGATGAGTATGAGTATACTATATTCCACCTTTCACAAGGCATCATGACCGGGGGAAAGGGGGGGGTGTTTGAAGGTGGTGTTTGTGAGACGATCGTGGTGGTCCGTCATGATCTTTACCAGCTGATATCTCTCCCCTTGATATTCGAGGAAGTGACGATGCTGGCCCAGCACCGATGATTGTTTATCATAGTAAAGAATGAGGCTATCGACGATGCCACTGTAGGAAAGAAAAACTAAGGCCCCGGCTAACGTCCGACACGTAGGTAGCGATTGACAGGGCCGGGCCGAGAAAAGCCGGGCCTTTCAGGCGGCTTGCAAAGGGCTCGGGCTCAGGCTTTGATTTCTGAAAGCCCAAGCCTTGGGCTCAAACCCGGGCTTTCTGAAGGTACCCTACACGACCTCTTGATGCTGAATCTTGATGATCCTAGTGAGTCAAACATACCTGATACTTCTTCTCGTAAATGTACCAACTGATAACACGACAGAGAAAGAACTCCCACCTAAAAAGCGCCGACAGTACAATGAAGGTCTCCTTCTGGAGTGGACGATGTAGATGAGAGTCTGAAACAGGCTGGAACTGTGGTTCGTGATGTACAGGGTCAGTATTTGGTTAGTATATAAAACAATGGCTTCAGGTTTTACTCATGATCTTACTCAGAACCTTCTATTGCATGAAGCCCTGGCCTGAGCCCGAGCGGAGTTGGGTTCAAGACTTGGGCTTGCGATTTTACAAACCTGAGCCTCCTCAAGCCGAGCCCAACCCCTCAAAGCCGAGCCGAGCCGGGCCCTGACAATCGCTACACGTAGGTAGGTAGGTAGCATTACACGGCAGTGCCCACACAGTGAACGCCGAGGCATCCATGGGCGAAGTATAACTTATCCGTTCTGTTCAGACTATCTAGTAACCATTTTCCTGCTAGCTTTTTGATTAATCACAGTTGTTAAATATTACATTTTGTGTTATTGCTACGACACAAAATACAGTGCTATACAAATGCTCGCAACTCAGAAGCCGCTCGTAGTCTGGCAGCCATTATTTTCCCAAAGAACTTATCCATCGTTGTACGATCCACAATGCTAGTCATCTTCTTGACATTAGCAGAAAGCGTCCCTTCAAACACTCCGTCAGTCAGCACAACGAAATGACCTACTCTCATTCCAGTCCGGAACCATGTCGCAGTAACCGTTTTGAGCTCTGCTTCGATGCGCGATGGATGAAGACTCCCTTCCATCCTCTCACCCACGAGGAGCAGCCGACCAGCATCGACCAAAGGTAAGCTCAATGCCCAATCCCAGCCTCCCGCACCGAGAACATTCTTCCATCCAAAACATCCTATCTTTCCGAGTCGACGACACCTGCTGACCATATCATGCGGCTTAGTTTCGAGCCGTTCGAGGGAATCGTCGATGGGCCCGCTTAGATTGATGAGCCTATGTGCTTGTCGACACGAAGCATCCATAGGCAAAAAATCCTGAAGCGGCTGACTGGTCCTACGCAAGTCCTTGAAAGCCTTCAGCCTGCATAACAGCCAGGTCCCGTCGAAGTCTGCAATCTCTCGCCAGTATAGAGGGCCGGTCTCTTCGGTCGGTACGATGTTTAGGTGTTCCCTCGGGAGAATGCTCTTAAGAAGGATAAATGGGAAGGTGACGCGGTGCTCGAATGCTATGGGTATTATAGTCGTTTGGTAAACCGCACAACACCACCTTCCCATCACGGATCCAGATCAGAAAAGGTCGGGGAATCTTCATTTCGAATGTCGAGCCATTCGTAGCGCCGGATGGGAATGTCGGTAATGGCGTAACACCAAATCTAGTCATTCGTGTTGTTAGACTCTGGTAGTTCTAGTCCGAATGAGGCTCTCACTGTACTGAGGTCCGCGTCATCACTTGCGATCCAAGAGGGAAGGATATTCGAATCCAGTGATGCATGTATAAAGGGCTTTGAGGATTGTGCTTGTAGAGAGAGATGGGTCTTTTACGGCTTCTCTAATCCGCTGGCGGTCGATTGGCCAATCCAGAAACTGGCCACTCGAGGGGCTAATAGACTGCGGTCCTTTGAGGTATGATAGCACATGAAGAAGTGCAATGAATAACTTCGGGACGCCTTCGATGTCCATCAAAGTTCCCTGTACGCCTTTGGAAATCTCCGAAGCCTTGAACGGAGGAGGTTCTGTCATCCTCGTTAGGAAAAGCTCAAAATGACAGTATATATAGACTCTTACTAGAACCATACCCTATCTGCATCGATAAAAAGTCGCTGAGCCCCTGGCAATATTCCTTCGGAGTGATCAAGTCGAGGTCGATGACGAAAGCGCCGCCGCGGTAGTGGCCCCGAGCTTTGAGAGCCTCCACGATGGGAGTCGACCCGGTCCCTGAGAATAAAGGGCAAAAGAAAACATCGTACTGCTCTAGATTGACCGCATCGAAAGCCTCAGCGATGCTCTGAAGATAGACAACACCCTCCTTCTTATCAGGTCGTTGCAATATTCGTTCTATTTCATCAAGATGAACGAATAAGATCGTAGGACCTTCCGGCAGGGACAGTCGTGTCTTCAAGAAGGTTCCGACATCGGACAATGTAACGACATGCGCAGAGGAGGTCGGGCCAGACATAAAAGCCGATAGAAACTCGTGGGACGTTGGATACCGCCGCCGGAAGTTGGCGAGGTCCTTGAACATTTCGTAAATGATTCGGAAACCGAGCGACTTGCTTGGATTCGCCGTTTCTCCACCAACTAGTCCGTCGCTGAACGATAACTCCAAGTGGAGTTGCTTTTGGGCACTGATGGCACATGCCATGTTAAATGGATCACCATTACCCATGTGGCCATCTTTGTTGAGGAAGCCCAGGATCCCCATTCTGCAGAAATAAGTTTTACCTGTACCTGGGGCGCCGCAGACGAAAAGAGAAGGAGGATGTTGCAGAGAGTGTCCCTCTTTCCATGCGTTGAAAGCGTCTCGCACAAAGCTGCTCAGCTTTTCGAAGTTTTGGGCACGTCCCATGCTCGGGAGGGTCATTTGAATGTCCCTAACTGTTGCCGGCTCTTCAACGTTTACCAAGTCGGGCGAGGAGAGCGTTGAAAGAGCGGTGCTTCTTGTAGGCCAATACTCACACGCCATATCATCCAAAAACATGTACCCAGGGGTTGCGTAAGGAGAAAAGCGTGATGCAGACATGAGCTTCGCCTTTTCTATTCGGGCAGTCGATAATGGACCGCAGAAGGGGACTGTCCAAAAATTCCTTTGGCTTCATCAGATAATCCGATAGCTTTGTATGCTTGGCGGTGTCGCTCAAATTCAACAGGGCATCCTGTAATAACTTTGTGTAGTCTTTTAATACTGATTCCACGGTCGATGCTGTGAATGAGTTAATAAGCCCTTGAGTCTTTGTGTTGTAAATCCAAGCACGTACAGTCCAACAGTGGCATTGCATGCATATGGGAGTCGTAGCTTCGACCGGTCGGTTCCATATCGATGTTCAGCGAAAGAACAAGACGTTTACACGACCAAGGAGAAGCCGAGACGATTGTTTAGGATTTGTTTCAGAGTACCGTGAGATGACGCGTTGCATCTCGTACATTTCCAAGCATTTAGGTACAAAGGTACGAGAATTCAGTCAATGGTATTGATCTGGTAAAGCGTTTGAGTAGGCAATGAAGGACGAAAAGATTGGGCTCACAATAGGAAAGCAACCTTGTGTGTTGAGAATCGCCGAATTCTAACTGCGACCCCTTTCCTTCGCAGAGTAGACATGGTCCTCCAGTGGAAATGAAGATCAGCATATCAAGGCGAATCTATCCCGCCTCAGGACGGTCGTCGGATATCGAGGAAGATGTCCTGTTCTTGCTCTAAAGGCGGAGGACGTCGACATTGGAGTTCGCTCGCAGTGGGGCAATTGAACAAATGGAGTCGGTAAATTGGAGAAATTCATGGCGGCAAAGTCTAATAGCATAGAAGGTGGTGGTTGCAGCGAGAGAGAGCCTGGGAATAACCGTGTCATGGTCCTTTGCCAGTTGCCAGGTCAGCTTGTTCACATCGATATCACCCATATCCTCCTGATGTCAACGAGGCAGCATGGACCAGGCAGCGACGACGCTGGCCCAGCACCTTGTCGAGAAATTGCACCAGTGAGTACTCGTTATCGTATAGAGGATCACTGTCATTGACGCCTACAGGACACCGAGCAATGACCGACTCCTAGTAGGCATCTGCGGAATCCCAGCATCTGGCAAATCAGTATTTTCTGACCTCCTAGAACGATACACGAACGAACTACTAGAGAAATCCGGCCAGCAATCTCGCGCGGTGCTCGTCGGTCTCGATGGATGGCACCTCACCCGAGCTCAGCTGGACCAGTTTCCTGACCCCAAATTGGCTCATTCCAGACGCGGAATCCACTGGACGTTCGACGGCCCAGCCTACCTTGCATTCGTGAAGAGCCTGCGTATACCGTTGGACGCGTCGTCCGTCATCACTGCCCCATCTTTCGACCACGCAGTCAAGGATCCGACTCCGGATGCCGTCACCATTCGGCCTCATCATCGTATCGTCATTATCGAAGGGCTGTACACCTGCTTAGCTGTTGATCATTGGGCAGAGGCAGGTCGCCTGCTGGATGAGCGGTGTTACCTTCGTTTAGACATCGAGGAGGCGAGGCAGAGGCTGGTGAAGCGCCATGTATTGACCGGGATCACCCAGACGTTGGATGATGCCCACGTTCGTGCAGAGCAGAACGATATGCCTAGTGAGTCGTCCATCTCTCGGTGCTTATTCTTCAACTTGTCACTGACCAGACACCTAGACGGCACGTTCATCATTGAAAACATGCTGGAGCCCACAAGAATCATCGATAGCGTAGACCACCCGGCCTTCAAGCTCAACTGAAACAACGAGAGGCGTTGAAAGAGCGCCGGAATTTGTAACAACACTGTAATACGAGCTTGTAAGAATATAGGCTATGTTTGTTTTCAAAACCAGACTAGCGTCATTCGTTCTTACTTGTTTCCCGCATCAGACCTGAGCCCTTTCAACGAATGTCAGTGCTGCACCTTTATACGATGTGCCTATGCCTCAACCTCGGGGCAGTATCAATATCAGTGTAATCATGTCGCTACTCCGTATCCCACCCAAGTCCACAATCCTCTGGGCTGTTAAGAATGAGTATCCCACTACGGACCCATACATACTCCTTGCAGAAGGACACCGTCATCCACGGAAGTTTTCGCCCATTACTCGTCACTATAATGCTCCTTCAGTCAATTCAGATACTCGTCGACAGTTTCCGGACGAGCCAGAATCATTCGAGTCTTCTCTTGGATTTGCTTTACCCGGTCTGACGATTAATAGGACCTCGCTGTTTCCCCTGGCCATATCAAAACCGGAATCGGGGCATTTAAACAAATAACCGCATTCCACAGCTTAAACATCCACGTTGTCCGTCTTCCAAAGATGGAGCGTGCCTTCAGCTTCTTCACCTGTAACAGAAAGCGAACCTAGACACTTCTTCTGCCCTGCCCCACTTGGTGATTATTATGTTAATTACCGCTCTAGTAGTAACTGACCTCGTGACGTAATCAGTTCAAGATTTCTTAAATTGCATTCACATGCCAACCGTAACGATTCAATTTGTAAGCACTACATTCAATGTTGCTCTTGTTGAGGTTCATCTGTCGTACAAGATGACAAGAGAACGATTTCGAGTTCACCGGAAGTCTTTCCTGAAACGTTTTTGTCTTTTACCCTCTTGACTACATCCGCCCAGTGACCTTCTTTCAACCCATGACGCATGGTGCCTTGGTTTCAGATGTTGACAACATGAATACCTCTAGGATGCCTTTTGCAAGTTAGTGAAGAAGGGGGTCTATAACCGGACTGCATAAAACGAATAATACTATAAGACATGCATTCCTTGGACCTGGTTGTCTTGAATGGTGGCACGAGGCGTCGTTAAGCTTCGAATAGTTCAAATTACAAGACACGCTTTGACCTCCGCTTCGATCGTCGCCACCACCTCCCCGTGTATATAAACGCTCGTACCACACCACTCGTTCCCCAATTTTCTTTGCACAGCTTTGCACCCACCGTTCACTATGCCACCAGTGAGTCAAGGCCTGCTGTTATATGCTAGGCTCCTGATCAAAGTATGCTCTTCAGAAAAAGGGACCCGCCGCTGCGACGAACAAGAAAACTTCTTCCAAGAAGAAGGCCGCTCAGGCAAAGAATGTTGGAGAAAAGCGACCGCGATCTCCTAGCCTTGACGCGTCGGAAGTGGCAGAAGAGGGAGGTAAACGCGCGAAGACCGCTGAAGCAGCAGATCTCAGCGAGAACGATGTCGAGGTGTGTATTTATTTTGGCGCTTAGTGCTTATGTTGATTTTGGTCTAGTCTACAGATTCGGATACTCGAGTGCGCCGATGTCATGTCCATTAACTGCAAGCACTGATCCTTTCCCCTGTATCAGAAAGAAGAGGATAACAAATCCATCTTTTCCGGAAAATTCGACCTTTACGCTATGGTCTTACCTTTCCTGTCCAAAGTCTATCTCCCTACCAACTCTTCCTCAACGCCACAATACGAAGAGCTGTACAAGACAATCCTTACCTACCAGGCCAAGTCTGATTTCAGTGTTCAGATCGTCCTCCCGGATGCGCCTTACACTATGGATGGCGTAGCAAGTTCCCCGGCCCTCTGCGACCCTATGGAGTGCTTACCGTACGACTTATGTCTTGAGGACATCAAGGCGGTGAACGAGCTTTCCTATACGAAACACCAGGAATCCTTCTTCCTCGCGCCTGACTCCGACATCGAGAGCGGTCCTGCGGTCACAGCTAATACCGGTATCGTCGACGGAGGATGCGGGATTCAGTCCGCTCGCGGAAAGTTCACGATGAAACGCGTTTGGACAAAGGCGAATCCCGATGGATCCTTAATTGAACTTTTTGAAGGGTTCTTCAGCTTGATGATCTCTTATAGCAGCCTGTACAGGCGCAAAGGTCATGGGAATGGCGACGATACTGAATTTGCCTTTTGGGCAGTTCGTGCAAGGAAGGATGCCAATGGGAAGGAGATTGGTCTCAGCCTTGGTACCTGATTTTCAGAAATCTACCCTTCGATTCGAAGGAGTCTCATAGCAGCCCGTTGAAAAGGATCTGGAGGTGGAGACAGTACTGAGTTCGCTTTTTGGGAGGTTCGCGAGGATAGATCAAGAGGGAAAGGAGATGGGATTGCGCTTCTACGAGGAGTAGATGAATATCAATACATCACTTTGAATATTATATCTGTACATATCATGGTCATTTAGGAGCTACAACAGACCAACATAACAAAGACCGTCCAGATTATATACAGTTGGTCCAACTTGGAGGAAACCTAAGAGAAATCGGTAAAATTGACGTATTAGATATCAGGTCCTGAATACTCCATCGATCAACGTTTCTTTCCAGACGCTCGGTTTCTCTTTGCTGATATCACTAAGACCGTTCTTCGTCTGAACGGCCACACTTGGCACGATGGAGAAGCTCTTGATGCGTTCCTTCTTGATCAACCATGTATAAGCCTGGTCAATTGCTCGCGAATAGGTAAATGGCGGATGGGTAAGGTAGAGCAACAGGCGTCGGGCGCCGATTGGCGAAACAGCATAAGCGTGAGTGCATTTCGGTTTTTTCGATGGATGCAATTGGCTCTCGGTAGAAGACGCAGGGGGTGACAGTGCGGGGTAGTAGGTCTCGTTACCCCAGCAGTGTCCTATAGGAATGTGAGAATTAGGCTAGGCCAAAAGAGGAAGATTGAGATCGACCTAGGTGTACCATATCCCAATCCTCTGGTAGATATGTCCACACGCGATTGAGACGTCTTCTAATATCCTTCTCTAGGTCGACATCATCCTCTAAGATCACGCCAAAGGTACCCTTCTCCAACTTAGCAATTTCCTTGATGACTGAGAGATGAGAATCCCAGCACGCAACTCGCGGAGCGTTGAGAATCTTGTGCTCCGAGGCATCTGCATAGGGCAAGATGGTGAAATCGGCGATAGCGCAGGTTAGAGGCGGGCGGGTTGTATCCTGCTTGGCGAAAGAGGAAGACGGAGGTAAAGTCCAAAATGACGCTTCGGCAGCAGCAAGAGATACGTTGCTTCGCGCAAGAGTATCGATGTTACTTGGCCATTGGAAGGGTAGCCGGATGCGTTCGGAAATGGTATCGATGCTAAGATTGGCTGCTTCGCTGCGAAGAGAGTATACCTTGTCGAGAATGGTACTTATCCGCTCATCTTCCGCCTCTACGGCATCCCAATACGTCCACTGTAGCCCCAGATATGACCGCAGGCGTTCCATCTGCTCTCGGCGGTCGTGACGACGTGGAAGAGAGACGACAAATATCTTGGATTTGTCCAGAACGTCATTTTGGTGAGATACGTGGACCGCTTTGCCGAGAGAAGCTATTTCGTAGGGCGTTTCCAGGAATATCCAAAACCAGAAAAACATGAGAGATACGGATAGTCGTTATCAAGAAGAAGGCCTTTAGTGTTGTCGGAGACCGACCGTATGGTCCTTGAGCTCCGAGCATTGCCTCGCTGCTTGGAATGGCAGAGTACATGAAGCCCCTGCTGAGACTCATGGTGATGGTGGTGGTAAAGATCAGAGTTACGTACAAAAACGGTCAATCGAATTCTGAGAAGTAGGTCTTGAACGATGGCCTTGTTTGGCGTGAACCTAAGAAAGGCATATGGATGATCCACGTGACCGCGTTAACCTTTTATCTTACAGCTGGTTTCAGCAACCTTGAGCTGTTCATGATATAGCTACAACATAAGAAGTAGGATTTTTAGTAGTACATAAAACTAAAAAACGAATTATCAAAGGAAAATCGTATAAAGCTGAACATACATCAAACCGTGCCCACAATCGTGGATGAATTATTCCTAATACGCTTGCCTCCGGGAGGTGGTCCAACAAAGACGGCAGGCATGTCCTCTTGCTGCCGTCTTTCCACAACTTGCATGAGCCCACTACCTCGTCCAGAGTATGGCGGCGGGTCCGCTCCAGCCATTGAAGGTGAATCCGAGCGATTTGACGTAGCACCTGAGGTACGGCCATGACTGGTCGAAGGTGGTGTATAGGTTGTTATTACAATCTCTGGAGAATGAGGCGGTGACTTCGAAATCGAACCGGAGAGAGGTGTTTCTGGAGTGGCAGTGTAAGGAATGAGATCTTTCTCAGCTGCATCAGCTGCAGCCCGTCTTCGCCTACGCTGAGCGCGATCAACCAACACGGCGATCACGATGACGGCAATAGTAAAAGCGGCTGATCCCAGAGAGACGCCGACAATAGAGGCAGCGTTCAGCCTTTTTGACTTCGCGCTGACCGCTCGCTGTGCAAACCCGACCATGCCATCAGTCGCGCTGGATACGGTAAATATTCTATAATGAAAAGAAGCATAAGGATAATGAACGGACAAGATAACAGAATCACTGACACATAGACTGAAGCGAGAAAACTAGAACCTAAAAGGTATTCCGTGGTCGACGGCGACGACCATTCTTCAATGGCGCCAAAGCACTGCCCATTTTGATTTCGCACCAGAACTGATTCGTCGACCACAACCGAGAGATCACCAAACGTGAGTGTGAGATTCATTTTGGACCGGCAAGGCACACCCCATATGTTGGTAATCGAAGTATTAGCCACGACTGAAGCGCCAGGAACACCAGCATCTGATACGATGCAATTCAATCGATAAGTTTAACACGGAAGAAATATAGAAAATCACGCACACACGAGGGCTGCAGCTCCTTGAGGAAAGGTCATTGTGGAGTACATTGGATCGATGAGCGTGACCAGGTCCCCACTTTGCGAACTATTCCCCAAAGATGTTGTGAATGTCCAGCTATCCATCGTCACATGGAAATCTGCCGCAATACTGCTAGAGTTAGACGGAACCATGTTCTTCCATGCTACGTCCCCGCTGTAATACGAAGGATCCGGTTCAAGCCAATGGAATAAGCCGCCATCTGAGTCCGAGTCAGATGCTGTAGCCTGTGTATCATCCGGTGCTTGATTTAGCGCCATGCCAAAACTAAAGTTTGTTTGAGATGGGTTTTGTGACAGCCAACCCCCAAAGACGGTAGCGCTAAAATTTCCATCCCCTACACATATAGTCAACATAAACTCTGACAGTCCGATCACCGGAAGACGTACTAGCATTAGTCCCAAGTCCTATGATTCCAGTGTGTCCAGGTGAGAATAGCGAATCGGATTGATTGGCAAGGATAACTGGGCAAAAGGTCATGAGAATACAGTGTGGGATACCAATACTTCAGTGTACGTACTGGTTTGATTACCATAGAACCAGCCAGATCCATTGCTCTGTCGAAGACTGCAATCCTCTGTGATGAGATTACCTCCTGCGCTGCCATTTACGACAGAAACATCTCGACTACCGGGTAGTTGCTCGACAGTCGCGGATGCACTTTGGTTATACCTAGAAGAACATGCGTAAACCTTTCTGGAGATTGTGGTTCATAATTAAGAAAGACGAACGGTTTAACACCGTCGCAGGTATCACATGCCGTTCCTGCAACAATAGTATATCCGGTTCCAAAACTGAGTGCAAATGTAAAGTTTTGTGATTGTGGTCCGGGAGACTGGAGAGCATTGAGGACGAAGTAAGTAACCCGTAACGGTCAGGCGCACCATATTCACATGGACGGAATATTTCTTGTTGCTGTCAACCGCAATAGGAACTTCCAGTCTCTGGGGAGGTGCATCTCTGCTCTGGAGATCACCCGCTACGAGGAGCGAGCTGGCAGCGATACCGAGGCAGATTTGTGAGGGCTTCATTACGAGGTAACAAGACCAGATCCTAACACCATGAGCATGGGTGAGGACGATTTTAATACTAACGCTTTTAGAAGTGCAAACCTTAAACAGCGAAGACATATTTTTAGTTGTGAATGTATCTCGGGCTTGATCCACCGGACACTGGTTTTCATACAGCGAGCGCGAGAAGCGTTTGAAACCAGAGTCAGGCATTGGAAGATCATATGAAGATGGAATCGCCATGATGGTGGAATAACACCGAGTATGGGAGGAGATTTATGAGAGTTTTGTACCACACGATCCTTTCTGCGAGTTTGAACGGAGGAAGATAAGCGGAAGTACACATGCAAGAGTTCGCTGTGGAACCTATAGATAGGTGCGATGTGACAGCTGTATAAGACAAGCGTAAATGACTCCAGGATCGCGGGCCGTTTTTTGCCATTTCACTGCGACGATCAAGGAGTAGTGCCTAGGGTGGAACCTTTGATCAGTAGATACGTATCCCTCATCTGATAGTCTCTCACCTGAACAGATCTTGGAGTAAAGATGGCGAGTGCAGGAAAACATATAATACCCATACTCCATCAAAGGAGAAGAAGGACTGAACGGAGGCGTCCAACCACCATGGCGATCGGGGAAAGTTGAAAACCGATTCCAGTTGCATGCTTTCTTTCTCGTTCGAACCGCTCATGAGCGCCGATTGTATTGAAAGATGATCACTAGATAGCCGAGCGCACAGCTGATTCGGCTGTATGCACGAGGCAGAAGAACCAAGCAATATCCCCAGAATGCTACCGGAAAGAAGTAGCGGTCCTAGTTGACCCAGCCGCGCGGCTTGAGAAAGCAGGTGAATGAGACATCAGACGATAAATCATGACGCATAAGTGAAAAGGTCGAGATTTGAGGGCCAGACTGTATTTTGCTGACTTCGCTGATGATGGTTGACTTCTGAGCGTGGCACGCTCACGTGCTTAAAACTTTCAGATCCGAATCCTCCGATAACTTCGATCGCTTGGCATTCATTGCCTTTCAACCTTCAGTAGGTATTGCTTGCCACAGTTCCAACACCATTAGCTTGTTATGGTAGTCGCCGGGTTCTCACAAGGTTTTTAGGTTCTGAAATATTATTTTGCTGACTTTCATCTAAGCCGGCTCCTCGAACGAAATTTCTGCAGTGGTTACATCGGTGCGACATTTGCTGCTGAAGTTGAACACGTACACATACATCGCAGTGGCTCACGTCTATCGACCTCTCCCTAGGTAATAGCCTATCCAATCTAACTCCCGGATTTTTTAAACGCTTGAGTTGCTCCTGCACCTTACGAGCTTGAGCACATCCTGAGAGCTTAGACTTTGAAGATTGGACATTTTTCAATTAACCCTAAAAATCTCGAGAAAACTAGTGGACAAGATACTCAGGAAGAATCCCCACAATGACCCCGAAGTCTCCCAGCTTGCACTCCTCGTACGTCACCTTCCCATGAAAACGCAATAGTACCGATACAATTTTGGTCAATAATATCAAATTTACTTCTGAATACCCCATCCAAACATTTCGTTACTTTTCCCATCCCTTTCGTTGACCAGTAGTCTCACACACTCCTGTCCAGCGACAGGAAGACGAAGCATCTGTTTCCCTCCCTCGAGGGGAAACGGTACCTGTGTGGGGATAAGCCCTGCCTGCAACAGGGCAGTTCCCTGGTCCCACCAAATGTGTTCTAGCAGCGAATGGGCTCAATAATCATCTATGATTTTACAGAGGCACTGACCGTGATATAATCTATCACCACGTACGTTCACGACGCCCAGCATCGGAATCTCTAGCTTCTTCCCTGTTGGAGGAACAGCTGGTAGAAGCCAGTCGATCGTCCTGTCATGAGTGCATTTGAAAATGAACTCCTCTATGAAAGGAAGTCGTTGAGAGAAGCTGATACGGGTGATAGAAGGACACACACCAACGATGCGATCAGGACCGACGGTTCGTGAAACAGTTTCAAGTTCAGTATCAGCCGGGTTGCTTCGGGCAGGATAAGCTAGGATGGGCATTGACATTGGGCGATGAACTTACGCGAAGATGAAATGATCTCGATAGAAAGCAGTCAACTTCTGTCGCCCGATGCCCCCAGTCATCTGTAACTTGATGTTGGAAATCGGCGCAAGACAAAACATACAAGGACGACTTACAGTGGTAACATGATTAACATAGGGCTCTTGCTATGTATAATACACCACAATCAAGCCATCTTGTGGAAGCAGCCAAGTAAACAACATACCACCATCGTTCCCATAGTCTGGGACACGCTTCGAACTTCAAACTCGAAATATGTATGTTCATCCCAGATTGCCTCAATATCGAAATGAGGACCACCAATATGCTTGCGGAGAAAGACGACGTTCCGCGTATGTGCAATAGAGGCGAACGTCGGTTTGTATTCTTCAGCTTGGGGGAGAACGAAGTAGGGTGATGGGGTCGTATACTTGTAAACTGAAGTTAATGCCGTGGTTTCAGATTCTTTATATGATGATGGAACATGGAAAGCTATGGGAACGGTAGATGTCACTGCCGCCACACCAAATGAGACGACACACGAAATGCGCGTATCCCTTGATACCGCGTCAAGAACGCGGGGAAGAATATCAGGATAGAATACTGAAATGTAAAATATCAGTAAAAATGAGCTGCATGTCGACCAATGTTCCTACGCACCAGTAACAGCAAACTTGTCCTTAACATCAAGTTCTTTCAGATCCAACAGGGCATCAACACCCTTTGCTAGACTTTCTTCAACAGACCAGCCCGAAGTAGATGGAGTGACTCCAACGACAGCAAAGCCTTCCTCTGCCCATTTCTGCACCGGTTCCGGATCCAATGTCTTATCAGCTTCTGTACTGGCTTTGAATGCCGATGCTGAAGGAAGGAAGATAATCATCCCAGGGCCTGTCCCGCGACGAGTCAAAGGCGGTTGAAGAACCGCATTCTCGCTCAAAGTAACGAGCGGCGCCGAAGGCAGAGGGACATATTTTTCGTTCGATGAGTCGGGATCGTAAAAAGCAGGCTTCGCCATGGCGCTCGAATGGTCAAGTGGACGTCAAAGTATTTTTTCCCTATCCACAAGGATTGTATAGAAGATAATCCCGGATGCCTGAATCCTTCATACAGCAGGTTGATAGGGACGGAGGCAAGATAGGAATTGGATAGGAAACGGAATTACCGTTCGGATCCGCGTGATCCTTCCGCTAAGACGTCCGGGCCGGATTTCGACGCATTCCAAGTCCTGTGTATACAGGATTCGGTCTATGCTAACCTGAGGACTTCGGTGGCGGTACATGATGGTGATAGTCCGATAATTCGCCGTGACGTTCATGCCGTGTTCCCTGCTTAGTAATACCTTATTGTTTCGCTTCTTCGCTCTCTTTCGTTTTCCCGCTTCGACGTTGAACATGATTCAAATCGCCAACGTTTTGGTACGTCCTTGACATTGGTACATGATGAAGTCAAAATTTGATTTAGCTGCCGTATATCTGATTACTGGGGAGGCATTTGCTCAAACAGCCTCAACTCTCTGTACGCTTCACAGCTATTTCTTAATCCTCGACCTCGACCGCGACCGCGACTCAACAATCGCAGATACAGTCTGAGAAGACCGACATTCTCAGCCACTTTTCTCGCACGGACCATCACCGGGACTGGTGCTGTCAACTCGATCAGTATCCCTTCTGTGTCCAACATATCTGACTTTCGGCAGTGTTTGGGTGACGGCTGAGATGGGCTAGTTGGTGACAGTGAATAGGGTATGCTCGCTTGACTTTTCTGGGAGGACTGGCCATTGAGCCTCTCCGAAAGAGCAGGAGATCCTGCTCTTTCTCTTTTTATTTACTCTCTCGAGTCTTCTTCACTTTGTCGTGATCGTCATAAATCTTCTCAGTTGGTTGGTACAAGCTCTATATCACTATTCTGTTGTACTATTCAATGAATCTTGTGCCGTCCACACAGGGCAGCCCATGCTATCTCCAGGGCTCGGATCTGCCACGCCCTGCGATGGCCCACCGCTTCATCGTTTACGACGCCGTATTTTGTTGAGTACATACTTTGTACTCACTCTCGGGCTGTAGGTGGGTTAAACCATTTTGGAGCAGTGCAAGTTCCCTGATCGCCATCGTGAATATTCGAGAAATCTAACCTTTTTCAGAAGGAAGGCCAGATATCGTAGCCACTTACAATAGTGAGCAGGTCCCTCCGCCTTTTTTTGGGCGGTGACGGTTACTAGAGTAAATGGAGCTATGTGCAGTGTTAAGCCTAAGCAACCACCGGAACTCGAAGCTCGAAGCAAGACAATGCCACTTTGTCTTGGACATGCCCGCCTATTGTTCAACAGCTACATACATGCGTTCTCTTTCGTGGACCGAGGCTTTTCTTTCTTTCCTTCTCCCCCACCATCGCGATAACTGTAACTTCGGAAATATCATTTCACGGACTGTATACAGTATGCCAGAAAACGATCAACGATCTTCCACCAGTGGCATGGACCTTATCAACACACTCCCAAATAAGCTTCTCGCCGAGATATTCGCATACGGTGCTCCAGTTCCACGAGAGGAGCATCCATATCGCATCATCATCCTCGGCGCCGTTTGCTCGCGATGGCGCGCTGTAATGCTAGACTTTCCTACCCTTTGGTCGACAATCTACATCCCTGTCCACATTGTCCTTGAAGGTAACGAGATTAGTAGACCACGCTATGAGGAGACCAAGCGAGACGAGCAATGGACCTCGAGGTTGCGGGAACCGTAGAGCTCTACCTTACGAGGTCAAAGAAGTGCAACATTTCGGTCAACTTCGTCCAAAGTCGTGCATTGAACCCGTTGCTAGCGCGTTGGCAATTGTCCCTTGTCAATCTAGCAGGGCTGTTACGCGACCATATGCACAGATGCTACGAGCTTCATGTTTTCCAGGGTACCCCACAGGTATACTCTCTCCTCTCCGACCCAGACTTGAAGATGCCCTTGCTCGAGAGCCTCACTCTGCCCATAGTCTCGGATCTCCCCTTCATCCGGTCCGCGACCAAGCTCCAAACGATACGAGCCGAATGTATCGAGCGAAATTTCAAGGGCTCTGCAACAGTCAAAAATGTGGAACTCGCAACTACCAAACCGGGGGGATACCTTCCATCGTTTCCCAAAGCCAAAATAGTCACGCTGCTCCCACTACGGACCCGTCGGACCCCTCCAACCAGCAGAGTTTTCCGCAGTAACTCCACCTCTAGCCTGACGGTCGTGGCAACCTGGGACACAATGGTTACGATCCAAGAATTGCTCTGTGAAGTTGAGCTCCCGAACCTCGAATCATTGACACTCAGCCATGTCGGTTTCCCGGGACCCCCGCTTCGCTCAGATTGCATCCGCAGACCACTGGAAGGGAGTTCGTCGTTGAAAGAGCTCACATTACGGGAGTTTCCCATTCGCTCACAGGATATGCTGAACATCCTCGAGATGGCTCCTCGCTTGACGTCGCTGAGCATCTACGACTCATCGTACCCGCTGGTCGGACCGTACAGGCCAATCTCCAAGACCCTTTTAGTAGCACTGGAAGACCCCAATATAGTTCCCGACTTGGAGAAGCTCAACATTTTCTGGCGATACGATGTCGACATAGACGGTAGTCTGGTGGAACGTTTGCTTGAGACGCGAGGTGATCGTCTTGTCGACATTGAAACATCCAAAGGTCGTATAACAGCGCGTAGTCCGTGTGTACATCAAGCAAAGAGGAATTAGAGCAAAAGCGGTTTCTAGGATTGCGACTTGAAAACAAGATAACTAGTCCCCAGAGTCTTTCGTAGAATGCTTTGCCACTTAGATTGAATTTCTTACAGAATAAAGGTGGCTTTTACGCAATGTGGCAGAACCCCATAGGCACACAGATAAGCTTGGAGTTGTAGGTCACCGTTGTGCCAAGCTTGACTTTGACGTGAGCATTTGCCGGCGGCACAGACTCAGGATTCCCAAAAATTGATGAGTGATCTGCCGGCCCTCAAGCTAACCTTTATCCGGTCCGGGATCGGTCCGAATCCTTTTCTGATTCAACCGATTTCATCAAAAGACAAGCAACCCAAGATTCGTCGAATGCCGTTAAATGGTTACAGGTTACACATCTTTAATATCTTTATAACCGTATATCCAGCTTGTCAGAAACTCAGAATGTGCTTCATTTGAATCTTGCTTTGGTTTGGAAATTCTTCGCTACGAGGAGATTCAATTATACCCACGTCATGTATTCATAACGTTTTCCTTTCAGATCTATCATCTTCTCATGATCAGTGGAGCTGCGTATCGTGACTTGTGGCCTCATGCACCTTTACCAATCACCAGTTTTTGTCACTATAGCCGCACCGCCGGTTTCATGAGAGAATGTACGGCTCTAAGAACTCAGGCTGCTCAACGGCATACACCTCAAGGTATGCATGTGGCCAATCAGGGACAATTCTTTAATCATCTGAGCCTGATTGTTTTGTGCGCCAGGTCGAAACCGGGGCGTATACCGCCGCAGCAATTGTATTATCCGGAAATAGAGTACCTATGCTGTTCCCCACGGCGTGGTGTAACCAAAGTCATACTTGGCTTACCATCACTCTCACCTCCTGGGGGGGTTGGCTGTGAACTTTCTGGGTCTTGGGCTACCACCTGACGGTTAAAGACATCCTCGTGCAATTCTGTAGCAGCATCTCCTTTAGGCGGCAGATTTGAGTGCTCGTAAGTACCGCCCCCTTAGAAATGTCCGGCGTGATGCATGAATTCAAAAGAATAGCCTACTTCTCGCGCCGTTACTGACAGCTCCTTATCGACGTTTGATAAAGGAACGGATAACGGACCGAGGAATCGGAGATCGGGTACAACATTCTCAAAATCTGATCAGGCTTACTACAAGTTGTTCCTTATCGACATCCATTCTCAATGTCCTATGGCAGAACTGCGTACGTCGTCGAGGCCGATACAGAGCTGTTTTCAATGTACGTTCGACGTGTTGTCTTATTCGAAATGTTTCTAATGCACGTTAGGCCGCAAGCGCAAGATAAAATGTTCGTCGCAATTTCGAGTTAGATCAATCATCAAGGGGATTACTCATGCTAAACAGGTAATCGGGCGTACCCCTGCGCTCCATGTATGTTACGAGGGGAGGGGGGTCAATGCAGGGAAGTAGACCGGAGTGCTGTTGCGTATGCATCTCGAATGTTTTCTAATGCTCCTTCTAACCACCAGTTGCTGCGCAGGTCAGGCAAGACTGCAACGGAAACGCTTGACGACGTCCTCAGCCGCTTAGCCGTTCTTGAGCAGAACGTTTCTAAGCTCGTCTCCGCTGGCACTCACGAGAAGGCAAAAGAGAAGGTGAAGGTAAAGGACAAGGAGAAAGTCCGCTCAGCCATCCGGTCATCATTTGGCGTGACTTCGACAGACGAAGATGTCGCGATGATGTTGGAAGATTTTGCTATGGGACACCGCGTGAACCGTAACAGGGCCACGCAGGATTTTGACACGACGAATAATAACGAGGACCCGTATTCGTCTGCTGGCCCGTCTGGTGGACACCCTTTGCTCCTTCTGTTGGATCCTAGTGTCAACGTAATAGCAAGGCTTGTAGCGTTGCTTCCTGACGAGATGAGGAGCCGCGCATTAGTGCAATTTTACGTACGTATTACTACATATTCTGAGTAGTCACGGCTTATCAACCCTTTTAGTTCGAGAGACTGGAATGGTATTCAAAAGTTTTACACGCACCGACGTTTATTAGTGAGGTATGTGTCGTCTCCTCAATCTGGATTATTAGCTGATGTATAATGCAGCTGAATGTCCTCCTGATGCAAAAATCCAAGCGAAAGTCTAGGAATGGTTCGCGTCTCGTTCCTTGGGGTGTATTTCATGATATTATGTCTATCGCTACACCTGATAGAACCGTATGTTTGCGAGCGTATTGCCATTGATTTTTCTACCGCATCAGAATTATCGAAGCGGATGTATTCTGCCGCGCAAGCATGCTTGCATTACGATGACTTCTTGGGAGCTCATTCCCTGGAGCACTTGCAATGTATCCTGTACGCATAACCACGGCATTTCTTCTATATCCGACTTACATATCCAATCCCTCAGACTTATGGGCGTGTATCAACAAAATCTCGATGAAGCCGAGTAAGTGGTCTCTCAGTTTCAACATAAAGCACAATCTGACCTGTGGAATAAATAGCACACATTGGGCGTTATTGGGCTCGGCGATCAAGGTTCGTAACATTCACGTGTAGTATACCAAGGCCAACAGTTACTTTAGATAGGCCAGAACCTTGGTATGTCTCGGTTAGGTTCTGAATCTGACGAGCGGACATACAGCGCGACATGGAGATCTCTAGTCAAGCGAGAGACAGCACGTAGAGTATGGTGGAGTCTAGTGCGTCTCTTTTCCTTCCATCTTTACCATTCTGACGAGAATCAGATTTTTAATGACTGGTCGCATGCGGCAGCGCACAATGGTACATATGCTATACACCCTTCGCAGAACCATACGGGGTGGCCAGCCAATGTGAACGATGGAGATCTCATTGACGACGGTCGACCGCTACGTTCTCGACCTACGGAAGAATACACAGAAATGACGTTCTCCCTTACACGTCTACGGTTCGTAGGTCTGTATCGGGAGATCGTAGATGAGATGCAGGCACCAACAGGTTATAGTTTTGTTGGAAGAGATGGATAAGCGGCTGGAAGAAATGTTAAAAGGTGTCCCCGAGCATTTCATAACTGAAAACAAAAGTCCGGCGGTTGATGAGGGAGTGAAAGAGCTCGAGTTGACGTTGAGCTTGATCATGGGTGAGACGAGGCGGTTGAGGCTGCATAGGCCATATCTATTCAGAGGGTATAAAGATCGGAAATACGTGAGTAGATATAATCTTAATTACTTTGCTTTCTTACGTCCATCTGCAGGTAAAATCCCGTGAACAATGCATAGCATCTACTCAAGCGATATTGGACCATCTTAAATCCGATGACGAGCAGTCAGCTATCTTGCTCAAGTGGTGGATTGTGCTATTTTATGGTTTCGCTGCCGCGGTGGTTCTGTTCATTGACCTATGCCATCAGAAAGCAGCTGACGATGGACGGTGTCTGGATCAGCGCAGGGCGGAACTTCGGCAGGCACTAGATCTTTTCAAGACTGCAGAGCATATATCCGTGGTCTCGAGGAATGCCATCGCGTTATTGGAGGGTCTATTGAGTAAGGTTTCCTTCTTCACTCCACCGCTTCTTGATGTTGATTGCTTTCCCATCCTAGCTGCCGAACCAGAACTCCCGTCAAAACCTTCAAGGAAACGAGGGCGTGATAGGACAGACGATGAGAGCGATGGGGAACCTTTTGAGCGCATCGTGAAGCGGATGATTATAGATGCATCGAAAAACTCAAGTAGTCCAGGGTCTGTGTCCGCCGGTTCTAGGTTCTAGTGCGTCGCCCACTGCGATCCGAGCATCATTTCAAATGCCCCGTCCCAGTTACAAGTTGTATCCTGATCTCACATTGGATGGGCCAGGTTTTGGATTTGGGGAGACGACTATGGCAGAGCTTGCAGGACTGCTGTACTCAGATTATGGGTGGGCGATGGACGGATTTGGTGTACATTATCAATGAGAGATTTCATACTTTGGAGGTCGTGTATTTATCTATTTATGTAGTACAATAAAAGCCCGTGTTCGCGTCCCTACCTCCCATCAATAAGTCCGTATCTTCACCTGTCTACGAGAAATTAGTGTTTACAGTATTGAAACAAACTCTCAGAGTACTCAATGTACCCAATAGCTCAGACGCAAAAATTTAAATGGCCGTGAAAACCTCGAGCTCTTGTTTTGAACGGTGATTGATGCCATGCCATGAGGACCGTATGTCGAGCCTGGCGAGAACTATGGCCGCGAAAGCAGGAATCATGGAAGATATTCAGTGGATACTAGCTTGAGTCCATGAACACAATAAAACAACGCCTTAAATCCATCGTGACCGACTTCGAAGGAGAAGAACATTATATCGAGAGGCGGACCCACAACCTTTCTCGCTGCCATGGCATAACTACTTGTAAGAATGCGGCTTTGATTACGGAGATTGACCCAGTATTGAACGGGCATAAGCTTCAGGAATAGCTAAGCTTTTGTAGTGTGTGGTGCATATCGTCAGGCCGCAACCCGACCACACTGAGTATGTCCGTTCATACATTAAATACATTAAACAAGAATATTAAGAGATTCTTTAGCGATGTCCAGACCCTTTAACCTTACTATTTCCCTTTTGTCGGACATCGTAAACACTGACACTTTCTCGAACTCTCCCTGTGGCAGTCTTCGCCCGACCACCCAGTACTGCAGATCCTGTCTTCCACGTAGAAGTGTGTACGTGCCTTCTGGTATTGGGTACTTGTGTGTGGCAACGATTTTGAATGTGTGCTCTGTCCCATCTATGCCTTCAACAATCAACTCTCCACACCGGTCAGCGCCTTCCGCGAATTCCGTATTCAACCCTTTCACCAACCCCTGTTCAATGCAGAACAACTTACAGCAATCGCTACGCGTCTTGTCGTCCAGATAAACTTCCGCCCTGGATAAGCAATCCACTGGCAGAGGCTTCGTCATAATCTGGTCCCACGACGGTCTCCATTTCGTGGACCCTACTCCCGGTTCAGGATATAGGAAGAACATCTGTCCCCGAAACGACTTCCCCATCACATCTACAAGCGCTGTCCAAGCATCCTCGAGGTCCTTTTTCTCACGATACGCCGGTATTGTCTCCGATCTCAAAGGAAATGCCAACCCTGCAACTTTATCGACAGGATTCTCCGACTCCCGCTCTTTCATATGCGTCAGAACGCCAAATATACCGAGTGGATTGCAACATATGATCTTCAGCCTTCCCAACTGCTTGTGAAACTTCGTCACTACGTCATTTTGACCAGGGCATATCTGCTTGAGTTGCAGCGGTCCATCAGGCATATCCCCTGCAAAGATGGGACTCTCGACGGTCTCCTGTAGCGTCCAAGCGCGTCTAAACCAACAACGAGGACTCTCCAAGTCACCCTCTTCGAAAGCTAAAGGCCTGCCCAACCCACTCAAGTTGTACACAACCGTGTTCTTGGCTATCTGGTACACACGTCCGATGGTGGGTACGTCCAGCTTCCACTCATCCTCACGTATATCCTCCCTCGACCCGTCTTTCTCAGCCTGTCTCAAACAGAGAACGTCAAGCCACGCGTACTCTGCTCCCAGGTTGAGCATCTCGATCCGGACGAAGTTGAGGTTGGTGTCTGCCGGGATGGGCACGGGCCATTCCTTTCCGTTGATGGGTGTCCATTCCTTGACACGAGACTTCTCATCCATCCAAGCATGCGATATCGCCCATAGCCAGTCTTCCTGTGGCTTGGGCCGGAGGATCCACTGCGGTACCACCCGATTACTGTACAGATCCCAGACTCGTCGGGGGCTGATGTGCGGGTTGACGATTCGGTTACCGATGAGCGCTTGTTCACGTCTCTGTTTGTCCTCTGCCTCACTGATACGTAGTGTGTCTTGAATGCTGGTCCAGTTTTCATTATACCATCTTGGGCGGAGATAACCATATGCAGTGCCAAAGTCGTATTCATTCGTAATGCAGGTTTCGAGAAGGGAAGATATAGATGGGGTATCCAGAGGGTATGTGGTTCCGAGTGTTGAATTGAGCCAATCCAAGAGTCCATCAATGCCCAGGCTAGCGCAGGAAACATTGGCGAGAGAAGATGGTATGACACGGTCGTTTCCAGTATAGGATCGTTGCATTGGCACTTTAATCGACGTTTCGGCTATGCCTGTCTCGATGAAAGCAGAGACGGTGGCTGGGTGATGAAGTCTTTTGCACTTGAGAAACATCTGCAGCATACGTAATGAGCTATTCATTGCTCTCAGGGTCATTTTTTGACGAACTTACGATTTTTGCCTCTAAACATTCAATAGCTCTACGAAATTCCTTTCCGTACATCCATCTTTGTAAGGCATTTCTGAATTTTACTACTAGTAGCTGGAGTGAAGACATGAAAGGGGACAGAAATGCAGCTGCACATACTAAGGCAAATTCTCCAGCGGCCCATATCGTCAGAAAGACAAAGTGGTGGGGTATTGGGGGGTGGTTGGGTCGAGGCAGGTAGGCATCCGCAGAGTGGCAGTTCACGCGATTGAAGTGTGTTCTCCACGCGGTAGAAAACAAACATGGATGATGCCCGGGACATGCACCGCGAAATGAGTCTCTGATTGCAGTAGATATCTGGAATAATCAGCTGCAGTCGTAATCGTCCCTGGAACCCATCTTCAGCAGATGCAGCAGCTTCATTAAGGAGGTCTGAGTCCGCGGAGTATCTTCGGCATCGAGGCGTGGTGCCTCAATGGGCATCCAAATAGCATAATCATTGCTATGTCAGGACTAGCGCAAGGTTGGGCGCTTCATGATGGACTTCTGTCCACAGAAATTTTGTTTTGAAATTTGCGACTATGAGTAAGAAGCTGTGTATCATCCAGCAAAAAATCCAGGAGAGGATTGACGATGATACAGGTGGTTTCGAATAGAAAATGTGACACTAGCAGCATGAAAGTCCTAGGTGGGCGCAGAGATGAAAATAGGGCATACATAGGACACTCCCTCATTCTGATGTCTGTTCATGAGAACGTAGCCCAGATAAGAAGAAGAGGTCATCAGGTCTTGGCTTGAAGATTCCAATCTGGGACGAAGGTGCACTATTGCCATGTTTTGAAGGCATGTTGTTTCAAACACGGGTGACGATTGCATTTGTAGTTCCAAATATTATAGTATATGTCAAGCCCGTAGCCTAACACGAGCAGGGACTTTAAGAAGACAAGTCCCGGAAACGACATATGGGAAGAACGCCAACATATGGCAGCAAGAGACTGCTTCGAGAAATAGGTGGTGGTGGTCACGGTGGAAGAGTTGTAATTACGTAATCCAGTGTTGAGGATGGGCCGGCCCGGTCCACCGCCGTGAAACAACCTTGACATCTCGAAAAACTGCATAGTCCGATGCCTGTAGACTCTGCGACGTTTAGGCGAAAGCCGTAGCCACTGCTAAGAATATAAATAAGATAGACGCAAAACACGTACGAAAACGACCAAAGGTTTGACACCACTGGCATCTCTCTACTTTTCAATCATATGCGCAGGATATACTGCGCTTGTCGAGGTATGTGCGAAATACCATAGCACTATCCAGAGTATTTGTCCACTTTCCGAGACGTACTGAAGACAGGATCAGGAAATTTCAGTTCGTAGAAAACCGAAGGAAGCTAAGATTGGCGACTCGCCGCGGGCCAACCAGATTGTAACAAGACCCTTTGGCAGTAGATGCTCTTGGGTATATTTATCGTCATCTCCTGTTGTCAACTCTGCTCTGTCGTAGAGTCACGAAACGACATCCACAGAACAAACGGCCATGTAATAAGGTACGTCGTGTATTGTGCTACACGAACCAGATGTACTCATTTGCCAGCTTTTTGTTCATACTTATCTTCGTTGAGACGAACTATGAAAGTGGCATTTACATCAAATAAATAACATTATGCGAACTCTTAGCGACTCCGAGATTTACCAGCTTCCGTATTTCATCTCTGTCTGTCATTGCGACCGACACCTTCTCGAACCTCCTCCCTGGCAGCATTCGTCCGACAACCCAATATTGAGGGAAGTAGCCGAATGGATTTGGTTCACTGCAGAGCAGCGTGTACGTGTCTTCGGGTATAGAGTATTGATGGGTAGCAACGAGGTCGACGGTGTGGCATGCTCCGTCTGCATCTTCAACAATCAACTCGCCCCATCGATCAACCCCTTCCTCCCCTCCCACCTCTAATCCTCGCACAAGCGCCTTTTCAATACAGCCCGCTTTACACCAGTCATTACCCGCCTCCTCATCCTGGCCAACGTACGCCCGACAGTAGTCTTCCGCTGGGAGGGGCTTCTTCATCATAACCTGCTTCCACGACGGTCTCCATTTCGTGGATCCTTCTCCAGGTTCAGGATATAGGAAGAACAATTGCCCCCGAAATAGGCCATCCATCACATTCACTTGCGCCGTCCAAGCTTCTTCGATAGATTGCGACTCATAGTACGCTGCCATCTTCGTTGACTGCAGAGAAAATGCCAACGCCGCAACCTTGTCCACAGGATTATCTGATATTCGACACTGCATGTTCGCCAGCATGTCAAATATACCGCTTAGATCCCGGGAGATATTCTCCAAGGACCGCAGCTGTTTGTGAAACCTCGTCAAAACCTCCCTCTCGTAGTTCCCATTCTTGTCTATGGGCTCTGCGTGTAGTGGTCCATCACCCGTATCCCCGGCGACTATCTTCATCTCGCCGATCTCTTGCAATGCCCATGCCCGTCTAAACCAGCATCGGTCGCTATCCAAGTCGCCCTCCTTCAAAATCAAAGGCCGCCCTAACCCACTGAAGTAGTACACCACTTTCTCGGCAGCCTCGTAAACACGACCAATTGTGGGCACGTCCAGCTTCCACTCTTCCGTACGTAGATCCTCCTGCGGCCCTCCTTTTTGCCTCAAGCAGAGCACATCCAACCATACATATTCTGCTCCCAGATTTAGCATCTCGATCCGAATGAGGTTGAGGTCAGTGTCTTTCGGGATGGGCACAGGCCATTTGTGTCCATTGATGGGCGTTCGCACGTCGACGCGATCCTTCTCATCCACCCAAGCATGTGAGATCCCCCATGGCCATCGATCAGTGATCCAGCTTGATGGTACCACTCGATTGCTATACAGATCCCAAACACGTCGAGGGCTAATGTGCGGGTCCACAATTCGGTTACCAACGAGCGCTTTTCGTCGCTGCTCAAGGTCGTTCTTTTCACGTGAGCGTAGTTCGTCTTCGACAGTGCGCCAGTCATTGTTGTACCACATCCGGCGAAGACACCCGTATGCGGTGCCAAAATCGTAATTTTCCGAGATGCAGTATTCGAGGACCGAGGATAAGTATGGCGTTTCCCGCGTATAAGATGTTTGGAGGGTGGCGTTGAATTTATCCAGTAGTCCATCGATGCCTAGGGCAGCGCAGGGAGTATCAGCGAGGGAGGATTTTATCACAGGCTCTCTGCCGGTGTAGGACCATTGATTTGGAACTTCAACCGAAAGACTCATGTCATCCGCCTCAATGACGCCGTAGAGATACCGAGATTGTCGTGCCTGTTCTACGTTGTTAGCTGCCCTTCCTGTGTGATTTTTGACTTACACCACCCATGACGGCCGATTAGGCTTCAATGTTTTCGAGTAATGAAACTGGGTACTTTGACAAGATCAGCACGGACTATACTAATCGTTAGCTAGAGCAGAGAAGTGGGATCACAGGAAAGAAACGTACTTTGTATTATCTCGTATCTAGTTGACCAGACTAGTGGTATATACAGGTCGTCAAGGTGTGGTGCATAGAATGTGTTTGCATCGAGGCAGGTGTAATGTATCCAGAGTCACGGCTCCCAAAACTGCCCGCGTGTACTCGGCGTGGTTATCGGCAGGCGATTTCTGGGCCGGTGCTATCAAGCTGATAGCAAAATTCTTCCCAGCAAAAACCATGCATAAATATTAATGGATACACGACAGTTTATCTGACACTAAACGATGACGGAGTGACAACGTAATTCCCTTTCCGACCACCCACTGAGCCAACAAATTCCCTGGCGCAAGATCCGATGCGGCCGTGCGCTTCAGGCAGCAGTTTCTTAACTAGATCTCAGTAATGAGGAGCCTAAATATATTGTACGTCCTATTTCATGGGTCGATGGCGTAGCTGGTTATCGCATCTGTCTAACACACAGAAGGTCCTCAGTTCGAACCTGGGTCGACTCATTTTATAGAAGCCGGCAGACGTTTTTGCTATAACCAAGTTATCAAACAAGTCACAAATGTGCAATCTAGGACTGCGCACCAAACCTCCAGGGGGTGTAAAATAGGGATTTGTACCGACCCCTCCCCAAGGGGGGGGGGGTGTTTTGATACGGTATTTTACCGTTAATTACCTATCACGTGCAAATATCACATGACTGACGCGTCGCAATTGCAGATTTTTCCAAAACCGTTTTCTTCACGTTCTTAGACATATTCTTGATATAATGAAATATAATTTATCTATAAAGATCCCTCATCTGTGATTGTGCATTAATGTGTGAACTAAAGTATACATATAATATTGTTGAAACACGTAACAGGTAAGTTACCTCGACAAAAAACCCTCCAGGGAGGGGAGGTAAAGTACCAGTAACTAACTGGTAACTTACCGGTCCGAAACCCCGGCGTATCAAAACATAGGGTTTCGTGCGCAACCCTAGTGCACTCTGCACTCTGAATGCCAGGCATTTGGGTTCACGGGTTTCGTGAGCAAAGCATGAAAAATACCAAGGCATCGCACGATCTGTACAGATGAAATGAATGAAGATACACATAGCATGATCAGAGACTTGGGTCAGTCCTTCGCTCACCAAGCTCGTCTTTCTCATATCGCTGTAACAATGCCGTTGATTCCCTCGATCAGTAAGGAAGATAATAAAAGTATACAATACAATTGGTGGCAGCCAAAACACAAAACATATACGGTGATAGCATAAAACATATATACAGCAACACGATCGGATGAACAAGTAGAGACATAAATTAGGCTATTCTCGATACGTCGATATCGCGACTGGATCGTATGTTACCAAACTCTCCAGGTCCAGGAGAAGGCGGTCGGCTCTGAGTATTTCGCACCTGCATATTAGACGTAACTGGACTCCACGGTAAGACGGTGTCCTGACTACCCTTCTCAGATCGATGTCCCCGACTGGGTGTCGGAGCTCGTGAAGGGGTACCAGTACCGTCCCTTGCCGGTTGTAGATTAGGAGATGTCTCCTGGTACACACTATAGGCAGGAGGATTTATGCGTTGCCTCGATACATTTTCAGCGTTGGTCGCGGAAGGATCAGATGTTGGGTCCAAGGAAGTTACCGAAGGTCGTTGATGGTGAGTATATAAATCCGCACCTCCTCCGCCTTTCCTGTCCATGGGTGAGGGTGACATTGCTAAGGGAGTCGCAGTGAATGGATGAATAATATCCTCGGGATTCATAACCATCGGTGGAGGGGACATCAACTGGCGTGTCGGAGAAGTGGGTGGAGACATGAAAGCAGAGGAGCCGCGGACGGAACCGAAATACGAAGGTGCGGTCCCTTCTCCAGAGTGGGAAAGAATAGTGTGAGCGGACTGGGTAATTGGGCTTGAAGGATGATGGCTTAGAGAATCGCCGTAAAGCACTGCAGGTCCGCTCTTTTGCGTTAGATCAGACTGTGAACGGAAATGTCCTGGTCGAATATCCAAGATCTTGGACGCATGAAGTCGACGATGACGCCGGAAAAGGAGGAAAGCAACTACGGCTGCACCGGCAACCACAATGACACCCCCAACAACGCCCCCCACAATAGCGCCCACAGGTGTCGAAGAACCTGAACTGTTATTGGTGTCATTTGAGGGTCCGTTCAAGTCGGCATGGCCTAGGAGGGTGGTGAACATCAGCCTTGTAATAACATGCCACGGTCTCACCTTCCATGGATAAATTTTTTGCCTGGACGGAATCAAATTGACCATTGTTCCAAGTGGATGCTAGATGCTCGATAGTAAGTCTTCTGATTCGAGGCAATGTACGTTACACTGACGATCTTGCGCCGCCCAATAGGGAATAGACGCGGCTGCCGGTAAGGTATAACCCATGTCATAAGGGAAGAAACTTCTCAGGTGATTGAGCATACATTTGTACCATGATAACAACAGACTCACGATGCTGTAGACAAGTTATCTCCACAGTTCGCCCTGTAGGCCGCCCAGCTAGAACAGCCTTCAGATAATGTATAGGAAAACATGCGGTGAACGCACCCCCAGCTAGCGTGACTGCCAGCTTGGCACGCTGTACAAGCACCAAAAAGGTTGTATGCGGCCCAGGAGCTATTGCGCAAAGAATTAGAATACAAATTCACTATATGCGACGTCGGCGGACAAACCATGAACAAGGCGTCGCTGAGATGGCACCGTCTCCTGGCCGATCATAATGTGTATCATTACTCAAAGCCCATACATAATAAGCTGTTCAACCCAAAACTGTGAGTGGTCGGAGGAATTCAGCCACAATGTAGATACTCACTGTCCGTGAGACAAGAAGCCATAACATACGCTACCACGGAACAAGGATTCAGCTCCGCTGCATTGTCAGCCCAAGTAAAGTCGCTCGTGCATGTTGCATTCGTCTGAGGGCCCCGCGGCACGAGCGCCGCCGATGAGGAGATAAGCAGCCAAAGGCTCCACCATGGTAGACTGAGTAGCCGTTGGAAGGGCATGGTGGCTATCAGAAAGGCGCTTCCGACGAGGAGAAGAACGACGAAATGTACGAGGTAAGGGTACAAGCAGGAAGAAGGAAGCAGGACGGCGATGTATGAAGATCTCGGCTGCTGTTGATGAAGATGCTTCGGGCCTAATTGAACCGGCGTCTGATTATATTAAAGGTGAGCTATCAATTGAGAAGAGCTGTGTCATGTGCAGCTTTTCTCTTAGTGTGTATACCCGTGATGTTGGGCCACTGATTTTCGACTTCGCGATGCATGTTGAAGGTGTCAATAACGCAAATGGCCGGTAAATGGAAAGCACACCGAATGTCACACCTGTGGCGGATCGTGCAAGATCGTACATGTTGTTGATTTTGGAAAAGTGCGAGTTTATTAACAGGAACAGGAACATGCTTCGAGATGCTCCGGAGCCGCACCAGGTAAATACTGGGCCTGAGCCGCTGCGGGCCGTTTTCAAAGACTCTCCGAGAGCCTAGATGGGACCCTGACATCGCGATTAATGACGAAAATCAGTATCTGACTCCGAGCCGAGTCTTGCAGAGTCGCTGAATGGTTGGACAATCAAAAGATCACGGCGCCAACAGCATTCTGACAGAGAAGGATTCCAATATCGTCACGGGACAGGATATTTTGGCTCCCTGGCTGACTGTGTTTGACAGGAATAAGCGCGCATTCAGGCAACCTTGCTGAGAGAGTTACGTGGTGAAAATCATCCAGAAAGGATGGAACTTCATGATACAGCTAGATCATACAGCATTGGAGAATACAGGGGATAAATTATCGAAGAAACCTGGCTTACACTTCTACCCATTCATAGATCATCATGCTGTTGTCCGGGCCTTCTTCGTTGAGGAGTTTGATTCGGCGCCACTTTTACGTTTCTTTGCAAGGAAGTGAAGGTAGGCTAGGCTATGTTTGGGCACAGGTGCGGGCACTACGTTTGTCGGCGGAGCAGCGAACCAAAGAACCTCGTCGGTCACTGGATCGCGGTCAAAATGTTTAGCTGTGGGAGCACAGCACATAATGAGCAACACATTCAAGCTGTCAGTACATCATCACGTACTGGTCTCCGGAGGTAGTTTTTCCTGTTGGGCGTTGTTTCCCAACACCAGTCCAGAACCGGATAGAATTGAGCGATCGACGGCTGTTGTAGCATTTGACGTCGTAGTAGATATGGGAATGATATGTGTCACTCTGCTGCTGGGAACGATAGAACCGCTAATAAGGCCTCCTGATGCCTTGGCCCCGTTCTTTCCCTTACCCACGAAGGGACTGGGAAGCCGACGTGGAGGAACCTCTCTCTCAAAGGGATAGATAGGCACAGGGTGGCGAGATTCCTCCGGCATACATGAGCTCCAGTCTTTTATCTTGACAAAGGTGCGACTACTGTCGTCGTATCGAGATTCGCATACGTACAATGGGAAACCGGGATACCAATACGGTGCCCTAGGTCGCCCGCGACAATTATCGGCAGCAGGTTGACAAGTCACCTTTTCTAGTATGTCTTCGAGCGGATGCTCAGCAAAGTGGCCTCCAAGGAAACCATCAGATGGAATCGAAAATGAAAACAACGCGAGCATACCCGTCTTGAACACTTCGCCTTCCATGAACGTCCGATCAGAAGTATGATAAGTCTGGTGATCGTTTAAGCTTGAAAGATAATGAAGAAAGATAGACATATACCTGCTCCGGCCTGAAGTACCAGCAAACGGTTACGCCATGCTGGCCTTTCCGTGATCTAAGCATCAAAATCAGTATAGGGTTCTCAAATAAGCATCGAATGTTGGCTGTGCCTTTCTTCAGCAACCCAGCATTTGTGCACTTGTCCGATGGTTGGAAGACTTGGATAATCAGGATTGCTGAGGTGTACCCAATCACCGACGTTGATAGCCCAGCCTTTGTAATGATGTAGATCCACAAAATTCCTGCCCTTAATGGGAATATGGTTACTGGTTACACCTGCATCTGGAACAGGATCGGAAGCACCGGGACCGGCACGCAGCGACGCAAAATTGGTCGATGAGGAATATGGCGGACCGTGTGGTGGCGTTTTAGAGGTCAATGCTTGATACAATCTCTGGAAAAATGATCAGTCCTTCTCGCAGCCGAGATAAAACTTCACAGACTTGAAGAAGAAGCACATGGCCATAAGCATCGGAACCGGGGTCATGCCACCTTCTCGCTTTAGCGAAAAGTTGCATGAATTCGGAGTCGAAATCTTTCGGAATCGAATAATCTTTTGCGCGCGCTCGACTCTAAACAAAACTCAGCCAATGAAGATGGCTGATGAAAAGCCACCAACCTCAATAGATTTTAAAGAGAGTAATGTCTGCCAAGAAATCAATGATGTCTGAAAAAAAAGGAGAAGAGAAGAATACAAACGTTCAATGATAGATATGGTATCTCGGCGCGTTCTGGCACGGATTCCAAGACGAAAGCATATCGATTACCTCTGAATACTATGAGCAAAAATATACGTGACAAATCGCTTGGCGTACATAACATCTTTGTGGCTCTTGATCGCATGGACTATATCCACGTAAGAAATCTGTAACGCTGGTAATTAAAAATGGATGACCAGACAACAGGAGATAATCCTACCTTGATGTTCCCCATCCAGCCTTCCTCTGAAAAGCCAGGCCACCTGAGGCAAACTCTTGTCCAAATGACGGATGATCTCCTCACTCGCAGCATCTCTCTCCGTTGGTACATGCGCTTGAAGGTCTGATACACTGCCGACGTCTATCTCTTCCTCGGGAGATGACAGCCGAAGAGCTGTTCGACCATTAGGAACGTGATGATTGGCGGAGGTGCCATTTGCAACTGGTATAGTTGTAGGAATGATCGGCGTCGTATTTTTTGTGGAGGTCGCTCCCGCTTGGACCGCAGGAAGAGGAGGACCAGGAGGCTTTTCTGGAGCTGGTGATTCTTCTTCTTCTTCCGCCTTGTGAACTTTCTGGGCAGATCTCGGCGGGGGAGACGTGCGAGGAACGGGCAGTATTGGTCGCTTCTTCCATTCAGTCTCCAAAAGACGCTAGAATTTCTGGTGAGCATGGATCCGAACTATATTCGCGCAATGTCAACGCACTTTGAGCGTTTCAGCATCCGATGCAATCTGACTACCCGCTTCGTTGTAATAGAGCGCATTCCAGAACACAAGAGACAAATCTGTATACGCGTCCAAGGCTGCTCTGTACCGATTCTTTTCTAACGTCGTACGTATGTTGCTGATACACCGAGGATCTGGAATAATCTGCAACAATGAAGGGCAATCTCACGAGTGAAGAAAGAGCACACCTCGTAATATTCTGGCCATTCCTTGGGATCGACGAGATTCATGAACATGGCTGAGAGTAAACGTTTCCCTTTGGGCGCTGTGGCGGTAGTGAGGGCATTGACGACCTCCTCGATGGCCTGTTTTTGTGCGGCGGCCAAAGGCATCCTACTATTAACGCGTCACGATCGCGAGGTTGGGATCCCAGATTTTAAAGTACGTATTGACTTGTTTGAGCGCACTGAGTAGCTGAGTATTTGCGCGCCGCCGCTGGCTTGCAAAAAAGAGAGACGGGAGAGCGCGACTCTATCGAAGGGAAATTCTTGATGGTGAACGCGAACGAAGAATTGTTGGATTAGATAATCTTCGCCTTTCCGGACCGACAAGTTTTGTGTTTGTTTCTGATGATTCAGCCAAGCAAATACCCGATCACACTTTTTCGGAGAGCATACGAGGATTGTGGACATCAGGAGCATCACATGACCCGGAGCCTATTTTAGCAATGAGGTCGGATCATCCTAGCCAGCTGCCGCACCGTGCCGACATTTGTCAGAATAAAGGCAACGGGACGTTGGAGGATTAGTTCGGGACATTTGAAAAGGCAACTTGGGGATGTTCATTGGATGAAGTTCAGGACATTTGGGGGGGGCAAGGTTCGGGACGTTTGAAATGGGGGCATCGGGACGTTTGGGGGGTAGGGTTTGGGACATTTGAAAAGGGGACATCGGGACATTCATGGGATGAGGTTCAGGACATTGGAGGGAAATGGTGGGGACATTCGGAGGTGGGGTTTGGGACGTTGGAGGATTAGTTCAGGACATTTGAAAGGGGCCAGATTCAGGACGTTTGGGGGGGTTGGCTTCAGGACGTTTGTGGACAGGGTTCCAGACATTGGAAGGTACAAGGTCAGGAACTTTTGAGGATGGACTTCACTGGACAAAGTTGGAGGGGGGGAGATGACTTGCGATGAATTATTAGTTCTAGAATTGGTTCATACACAACATTTCAAGTTCTGACATGCTACTCAGTGACTGCCAGGTCCAGACTTCTGGGTGTGAGGTACTAGGACCCTAGAACTATGTGCTTCAAAGCTTCAGTGAGCCTACCAGACATTGAACAAATGTGACATATGGTTCAAAGGTAAGTATAAGAAATGGCCTCAACTTCCAATTCTTCACATAAGCCCATATAAAAAGGATGGTAAACATCTTTGCATCTTTTCTCCATGAAACTGTTATTCCAAAATAGATGCCCCAAACTCCCACTCTCAAATGCCTTCAATTTTCAACCTCAAATTTCCGATTTCTACATTGAATATGTCCTCAGCTCTTCTTCTATAGAAACATCCCCATCCTCAAACGTCCCAAGCATTTCCCTCCAACATCCAGAACCCCCACCCCCCAAACGTCCTGACCAGTTCCCTCCAATGTCCCGAACCTCATCCTATGAATGTCCCAAATCCCACCCCCTAAACGTCCTGAACCCTATCCCCCAAACGTCCCAAACCCCGCCTCCCCAAATGTCCTGAACTAATCCTCCAATGTCCCGAACCTCATCCCATAAACGTCCCCAAGTTGCTTTTCAAATGTCCCAAATCCCACCCATAAACGTCCCGATGCCCCCATTTCAAACGTCCCGAACTTCATCCCATGAACGTCCCCAAGTTGCCTTTTCAAACATCCTGAACTAATCCTTCAATGTCCCGAACCCTACCCCCAAACGTCCCCACCATTTCCCTCCAATGTCCCGAACCTCATCCCATAAACGTCCCCAAGTTGCTTTTCAAACGTCCCAAAGCGGATGACAGAATTGCACGGGAACGGGTTAAGCCGGCGGGTCCGGAGCAAGTGGCTGTGTTCGGAGAACAGACCAGGTGCGAGGACGTCGGAAATTCAAAGTACGCACACCCTGGTTTTTCGATCATCATTCTCGAACTTTTGATCATCCACCCTGACGGCATATTGTTGATAAATGAGACTGACGGGACGTTCCTTTGTCTTGCGACATCATGCAAAATGAATCTGGGAACCTATGTGTATGTGAAATGTTTTTTTCTCTAATCACGACTCAAAACCTCTCCACAGGACATGAACATCGCGTCGTTGAAACGAGCGGCACGAAATGGTTCAATACCCGCGATGAAAGAGCTTGTCACCAGGTCAATAGGAAAAAACCAGCTGCTAGCTCAGGTTTTTCCCCTTGTCAAACAACATCTCTCAAACGTGCCTACGCGGAACGAAGCATCCGTTCAGATGATGCTCATTTGCTTTGATTCCTTGATTTACGGTCTCGAGAATGATCTCATCAATTCGGCCACCCTTTTCGTCCCACTCTGGCATTCCATTTGTCCATGGATATCCTTCTTCATCACCCAGTACCATTTAGACCTCGCTGAAACAACTGTCGACGACCACGAAGCTTTGCTAAAGTCGGCTAAGCTGGTCTATCTCTTTGTCCAAATACCAGAGGTGTTGCCATGGTTGGCCGCTGTTCCTCGCTTGGTTAGTTGCATATTCAAAATGTCCCTCATTGCAGCTTCGGTGGATTATGACTCGGACATCCTGATATCTACTTCAAGAACCATCACCACTATCTCTGCTGCCGTCGATCAGATAGGCCAGGGCTGGCAGATCGATGTTTCCCGTGTCTTGACATCGGAAGCACCTGCTAACCTCGCGCTCGGCACAGTCCAACGGTTGATCGAGCTCGCCGAGAAACCCCAAATTCCGTATTCCGATCTCATCGCCCGCTTAGAAACCCTACTTTTCTGCTCAGGAAACGATGAAAAACTACGTCTTCAATTTTTTTCGAAGCAATCGGTCGCATGGGTGACATTTGTCATGGGACGATTAACCCGGGCACGCAATCTTGAATCTTTCAATTTGCCCCTAGCCCGACGGGCCATGTTCCTGTCCGTTATGTACCTGAAGAAGAACCTCAGGTATGGGTTTACATGGGTTTCGGATGCCCTGGACAAAGGGATCTTGCAGGCCATCGTGAAATCACAGCCGTATATCGCACGCGAGCACCAGGAATCCTTGGAGTCCTTGACCGTGGGAATCCTGGATACGATTACCCTGTTCGCCGTTTACAGGAGCGTATTGCACCGCGCTCGTACTTCATTGAGGAGGGCGGAAGCGATACAAGATGCCGCAAAACTCCAAGGAATTGTGAAAGATGCCTGGATGAGGTTGAAAGACAAGGTGAACCACTTGTGGGATCTGAGACCAATGTATTTTATGGTCCGTGGTGGGGCGACAAGTTGTATGAGCGATAACGTATGTTCAGTCTATCCCAATTCATGATTTGGTTCTGCTGACGGCTTGACAGTGCATGACCAGACAACAAGGGAACACATCCAGAGTACGCGACATGCGATGTTCCGGCTGCCAGTATGCTTATTACTGCTCTCGTGAATGTGCCAAGTCGGGATGGAAAGATGGACATCGAAAGCAGTGCCTTGAACTACGTCGGCAATTTCAAGGTGGGCTGACCCCTCCTGCAATACATTGTCAGCGTGGGATCATTGATTCGCATGATAGAAGGATACCCCCGCGTCATGTCACCTTGTGAGGATGAATGGTTTATCATCGTTGGCCAAAGCGAGGTTTATCGTGCATTGGGTGGAAAAGAGGTTGTCGATGCTATGCGGAAGGCCTACAGCGACGCCCATCCATCTGTGCCAAACCACTCCATTTTGACATTCATCGATTATACCATTGTTCTTGGCCCTCAGATCGAGGTTATGAGCCTACAAGACTTTGTGCGCACTCGGGACATGGGATACTATCGGTGGGAGACGTATCGAGACATGGCAATTGAGAGGAACGGATTCCTGCTAGGAATTACGATACCGGATAGCGATCTGCAGCCGTACAATTGCCTCGCTTTATCTAGGGAGCATTGATATACTTACTTGTGTATAGTTGTATGTATAATAATGCTGGACGCTTCCCTGTATCCCCTAATACGCAGCTGCTGTTGTATCTGTATTCATATGTCTGCCTGATATGCATTCAATCTTGTAGGAAGCTTTTCACGGAACGAGCCTAAACTTGAGGAAGACGTTTAACGAAGATCAGACAAGGAACAAGTTTTTCCGGATGGGTCCGATGTAGTATGTCGTAAGATAAAATGTCGACTTGCTGAAGGCCGACATAGTTGGAAGGCAAGAAGAATAGCGCCCCAGTTGCCGAGATCCGGCAAACCGTTACTTTGGCTTTCGGCTTCTTCCGTTCCTAACGATGACTCGGACGTCCACAACATCTCCCCCATTGCTCTTTATACGAAGAACAGCAAGAACGACAACTTCTCAGACCGTAGAATTGACGTTCGAGGTCAGGGCTGCTGCGCGTTCTCTGTGCTGCGTTTTAAGGGTGTCTGACAACTCCGAGTCCTTGTTCAATGTTCACTGTGTGAGAGATATCTGCATCTCTGGGCCTACATCTAACGGAACGACTTCTGTCTTTTTAAAAGAGGAAAAAGAAAATCTAGGCTCTTTCTCTATATAAGGCGCTCTACTCTTTCGACTGGGCATCTTGGCGATTAAAACATTAAAATTTGACTCCAGAGGCCAAGCTCTGAAGCGTGTCTACGACACTCCGCGATATCGAGGACATCTTCCTTCCACAACATAATCGAGCATGAAACACCAAGGTCCTTCTAAATTAACCATATTCAATGGGTTCTTATCTGACGCGATGCAACCTGATATGTTCTTTAAATCCCGGGTGCATGAAGCAATATCAATACGCTTCAGCAGGCGAATTAACCTCACAGGCTCCGTGCCTTCTTCAGATGGCATAGCTTGGTTACATGCTGCGACTTCTTGGATGATACTCGGGTATCTTACAAGAACACTCCGTCAGTTTGAGATCAAGCCCTAGGATTCTATTGACCATCCTACAGCCTCCAAAACTCTAAAACCCTGCTGCATCCGTTACAAGAGTAAGAAAAGGATGGCAGAAGTACAACGGTAGACTCACCCTGAGCCTATCGCCGCCGAACCCAACCGCGGCTGTTCCTTGGAACTATGTATGGTAACCGACTCGTTTCCTCGAGGTTGAAAATGAACGACCCAAACCTCCGCTTTGCGTAGCGGATAATTATCGGATCCATAGGAAACTCTCCCTGAAACGACTCTGGCGGCATCCATTTATCTCTTTGATTCACTATCTTCTCTGCCAGCTCCTGCAATGCGGTATGCACTATCGCCAGTTGCTCCCCACCAAGATCCCCTTCTGTCGTCGGAAAACATAGACTGAGAGCCCTGTATGTGAAGGACCTTGTAATAAGAGAACGGGGGACACTTAGTATACGAATATCAGGACGTGGCTAGAAATACATCTTTACCTTATCAGATCGTCGCGGGCAGTATCACTAGAAGAGCTACTCATCTTCAATGCAAGAAATACGAATGCTTGGATACTTCGTCTGCACCCAGACGCCGTCTTCATACAACTGTCTTGCCTCTCCTCCCAGGTGTTGTCTGAGATATGCCTCGCGCTGGAGTCACGGGTAGCTCCCACGGCACTCGCTTGCATCACTCAGGGCTCCTGATATGCGACGCAACGTTCCAGACAGCAGGCACTGAAGCCTTGAGGCATGACACATCTCATGCGTACGGTTATAGGTGCGATCTCACCGCGAAGATTACGCAGTCGGGGAAATGCTCAGTAGACACCTTCCATTTTTCGTCGCTTCAAAATCTTCTTAGTTCGAAATTTCATCTTAGCCGATGCTATACCTCTCTCTAAAGGCTTCAACCCGTTTCCATGCTGGAATATTTATTAGGTGTTTAATATCATTACGAGGCTCTACGTGCAGTGAAGGAGACCGTGTATTATGAATTGAGATCTAACGCTGTTCCCAACCGAGGATAGCTTAGCCGACATCACTCCCCATATCTGATACCAATTAGCGTCCTAACATCTGGACATGAAATCGGCACTCACTCTACCACGGCAATAAAATCACCAGATCCACGATCCTGGGCAAAGTACTCTTTCCCACCTTTCTTTGAAGTTATGCGATCCAAGACGCCGTTCTTGTAGTGAAAATTGAACTTCCTTCTTATATGTTCTTTGATCAGTTGATCCCAAGCCGCTGGAGACAGTCTTTCCCTCTCATCAGGAGCCATCGCCTGGGTAACGTTCTCTGCTATGTCCTCTGCAACCTCTCGAAATGCGGTCTGGATGCCCGGAGAAACTGTGGCAAAATCTGCGGTGCCATGATACAGCTTGAACGCACGGTACTGCAGGGATCTATTGAACATCGGAGGCAGTTAAAAAGAGCGTGACACTATAGCGTCAAAGAAAATTACAGTCGTAGAGCCTCCAGAGAAGGATTGACAAAATGCAGCTTATCGATATCGGCGGCGTTCATCGTAGAGACGGAATACAAAACTCCTTTATGCGCTGAGGGATGAATTTATATGACGGCCTGTTCGCTCTAGGTCGTTTCACAGTTTCCCAACTTTTGCCTTATGGGCAAAAATTAAACGCTGAGGCGTCTGGGTGCAGCGATCTGCGGCGAGAGTGTTGAAGGGGGCAAAGTGTGGTGCCTGGTGTAAAACTCATGTCCAGGAGGATAACATGCGGTATCCCACGTTTCGTCATCATCGCGAGGCACACCAGCAGGCGTCCATATTAAAGAACTTTTAGCACAACCAATAACAAGTACCGGCTTTTGTCTGTTTGGGGGAACAGAAGGTGATAGTGACAGCCAACAAGACGTTGAATGTTGATGCTGAGCAGAAAATAAGATGCCAGGCTGCAGCATAAAGTTTCTGAACAAGTGGCACCTACTTCTCCGAGATCGTGATGCGTTGCAACGTGGATTTGAATATTGATACAGGTCATAAGTGCATTTTACATCGAAGAGAATTGGGAAACTATGCTACACACCTCACACTGAATCAGCGATCAGCCTTTCCGGAACTTCCACATATCCTCTCCAGCATTCCACGAATGCGGCTAACTCGGCGCCCTCAACAACACGATGGTCAGCGCTCCAGCTTATCCCAACTTTCAGCCTCTTTTCTCCTTTTCCGTTTCCAACCTCCACATCCCAGACCCATTTAGCTCTCCCGATAGCGACGATCGCAACGCCACCTCCAGGTACAAGAACTGGCGCGGCAAAGTCCCCGGCTCCAATGGCTCCAACATTGGAAACAGTCACTGTTCCACCTCGTTTGGGCATCTCATTGGGAGTAAGCCCACACGGAACTTGTCTACCTAAATGGGAGAGATGCTTAAGAGATGACGCGAGGCCATACATGGTATACGTGTCGACACTTTGCACTGTAGGTGTGTATAAACCCGTTGGAGTGGAAAGAGCAATGCTAATGTCAGCATGCGGGCGCACTGTTAATGTGGGCTTCGCGCCTAGGTCAGATGTTCCGGGCGTTATGGATGAACGGAAAAGTGGCCATTCGAGCATAGACTTGGACAGGGTCTTGAGAAGGATGGGAAGGTACGTCAGGCGGGTATATTGCTGAGAAGATGCAACTTGGGGGGGAGAGGGTGCTGGAGAGACTGCCGAAGGAGAGACCGCCAGTGGTGGCGGTGGTGAAGACGACGAAGGTTTATAATGCTCAGGTATATGCGCGTTTAGCGTAGGTAAAAGATGGTATAGAGCTGTAAGATCGAGAGTTGTTGAGTATCCAAAATGTGGAATTTCCAGACTCTGTCGAGAATGTTAGTGTATTGTTGGGAAGTAAATGTTCTATTTACCTTCACCATAGCTTTCCACATGCCATATCGAGTACGACCAAGTTCCACAACAACATCCTGATCAGTTACGGTTTGATGTGATGATGTAAGAGTCTTTCTTGAGAGATATCGCTCAATGTCCTGTTTCTCGATTCTGCCGTCTCGTCCACTGCCCGGAGAAACCTGAGCTAGTTCGACACCGTTCTTCCGGGCGAAATGTCGAACAGAGGGAGTGGCCAAAACATTGTCAGCCTTTGGTGCAGAATGGCCTGGATCCAATGGGTGTGGTCGTCGCGTCACAGGGGTCTCCTTCTCCTGACGCGACTCTGAAGACGATTCCGCCGCGAGCTGCACCGGCGCTTCCTCCTTGGCGGTGTCCTGGGAATCTGCCTCTTCTTCCACTTCTATCAAACACAACCCAGTGCCCACTTTCGCAATTTCTCCTTCCTGAACCAAAAGTTGGGTAACGACACCGTCGAACGGGCTGGTGATCTCTACACTGGCTTTGTCGCTTTGTACTTCGCAGAGTGCATCGAAGGCTTGTACGGTGGACTTTGGTTCAACGCTCCTATAAAATTAAACTGGTAAGTTAGAACAGATATCGCCTTCGCATTTCGGGCGGAACATCACCAACCATTTGATGACCTCACATTCTGTGATCCCTTCACCAATATCTGCGAGTTTGAATTGCTTTATCGACTTCTTGGTTGCCCAAATTATAGCAGAGCTATGAAAATAAGAGGAGAAAGTGGGTCGTCGTACTGCCAGGCGAAAAGAGTAGGACAACATGGTGGTACGGAACCAAACTAGACCCCATGGGGTCCTCGATGACATATTTGGAAACTGGATATCCTATTTGGGTATACTATGTGATGAACCCCTCTGCCGGTTATCTCAGCTCGGATCTCGGCCCGGAATTTCTTGCGACTGAACCGTCAATAGCACGAGTCCCTTGCCCTTGTCAAGGAAGATATCACTCTCCTTTGGCTTTGAGGAGATCACCTTACCCTCGAAGTTGCTAGTGATATCGTTCAAGGAGCTGACAATTTCGCGGATCTCCCCAGTTCATTTCCTCTCATTTCATGTATCCTTGCAACCTCCATTGGCATTTATCACTCTGTAAAGCCATTGCAGCGTGACAGCCACATTTCTTGACCCTCGTTATCCCGGGTCGACATCATCTGCAGCTGATGTCAGTGAGGCGCAGCTGGTCTGCGACGAAGGATTACGGCAGTCGGAAGGATTCAGAGGGAATGCGCATATTCGCTGTCATTTCGGACTCATGCACTAGTAGATAATGTTGCTACGATTGTCATTACTTCTCACAACGAGCCATCGAGGTTGGTAGGAGTAGTTTACTTCTATTTACCTGAGCTGTATTAGCGGAGATGGCCAATCAATCCAGTTTTCCAGTTTTCCAACGATGCAAAGTGGACACGTACGCATACTTTTCCTGACTATTTATGATCACTATGCTCATACCTTTCTCGTCCAAGGAAGACGGTCATATTACAGATATTGTCAAAATTGTTAGGGTCCAAGTGATCGTCCCCAAGGAAGAATACGGAGCATGGTCCCTCTACTTCATCTCCTTGAGAAATTCGTGTTCTCTGGCAGAATAATCCATCTAACCTCCGAGGACTCACCAATACCAGGGGTTGCTCCTTCTACATCTGACACCATTGAATCTATGAAATTGCACGAGCGTACTTCATCTTCTATATCATTGGGCGGACTAACTGCATTCCATCCTGACATGCGACAATCTACTCTATCCTTCTCACCTTTCGAAAGAGGTGCAGATAGATACTTACAGATGTTTTGAAACGGCTGGAGATGCCCATCAACCTCGTTTGTGCGGTAAAGATGCTGTGCAGCTTGGAGATCAGCACAAACCAATGGATTTAGCGAAGGCTTTCCGCATACTGACGTCATTTCGGGGCCGTTTCCGTCGATTAAGGGAGAGTGCGGCAATGTTTGGAGCGATCTTGATACCAAGCCGTAAAACTCAGGTGCTTCGCGGTAAATTCCCAGCTTTGGATCCCGAGGAGCTCTAATCGACGGTCTTGTTGGTCTTTCTGTTGGAGTTTCAAGTGTCGCGCATCACAGCGCAGTTGACGTCGGGATCATCGGTTGTCAGGGTTAGTCAGGCAAGAACTCATTTATTACATCCTGTTGCTTCTATGAGTGTACACGGTGAGTAGATAAATAGGTAGTCGAATGAAGACAACCCTCGCTTGTTTGCGAGGGTTCTCTGCTATATCCGGGTGAGCGGCTGGAGAATTACCGCTTATCTCAACACTTTCTACTATGAAGGACTATTATACAAATAGTGGGGAGCCTAAATATTCTTAAGCAACGCTTGCTCAAATTTTGGAAGTACTTCAGCGACTTGAACTGGGTGGAGACCATCATCGATGATTCTGTGTCGGTTCCAGCAATTGGCCAAGCCCTAGTTGATATCATGCGACATCAGATGCTGCTGGAGAGCGTATCAAGCTCGAAGGATAATCATGGCCGTCTGCACATTGGTACGGAAGTTACTTGGGAGGTCTATTTGTTTTGAGAACTTTCACATTTTTATACTCAGAGAGAAAGGTCATCATCAAGATATCGGTGACAATGTTCTCAACTTGGTTTTCTCCTCAGTGATGAGATGTGTGTGCTTCTGGACCGTAAAGTCAAAGGTAGATTATATATATAAAAAAGATGATGCGATTTATATCTTTGCAATCAACTTTTCACGACGTGGGAACGGAGACTCAAGCCCTCTCTGCGTTCTGAACCACTGCATAACCAGGGCGTATCCCCATCCGGCGCCCCATTTTACACTGAAAGGGTGCCAGAACAGTTTAACTTGAATAATGAGCGGCTGATGCTACCCGTATACAATTTGTTCACCCCATTCCACACCGCAATGGCACTTTCGAAAAATCTTTCTTCTTCGCATTGATAGAGGCTGATTCAAATCTCATAAAACAGGAAAATACGACTCAAGTTCCTCTTGATCACACCTCAATGATGTCACGTCCCTACACACCTTTGCCTCGGAGAATTCCTCTGATGACAACTCCAGCAGTGGGTTTATCATTGATGACCTCAACCATCTGTCTCATACGAAGGTTCTGTTCCTTAAGATTCCCACCTGACTGTACAAGAGGCGGGAGGTGGTTTCTGTGTTTCATCCAGTAGCGAACAGATGGAAATAACTCGAACTGCCAAAACTTAGCTTTCACTCGTCTTCCCTCAGTGATACATTCAACAAGAGAAAAACATCCGGAATCGGTGTTGTCAGAAGGAATGTAGAATTGTATGTCTGGATAAATAAGCAGGCAAGGGAATTCGCTGTCGTGACATGAGCCTAGAATGCTCTACTCCCGTATTGTTGGTAACCGCGTGAGAACTGCCTCCCATGTACGCGGTCCTCGCTCAATTAAATACATCTGAGCTGATTAGCGCCCTCATCCTTAGTACAGCCTCATTGGTGTGCTGGAATCTAGGTAATAGAAACTAGACTAAGATAGATAGATGGATAGATAGCATGAAGTTAGACATGCCGCCGGCCGGGAATTACCTCCTACCAGAAAGATGCGTCGGCAATCAAGATTTTTCTTCGTAACTCAATTGCAAAAAAAGTCATGAAGCCTCGTTAAGCACGCATCAGGATCCTGTTGGAAGAAATCGAACCAGTTCCATCTGTAACTAGTTGACTGAACCGCCACTCAACCACCCTTGATCACGTTCACGTCGTGCGGATACCTTCCTACAACATACCATGGACTCTGGCTCTGTGCGACGCTCCCGGGAGTTCTGGTTGGAGGATGGCGATATCATCCTCAAAGCGGAATCCACTATATTTCGCATCACCCGCGGCATTCTCGTATACCACTCTCCAGTTCTGCTCCAGATGATTCTGCAGGGCAACCCCGATCCCACGTCGGAAACGGTGATTAGTGGCTGCAGAGTAATTAAAGTGGACGATTCGGCCGTGGATTGGTACCACTTTTTGAAAGCTATACATGATTCTTCGTATGTGGCCATTAATTCGTTTTTGGCCTATGACTTAGTGTTGTCGTCAAGTACAGGTACTATGACCCAACCCGAGAAACCCCCTTTGCTGTCATCGCAGGCATCCTGCGCCTGAGCACCAAATACCAAGCCCGGACACTACAGAAAACGGCGGTGGAACATCTCCAACGTATCTTTCCCACGACCATTGACGAGTGGGATAGACGTGCAGATAATGACACCATTCAAAAATTCAGAGGTCGAACGATAGCAATTATTAACCTCGCGCAAGAAACGAATCACCAGATTTTGCTGCCTTCGGCTATGGCGTACTCATGGGCGATCGGTCTTGACGGCCTTCTTGACGGTCTTCCGTCATATGACGGCAGCCATGTGGAATTGGACTGGGACACAAAGCGGAAATGTATTCGCGCGAGGGATAAGCTCGTGCAGGCTGTACGAGGCAGGTTACTCGAGTTCATACTAGGGAAGGGGGCAGGGAGGTGTGTTACGGAGCCCAAGTGCGATGAAGGAAGGCTGTTGTCGTTGAGGATATGGGAAAAGTTCTTCGGCGAGTCAGTGATACCGACACCATTCCGATTCATGGTAAATTGGACGGATCTGTCGACGAGGCTCTGTGAGCATTGCATTGCTGATGGGAGAAACAGCTTCTTGACAGCGAGGTGGCTGCTGTGGGATGAGCTGCCTTCGTACTTTGATCTCCCTAGCTGGGAGGTGTTACGGCGAAGAGAAGAGGATGATTGACTTGGCGTATTTATGCACTCTCGAAAACAGTATTTCAATTTCTAGAATATGTATTGATATTGTTCCATTGAAACCCCACTGGCATACACAATTAATACAAAGGGAAAGCATATTGATATGGTATCATATATCAAGGACAAGCCCCGACGATTACAACCAACCCGCATCGGCTAGCAAACTTCGAATATGCCGATTGTTGGGCTTGATTTCACCATTCAGCGGTGCAAAATATTTCCGTAGCTTTTCATTGAATACCACCGGATAGAACAGTCCCTCTTTCTGATTGATGAACACGTAGTCAGAAGAGATGAAACAATAGTGGCTAATCTGACCGACCTCCCGCGTTTGACCTTTCCGTGTTGTCTGACCGGACACTTTGCCCGGATGCCAGTTGCCACCAGCTGTTCTGATCCACACCCGATCGCCAGCCTGGAAAGATCCGTCAATAAAAATGATGGCGGAGGATCGTAACGCCACTAACTTGGAACATGTATGGCCAGGTAGGTCGGAGGGCTGCGGCTCATTTGGGTCGTACTCGCTGTCAGAGCCACTGCTCCAGGCATCGAGTTCCTCCGGTGTAACAGCTCGGAGTTTCTGGGTAATGGGCTCGTCTGAATTGTGCTGCTTGCGTGTGTGACGGCGTGCTTGTGCATGAGGCGTCATATTGCACAATATTACAAGGATAAAATATAGGGGGGAGGGGGGACGGTGGGGTTAAGTAAGAACTCGGGTGGAGGGGGAACAGATAGTTGATGAGGGGGTGCTGTTGGACAGGGGCCCGTTTATATATCGTTTCACAGCAAGGCTCCATTGTTCAGAGATGGCGCTAACGTAACATCACCTTGCCACAAAAAGAACAACAGCGTAATGGTGTTTATTGCCAAAAGAAGAAAGGAAACCTGGTTCATTTGACATTCGTCTTGTCTCATTATTTGTGTCAAGGAAGACCGAGAATGTTAATCCATTCTAGATAGTTCCTCAGTTATACAGATGCAGGCCAGTCGTCGGTCCCACAGCGGGTCCTTGAGGTCGGACACGTGTGCAACAGCTGGCAACCCATCGCCAATCAGTAGAACCACAGGGAAGATGCTGTGACACCAAAGTGGCACAGGCCATGCATGCATGAGAATTCATTACTCCTGACGCACTAGTGACAAAGACCTGATGAACAAAGAAACATAATAAGGGGGAACAAAGTACGCAAAGATAAGATGCGATATGGCCTTATCTTTTTTCCGGAAGCTTCGGATCATAACAAAGCCACATATAACCTGCCTCCTGCCGTCACGACCATTCAAATACCTCGAATTTATACCCTCTACGATGGCTAACGCGAATAGTCTAGACGTGCGTCGACGTTTTTGTTCTCTTAGGGTAGCACTGACATCCTCCCAGCGTGCTATCGAAATTGTTCAAAAAGCTATCGACGAAGATGTAAAGCAGAACTATAATGAAGCATACAAGCAATATTCGAATTCTTTGGATTATTTCATGCTTGCTTTGAAGTGTGCGTTCAGGTGCTATCTTGTACAGGGAACTGCTGACATCTCTCGTATTAAGATGAGAAAAACGAAAAGTCAAAGCAACTGATTAAGACCAAGATCAAGGAATATCTAGCTCGTGCCGAGACTCTCAAGCAACATTTGACGTCCCAGAATGAATCACGTTCGAGAAATGCAGTAGGCGTGAATGGGTCTGGCGCTGGTATTGGTGGGGCAGGAAAGAAGTGAGTTGCCAACGATTTCTTCGACCATGAACTTATTGTATGCACTTTAGGAAAGATGGCGAGGACGATGACCAGGATCCCGAGACCAAGAAACTGCGAGCAGGGCTAGCGAGCGCGATTCTATCCGAGAAGCCGAATGTCAAGTGGGACGATGTTGCAGGCCTTGAAGGCGCTAAGGCTTCGCTCAAGGAGGCCGTCATCTTGCCAATCAAGTTCCCTCATCTATTTACCGGAAAGCGTACACCATGGAAAGGTATACTGCTATACGGACCACCAGGGACGGGAAAGTCTTACCTCGCAAAGGCCGTTGCTACGGAAGCCAAAAGCACGTTCTACAGCGTTAGCTCTAGTGATTTGGTCAGCAAGTGGCAAGGTGACTCTGAGAGGTGAGTATACGTATTCATGTCACCCGGCTCGCCACTCATTGTTCCATGTCTACAGGCTGGTGAAACAGTTGTTCGAACTGGCGCGTGAATCCAAACCATCAATTATCTTCATTGATGAAATAGATTCTTTGGCGGGGTCGCGTAACGAGGGCGAATCGGAGGGTTCGAGGCGCATAAAGACCGAGTTTCTGGTGCAGATGAATGGTGTTGGGCATGATGATACGGGTGTGCTGGTGCTAGGCGCGACAAACATTCCATGGCAACTGGACAATGCCATCAAACGGCGATTCGAGAAGCGGATATATATACCCCTCCCCGGTCCTGAAGCACGGCGGCATATGTTCCAGCTGCACGTAGGTTCAACGCCTTGCGAGTTGACGGCGAAAGACTACCGGCAATTAGCAGATAAGACCGAGGGCTACTCCGGTTCCGATATAGCGATCGTCGTGCGCGATGCTCTCATGCAGCCCGTCCGAAAAGTGATATCGGCTACACACTTTAAGCGGGCTGCTGACCCCGACTCTGGCGAGCTTTCCAAATGGACGCCTTGTTCACCCGGAGATTCTGATGCTGTTGAGAAAACGTGGTCAGACATTGATTCCGAGGAGCTATTGGAGCCTCCATTGAGGTTGAATGACTTTTTAAGGTCATTGGCTACTGTGCGGCCGACCGTCACTGAGGCGGATATTCGGCGGCACGACGATTGGACGAAGGAATCAGGTATGTTTTAGTCTTTGTGAGTTTCAGGGTCGCGGAGCTAACTTCGAAACTAGGTAATGACGGTGCATAGATCTAAATCATTAATGAATTTGTGTAATCTGACCGGGTGTAATATTATGGTCTTGGCGTGTATTTTGAGGTCCGTAGCCGCGATTTAGACGAATTGTTGACATAGCTATGTTTGGGCATGGACGGAGGTAACGAGCGCATGCGCGAGCATGCTCTACTCGGTCTCAAAAAGGCGACAAAGGGCTGCGATAGCGGACCATTGTTGACAGGTGTCCTGATGTGGCCTTAACATGTCAATAAGCGCCCACAAGCCCACCTGATTAGAGCTACCGTGCGTGTGTTTTTTATTCCTTGTATATAACATACAAGCATAGCCTTATTTATACCCGCCAAGCGAGTCAGCAAATTCCTGTGGCATTTTTGCCTTCCCATAGTACTAGGTGAGGAGACGTTAAATCTTCTGCTGGTTTCAACTTACTTATCCTTTACAGTATGTTTAATCACTCGTGCAGGTATTCATATATACCCAAGAGTTCTGGCAAGGAACGGCTGCAGGTGTCTACGATACCTGGTTTCGTTCAGTGAGTGACAAGAGACACGGAAAGTATTGAGCCACTGACTCCTTTAACAGCACTGCAGCGTATGCGATGTATCTTTTTCTTTTCGATACAGAGTCCAGCTCTCCGCCTAACGTCTTAAAACGACAATGGGAACAGCTACCTCCTTCGACAACCGACACCTTTCGCTCGGTTGCGAAGGCAATATTTGATACCGGTGATTCAAAAAATCTCGGTTTTCGGTCCGAGCAGATACACGCCGCGTTATGTCATCTTTTAATGACGGAGCGGAGACTTTAATGTCCAAGTCTTTGAAACGGGAAGAAAGATTAGCGTGCTTTGTCGAGTTGGGCAGTCAACTTGGAGTTGGTTTGTTCAGTCAACTTCTTGAGTTTTTCCATGGATTAATAATTGCTTGATGTAGATTTACCGAAAGCGATGCGTGGTTCCTCGTTGGTGACTGTGAGGTGGGTTGCCGTCTTCTGCTTTTAGTTACGGTACCTGATAACCTCTTGTTAGACGCGGCCCGACCTAGAAAGATCCCGCTGAATACGACAGGCCAACCAAAACCTCGTCAGATGCGCAAACAAGGCAGAGACGAGTCTCCAGGCCCTCGCATTCCCTTAGCCGCATCGCGGAGGAATAGCATCGCAGTGGATCTTCCCCCCGCCGATGCAAGTCGCGCCGGAACATTGGAGCCCGATATAAATTCTGCAGAGGACCATGACCTTCCTACTTGGGCCACCCTGAGCTTTGAAACTACTGCAATGCCGCCGAGGAAACGTCAGCGCACAGACTATGAATACGTGTATGGGATAGGGAAACATATGTAGCAGCTTCACCCCTTACAACCATTTACGTGACTTTCTTGACTTTCTCTGATTCTATACTCAACTAATACCCATAATCTGGACGGAATACTCCCGCTACTCTTTGTGCTTATAGATCATGTATTTCCAGTCCACCGTATCCATGTTTGTATATTTAGCCAGGCGATAGCAACGTAAGTGTTTGAGACGACTTTACCTTGCAGGGAGAGTCGTTTCTAGTCAAGGAAAATATAGCTAATACAATCAGGGTAAGCCTTACCATTTTCATCCCGCGTCTAGTGAAGAACCGAAGTCCACCAACCCGACTTCTCGATTGGATCCGCGAAATGGAGACGGCAGGAGTCGGGCCGGCAAGCCAGGATTAAGTACGGCCCGAGGACTTTTTGTCGTTCACAACGAACTGCGATCTTTTCAAACACCGAGCTCTCCGCAGCATGGAGCAAATGAATCACTGGTCCACATGATGTTACATACAAGTATCGGCAAGTACTAAGGAACCCAATCCGGAGCACTTGAATTCAATCCTAACTTTTTGGTTCAGCTCTTTCCATGGCGACGCTCAGATCCAAGATTCTCTGGTACGGCTCCTCCATTGTGCCCGTCTTTAGTGTCATCTTGTGACGCAGGTCAAGCGGTATTGTATCCCCACGAATCAATACCGCTTTGGCCCAGAATTTCATCCAAACTCTTGTCGTTGTCGGTAGTACGACTGAAAGTGTGTAGCTGGCGTCAAGACCTCGACTCGTTCCCTCAACAAAACTCCATACGGCCGTAGGGCTATGCAGGCCTTGCCCACGAATATCCGTCGGCGTCCCTCGTCGGATGGCCTCCTCGCCTGACCAAATGCTCGAGTTATCAAACTCAGTTGACCCCATTACATCTGAGTCTGGAGAGGCGGTAATGGTGTCTGCAGCACTCGTCGGGGCGAGCTCGAGGACGTTTAGTGGCAAATGCTCTTCGTCCCCGTCATCGCGACCAAATGTGACCCAGAATCTCGCCGATTCGAAGCGAGCTTTGTGTATAGGATCAGGCATGAAATGTAGGCCGAAGAATATCTTGTTGGGATCCTCGTTTTCGGAATTCCACATGGTGATTAAAAAGTAGGAAGTGCCCTGGTTGGCTCTTCCGATCTGTAGACCGTTGGATTCTGGTGTTGGTTGGAACACGCAACCACTTTCCGTGTCTAGGAATGGTTTGCTTCCCCCCAGCAAAGTGGCGAGATTTCTTCTCCGATCTTCATACCTTCCGGTACAAGTGGTTCCCTCACTGTTGACTGAAAATTAATAAATGCCAATGCTTTCAGTGAACGAACGCACTCAATTGGCGTATTAACAATCTCCTGACGTGTCATCGCCGATGAAAGCCAAGTCTGTCGATAAATGTCAGAAGGTTATACTCCAATAGTGTTAATGTGCCTACCTTGAAGGCTTCTAGCTCGCGGGGTCCGGTTGCGGCTATCTTCTCACCTTGGCGAAAGACGAGGATTCTCGGAAACTGTGACGCCAATCAGACTTCGCATCCTTGAAGAACTTGTATACGAACAGTCTTGATATCCATTTCTTCCATAACGTCCTTATATTACTAGGTAAGCCGATTCTGGATGACGTATATGGTTCTTACCTCCTGTTCATCTAGGTCAAACTCGTAAAACTTGACCTCCTTATACTCATCCAAACTGGCGGTCGCGTCGAATATCGGCCCCATTTTCTTGCAATGCGAGCACCATGGCTGGTGGAAGAATACAACAGTACGCTGTTGAGCCGAGATCTGCTAGCACGTTCAGCAGAAGATCCCTCCATGCTTTGTTCACAGACCAATTTCCGAAGCTCTTGAGCACCATCGATATGCGTCACGCACGCCATCCGAGATGGGCTAGTTTTCGAGGAGGGAGCGAAGCGATTACACGGTGGCCGTATGGCTTATTTGGATTCCGTGATTACACACTGCACCTTAATCCAGGGCTGAAGTATTATGACACGCCACATCTGTTCGCATCAGAACCTTCCGGAGCTGAAACAGTTTCCCGATACAGATCGAACCTGACACGACCCAGACAAAATGTTAAGGCCTATTCTCCACAATACTAGCATCATTGAACCTCGATGGGGGGGAAACAGCGTCTGCACCTGATATCTAGTGGTACCGCCCATCCGCCCGTTCTTGGGGTACAGGATGGAGCAGCGTTCATGAACCTTTCGGACTAATATGGCGCGTGCCTGCTTTGATGGCAGAGACCGGGCGGGCATGATGGGTTACCCCGTTGATAGATATCTCCCCCTGCGCGCCAATCATTGGAGGATCCAGTCAGAAGGTACATACTTCATTTTGTTTTACTTATATATATCCGTTGCTAATTGTGACAAGGTGGGAAACATACCTAGAGCCGGCACCGAACAACATCACGGTCCAAGCTGTTCTTCCCTTTGCCCTCATGTCTGCTGTGGTACACCTTGACAGAAAGAAGGACTTCAATGATCTTGTTGGTGTCTGTGCTCCCCTAGTTGATTTTAGCACTGACAAGATTTTGCAGATTTCGAAACATAAGGATGTTGTCGTTCTGTTTTTCACGAACTGGTGCTACTACTGCCATTTGATGAGGCCCACCTTCGAATATGTCTCTGGACTTGCAACACTAAAAGGACTGATTTTCGGAGGAGTGCTATGCGACGTTAACGACTGGGATGTGGGTTTCCTCTTCCTTATTTTGCAATCGTTTCCTGAAGTTTTTCCATTAGTACGACGCCCAGAAAGAAGTGGGGATAGAATGTGTATGTAATTGGTTCTTACCATTGAGAAACGTATGTTAACACGAGCACAGTATCCTACTATTCAAGTATTCAGAAACGGGGAACGATTCGGGTGTGTGGAGGGCGGCCATGATAGTGGAGAGCTGGAAGTTCGTGGGTCTCATCACAGCGCGAACGCGGTATTCATCTGATCGATGACTTCTATAGGGTTGGCTAAAGACCTACCTCATGCTTTCTCAGTGAGTGAAACGCATTTTTGATTCCATCATGATTGACCTTTCTCTTTAATCCAGATTATCTCCGCACCTTGAGAAAGGTGTTCCGAAAGGACTTGCCCTGCCTCCCATAGATATGGCCGTGTCTAGAGCACGGGGCAAGGTGTGTACGGGCATTATACGATTGCCACTTTGACTCAACACGTTTTTAGGACCCAGTGCTGGACATATCCTCTTGGACAGGTCCACAGTTTGAAGAATTCGTTAGTTTCTGGTTCCCTTGCTTCCACGATGATGTGCATTGACGGTTTTGAAGATCAGCCAACACAAACACGTCGTTGTCGGGTTGCATTCCACCAACACGCCGCATGGAATGTCATTTTGCTTCAAGCGAGCGGTCAAGTCTTCAAAATTCAAGGATGTGCACTTTCTTCGCGTGGATTGTGACGCAGAGGAAGTAGGTACCTCTATTTTTACTCCGGTCCATCGTTAAGGGTTCTTTAGTCAGATTCGGCGGAGATCCTGCGCGAACTAATGTGGCTTCGTTTTGTGAGATATACGTTCTTAGAAGCATCATTCGCAAATACTCATGTCAAGGCATCTCCGTAGAGACCAGTGATGTGGATGTTCCGAGATGGACGACTGTTTTCTAAACTTACTGATGTGATTCAAGGCGCGACATTTACAGTGGGTGGCCATTTTCTTACCTAAAGCGATCGACTCATCAGTTACGTTATAGAACTGGTTGGATGATTGCCTTGCAGCGAGCGCGTAAGCTATTTCCGCCTGTCCCCGATATCTAACTGAAATCCTTCTTTCAGTATCGCGGATTCCGCGCCGATCAATGTCGAAGATTATCTGTCTGGAGGAGAGGAACAGGGTGAGTCGGAGAATGGTGAAGAAGAAGAAGGGCAGGAGGATACGCCTGAAAGTGAGGATTCTCAAGATGCACCAGAAGAACATGCCGACGAAGAAGACTCCCAACCGCCACCAGAAGGAAACCTCGTGAAGGAGGAAGCAGCAACAGAGGATCTTGGTGATAAAGATGCAGAGAATGTTGGTGATGAAGAACCAGAAGACGCTGGTGATGAGGAATCAGGGGATGTTAATGATGAAGAAGCCGAGGATGAACAGGAACCGGAAGAAGAGTCGATATGCACTCATCTCGCTACCATTCGGAACGCTGACGTGCGCAACTGTCACAGTGTAAGGACTATTTTTTCCTTCATAGTCGTACTCATGAATGTCAACTATAGGAGCGCGTTTCGGAAATTACATCGCTCGAGGAGTTCAATGCTCAGGTAGGTAGGAACTCTGCGTCCTCTCGTACTGCCGCAAATGAGATTGCCCTTAGATATCGGAAAACGTCGTTTCGGCCAGTGTCTTCTACGACGGTCATGACCACTACACCCAAGCCATGACTCTCGTGCTTCTGTACATTTCCGGTTTACCCTCATACGACCATATGAAGTTTTCTAAAGTTGATTGTGTACAACATCCGGACATTGCCCAAGAATTGTGTATTGAGACGGTATGTCCCTTTTGTAATGACGCTGGAGTTAATTAACTGATGAAATATTAGAATCATTGTCCTCAGACTATGGTGTTTTGTGAGAATAAACAGCTGGCGGAAAGGCACGGTGCTGTAGACTCTGCCGAGTTTGAAGTGAGATAATAATTTTTAATCTTTGCTAGCTCTCACATATATCTTCAGAATTGGCTGCGACCCTTCGTCCCAATAAAACAAGATGACAAACAAGAAGTCCCACCGCCTAATACTACAGCCATCCTGAGGTGCGCAGTTTTTGCTACATATGAACAATGAGGCTAACCTTCACGTCCAGTGTAATAGTAACTGCCGAGCCGGAAGAAATGGACGAAGAGTCGCTCTCCGATAGCGCGGCCACTGCTGTCCAAATAACACCTTTGCCAAGCGACGTATGTTTTTTTTTACCAAGTATTTCTCTTACACAAAGAACTCATGTTCCACCAGTCAGCGATAAGTCTTCGTAGCACTTCTAGTCTACCTATTCATGGCGTCCGATGCGAGGGCCGACATCTGGACAGACCTTATCAACACCGATGGATGAACTGGCCTCACAAACGAAGGTCCTTCCATGACCCGGAGTATAACTGTTACTTCGTCCCGACAGACAACGATGACCATGGCTTAGAGATTGGACGTGCGAACGAGGGAGACTCGTACTTTAACATGACGCTGATACAAGGTCCCGACGCAGACCCCGGAAAAGTCTCATTTGGTGTAGGATTTGGTCCAGATTCTACGGTGAAGGCGCGATTTGAATCTGCAGTGATTCGCGTTGAGTTTGGTTACGACGGTGATGTCGAAGGACGGTCATTTCCTTTGCGAATCAAAGATATACATCCAAAGGATGACGAGGGACAGTCCACGGAGGTCGTCTTTGGGAAGGAATCGAACATTTCGCTTGGGTTATCTGTGGGACCTGGATCAGCAGCGTCTCTATCAAGTTCTGGTGGATATTCGCAGAACAAGCAATATACCCGGAAGACGGCAGCTCGTGTGCGAGGACAGGGGGTGCACAGCTCCAGTGCAGAGTGGACATTTGTGGAAGACGTCGGTGAGGCCGGACGGCAAGGACTCGATCCTCAGTACCAGCTGTTCGCTACGCTGCCGACTACACAGCGGACGATATGGATTAAATTTGGGCTAAAGCGATTCTGAAACGGAAAGATGGGTATGGATGGGGAAATGAAGTGGTTTTGAAGTTAGGGTCAAAGGAAGAGCCTTACAGGAGGAATATCGACCTACTAGGCTGGCAGAAGGCTGGATGAATGATGGATTCTCCATATAAACTCACTTATGTCCTGGCATATTCATCTTTATTTTCGAATATATATATTGCCAGTGTTGACTCATACTCGCACCTTGAGAGGCCGGCGCGTCTGGTCCAAAGGCTGAGTACAAGCAACGCCAAACAACGCGTCCTAAATGACTGGCAATATGACCACGTGATTTCCCTCTCTCCTTTCCCTTCCTTGTTCTTTTCCGGACTGCCTCCAAACTGTCTTCATCTTTCTTATCCTGTCCTTTGAAAAGTTACGAAAATGACGAAAACATATCTTATGAACAGTCTTATCGAAAAAGTCGGTGTTGCCTGCTTGGAAGATTCGCTTTTGTTCACTTGTTCTGCAGATGCAGTCGCCTGACCAGGATTTCCGGTAAGCAATCGGAGAACAGCTGGGTGATGCAGCGCGTTTCTTATCTCGAATGCAGGTTCATGGGTCTAAATGATCTCATGACGGAAATCAGGCAAGATCCAAGCAGCTTTTCGGGAGATGAACAGATGGAGACCAAAGTCCTCAACCAGGTGCTTGCCCTTGTCGAAGATAAGATATCTGAAGTCAAGAACCAAGCCGTAAAATGGTATGTACATCGATTTGCCAAGAAATGCTCTAATAGTGTTTCAGTTTGGGCCAACTGATCAAGATTATCCGGGAGCCACAGCTAGAAAACGTCGTCGACAAGCTTATCGAGTTCTCCGGGGGTAAGGATGATGAACTCAGAGATATCTCAGCATTGGCCCTCAAGACCATCACTGCGGAACTTCCGTCCGATGGAAAGGTCGCCGTCACTGCTTGTTCCAAGCTGGCGCCAAAGCTATTAGGGCAGATACAGAATGTGTGTCTTTTACCAATTTTGTAGCATAGCTAATACTTTTCTCAGACGAGCACGCCATCCGAAACATTGGTGGAAACTCTGTCCATTCTGTCCATTCTCATCGTCAGGTTTCCGTCGCATCTGACAAGTGCAACGGCCGATGCTCAGCCACTAAGGGTCATTGCGCCACTCTTGGTACATACACGTCCTGTCGTTCGCAAGCGAGCAATCATCACGCTGTCTCAATTCATCCCGCTATCCCAACCACAACTGTTCACTGAGCTACTCCAGACGAACGTATATACTCACCTCGTCCCCGATGCTAACATCGAGAAGCAAAAGACCACTGTTCAATTGGTCGCGGCTGTCGCACGGCATTCTCCATTGCAAATCGCGCCCGTGCTCAATGACATCGTGGGCGGGATTTTGAAAGGCAGTGCAAAGGGATGACGACGAATTACGGGAAGGGTGTTTGCAGGTGGGTTCTATGAAAACATATCCTTTCTACAATCAATATAATGCAGTATCAGGCCTTGGAAGCGATCGTTCTGCGGTGTCCCAATGAGGCCACGCCTTATTTGAGCTCGTTTCATTCAGATTGGCACTCAGTACATCAAACTACGACCCGAATTACTGCCGAGGATGACGAGGACGAAGACATGGCTGATCCTGACGAGGATGACGAAGATGAAGACTGCTGGTGACGAGTGAGTTCTAAGCCCATCTTTCGGCACTTGACTGATTGCCTATAGATATGAGGATGATGAGGATCAGTCTTATAAGATTCGGCGGTCTTCCACCAAGCTTCTGTCTGCTTTGATCACTACTCGTCCCGAACTCTTGACATCCATCTACAAAGATGTCTCTCCGGTCTTGATTTCACGGTTTGGAGACCGAGAAGATACTGTGAAGCTTGAAGTCTGGGCCACTTATGTTATTCTTCTCAACCAGACTGCTGTCTATGGAGGTTTCAGCAAGGAAGACACAGCCTGCTCGCGGGAAGCGAAAGCGAGACGCAGAAATTATGGATGTAGAGGAGGGCCCATACATGCTTCTGAAAGCCCAGGTTCCGTCGCTTTCGAAGGCTCTCTTGAATCAGATCAAGTCCCCCAAGACACCCGCCGCCACTCTTCAAGCTGGATTCGGCCTATTACATTCCCTTCTTGACGTTCTACCCGGTTCCTTGTCTAGCCAAGTTCCGCTCATCATAACGACCTCAAAATCAGTCCTCTCGCAGTCCCTTACTAGTTCTACGGCTACCCTACACCTCACATGCCTGTCTTTCCTTGCGCTATTTTTTGGAACGCATTCCCCGGCCACCTTCTCTGGTTCTCTGCCATCAGTGACACCTGTTCTTCTCAAGCTTTTGGGAGAAAGACATCCCCGCGTATCATCTGAAACATTTCGCGTGTTTTCCTCGCTCCTCAAGCTCTCTAAAGCCTGTCAAAGGTGCGGACTGGACCGAACCTTTGTACATCGAAGGCCGTCAAACGGACTGACCAGCCACGATACTGACGCTGAAGTTCGTGCCTGTGCCGAGGACTTGTATCGCTGATCTGTGGATATGCGCCGACGTCCGTGGTTCAGAACAAGGACCAGAAGGAATGGGAAGCCATTTGCCGGACAACGGGAAAGACAGAAGGCGGCGTTAAGGTCATCATCAAGGTGGCAAGAGAAGTCAGCGTTGGTGACAACTGGGTGAATGGTTGTCTAGGAATGGTTGATTGGTCTGCTGAGGAAGAGCGGGCGGTCTGGAAAGACTGAACTATTTACAGCTTTGGATGTTCTGGTCAAAAGGTACGTTCATATTTAAATTTGGGCTTCCTGCCCTGAAGTAATTCTTTTCAGCTACACCGGCGGCATACCTCCAGGTCTCGCCCCTTCTCTGATAAGTCAAATCAAGAGCTACATCTCCACTGCCGATATTCCCTTCTGTCGCAAGCGCTCAACACACTTTCCATTCTACTTCAGCTAACCCCTGCGACGTCTTTCCCAGAGATCGAGAAGACCCTTTTATCCGAGATCTACCTTATCTCGTATTCGCCACTAGTTTCTGGTGCAGCGCTCGATTCACTTCTGAACTTCTATTCCACGCTGGTGCAGGCTGACAACCAGATTGCCACCCATGTCGTGCCCAACCTAGTCCTAAAGGTGGAGAAGGCGCCAAAGGCAGAGACATCTCCTTCTAATGTCGCCAAGTGCGTGGCACAAGTTGTCAAGAGTCAACATGGTATTGCTGCTGGGGTCATCGCCGAATATTCAAAGCATTTGAAAGTCAGTCGGTGTCTTTTCCGGGCAACATTGGTGTACTGAAACTTCTGTCGCAAAGCAAACCTCCAAGGCAAAACCATCTCTGGTGGTTTTGAGCTTGCTTATCTTAGGAGAACTTGGTCGGTTCATGTGCGTCCTTCAGTTCTATGTTACACTTCCAAGACTCATCTTATTGTTAGTGATATGTCTCCGCAAACCGAAATCTTCAGCCACGCGATTGAACTCTTCTCCTCGGATCAGGAGGACCTTCGGGCGGCTGCGGCCTTCGCTGCTGGTGAGTCACCTACACAACAAATTGTGGAAGCCTACTAAGCAGATCTTTAAGGCAACATCGCCATTGGCAACCTGCATCTCTTCTTGCCGGCCATCATCAAGATGGTTGAAAGTGATCCGAAGAAGCGACTGCTATCGCTTCATGCGCTGAAAGAGGTGGTCACGCATAGTTCTCAAAGTCAGCTAGAAAGCGTCTCGGACCTGCTATGGGTGCCTCTCTTCGAGAACTCGGAAAACTCCGAAGAGACGACGCGAAATGTCGCAGCAGCCTGTCTTGGTAAATTGGCGATCACGCATCCATCGCGATATTTGCCTCAGCTTCATGTGCGATCTTTAATCTGCGTCGTGAATGTTTTTTTTGATGTGACGGCTTTAATGGCAGGCTCGGATTCAGGACGAAAATCCTGCTACACGTGCGACGGTCGTGTCTGCTATACGCTACACCTTTGCAGATTCACCAGCTAGCTACGATGAGCTGCTATCACCCTACTTGGTTGACTTCTTATCGCTTATGCTAGACCAAGATCTAGTAAGCGCTTACTTTTTACCAGTGTTATCAATATTAAATTGTTGCCCAGACCGTCCGGCGTATTGCCCTGTCTGCCCTCAACTCGGCTGCTCGTACTAAACCACACCTCGTCCGGGACCATCTGTCTGCACTTCTATCTAGTCTTTACAAGGAGACCACCCTTAACCCACAGCTTGTCCGGACAGTACAAATGGGTCCTTGGACACACAAAGTCGATGACGGTCTCGAGACCCGTAAAACAGCATACGAGACGATGTATACATTGGTACGCCATCTTACCGCCAATGATATACTCGTGACTAATCGTCTCTCTCAGTTGGACACCTGTCTTACAAAGATCGACCTCCATGAATTCCTTGGCCGAGTCATCCCAGGTCTCACGGACGAATCAGATGAGATCAAGGTCATTTCGCATATGATGCTCTTCAGGCTTGCACAAGTAGCTCCTGCAGCTGTCTCGCAGAGGCTCGATGAAGCAGCACCTCCTCTCGAGAAGACGATGAAAGGCGCGACTGTCACCAAGGACACTGTCAAGCAGGATCTCGAGCGCGCGGCGGAGCTGCAAAGAAGCGCATTACGAGCTGTCGCGGCTCTAAGCAAGATCGGGGCGGGTGTCTCTCCCAAGTTTGATAACCTTGTTGAGGAGTTGAAGAAGAACCCATCGTTCAGCGTTGAGCTGAAGGAGTTGGGAAGTCAGTAATGTTTTTCAAGAATGAATTTGAAGAAGATGCTACGATTTGTATTTTTCTCGTAATGTACTCATTTCCTCTCGTAACTACTTGTTTTCTGGTCGGACATGTTCCAGTAATATATCTGTGCTAAGAATTGTGCATTACGGGATTGCAAAATTTTACCAATCAAGATGTGCACAGAAGGTGCAGGGAGTTGGGACTGCGCTTTGAGCTTACCTTTGGTCGATGTAGGCTGATTGCTCATCATTGGTAAGAACAGAGTATCTGTTAAAGGCCTGGGAAGCCTCAGTTGCGTCGTTTATCGAAGCAGGCCACTCGGAACAAGTCACTACGGCATGGTTACGGGATGGAATAGGAGGAGGCTATTCCGTTGTTGTGACCGACCGTAAATTCGAAGAGACCTTGTCCGCCGATACAGACGACCAGTGTTTTGGATTACACGACGATGGATGGCAAGATAATGGCTGCTAGACTACAAGCGGCTTCTGATTGACGAGCATGTGTATAGTACTGTAGTTGTGTCGTAACAATTAATATTTAGCTGTAGGCGCTAGTGGCTGTGGTCGTACAGCTACGAAGGTCGGACCGCGATCCTAGTATCCTTTCCTACGGTGGCGTCGACGACAGTTTGATCCTTTACCATGATAAACACTCATCGTTGCAATTCATCGATGGGTTGCTGGGCCAGCATCATCGTTTCCTCGTTCACAAAATTCATTAGGGGAAAGATGGTTATCGATGAAACACGCTGTCGTGACCCACTGCTACAACCGGTAAAGATCATAACGGACCGCCACGATCATCTCTTACTGCGACCACCACCTTCAACTCCCTACCACAATGCACCATGAGAGGCAACTAAAGAGGTATGTCGCCGACCTCGACGAGTAGTCGTATACTCATTTGCCTCGAGAGCGAATCCCAAGACGATCCAAGACAAGTTTCTCGTCGGATATCAAGGATGGTGAGCGCGCCGCCTTTCACATTTGGAGATAATGATTGCCCAATGAAGAGGAATAGGTTTACCTGTGGTGGGGATGGCGAGCCAGTCGGTGAAGGTGAGTGGTAATGTCCGATATTCGTCGTCGTTTCACACAGCTTTCCCTGTAGGTCACCATGGCTGGCTCCATTGGTTCAACTGTCCAATCCCTGACGGTGGAAAACCCAATATCGATGTCTGGCCCGACGTTTCTGCCTATTCACCTTCAGAATTATTCCCCGCACCAGGGCTCAAGTTCCAATCTGGAGAACAAGCGTTTTTATTTTCTTCAAGACATCCGAAAACTGTCAAGAGGTACGAGTATATGCTCCTTGTATGCGCGCATTTCTCATCCTCACATAGGCATTTCCATTGGATGGCAGAACACGGTGTGGATGGTGCTTTTCTACAGCGATTTGCCGGAGAAGTCGACATTGAAGGGGGCGCAGTCGGGAATCTGCGTATACGTGACGAAGTCGGAGACGCGGTGATGCGTGCAGCAGAGGAAGAAGGGAGAGTCTTTGCCATAATGTGCGTGCATTCTTACAATTGCGGTCTTTGACATTTACTGAAACGGCACGCAATCAGGTATGATGTGACAGGCGCGCCACCAGACCGCATACAACGAATTCTAGAGCGAGATTGGGTCCATCTTATCCGAGAGAAAGGCGTTCTCGACAGTCCAAACTATCTCCACGAGAAGGGCAAACCCGTCATTGCACTATGGGGCTTCGGGTTTGCCGAGGCAGGGCATACCCCACACCTCCTACGCGCTATAACCAATTCAATACGGAATCTTACGCCCGGAGGCGCGTACTTGATGGCTGGTACACCCACACACTGGCGTACATCTGAAAGTGACGCGGATCCGGATCCCGGATTTCTAAACGTCTGGCTGAATGAATTTGATGCGATATCCCCGTGGACGGTTGGACGATATCGAAGCGATGAGGATATAGAGAGGTTTGCAGAGACGAAAATGAAAGGCGATATAGACTTGCTGAAAAGACACGCGGAAAATAGTGGTCGTAAGATTGACTACATACCCGTCGTCCTTCCTGGTAGTACCGTAAGTGTTGCTTACTCTCTATTTGAAATGTCGCTAACATTTGGCAGGGCTTTAACCTCACCGAAGGCAGGTGGACCTGGAATGACATGAAACGGAAAGGAGGTAGGTTCCTCTGGAAACAAATATTCCATGCCAAACGGCTTGGTATACGGACGATGTATGGAGCTATGTGGGATGAGTGAGCAGGCTAGCTTTGTTTTCATTCTACGGTTGATTAACAATGACTGTAGGTACGACGAAGGGACGGCGTTCATGCCGATTGTGGCCAAAAAGAGCATGCTACCTCAATCAGACAAGTATAGCTTCATGGCACTCGACGAAGATGGTTATGATTTACCTCCAGACTGGTAAGTTGTGTCCATCAACTTTATATAATTGACTGAACGCCGTTTTTCCAGGTACATGCGAATCTGTGGTTTTGCTGCCGAAGGGTTACGCAGTGAACGATTAATTCACGAGACTTTTCCTGTAAAGGAACTTGAAGACTACTGGTCCACACGACCCAGGTATGAAGAAGATCCTGAGAAGAAGGATATAGATGGGGAACAGGCATATCAAGCATGGTCATCCACTCAAAAAGAGGAGAAGGACGAACCTCCGCCTCCTCCATACTCATTGGAAGTGGATGAAGCTGGACCGTCAGCGTCGGGCTCCGGGTCAGGCTCTGCGTCTCGTCCAGCAAGTGTAACGGTTCAGCCCCATACGTCACCTCCAGCTCAATCTGGAGCACTGAACAACAGCGCTAACGTTCCGTATAATCGATCCGCAGATACTTCCCCTCGCTCGTCATATGGCGGTCCATCATCACCGTCTTTCGCGTCTGGTTTTTCGTTATCGTCGTACGCAGGGCCACCTAATGTGCCTCACACGATGAGTGGATCTTCGGGATCTTCTCATACTGCTGCGCAGCAGTCGACTTCAGCGTATAACGATCCCATATCCTCGCTCACAAATGACTTTGCTCATCAAGAGATTTCATCTTCTTCCCCACCTCCACCTGTATCTTCTACTCGACCTTCTTTTACATCACCGCCTCCAGTTCATCCTGCATCAACATCTGCCTACCGACCAACTCAAAGTCCCCCACAATCTCAGTCATCATTTGGTGTATCACCCCCACCTGTGCATCCCTTAACGGCCAAACGTCCTTCATCCTCCAGACCTGACTCGTCCGCATCTTCCAGACCTCCGCCACGACCCGCACCTGAAACCCGCCCAGCCTCAGTCCGTCCCTCTCCTAGTGTCAATTACCACACTCGTCCCCCTTCAAGACCCCAGCAGCAACAGCACTCGTCCCCTCAATGGCCTCCACCGGAATGGGGTACATCTCCACCTGGACCCAGACCGGAATCAGTTCCCTATCCAGTTTATTCGAGACCTTCATCGCGCCCAGCCGGTTCTCCTCCTCGGCCTTTTGGCCGACCCTCTTCAGTTCCTAGACCTCCTTCTCCTGGCTCGTATAGACCTCCATCCCCACCCGTATCATTCCCTTCTGCCATGGGACCGTCCTATCCTCCAGAACCTGGACCCCCACCTCCTCCAATGATGTTCCCCGGGGCGGACACATTCCCCAGCCCAGCACCACAAGATCTGTACCGACCGACATACGCCTACCCAGAACCTCAGCCGTCACCTCCGGGCTCTGGCACGTTCCCGGTACAATCAGGTTATCCCGGACAGTCGAGCTATCCTGGGCAAGGACAGTCTAGTTATCCATCGTATTCATCATATCCCGGACAAGGACAAGGATACCCTGGACAGTCTTCCTATCCCGGACAGTTTGATCAGCTTCCGCCTGGCGGATACATGTACCCACAGCCCCAGCCTCAGGGGTCAGGATATTACAATAACACCACTCCTCCGCCTCCGCCTCCAAGCGAGTATCGTTTTCGAGTCTTAGCTGCCTTTGATTAACTTTTTCTTAGGGACATCTACGAATCCAGGCACCTCGTCGATGCCGGCGTATTTGGGCTCTGCGCTGACTGCAGTAGCGGGTAAGAAGCGGGGAGATCAGCTTATGCAAAGTGAGTATTTGTCTATCTATCTGTTGATTGGGGAATGAAACGCTGATTTGGATGCAGGTGGGAGTAAGCTGTTTAGTAAGTTCACAAAGTAGATTCGGCGTAAGCAGGGAGATGGTGTGTTAGCTTGTGTATTCGATCTGCTTTTGCTTTAGCTGTCAAGCTTAAAAATGGATAGTACTAGCTCAATTTACAGTCGATCTAAATGGCTCGGAGCGTCAGCTTTCTAATACATGAATGCACAAGTGCAGAGATTGAAAGCAGTTGGCGAGTTTTGACCCCAAGGATTCTTGCTTTACCTGCCCCCCAATATGAGGAAGACAGAGGTTTTGGAATGCCACCAGTTACTGGTGTGGCTCCTACTCACTGGTCCCAGAAGCTCGGTCCGTAGTGAGGACCAAGTGGGTGCTGAGGTTTCTGAATCTGCGATCATCGATCGACTCGGAGTCTCGAACTACGATCAGACTCTTATATGTTTCGTACAACGTGCGCAGCCCTAGGAATCAGGGATAAGTGGACGCTTGGAAAGAGTAGTCGGAAAAAAGAGGATATCAGGTGCTAGGTCATGCATTATGAGTCGACCCAGGCTCGAACTGAGGACCTTCTGTGTGTAAGACAGATGCGATAACCAACTACGCCATCGACCCATTACATCATGCGTACTGAATGTAGCATAATGAGGAACATAGGACGATTACCTCCTGCACCCTGCCTTACCTGAAGATCGGGCGATAGGAAAAGTATTAGTAAGATTCATTCAATCATTCAGTACACCGCATCTCTTAATTCGAGGATAATGTATTAAAGAGGTCCTTCAATTGATCTAGCCTTGCAAAGGTTAGAATAGACTAATACTTAAGCCTCGTTTCCTCAGTGACTGCATCCGCCCCAATGTTCTCTTCCCGAGTCCACCGCCACCTCTGACTCTAACAACGGCAGACTTCAGGATTCCAACCCGGCTGTCCATAACTCTCATAACCGCTCCTTCATCGACCGGATTCTCCGCCGCCCAAACCAACTCAACATGTTCTAACCTGATTAGAGACCTTTCCGTGTCGCTCAACTTTGTGAGAAGTCGTTCAGTGATCGTGACGAGCTGTGGTTCATGGCGCTCCACAATCGAGAGTGATGCAAGGACCTGGGTCGCGTCGAGGATACGGACAACATCGGCGCATAGGATCACGACATTGCGGAGGACAAGCTCACGCAATCCTGAGAGGGAGGGAATCATGGAAGTGACATCGATGTTATAAAGTATATACTGGCTCTCAATATTGACTCGATATACCAAGTACTCCGGAAGCCGCCGTCCATAATCGACGACTTCGAGAGTGGTAAGACAAGGGAACGCGAATCTCGTAAAGATGCCAGGAATATTATACGCCCAAAACAAACAAAGACTCTGAATGTTGATAGGTGCGCTGACTACAGACGGATCAACATCAATCCCATCATCGAAGAATGTCAGGTGCTGCAGGTTCGTGAACTGTTTTAGTAAAGATGTTGCATTCCAGCAATGGTAGAAGCCAGACTGCAGCCAAAGGGTACGAATTTGATGGAATGGGAGGTCTAACATCCCGATATCCACCGATGCTAAACGAAGCTCTCGAAGGTTCGGTGCATTTTTAAAGATTCGTGAAACCTCAAGACCATCATCGGTCACCTCGAGGTAGTCACTGATATAGACAGATTCCAAGGCTGGTAAGCTTGATGGAAGGATCGGAGGGACGAAACAAGCGCCGGCATTCAAAATGATTCTATGGCATCGAGTCAAACTGAGAGGCGTGCCGAAAGGATCGAGGAGTTCGGGAAGAGCAGCACGAGGCTCACGAAAGCCGCCTTCGACCTCACGATACCTCGTGTCAGTGATTGTAATGGCGGAAGAACTGAGGGTATAGAGTCTCGAATTGGACCGGTTACTGTAGCAAGAAAGGAGTTTCCTGAGTGAGTCTGGGAGATGGCGAAGGTTCATATTTACGAAGTGGAATGTCCACAGCTCGGAGGTTGATAGACATACACTACGCCAATGGTTGCAGACGGAGGAGAGGCGAAGGGGAGTTCCGGATGTTGTCACCAGATCGCTGTACGTAGGCTGATAAGGGAAGATGGCGATGTCGCAAGCTTCTCTAAAGATGGCCTGCAAAATCTCGATGGGAAGACGGCGTATGGGGCTGAATAGCGACTGATGAACCGACAGCGAGTGCTTCAGCTCGTTACGTGCATTTCTGAGGAGTGATAACGTAGTTTCCAGCATTGATATTTCTGAGTCGTATTCCAATAGTTTGGCTTTTAGATCCTGTAACACCCGTTTGGTGGACTCAGCACGTAATAGTTCCGAGTCTTGACACCCTTCTCGAAGCTGCTCCATTACGGAGGTGGAACTTAATGGGTGTTTAGTAGATATTGTGTTTTCGCATCTCCGGCAGAGGAGGATGGACGAGGAATCTATATCCGCCATAGTGATATACTGTGTCCGGGTCAAGTCAGGACTAGTTTCTAAATCAAAGGTGGAAGAAAGAGGCGTACCTTCAGACTGTCAGATCCACTAATCTCAGGGAAAGTGTGATTCCACTGGTTGTGCAGAACAGAGATACGATCAAGTTCAAAAGTTGCGAGATCGCTATCCCGCTCATGTGATCGTGCGACTATCTGGGAAGAGGGCCGATGAGCCGATTGGTGCGTACCACGACTCCCACGACTCGGTAGCGCGTCAACGACGTCGAGGCCGAATATCTTTCGAATGATTGATATTCCTCGTTATTTCCAGGAAATGTGGACTGTAAACAAAGGTAAATATCTAATCAATGAATCAAGTTCACCCCTTACCATTTCTTTTCTTTCAGTTTCGACAAACAACATACTTTTGGTAGGTATCCGTATCGTGGGACGAGCATACCCTTATTCGTAGCGTGACTGGTTACTGATAAAAATGCCCTTATGATGCCGTTACTGGGAATAAACTTTGCCTCGCCGTGGTATTGAATCAACTTACTACTATACTTCGGGTACTATCCAACTGCTAATCAGTTCCTGTAGGATCTTCGTAGGAATTTCGGGACCTAGTTTTATGATGCGGAAAGTCTTTTATATATGAGAAGGTTAAATGCGGAGTAGTGTCAGCGGTGCTGTTTGCTGGCGCTAATTCATGACGGCGTCAATCGGAAGACAGTGCTTTCGTGACCCAAATGACAGTCATCTTGGTCTCCGACTACCATGAACGCCCCCAAACGCAAAAATCTAGACCACCATCGAAACGAAACCTTTGATGATGTGCTACGAGCCCATATTTCTCATCTAAAGGTCAACTCGACGTGGTTTCTCCCATCTAATCGGAATGATATATGTCATTTCGTTCAGACTCTCGAGCATCACCGCCTTCGGTCTGTGGAATGGATAACATCCATCGTGTTGTCCTTCGACCAGTTCTTTACCGCCCTCGATCAGAGTATGTCCTCACATCCTGAGCTTCATAGCTTTGTCTGGGGCTGTATAAAATTCATCATCGAGGTATTTATTACCTCCACTCCAACTCCAATTCGAGTTATGCACTGATTTCCGGATCCCAGGAGGTATCTAAGCATTCAGTTTACTTCAAAAAAGTTATCTCTGTTCTAAGAGAAATTTCGGGACGGATGCACTTCTATCAACAGTATACCATGCCGCAGTACGGGGAATCAGTGGTAGTGGCAAAGGTACTCTGCTTGAGAACGATATTGATTTTATTAATGATGCTGTTGCACTTTAGGTGCTGGCCGACATATATGGGGCAATACTGAAGCTCTGCTACGTGGTGCATCGCACCTTTCCCCGTCGTGATCAAAGATCCCAAAGTGAGTCGTAGGTCGGAACGGCAGGTAAATAGCCTAATGACTCACCAATAGGTTCGAACTATGTCAAATCCCTCAATCCCTGGAGCGCCACAAAGCTCGACGAAGTGGTTCAATCCTTTGATACAATTCAAACGGATCTAGAGAATGTCGCCCGTCACAACAAAAGAATTAAAGGTTACGCAGGTCATGAAGAGCCTCACCAGACACAAAACGGGAGAGCAATGGCATCAACAATAGCGGCGGACGAGAGAGAGGGACACCGACTGCAGAATACGATGAGAGAAAAGCCCGCGGAGAAGGCCTCAAGACCAGAGGGACGGGGCATTTCTATTCCTTTTCACGAGATTCACTCATCAGCACAACAAAAATTTCTGTCGCAACTTCCATATGCCGAATGGCGCACAAAACATAGCCAGTGTGGACGTAAATGGGCTGGACATATGGATCTGGGACACTGGTTTCTGTCTTCCGAATTGTACCGATCTTGGGCTACCTCCGACCCGTCTTCGCCACCGCTCTTATGGGTGCATGGTAAACGTGAGCATATTAGGGTTTCCGTGATGATATATCCTGATGATATTGATAGGAGGAATAGGCAAGACAATGCTAGCGTGAGTGCTACTTCTATAAGCAATTATTGAAACTGTCATCTCAAGCTCGCGCTTCCCAAGGTGGAGAAGTATCGACGATCTCTTGTCTCTTCAACCAAAAGGCAAGGAGGACAATGTCGTGGCATATTGCTACTGCCGAACCGAGGATTCGTCGACGACGGACCCCATGAAAATCCTAGGCGCCATTATTCGCCAGCTCGTCCCTAGCATTCCGGGGACTACGATTAACTGGGATACCAGCCGTCCCTATACACGGACATTCGAAGGGCTTCGGTACTTACTGAAAGCTTTTTTGAATGAACTGGGATGTACTTTCATAGTTATTGACGGCATCGATGCTTGTTCTTTAGCGTCTCTAAAGCGACTGCTTCCCATCTTTACCTCTCTTTCCAAGCGAGCGCGCATATTGGTTATGAGCCGGGATATTGTTGAAATAGGAGAGGCGTTCCAAGGATCATTTTCTCGGTCGCTATTAATATCCACCATGGATATCGCCAAGGATCTGGAACGATACGTACGGCAATGCGTTTTTGAACCGGGGGATATCAATTCAGGATTTCGTTCCCTGACTCCGGCTGTCCAGAACGACATTGTTATTCATCTAACAAATCTGATCCACACATCTGAGGGCACGTATGTGTGCCTATGTTTTCGTTTTCGTTCAGAGGCTAATGTTATCTTAACAAAGCTTTCTTTGGATGCAATTCCAAATCCTCCACCTTGCTAAACAGCATAGCGTGCGAGGCATCAGGAAATCGCTTCAGCAGACACCGCGAGACATTGAAGGTACATATACTCAGTCTCTTCAGTCCATTTATCGACTTTGTGGAAGGCGCCAAAAGCGCGCCATTCAAGTCCTGCGCTGGTTGGTGTGTTCTCGATCACCGATTACGTTAGAACTTCTTCAGCAAGCTATCTCAGTGGACGAGATGTCTGATCATTGGAATAGTCGGAAGGTCATTGCGGACTCGGACCTCCACAATCTAATTGAAGACTGTGCCAATCTCATCCAGGTCTTCGATGTTCGTCCTCCGAACGGGAATCAATCTGACATCGAATTCACTGTCCAATTCTGTCATGCCTCAGTGAGGGATTTCCTGTCAGCTCCGAATATGGACGCCCTAGCATATCTGTTCCATAACCCCCACGAGGCTATTTTCCAATTGTGTGTCAAGAGTGCCATGATGCTGGAGAAGCATAGAGACTCCGATCTGTGTCCTGCACTTTCTCGCTACATCCAAAGCGTAGATGTCTTGTGGCATCTGCATTACGCAGATAAAACTGCGAATCCGGATATGCTGCTACGGAACTACCATGCCATGCTATCTATGCAAATGTCACCGTTCAGTCGCACGTAAGTAGAAAACTGCGTATCTCTTTTGTTATTATATAGTAAAAGTTCAATCTTTTAGGACCCCCGACGTTGACACCAGACTGGAGACTGCACTGCATATTGCTGCAGACTTATCTTGTACTCGTCTCGTACAACATATACTTAACAACGGAGTTAGCACCACGCTACGGGACAGGTATGGGCGTACGACACTCCACTACACCGCTGGTTGCCTTTTCACTCGGTTTCAATTTACCGATGAAGGTTTGGCTTGTACTCGCATCATTCTCGACGGCCTCGATCGAGGGTATATCAACGCCGTAGATGACCAGGACTGGACAGCTCTCCATCACGTAGCCACTAACCACTTGGGACCATCCGATGACCCGGCCAACGATACCGTTCTATTACTTTTGCGGCGAGGGGCCGATCCAAAAATATCTAACGAACGAGGCGAAACTGTACTTCATCGTCTTGCGCGATGTGAATGGGACTGCGAGCCCGCCCTGCGATATTTATCCCGGTACCTTGTTGACCCCAACCCCAGAAACCACTACGGAGAAACGCCTCTCCATCTTCTGGCCCAAAGAGATATTCTTGGAGGGAATGCTCTGAAGTCTCTGAAGACCATGTTGGAGTGTGGCGCCGACACGAATGCACAGGATTATGATGGAATAACACCTATGCATATCCTCTGCGGAAGGTCTTTGGTGGACGACACTGTTGCACTGATGATAAAAGCGTTGCTCCAGCATCAAGCCAATACAAGGCTGCAGGACATCTCCGGCTTGACTCCTCTCAACGTCTTAGACCATTATCACGGCAATTCTCTGACGCTGCCTGATACTGTGCGAAGCTTGCTCAATCATCGCATAAACAAGAACTTTGGGCACCAGGGTAGTGGCCGTCGCAAACACTTTGAACCTGCGATGTCTTCCGCACATAGTAGCAGGACTGGACAATTCCAAAAAGCGAAGTTGCTACGACGCCACAGGTGACGGTTCAATTCTAATGCAAGATGCGAAAGGGTACTCCTGTGGAGTCAATGTGGACAGGACTTGGATATTATTATTGACGAAGGACCATTTTTTCTTCAAGTTTTATAGTTTTCTTTTCCGTTATTCCTTTCCCTCAACTTATCTCTCTATCCATCTTTGAACGCTCGCAGACAGCATCCAATTCCCCACAATTCCCTTTTTCGAATGGGTCGTGGCATGCCGAATCTGCTGATCGCATTCTTTATCGCATCATCGGAGTTCAAATTTCCTTTCTGAAGAAAGAAAAGAGAAGCAGAATTGTCCATACTGCTTTTCCAGACTTTTATGACGAGAGTCCTACTCATCCCCGCGACATACATACTCGGCTTGAACCTGCTCGAGTTCTCGCTGACGCTAATATCACTTTTGTCGTCTGGGCCGAAGACGCGCTCAGTTTCGCTCACTTCGTACCGACCGTTAACATAGATACATTGATATCGACCAGCCGTCCTGCTTCCTGCAAGCTGCCCTTCTTGAGTGGACCGCACCAATTCCTGATGCAATCACTACAGACGAGGTGGCCCTTGAAATAGTCATTCACCCTCAGTCCTTCTTCTCATTTGACGTCCGGGATCCCAGTCGTTCACTTACTCTAGTTCCTCCCCTCTCAGGCAACAATGCCGGCGTACGTTTTCCTACACTCGCCGCATTAATTGACTCCTTATCCGATACTATGTCGGACCCACCTTTAGGCTATCGTCATTGGAGACTCACCATGCGATTGCGAAGCTACTTGTCCTACCTCATGTATTACAGTCCTCAGACTCGCGCGTATCCTCGAGTCCTTCCAAAGGGGGTTTGGAACCTGGACACAAGACCCTTCTAATGAGCGTAAGACCCGAGAATAGACAATTCTTGGACGGTATCGTGTGGGACACACGAGTCGGCTGGATGTCCCAGGTCCGGGAACGTCGAGCGCTCTTGGAGAAGATCGGGCGGGTTGCAGAAGCTAGACGGCCTCTTCCAGAAAATAGGCCCCGCCGCGTATGGTAGGTCATGTTTTGGTGCTGTCTTTGTCTATTCACGGGCTTCGTAGGCAATCTAGAGAATACCATTCAAACGCTTCAACCATGAACTCAAGACTTCAAAGAATGTAAGTGATTATTTTCGCACTCTTGAATAAGCTATTGACGCGTACCCTTACCCTCAGTAGCTATCCACATACACCGCCATCATGTTCTGGGATTGCAGTACTGTGGCAAAACTGCCTGGTGTCTTACATAGACTGAAGTAGTTGTAATAAATATGCTTCTCCTCATCTTTCTTTTTGTACCGTCTTCTCGAATGAACATATAGGCATCTGATATTTTGAATCATATCGGTCGCGGTCCATTGGCTTCGGCCAAGAAAGATGTCCTGCTGATCGGTACACTATGAGTGTAGGCATAGCAGTGAACCGTATGGTCTGCCGCACTTTAACTAGGTTGAATAAGCATGACTCATCTGGAAAATCTGAGATGAAGTTTTTACCATCGTTCGAAGGTGAACAAAGACATACTACAGTCGCCTCTGAAGTAACCCATACTTGTATTAACCCATACTCTGCTGTAACCCATAGGTTTTGCTGTCCACCGACCTCGTTCGCAGGTAAAATGAGTCCATAACCCATAACTTTGCTGTAACCCATAACCCATAGCTCTTTTCTGAAAATCCCTCTGTATAGTCACATACTCGCCCAATAATTTAGGTCAATTGGCTTAGTTGTTAGCATGTAATGTCGAATTTTGGGTGTTGTGGGTTCGAACCTTGTTATTCGCATTGTTTTTGGGCAAGCGCGGACTGGTGCGCGCGGAGAAATGTGATTTACGGCTCGATTCTTGCCGCTCCCTCGACTCCCACGGCCGTGCCTGACCCTATTGCCAATGTCGAGAAGGATGTTGAGGTGATGACAGTGCGGAGCGAGGAGGAAGCTGAATAGATGAGTGATGCTGATGTGAATCAATGTCAGTGTATCGATCCGCTTCCCTCCTGTAAAGAGGCTCTGAAGGCTGTTACAACCCTTCAACAATATGTTAGCAACTTGCATGACCCTTATATTCATCAGCTTGAAAGAATTACAGCTTCAACAGGTCGGGAGAGGCTCATTCATTGAAGGATACTGAAATTAAAATGTGTTTTACTTCAAACTAGGTCTAGAATACGATTTATGTGTAGTAGAGGCCTTTGAAACCCTTCAGAGACACCCTACAATGACCTCTGCTAGAACCCATACTCTGTAGTAACCCATAGCCCCAGGTGTCCACCGAGGGGTATGGGTTATTACAGAGGCGACTGTACTCCTTGCCACTATACATAAGATTTTTCTACGGCTCTTCGCGTTTCAATGATTTCGTGTGAGCGGTCCAGGTTTGACATTCTATTACATGCTGCAGGTCGAGTATGAGATTCTCTTGAGAGTGGGAACCCAAACAAGAAGCCAACCTTCTTGAGTTGTTGCAAGTAGGAACATCGTCGCTGGATGTAAGATTCCTTTTCACCTTCCGGTAGGGATAGGTAGTGGGCTTTCATCTGCTCAAAATCGCGTCGGAGAAATATTGTATGCTCGCCGGTTGTTCGTTCTCGTCCTTACAAAGATGTCAGTAATGACAAACTCGCAAATGGAGAAGACCCGCGCACTCTTCTTCATCCTGGTGGGAATAAGAAATAGGATACGGGATGCAAGAAAATAATCTTTGCTATTCTCGTTCTTTGGGAAGACCGCAGCGTCAGAGATGATCCTCATGTCATGAAAATTAATGCTACCACAATAATTCACGAGGCTGTCTCTTACTGATTTTTGGTGCAGGCACCACAGGTCCGAACACGAAAAAGAAAGTCAATCTTGCGGATCCCGGTTCTGGAGCAAAACTGTGGGGTATAAGTTAGACCGCCACCAACTTGGTTGAGTATAATAACCGCAGAGACGAACGTGACAAGTTGAATCGAAAGCAAGATTCGCCCATGCAGGCTCTGATAATTCAGGAGGTGGTCCGGGTAGTTTGGGTATGTCTGAACGAGCGGCGCGCCATGCAATTTCGGACGATCGGCTCATCAAAACCGAGCGAAACTGCAAGTTTGTACGAGAGAGACGAAGTAGATCGAAAGGGTGCAGCAGTTTGAATATCTTAAAAATCAAAGCTAGATAATGTACTCCCTAGCGAAAAGATCATGTATGTCCTCACCTCAAGCCATAGCTCCAAAGGAAGATTCATAAGGCTCTTTGTGCTCGAGTCTGCCCGTGATATCTTACCCAGGCAACGGTTTGCATTGTCCATGTCGACTTTGACACGCTTAGGTGTCATACTGTCGGTTCGAGGATGTTCTGACGACTTAAAGGATGTAGTTGAGAAGGAAGGGAATGATGTCGTCAGGCACGTGCATATGTCCGTTTTTGGGCATCACCACCGCACGTTAGCACGCAATCGACGATAATTACATAATATCACACAGGCAGTACGGAGGATCAAAAAAATAATCTCCAGAAATATCAGTTGGATTGCCGAGAGCTCCTTCAAGATATAAAAAGCTTGGGTTGATATTAATGTTGGCGACCGGACCATTGCACTCCAGGAAGGTCTGCTTATTCAAGAATGACAGTGAAGACCTCAAAAATTTTGTGGAAGGACGCTCGTCTGATGATCGTTGTACTGCGCTTTAATTCTCTCTAATTAACCTGCACAGGAAAAGCGGATATCATTACCGGTGATCAGTAGGCAAAGCCGGGGATCCATGGGAAATTCCTAGGAAGATAGAAAAACGACAAGTCACGTAGGTTTGTTTAAGGAAAACATCCCATTCAGTCTCTGAGGAACTGGACAAAATGAAAGGGGCGGTTCTTCATCCTCGGGCTGTCCTGAGATGCAAGTGTCGGCCTACGACTTCCCGCATAAGTTATGTAGTTCTAGGCCTGCGCACGAAAAGCAAGGTACGTCACATTGTGATAGAGAACAATCCAACGCTTCTACTGTACCCTGGCAGCGCATGGACGCGAAGAGATGTATGAGGTATCCGGAGTTGTTCGGTGAAATCTCGTAGTAATAAGCGCGTTGAACATATTATGAACTATTTCGTTGCCTATAGACCCGATTTTTCGGACATACTGATTGCGGCATAGAAACAAAGAAGCTGAGGACTACGGGTAATCGCGAGGCTAGCGACGTGGACCTTTCTTCTCAAGTCGTCCACTTGGAAAGAGCTCCTAGATACCCGATCCTTCAATCAGGAAAGGAGGGATCAAGATCGAAGACATTGAAACAATCAGCTAGACCGGATACTAGATGGTCAATGGCATACCGGAGCAGACGTCGCCGTACAGCAGAACGTGAACGCAAAAATGACCTAATGAAATGGGGTGCTTCCCGACTAGCTGTAAGGGCTACTCGCAAATTTACGAAAGCAGCAGATTTGGAAAGGTTCTAGTAGTTGATGATGATCTTTGAGTAAGTGAGGACGATCATTATTAGTCCCACAACTCCCGGAGTTATAGGAAGCGATACCAAGTGCGATCGTTCGCAGTCATAGCTGACACCGTGTGAGGGTGCAAGTGGCATGGTCGTGCACACTGACATTTCAAGCCATATGGTATACCAACTGAACTCGTTCTTCGTCTCCAAACAAATTTGACAGAGATTTCGGGCTGTTTAAAAAAGGCAACCCGCCGATTGTGTTGACTGTAGGAGTAAGACGTTCCAGGGCGCCGTAAGAGAACTAGACCGACGACTTCGCTCCTGTCAAACACTGGCTTTACTTTTGAGCATTGCAATGGGTTTCATCTGGCTACTTTGGGAGCAATGCAGAAGAGAAGATATCGTAGGTGATCTTAGACGAGGGGGTTTGGTAGGGGCGCACAAGATATCGAAGAGGAAGGGCATGAACAATAGCACCACAAGAACACCGGGGGGCCACGGAAGCACAACGTGTATAGGAAGGAAGAAACCCGTGGGGTCCCAGAGCAAAAGGCCCACTTCGATTTCGAGATGCGCCAAAACGATGCGTTGGCTACGGAAAGACTCGTAGACGACCCCCCGTTGATCCGATAAGGAGAGATGTGAGGTGCACGAAGCAAATCTTCACGAACAGAAAGCGACCCCTGTGGATGTGTGTTTCGTTAGGCGAGAACATACCCTAAGAGGTGAAAGAAAGCTTACATCGAAGTCCGGTTGCATGCTCTGCGTCGTTTAAGCGTCGAACGTCATGTCCACCGCAGAGGAGCCCAGCCTGTGTACGCAAGGTTCCTTCAAAGGACCAACAATACGAAGGGAAGAGATACGTACGACAACTGAGGAGAAGTCATCAAAATCCGTCAACCCCTCGACCGCTTCAAGTTCGAATAACTTCGAATACTATCTGATAGCGCCTTGTCGGCGTAGCCTCCCGCATTTATGCATGGCTGACAGTAATCTTCGATCGAATGCTGGTGTGGGTGCTGGTTACAGACCTAGTAACCAGGTTCGCGAAGCGCGTATTTCTTAAGAAAGACGCGCCCTTTCCGAAAGAGCAGCCGGCATTCCAAATTTACGCCGCCTTCGAAGTCCACGCCCTTCTTGCTGGAGTTCTGCGTCAAGTGTAATTAATTTGCCGCCGCTAGAGTGGGTGGTCGTCGCCGGAGCCACGGATTCCGTCGAAGATGTTATATCCTTTGAGCCTGAGGAGGGTGAGGACACAAATAGTGCTTATTCCTTCCGTCCGACATGGATAGCGAGCAGCAGTGGCATGAGTCTCGGTTACGACAGAGAGCTAACATGGCTGGGGCGTTCGGAGCTGCGGCGGCGGTGAACAAGAAAGTTAAAACTGTGCTGTGCGAGCGTAGAACTTCTTGGAAGCACTAATTACATGTCATCAACGACACGTCTAGGGCCCATGAACCTGTTCAAGTAACATTAACCCAACAGTCCATTGAAGGGCATAACCCGGTACGGACAGTATTCAGTGCCAAAATGAGAGACGATTGATTATCTCACAGGCTTGGACCCTCTTCTGTCGGCAGACTTCTGCCGGGATTCATGAACTACACCTTTTGAAGGATCATACTGTTATCTCCTCCGTTCACCATGATTCATTACAGAACAATGATCAGAGTAAGGTGGTGATGAGACGGGTTCAGCAAGGCGTGACGAAGGCACGGTTCGGAACAGCATTATGGAAGACTGAAGTCCCAAAGGAAATGACGAGAATTACGAGCCATTGTTCAAAGCGCCACCACCATCTAATCCAGGCAATGAATATTGAACGTGAACCCTTTCCGTGATAAAGTAAATCAAGTCCTATATAGACAGAAACGTAAGACTGCAGTGAAAGTACGCCGCGAAAGCTCAGGAAAGCTTACCAAAAAATTAATCAAGGACGGGGGTTAAGGGAACGAACAGAATTTTGATGAAGGTGGAAGAAAAGAATGCTAAGATGGAAAGTTGAAGCTAAAAATGCACTTCCGCTTTGTGCTAGCAGAACCCAGGCCATGCACTTGGCGTTCCGTAAGTCGTGGAGAGAGGAGGGGTCGGCAAAGTCCGGATTTCGGACATTCGGTAGACCGGACCGAAAGCCGAATTCAATCGCTATCATCGACGACCTTGATCAAAACCAATCTTGGCAGAATTTATTGAACTGAATACAAGTATTGACAGGAGTACCGCATCCGTAAATTTGTAAGAAATTTCCCCAGCTTGTTGCCACTAACAATATTGAAATACTTTGCATGTAGCTTAGTGCGTAGATGACTGAAGCCTTACGTGCAGATACTGCATCCAACCGCGACGTCTTCGTATCCTCACTCATCCACAATGAAGAGCCCTTATCGGACTCCGATAAAATATGGATTAAACAGGACATCACCATCTTTGAACGCGATATCTCACTGATCAACGACAAAATCGCTTCACTGATCAGTCAAAGAGATATATTGCGGCAACGTCTAGCCAGATACAAATCTGTTCTTTCACCTATCCGCCGCCTTCCGCGAGACATCATGATAGACATTTTCTCTCAGACCATTCATCCATCAGCGAGCAGTCTAGATGTTCGTCAGGGTCTCTGGCCGTTGTGCCACGTCTCGTCATCTTGGCGCGAAATCCTATTGAGCACTCCCTACTTGTGGTCTACCGTCATTTTGGCTCCCCCGTACATGTCTCGGCACTCGAAGGCCATCCTCGCAGAACACCTCCTTCGTTCCCAGAGCCACCCTCTGAGGGTGACAATCATACAGGAGAAGAACCCGACTAACATAGGCATTAAGCTCTGTGATATGATACTTGGGGAATCCAACCGCTGGCTTTCGGCAAACCTGAATTTGGAATTTGCCTATCTTCCGTGCCTTGATTCTCTATACGGACACTTGCCGTTATTGGAGGATATGCACCTTACGGTCTTTCATGATAATACAGAGACACAGTATACCGGCCGTGATGCACTCTCTATTACACCTTCTCTCCGCTGGGCATGTCTACCGTTTACGATTCATCTCACACCGGAGAATGGAAGCCGCCTCACTCATTTGTGCTGCACCATCGGAAATCTTGAAGACATCCAGTACATCTTTCGAGCACCCTCTCTACTCGAATGCAAATTAATACGTGATAATACCACCAAAGCTTATGACGGCCCCCTCATCCATAACAATACCATCCAAGCCTTGTGGGTGGACAGCATAGACATCTTAAACATCCTCACCCTTCCAGCACTGACGAAACTGATCATCCGATTCGTAACCGATAACGAGGCATTTCCACCCCTAATCGACTTCCTCAGCAGATCATCATGTACCCTCCTAGAACTCGGCGTAGAACCCAAACTGGGGAAACACATCTCCCGTCTCGCCGCACATACCCAGAGTGTTCGCCGATATACCGTCTATCTCTACGACGATTTTATCAGCAGGGACGCTCTCATCGCGTTAGGACAGCTTGATCAGGCAGACGTCCTTCCCTCGCTAGATCAACTCAACATCCACTTCCACCGCTTCTTTGTACGTTTCTGGAGCTCAGTCCATACAAGGGTTATCCGTGAAATTGCTCATCAGCGCTTCCTGAACACGACGGCTAACCAACGGCCGCGCACGCCTATCATATTTCGTTGCAGTCATGAAATGGTGGACCTAGTCGAAAGTCTGCATACTTGGGGTCTTTCTGAACTTCAAAATACAGGAGTAATGGAAGTAGAACCCGCATCGAAGGTACCCTACTGGATGAAGCCGCATTGGATGGACGATAACAATGAATAGCAGTCCCGTGGTGGCGTCAAGGAAGTCTCGGGGTGTAACGGAGGGGCTTATAAAATGAACTGACGTGACGCACTTGAGGACTGTCGATGCAGAAAGCCACATGTTAAAATGTGGATGGACAATTCGAGGGAAAGCGAAGTCCAAAGCAACGGACCCCCGTCGTAGGAATCAGCGGCTCGCCGGGATTCACAGTCGAATCCTAATGTCATCAGCGCTTTCACTGTGGGGCATGCTTTTCTTTGAGTCGCCGCCAACCGGTCCTCACGCTCCGTATCGCCAAGTCGACGACTTCTGTATGTCAAAGGTCAAAATTCTCACTTCATAACGGTGTCATTATTATGCCGCCTACATTTAACGAGTCTTCAGGCTTCAGTTGCTATCCTGTATTTTTTTTTTTACCGAGTCGACAGGATTTTTCAAATCGGCCAATTGTTCTGATCGGTGTATAAAATACGCGTCGCTACCAATCCTCATTATTTTCTTACTACAAAATCTGGGCGTGATTGCGCGGATAGCGCGACGATCAACTTCAAACCCCAGCTGCGTTGACTGGCTGCATCGAAGCAACTAGTGCTGCGTCCGGTCGTGATGACTTCACTTATTACGCGTTCCGCAGATACTTGTCGCACTGAAATCATGGAACAACAACGCGGTTTACGCCATCGGCGACTGAGAAATGAAATCACTGATCTACAGCAAACTCATAATCGTTATATGTAACGGAGAGAAATGTGTGCCCCCGCAAAACAACGGGAATCCATAATTGAAATCATCTTCGAAGTCGGTAGAGCGCCTCGAGGCAGCAACTGTCGAATCTGAAGACGTATTACGAGTCTTCTCACCGGTGAATTCAATCTACGAAATCGCCAAAGCAACGTAAAACTGTCAAACGTCGGAGCCCTGGTGTCCTGAATTGAGTGAAGATCCGTTGGGAGGCGAATGGTACGTCTTCTAAAGTAACAATGTGACGCGATGTAGAATGGATATAGATTTCCTCTGATTGAGAATACAGCTAAATGGTATACTTGAAAGAATACAACAACAAAAACGCACGTATACAACTCGTGTCCGAGATGGAATGAAACCAAGAAAATTCCGATCCATCCAAAATGTACGTCCCAAGCAAAGGGGATTACGACGTCACAGAGCCTGATTCCACTGGCAAGGTACCCGATGTCAGAAGTTAGTATACCGCCACCCGACCGATGACCCCCCACCCCATCCCCGCACTTTCCTCCCATTCCTCTTTCAATCCCACTCCAAATCCGACCCCCAAAATAACGGCCGGTCCTGGGAGCCTAGGCTTCCATGCCCAGTCTTTGGGATGGTAGGGGGTCGCCCCCACTTGTGGATCGTAGGAGTCTCGCTCGTCGTAGGGACTAGGTGAGACGGGAAGAGCAGGACAGGAAACGTGCCCTGAGAGAACGACGTTATAGGCGCGCAAAGAATATGGAATCCAGACAGTGGGTGAAGGAGCGCGACGCCGACGTTTTGCCTGAGAAGACGGCGAGGAGCGCGTGGGAGGCGTGGGAGAAGGCGTTCCCGACGAGCGTGCCGCCGCCAAAGCCGGTAAAGAAGCATTAACTGGTTTCAGAATGCAGCGTTTGACATGCCGATTCAAGTTGGACGCAACACCAAAGCGTCGTCCGCACGTTTCACATTGATATGCTATATTTTTTAGAAGTGCGAGTCAATATTTCTATCTATAAAAAAACAAAACGACATGATTTTCACCTTTCTCTCCTGTATGCACCAAAAGATGTTTCTTTAACGTACTCGGCCTGTCAAAGCGCTTATGGCACATTGTACACGCATGCTTTCGTTCCCTGCCGTCGTGAGGACCGTCCATTGCGAGTACAAAGCGAGAAACTTTTAAAAAGCGGTAGTGGGGATACCGGTCGCCAGGTCGAGGCATATAACTTATATAAGGGCGCCCCAGGGAAGACTCTAGCTACGCCACTTGCCATCGATAATGTGCCTCGTGTCTGTGATCGTCGACACGCCACATCATGCAGGAAGAACGTCGGAGTTGCGGCGGAGTAGCCCAATGATCCCATCCTTCTGGCCCCTTCTTTCAGAGATCACCTCAATTAGTTACCATGCGGTTCCGTGAAAAAGGTCCTTTTCGATTTCTCTAGAGTTCACGCGTAGGAGTTGAGTTACTGGGGGCTGCGAACGTTCTGTTCTGTTCTTTCTTTCTCTGCCTTGTTTTACCGGCCTGCCTGCCTCCAGTGTACGTGTAACGGCCATTTTGATGCCAAAGGGGGAAGTCGGGTATTCGATACGTACTACGGTTCGAAATTTTGTATACTCAGGTATGATGTACCGTGTCCATTCCGTCGACTCGGACACTCACGAAAAAGGTCAAAGGTTCGTCAAAATCTGCGTCCTATCACAAAAATTTATTTCTAAGTCTCTCTAGCGAGCTTTGCAACCTAGCGTCGATATACGTACAATCTTCAGCCGTGAAAGCTACCTCAAAATCTTCGCATAGTCTGAGCATTCCTTTAACGGTCACTCCGTCCGAATCGTCTCTCGGGAATTTCTCTCATCGCACCCGTCCAGATTCGCGGCAGGATCTTCCCACTATGGTGATGCAATGCTCGGTCTCTAAAACCTACGTGGATCGGATACAAACGGAGAAGCCAACATTCGCCTTACGCGGGAGATGTTTGAATGGCTGCCCATCAATTTGTGTACTACCGCGACCTTCTTGAAGTTCTTCTCTTCGAAACACCCTTCACATGACAGAATGGCGTATTCCAAATTCTCATTGGAGCGATAACTCGTATTTCAGTGACAACTGCTCTCAGGATGATTGGTAGATAAAGGTTCGAGTACTTTCGAGACTCCACTGGGTTCCACAGGACGTCGACGATAGGTGGATATCACCTAGCTCCCTGTGGGAACTCTGCAATATACGGGCGGTGGATCATTCTCAGATTTGAAAAAACAATCAACACTTCGCATTCCCACTCCTTCCTTCGTAGACTGCAATTACATGTACACTGCGCTTCGATATCTATCCCAGCAGGGTCGGTCTTGACTCTTATCGTTTCAGCTTTCTAGGCAGCGCTGAGGCCAGGAACACAATGACCTCGGACATATCAATCTCGCTTCTCTTTTTTTCTTTCTTCTAGATCCTTTGCCATGGCAAAAGTTTCACTTCTGATCTCATTGATGATGCGCAAGCTATCATGATTTTTTAGCGCCTCGAACGCGTACATCAAATTCTGTATCTCACCGAACCCCGTACTACTTGCGTGAGCGGAGCTTATACGAAGCGTAAAATGACCGAGGCTTCCCACCAAAAGCACTACTTGTCGACAATGGGGCGCCGTACCCGATATTCTCCAAATTCAGAGAATTGAGAGTTTTCTGCAGCTGATATTACTGTGAAATTTTATAGTACCTCAAGTGTTACTAATGGGTCGATGGCGTAGCTGGTTATCGCATCTGTCTAACACACAGAAGGTCCTCAGTTCGAACCTGGGTCGACTCATATGACCAGATGGGAATATTATATCCCTTTTTGTTACTACAGAAATTAGAATTTGGTCAATTCTAGGGCTGCGCACGAAATCTCCAGGAGGGGTAAAATACCGTTTTATACCGACCCATCCCCAAGGCGGGTGTTTTGATACGGTATTTTACCGTTACTTACCTGTCACGTGCAAAAACCACATGACTGACGCGCCGCAATTGCAGATTTTTTCTAAAACTCCCATCGTCGTGTTTTTATACATTTCTTGATAGAATGGAATGCCATTTATATATAAAGATCACTCATTTGTGAACTTACCTTGGAAATCAAAATGTACATCTAATAATATGGAATTATTTTGCTCAACCACCTATCACATGGCAGGTAAGTTACCTCGACGAAAAACCCTCCAGGGAGGGGAGGTAAAATACCAGTAACTAACTGGTAACTTACCGGTCCGAAACCCCGGTGTATCAAAACCTAGGGTTTCGTGCGCAACCCTAGTCAATTCTGTCCAAGTAGGGCTAAGCCTAAGACTCAGTTGAGCCTTGATTAGGGCTACGCACGAAACCTCCACCGGGGTGCAAGGTATTTCACTAAACTCCAACGAGGGGGGTGGGTAAGTTACCCAGTGACTAACCAGTAGCATACCGGTCGAAACCCCGGTGTACTAGGTTTCGTGTGCAATCCTAGGACTCTTGACCATTGCCCACAAAACCTCCAGGGTGTTACTTACTCTTTACCCACCCCTCCTCGGGAGCTGTTTTGATAATCACCTGATGGGCGCGCAGCAATTGCGATTTCTTTTTTAGAATTTTGTCTTCGCGTTTTTGGATATATCCATGACCTAGTGAGCACATGTAGGGAATAAGCATTTAAAATAGAGTACACATGCAACAGTCATAAGTTATTCTGCGGTACATGATAAAAATCCGGACTGTCCTTTTAACCTACCAGTCCGAAACTCCATTGCCCTATTCCCTAATTTCCAAGGTCCAAGTTGAGCCTAGCTATCAATTATCGTAGATCGGACAAGTACTAGATAATGTGTAATCTAGCTTCTCTGCACTGTCTTTTAGTTTGTGGGACGACAAAAAATCATTCAAAACTTAGAAATAACCACTCGGTTATTGTCAATTGAAGCCGAAGCGTTGAATTGTCTCGTTAAAATCTCGGGTAAAGTATACTACGCGTCTGAACACCCTTGTTCTCAGGCCGGCAAGCTCAAGACCGAAGCCCATTTTGTAGAAGAAGACGAGGACTTGGACCTTGCTGCCAAAAAAAGGGTAGTTAGAGAGAAACCAACAAGAAGCGAATGAAGAGGACAGAGGAGATTCGAAGCGCCTCAAGCTTAACGAGCAACATTGCTGCGGTAGCAGGCGGTTTCTGACCAAAAATTCAGGAGAGTGGAGTTGAATATTTCACGAGAGACAGCTCGGAAGATGTGGGAGAGAAGGCAAGTTTTCTTGGACGGATCGACGTGAATGGATGAATGAGTCAGCGAATAATCTTGCCTCCGTAAATCGGGGGTGTCGAGGACAAAGCTAGGGGCTAAAAGCTGGGCATCATAAGGACAAACTGGCCGTAGGGAAGGATGGCATTTTGACGACGGCCCTTGAGTACCGGCCGAGGCAGCATTCCAGGGTTGGGCTACAGCTTTCGACTGTTCAAATGTTCGTGACGACCTATTATCCACGGACCGGTGTTTTCTGCACGCAGCTGCATTGTAGCATTGCACAAGTAGGATATACACCTCATTCACGAAAGTGGCGGAATGCTGAGCCGCAGCGAGAGAAACGCTGTTGAACCTAATATAGTGAGACAATGAGCATCTGCGACATTTCACGAGACGTACTGATAGTCCAGTTAGATCCTTGGACTCGGAACTCAAGATAAGAAAGGCTGCGGGGGAGGGAAGAACAAGAGCAGGAGGGGGACCATTGAGCCTTCCGAAAAATACGGATCTAATGCGCAGAAGGAAGGATCCTTGGTCTCAGACAAGGATTTTCTGGACAAGATCCGGTCTTTTCCAAATCTGCTATAGAGATCTGTCGGCGAGCAGGAAGGTTATCTGCGAGATTCCATATTGCCAAATTCGCAACTGTGTGGGGATCCAAGATCAGTGTCTGTTTTTGAACGGTCTACTTTAAGCAAACCTTTTTCAGAAAATGCGAGTGCTAAAAAAGAGCGGTCGTCACACTTTTATCTGCAGCACCCAGCCAGTATGGAAGCGCCTATCCAGAACCTCGAGAACACCGACGTCCTCGTCGGCCCTCCACAGCTGCGTATCCGGCTCTTTTGGTTCACGACCAACAGCCCCATCAACACCAGCTTTATAAAGGTTGTGCATCACCTCGCCGTCGAGGTTGCTAAAGAATACGCACGCGACGTTGGGAACCTGAAGCAAACAAGGGTGCGTTGTACCGCTCGCCGGCACTATATCTAACCCCCCCCCTTCAGGATGACTTGGCCGCCGTCTTGAAGGCCTCGCATGCTCAATGGGACGTCATCATAGGCTGTCAGATCTTTCCAATGATCCAGGCGGACATTGTACCACCCAGCAGGCCCATTATCCCTCAAAAGCGCCCGGCGGACCCACAGTCCCAAAATTCAGTGGTCGAGAGAACCAGGATTGCGACCGATGGCAGCCCAGGGATCATTTTCTTGACGACCATCTCGGTACCGGCCTCACAGGTCGGGCCCCCCCGATATGAACCTGCAGTTAAGGGCTATGGCCCAACGAGTGGGAGAAGCAGCGCGAGATGCCGGCGTGCAGAATCGCACTCCCATGATCAAAATGCAGGTAATTTTCAAAAATGACTGAAACTGTCAAAGTCCCCTCCGTGTACGAATAGGTCTGAGTGGAGTGACATGTACTTGTAGGAATACGTTTGTACTATATTAACCTGTGAATGAATCAAGTTCTTGTAAAGAATGGTTTCTGGAATCGACTTTACAACATCGTTAGGGCTTCAATTTTCTCATCCACGGCATTCATGCATTGAATATGATGCCCCCGACATGTCCATTACCGTCATTCAACGTGGAAGATTTCCCCATGGAAGAAACGCTGCTGACAACATCTCTTGCTAGGGGCATAGATGACACCAGAGACTGACGACTGTACTAGATGCGGCCTCGTCGTACCATACCAAACGAAAATCACCGTATGAAGTCAGTCGTGGACAGGGTTCATTACTTCAGAGAGAGTCATCTCCGGAAGCCATCGTCGTCTAGTCTTGCGACGTTCACGAGCAATGAGAACATCTCGAAGACTCCGCGCTGACACATCCAGGAAGACCAGAAGCATGTATTAACGGTGCTCCATTTATATACAAAACGGTGTGGTCGCCAAAATCCCGAAATACTAAGACAAGGGTGAGCTCACACAGTATTGGTCTGAGGTACAGATTGTATACATACGGTCATATGCGCTGCATTAACGCCTTCACTGGGCACTGATGCGGAGCATCTAGGGTCCTCACCGTCAGCTGAACATTGCTTGGTCGAGTTCCCTTCGGGAGGATCTTCCGTTTGCCAGTATTCTACGCCTGTAACGGGCGTGAGCAAACCAAAGAAAAGTGATTGACACAAGAGACGCGCCATGATGATGGTAGCCGAGGGAAGTCGGGATCATCGTTGGAACTCTGGAATATATCAGAATAGGGGAAGAGCTATGAAGGCGTGGCATGGTACCCATCATTTCCGTGAACGACTAGAAGACTTTCAGAAATAGTATATACAGAAGGAACATAACCCACCTCTGAATGCGTTTCTACCAAACTCGCTATTGAAGTAGTCGGCAAATTCCTTATTCTAAGTAGATAAATGCGTTATCCAGCGAAATAAAAGCCAACGACCTACTCCCGTCCTAGGCGCGCCATAAGAATATGTCCGTGTCCTCAGAGAAGGAAAGTTTCTTCGAAGACAAATGGCAGCTAGCGTCGCCAGAGATCCTCCGAGGGAGTGGCCTGTCGTAACTATATTCTTCAAATCCGGGTATAGAAACAACTGTTCCTTGATCACTGATATGATTTGTACCACGATAGAGTTCCACCTGCAAGAACGTAAGATAACGCCCTGGAAAGATCAAGCTGAACGTACCCGACGAGGAACCCGCTATGCACCCGCACACCGCCTACCGACTTTGGATGGGTGTCTTTGTCGCAAACACAAAGGCGACTCACTTGGAGCTTCGACACCAGGTGTGATCAGCGGGACGAGAACGATTGCTGAGTCGACCAGGATGTCAATGATGGATGCGCTGTCATTTCGTCAAATCCTCAGCCCATCGATTCTTATCAACAGGATCGACCTTCCACGGAGAGCAAGCACCAGCTCTTTCCTGTCGCCGTCGCGAGCAATGAAGCCTTGGATATCTGAAACAGAGTTGGATATCTAGGATATCCTCAGGTCCATTAGGCGTTACTCAAGAGGATCCCTCGAACCTCCGTTACGAGGTTACGGCCGTTCGGTCTTGGACAAAAGGGCGTGTAGGCCGACGATGCATATTTGAAGTAAAATATGAGATCTTGAAGGATATCTAGTCCATCCGGCGCGTCAATAGAGGGATAAATGAAAGAAAAAAGGCGGTACATACCAGGAGAAATGCCATGGAGGTCCTTGATAGACATGTTACGGAGCAAAAGTGGTCGTTCATCGCGGTCAGGTGAAGAGAGCGGAAGGAGGAAATGATGACGCAGTTCGATGCCCTTTTTTAGAAGAACTCTTGTACCAAATGACGGATGCCGAGATCCCGGACTTTCTCCAGGACACTCGTACAAGTACTTCTTTCCGATTCTAATTTCTGGCATTTTAGAATTCCCTCTTTAGATACATATATAGCTAGTGAACCAGCTTCCTGTCCAATATTCATCAATCTCTATGTACCCATTATCCCAATCTAAGCCCTTTTCCTCGAGTGCATCAAGTCCTTCGATTTCTAGTTGATCAACGACTTCAGAGCCGTCAACACGATCTATCTGCAAATGGGATAGTCCTGTCACGTTCAAAACTGCTGCCCGCTCTTCATCAAAGCGTTGACGGACGACGTCAATGACACCTTTCGCATATCGTCTTGTCCAGTAAGCATCAATACGGACACAGAGCCTCAACTGCTTCATCGCGGGAAGGGTTTCAGGCAGGGTTAACGAGTCCAGCGGAGGTAAGGTACCGTCGTTGTGGTAGAGCACAACCAAAGAGCTGACGTTCTTCGTGAAGGCTGTAAGATGGTGAATCTTTTGGACCGACTCCGGGGAAAGGTATAGATGCTCGATGGAGCAGGCCGACCGCGCCAGAAAATCTTGAAGCAAATGCACGTCTTCACGCTCGTTTGCAATGTGTTGCAGATGACAGCCGAAGTCTCTCAGCGACGGTGCGGTAAGAGCATCCAGTATCCTCACATCATTGACTGATAGGTACTGGAGTTGTTCCATTTTAACAGGTAAAATTTTTCCAGAATCCGGATGTCTATCTGCGTCATCATAAAACAAGATATGAACATCGGTGAGTGTTTGAATCTGGGCGATGTATCGAATGTCCGCCAAATGATGCAGTGTCCCCGAAAAATGCGTGAAGAAGCAAGCATTCAAAGGCAACTTGGAAACTTCCAGTGGTTCAAGCTCTGCACACCGAAGAGACGGAGCCGAAGACAATGCATCCGTGCTGAAGTACGCTTTACCCCTGGCGTGAACGTACAGCTCTTCCAGCAATGGAATATTTCCTGATACAGAGGAAAGCTTCTCCAGGTCTTTCAATGGTGCATAAATGTCCACCATTTTCCAGAGCGCGGATTTTTGAATGACCATATCGAGAACACCACCCTCATTCGCGTTGACCTCGGTCGTTAGTGCTATCCACAACGGAAACTCTGCCGAGTGGCAAAAATGGTGGGTGAGGATGTCCACAGAGTGCCGCGTGTATGGTGCTTCCAGGATGACAACAGACCATAAGATGGGCGAGGAAAGTACAATTTCCCGCCACCATCCGCAGACTTGCCCTAGAGGCCACACGCCCTTTGTGACATCGAGGCTGTTCTTTGGACGATGCGCAGCCCAGCGATATATCTCCACAAGAATGTCCCTGGGGAGACGAAGGACAGGCGATAGTAATGACTTGCGCCTAGAAAGTGAATGCTCCATTCGCTCTTTTCGGCGCTTCAGTAGAGCTATTTGGGTCTCCAGATTGGAGAGCTCCTGCTCATATGCAGCAATGTCCGTTTCAATCCAAGATACATCAACATCCAGTAATGGCCTCCTTTTACGAAGAATCGACGTTATCATCTATTCGCGTTGAGATTCGTCGTCTTCAAGTAGCCGCGGTGGAACGGAATCAGATAGCAGCGCCATATCATGGGGTTCCTCCAACCTAATGGAACTGAACTGTGAATGGTAAGTCATTGGGTTCTCTGGTTTGAGAGCAGCTGTATGGTACTCACACTTCGAATTACAGCGTAACAAAGTTATCGGTAAAGGCTGAGACTCACCAAAAGGGGGGAGCATGCACACGGCACCGGGAAATTCCGCCTTTGTCTGTCTTGTTTCGGAGAAACACCGTTCAGCCCTTCTGACTGCACCATGAATGCTGGCGTAGGCTCTGCTGGATAGCCTAGACTAGGCCGGGTGCTTTTGAAACACTGTGTCTTCATATTTTACACCAGTGGAATTAGTGCCATGAATGGACTACTGTCGATGTCGACTCAACCTCCTCTGTGGTTCTGATCTGTGGATGAACTTACCCATTCTCGTTGGGATGCAATAAGCTTATGGAAGGTTACCTCTTGTCTCCGTCGCACACACAGAAGGTCCTCATTTCGGGCCTAGGTCCACTCATCTGAAGTTGATCCTGATAGTACCTTTTACTTCTAAGGCCAAGGCTTTAACTATTTTATTAACTGATGACTAGTCCTTGTACTTACCAGTGGTCAATAGATTCAGACTGTTAAACATTGCTAACTCTCTGTCCTGTCAAAGCACAGCATTTTATGCAAGACTTGAATTGATACGAGAGTCAATATTGTCCGGTATGATGCACAACGCAGACCACGCGTCCAGATACACTTGCATTAAACAGCGAAGTCAACGACCGTCGAAAATACATGTTTCAACGTGAGATCTGCTTGCTGGCTCGAACTGTTTGCTTAAGGATGGAAATGAAGCTTAACAGTCGAAGAGCGAGCTGGTTTCTAAAAGCGACTCCGTTGTCTACATACAAGTACAGATAATTACGGGTTTACTAACGAAATTCCACCGTCGATACGCAGGATGGCTCCATTCGTATAGTCAGAGACCGCCAAGAGCACTGCAGTCATACCCATCTCTGCTTCGCTATCATATTATTAGATAAAGCACGTGTGACACAAAGAAAACACTCACCTCCCATGCCTTCTCGCAGGTATCTGCGCCACCAACCCAGGCATGATCGACGTCCTAAGCAACTCCAAGAATTCGGGAGACGTCAATTGCGATTCAAACGGCCCAGGCGAGATCGCATTCACACGAATGGGAATGTCCCTAGTACCAAAGCTCGTCCCGAGAGTGAGGGTGAGGTGGTTCAAAGCGGCTTTCGTTGGCGCGTACGCCATCTCAACATTAAATTAGTCTTATCTCAGGTGAGCAAAACTTGACGAGAACATACCGAAATTCCACCTGGCGACGACCGTATATTTGCTGCTATGCTGCTGATATTAATGACGCTCGATGTTCCCTGTGGGCGAGAGTGTGCTCCTTTGATGAGAAGAGATTGGAAGGCCCGGACGACAAAGAACGGCGTGATGGTGTTCAGCGCAAACATATCTGCCCAATTCTGTACCGTTTCGGGCTCAAAGGGGTCACTTGCCGACAACTTCTTTGTAAAGAAGTCGGGATCGCGAAGGGAGGCGGCGAAACCGGCACTAGAGGACGAAGATAGTCAGCGCCAGGAGGAATAGGAACGGAAAGCACAAGTGACAAACTTGTTCACGAGGATGTCAAGCTTGCCGTCAATTCCTTCGACGTGCTTAACACCAGCCTTTACGCTTTCTTCATCTGTCGCGTCCATTTGGAACCTGGGAGCAGGTAAGGAATGTATGGCATGGCATGGAGGGCGCCTACTCACGGGACAATAGATCCCGCCACACCTGTGACAGATGTAGCGGCTTTCTCCAGAACGTCCAACCTTCGGCCGGTAATATATACTTTCGCTCCTGCCGCAGCAAAAGCTTTTGCGATGCTGAGTCCTCTTTTTTGACGCGTCAACAGCAAGTTGAAACCAAAGACAAAGAAACTTACATCCCCGTTCCGCCTCCAGTAATCAAACCTATGCGTCCGGAGAGAGACATTGTCGTCGCTACGCTGAGATCTGCCATGTTCAAGTTCTGAGAATATTGGAAAATTAATTTGCCAACACGTTAGCTTTTATTCCTGCTGTTGCTAGTTGGCTGACACATATTTGGAGACTGTATCCCGGTAGACGCGGTGTATATCTGGTCGATTTGTCAAAGAGGCGCTTGGTCAGTTCGATAATACTCAGCTTTGTCAAAGATCGCCCCTGTATTGACCCAGGGTGAGAAGTGGTAAGCCGCACTGCATTATTCATGCTCAGCTTACAAATAAGGGACTAGATCTCATTATTCGTGTGGGTGAACAAGCCTCCTCAAAGAATATAAGTAAGCGACCTTCAAGGTGGCGCACCTTCAAAAGGGTTCCCTTCTCATATGAAGCGAATTCAGTCGCGAAGGCAGGAACTTGAGGCGTCAATGTGCATCCAGGGTTAGTCGTGCACCAGTAGATAGAACAATGTCACGACATGGGGTTCTCCCTAATGCAGGGCTAGTCGTGCCGTTTTGAACGTCATCTTCGCTATGCGACGCCGCTGCGCACAAGGCAAGTAAATGAAGAAGATCGTGGCTGAAGGGGCGTGCTGCCTACCCATAGTTTTTGTCATTCTAATCACTACCTGGTTGAATATAGGTCAGAGGCAAGCAGCTGAGCTATTAACCGTACTCACATGCATAGCAGCGGTATAGACATCCATTCCCCGCATACGTGAAGCAGACAACCTACGTTTGCGATCGATACTCGAGTGGGCGTGTAATCTGGGTCGAAGGGCATTCCCTAACACTATCTTAATTTCGTCAGGGATGAAGAGAAACACGTCGCGGACACCGACCGACATGTGTATGCCACAACAGACTTCGATGATCTGGTCAACAGTTGCGGCGAGCGCCACGATATTCCGTGCAAACGTTAGACACGGATGTGAGGAATAAACTGAGAGCTTGTTCCTGCAACATCCGTAGCATTGACTAGTCAACTAAATGCCTTTACGACTGGTGCAACCATCTATCTCGACCCGAACGTCTATTTTGAAGGGGAAGGTGCTGAAGGCAGGGTGGGAGGCCACCCTTTTGCAATCTTCCAGTTTCATGATGATTGAGACCGTCGAAACCGATATCACGCGCCAGGATACAGTCGATCCCAGCTTTGGCGTACGCGGTCGCGACTGCTCAGATGATACCTAATGCCCGATTTAAATAAATACATGGTCTGTTAGAAGAGTTCAGTGCTTACCGGGCCCTAAGGAAGTGATACGAAAGTTCACAACCGCGAGATAGGTGCCATAACAGTGGGCAAGGGATTGAGGCAGATATACAGAGATTTCCGGCGTGTAGTTTTTTTTAAAAAAAAAAAAGGTTCTCACAAATGAAATCAGAGCCTGCATAGAGCATTTTAGAATATTTCTGAATTAATTGAGCACGTAGGTCAAGTTGCAAGGCGTTTTCTTGGTCTTCTGTGTTGCACCAGAAAGCAACAATGAAACCCCACTCGAGTTTCCAAGCTCTGCGATGAAAATCGTTCCAAACAGTTAGGTAGCCCCGATCGTGCTTGCAAGACATGTGGCCTGCACGATTAGTCGTGTCCAAACCGCAAGGAGAGATACAAAAAGATATCGGCCTAACGAGATGGTGACATTAGTGAGAAGGAAGCGAAGAAAATACCCAAAGCCCGTGTTCGGTAGACTCCGGCCCGGGAGAAATCGCACGACACCTTTAGCGACAACCGTTCGGTTTCAACTCACAACTCCCCTCTCCCAAATACTTGGCGACGCGATAACAGAATCATCAGAGCTACCCATGGATAGCTGGCTACTTGAACAACGTGGCGGATTGCTCTTCTGAAAATTAAATACACAACGGGTAGCAAAAGAAATTTTGTATCTCTTACGAGCTTCGTCTTATCAGCGCAATGGCCATCCTCATTCCACCTTTGTCACCAAGCTGGATGCAAGGGCTGCTTGGCACGCATTCGACTTACAAGCGCTATGGATGACAGCATCATATGGAGTCCCTGGAGCGATAAAAGGACCTTGCATCGATTTTCTCATGGGTACCGTCTACAGTCTTCTCCTTGACGACGTCTTTGCCACACCTTCAAGAGAATGCAAATTAAAAGCACGAGTCCAGTGCTCCCAGTAGGTTCCTCATCCAGCAGTCGGACTATTTACGATGTACAGGTTAGCACGCAACCTTCGTCGACCAACTATCTCACTCATCCCTCCTCAGATCCCAATTCGGAATGGCCCCCCCAGAGCAGAGAGTATAAGTGACTTACCGTATGCCCCTTGACAATGAATATATTGCTGACCGACTTATAGCCAGTCAGGAGTCCAAAGAGCGGGCGGAGCCGAGCGTCGCCCAAGTTCTTCGTCTACGACTGAACGCGGAACGCGTCCACCTCCAGTGCATGTACAGAGCAACAGAAGACAACTAACAAGATCGATTGCTGATCGATTCCGTGGGCTTTTCGCAGGCCGTTCGCGGACCGACACCATGATAACGAGCAACGCCCCAACAGTCCCTCAAATACAATTGAACCGATCTCGCCGTAACTCTTGGCCCAGTACTTTTCCTACTCCTCCCGAAAGAGAGCTTATTCTCTCATCCCAAGCTTGTCTTGGGACAGAATCATCTAAGTACACGCTCACCAAATGTACAACAATCGAAAACGGGTTTTGAAGAGGCACGTTCGCATCCATACTTGTCTTCACATTTTCTAAGTCGCTTCCTTATAGAGATCGGCGAAATCAGATGATATTATGGAATGCCGAGCAGTGTCTAGCAGTGTCTATCTGTCGTCGGGATGAGCCTCAGCAAAGTAATATCACGGTAGCGCCGAGGCTAAGACCGTCACGTCCGTATGCTCAAGCGACATATAGCACTTGGGAGAAGGGAGGTGCGCGGTATTCCCCGCGAACACCGGTGCCTATGAAGATGGCACCGCGGAAACCGCAAAAAGTCCCCAGCGATGTTTCGGTAGCACAAGTTCCTCCTGAAAATCAAGCTTAGGATGATGGCAGACCATGAACAAGGTTGGATTACCCTAAAGCCACTGACGTTCAGACTGCCAAGCTCATTGCCGTTGTTACCCAGTGTCGGACTTACGCAGAAATACTTTTTTCTGTGTAATTCTGTAGAATATTTGATAAATATGTGACGCAAGCTATCGCTGTTTCGCTGTACATAGGTTCATATCCTAATACTGACCAAGTAATGATCTCTTTCAAATCTCGCTGCTCGTGTTCTCAGCTTGAATCCAAGGTACGCGAGACAGTTACATGTTCAGCCGCTTGTTGAAATAACGTTTTGTGCCCAAATTCACTTAGCTAAATATATGGGTAGGAAAATCTTCTCAAGTCGCACTGTCATTGCACTGTCACTTACCTTCGGGATTCGGGAATCGCATCCGAAATGCTGACAAAGGAAATAGCAATCCACATTTAGCAAGAGCCCAATTTTGCTTCCGTCTCTCATCTGGTGTCTCTCGTCTACAGAACTTCTCTACATCACACTTAGCACGCTTTGGCTCGAAATCCAAAGGACATACTGCGTGCGTTTTCTCTCGTTTGATCACATCGACACTGCATTCTGACGTACCCCAGCCAATTCCAGTTTTCCGACTCGTCACAGGAGCTCAAATTGATAGTCAGTATCGAATTCTGAACGTTTTGTGGCTCGAAAATCACTCTATGTGACACCCTCTGGCCAAAGCAAAAGTAAAGACAAGTATTTCGTTTTGGACCACAAGCCGGCGTTCCCTACGGGACATGGACCGGTCACTTTTCTATTCGCGCGAGCTCTGCGCATCTATCGTCTTGAACTAGAGAATGTATCTGAGGTCTACTCAGACGAATATCTGCCTTTTATCTGTGTTTTGGTGTATACTCAGTCCCTCATTTTTGATGCTTTAATCTGCCCGTGATCGTGTCTCGAAACTATGCCCTGGGGTGCCATATAGAATGAACTCGAAATGCTACCACAGTGCACTGACATCTTACTATATTTTTAGGTACTTTAAAGGTTAAAACCGACGCATATATACAGGTATGTCACCCATCTCTCATTGTTTTGAGGATTCGCATTGACAATTTCTCCCAGAATGTCCCAATTCCGGATTATAGTCTCTCCTACAAAATCTACCCACCGAGGAGATGGAAGCGGGGGACTCTCAGTAACCAAACGAATGCGCGAGATCCTGGACCAGCCTGGCTACTTATCCTGCGAAATGGGCGGCCAAACTCTACGAGAACTTTACAACGGCAGATCTTCATCCTTCGACCCCCGTGAGCTCACTTATTTCGGACTATGCTGCTACTTGGGAGATTACGACAAAGTCGTCAAGGTAAATTTGTCACACCCACTAGATTTCCTCGACACTGAACTATCCAATTAGGAAGTCGAATCTGGAGACGCACCCGACCTTGAAGGCACCGAGACGCCATACAAGTTCGGTTATCTTACCATCGTCGTATCCGGTGCCCAACGCCTAGAAACATCTGATCCTCAACATATCAAAGTCCTCAAATATCTCATATCTCGCGGCGCGCCTGTAGACCTCCCAGATATCACCGGATACACCGCCCTGTCCCACGGAACCATGAACCACTTAGCTAAACTCGATCTGTGTCGCGTCCTCCTCGAATCCGGGTCAGATCCCAATCAGCGTAACCGCTACGGTGAAGTCCCCTTGCTCGGATGCTTCCAGACCAATGGAATCGGCGCAATCGACCTCCTCATGGAATTCGGCGCTGACATAGACATTGCAGATGCAGATAGAGTCAGACCTCGGGAGTTTCAGCTCAAGTCTGGCCCCGAGGTGACAGCTGCCGTACAGCGATGGGTGAGGAAACGTTCAGGGGATGAAAAACCGATGGATGCCAAGGCATGCGAATTCTGCAAGAAACCAGGAGGAAACGGTGTCCAACTTCGGCTGTGCTCAAAGTGTCAGACTGCGAGATATTGTTCGACAGCATGTCAGCGTACGTTTCAGCATTTACAGCATGTTACACCTCTCTGACAGTTCATTCAGGCTCGCACTGGCCTACCCACAAGCCCCTTTGTCAGCCATTCTCTGTGCGAAACACTGTTACCCTCATCCCCTACTACTCCGACACTCGAAACGGGTTTGTCCAGCCACTGGCCAAGTTTTCCCGGGACCTTTTATCTATCCCTACGCCCGATACACCTCAGTCTCATCACCGCTTCGCACACACGCCTAAGAACCTCTCTGCCGATTCACCAAAAAGCATCGTTATCAAAGTCCAAGTACCGTTTGACGCATTTTCGAGCAGGCCAAGCGCAAGGTCCAAAGGGGATCTCCTGGTATACACGAAGAAGAGAGATTTTGTGTGCACGATAAGACGAAATGATGCGCCAGAGGAATACGACCGTGTATCCCAAGTGGTCAGGACCAAAGGTGTTGGAGGGGCGAAAGCGTATTTTGCTGCGGAGCTTAGGGGCAAGACCGCCTTGATTGTGAAAGTATCCGAGGTTCTTGCAGAACAACCCTTTTGATTTTTCTCGTCGTCGTATGTTCATAATTATTACTCGTCTGGGCACACATACATGTCCATCATTTCCGATATGTAGATTCTTCGAGGACCATATCAAAGACACTTATGAAGAAACTGAGACTTGCAAGCGGAGGAGGATACCAGTGAAAATGGCGACGTTCCCACTGCTCTACAGTGGGATGTCAGACAAGAAACCAGTTGCCCAGCAGCCCAGGCGGCAGTTCCTTTCAGCGCCTTCATACCACCTAGACTGGACTCCTGCATGGAGAACAAGCTCCTTGCAGGCTCGGTTGCATCTAAACCTGAAATGTAAAATGGCAAGAAAATCTTACACTTCGGAGGCAATCGATGGACTGGAAGTGATGCCTGGTACAAACGAGTCTAGACTTAGGGTTGCACACGAACCTCTAAGTTACGGTAAGTAACTGGTAATTTACCTCCGACAGGGTTCTTCTTGTTGGAGTTGTTACCAGGCTATGAAAACGCGAACCATTTTGGAAAAAACCTGCAATTGCTAATAATAATGTAGGTGATAAAGTAAGTAACGGTACAATACTGTGGGCGGGCAGGGCAGGGCAGCTGTGGGCATAAAACCGTAACGTCCCTGTTCGAACTTTAGTCATTGGACAATTTTAAATTGACATACGCACGTCACATGTCTAACTGTGCTGCAATTGCAAGCCCACAAAAAATGATGAGATCCAATTTTCATATGAGTCGACCCAGGTTCGAACTGAGGACCTTCTGTGTGTTAGACAGATGCGATAACCAGCTACGCCATCGACCCATTCATAGCATTGCTATAACTATCTTACCATATTGTGAAGTGAAACAGTAGCTCACTTAGTCATCTTGGAAAAGCCTTAGTTCTCCATCAAATGGATCAAACAATTAAGGATTGACCAGCGATAATCCGCTGCCAATGCTCAAAATCGCTCCGTTCGTATAGTCGGACACAGCCAAATAGACCGCCGACACCCCCATCTTCGCCTCACTACAAACTCCAATCAATATTGAATCTCATCCAAACGTTGAACGTACTTACTTTCCCTGCCTCTTCGCAGGAATCGGCGCGACTAACCCAGGCATTGGCTCAATCTTGATGGCTTCCAAAACCTCAGGACTGATCAGTTGTGACGCAAACGCGCCTGGAGCCAACGCATTCACGCGGATCGGAATATCCCTCCCAGCAAAATTCGTTGCCAGAACAAGTGTAAGCTTATTCAAAGCAGATTTTGTTACATTGTATGCGATCTAAACCAAGATTAGTGTAGAGCTGAAAAGAAAAGACATGGCCCATACAGATGACAGAGGGCTCGTTGAGTCCATCTTGGCTATCGCGCCTCTGACGTTGATGACACTGGACGTGCCTTGGGGGCGGGACCGAGCTCCTTTGACGAGGAGAGCTTGGAAAGTGCGTACGATGAAGAATGGGGCGATCGTGTTGAGGGCAAATATATCTGCCCAGTTTTGGACGGTTTCAGGTTCAAATGGATCTGTCGCTGCGAGCTTCTTCCCGATAAAGTCTGGGTCGCGAAGGGATCCTGCAAATCCTGCATTAACAAAGACGTTAGCATAAGGACGAAGCGAACCGACGACACCGTGGACGAACTTGTTAACAAGGATATCGAGCTTGCTGTCGATTCCTTCAATATGCCTGACCCCAGCCTTGACACTTTCCTCGTCAGTAACATCCATCTGGATCCTGTAAGGGCATGAGAAATAAACACCGAGAGGGAGAGAAAGGCTGTTTACGGGAAAACAGATCCTAGGGCGCCTGTGACTGATGCTGCAGCCTGCTCTAGCACATCCAGCTTACGCCTAGTGATGTATACCTTTGCCCCGTTTGCAACAGAGGCTTTCGCAATCATAAATCCTCTGTCAGAGTCGATGGTGAGTCGCAATCGAGAACCAAACTCCAGAGAACATACATTCCAGTTCCTCCGCCTGTAACCAGGCCTACTCGTCCAGAAAGCGACATCATTGTAGCCATATGAAGCTCTGCCATGTTTGAGGAATGCTGAGTAGCCTCTGGACGTGACGCCTTTTATTCCAGTGGCCGTCACCTAGATTTCATAAATACCTGGTCTTATTCAGCGAGGCCGTATCCCGATGTATGTGCGGGAAATGGCGGGTTTACGTTGCAAGACAACCCGCCGTCCCTGGTACCCGTCAGCATTGTGACGAAAGTTCATGTTCTCGGGGCGGCCGTCATATCTACTAGCTCTTGTACACGTGTCGCGTCAGGCAGAGGTTCCTTTTCACGTATGTCATGTTCGTCACGAAGAAATTACACGAATATGGCGAAGGGGTGCAGGGATAGGTGCCATATGGGATAAGAGACCTTGAAACAGAAGACTATTGCGAACGGACACGTTTAGTCGAGTAATTACAATATTGATTCCGTCGACCTTCGTCACCAGATCTCATGAGCAAACTTCGAACGCGTAAGGGGCCATATCTCCGTAAGCTGGCTGCCCTCGGATCCGGTGCAGTGGATGGATATCTTCTGGTGCCAAGAATCCCCGACCTATCTCTGTACTATTGGTCTGCCAGTGCCGGTGAAACTCGTGTGCTACACTGCATATAAGAGGGCCGTTCCCTTGGCTTTGTCAAAAAACGCCTTGCCACTACGCTAGAAGGCAATTGTTCAGTAGGAGAACATTGAGGGTGATGTCCTAGTCAAACCGAAGGTCAAAAGAGGCCAGCGCGTTGCGAACGAATTCTCTCCTTCGCAGAGGAATTTCTTATACAGTTGGAAGGAAATGAATATGTTGGGCTACTTGTTTGATATTTATTACGATTTGGCGGTCACTATAGCTTTGAGGAAGAGGAGGAAGAAACGAGCGTACAATGGAGATGGTGGTTGCATCCAAAGCTGCATTTCAAATACAGTCCCGCCGCTTCCTAGCTGATGGGCTCCGGCAGGTTCCGGCCACGACTACCTCAGCCTGCAATACACCGGTCTCTCTGGATAACATGTTATCCATTCCACCCAGTCTTCAGCCTTCTCTGAAGAAAACACAGAATACGACCTGACCTCTTACAAGCGCTGAAAAACTCCCCACTACCGGATTACTGCTTCAAGTTAGTTCATCAGATTGGGTGGGTGTAGTGGGTGTCTGAAGGATCTATTGGTCTCTACAGAAATTCGCCTAGAATATCTACATTGCCAAATCATCCGTTAGTATCAATGAAAGGTACTAACTATGCTAAGGAAGGCGAAGTGCTACACACACACACACCCTAACACACTCAATAATTGCGGTTCGAAGGGGTAAGTTACACCGGGTCGATGCTTGTACTGTGGATACTAGTTCCGGGTTGATAATGAATATAATTTGTTTGATTGCAATATTCTGAAATGACACAAATCTGGACTTTCTGTGTTACCGAACACAATCTGATACCAACGGGCTGCCTGGTGCAGTTTCCTGAATGCATACTAACTGCCTGGTGCAGTGTCTGAACTGATACTGTCTGCCTGGTTGCAGTTTTACTGGTGCTAACATGGATTCTGGACTGTACTTCTGACTGTCGGTCTGTATCTTTCTGAACTGACTGCTTTCTGAATGGTTCTTGCACACAAAACATGACCAGGTCACTAAATACTATTCCAGGTGAGTCTAGGACTCGAAGCTCTTAACCAAAACCCGTACTAATTTGCTTGGTAGCGTTCCGGGGGCCAGAAACCTGACCTCCCGCTAGTTACATGGACAGTATTTATACTATTCTACCCTATCTATATTTCCAATCTTTCCAGGTACTATTACTGCGCTCGCTGACTGAGCCGGGTGGATATGAGCTCACTTCCTGACAGATATGAGCTCATATCCCGGCTCCCAGGTGAACCCGATCATGATCTTGTGCCGCAATCTGGTGTCCTGGCTCATGATACTAAGTTTTACCTGTACTGGGTCAGAGCCCCTGGTGTTACGATTCTTGTTTCTCATCTACCCGGCGAGCCAACCGTCCGCCTGAGAGACTAGGAAAGCTGCCAGGTAAGTAAAGCCGTACGCGATCGTTCTTTGTTTTGTTATTCTTACTTTCGGACCGATGCCATCAGGCGGCCATCAGTGCCTGGGATGCCGGTTCGGCTGGAGCCATGTGCTTTCGACCTGCCTGGACCTTCGGTCACTCGGGCTGAGTCATCGGATCACCGGTCTGTTGCCCGAGCCCTTAGGCTTGTCACGGCTGAGTCCTTACTGACGCAGTGGGGTTTAACACTTCTTGCTGTGTACCTTGCAGGTTCTTTCTTACTCGCACAGCTACAAACGTAGTTTGTAGGATAATAAAATTAGATTTATATGCGTTTTCCAAGGGTAGACGCCAGGCAGGCATATCATCAATAAAAGCTGCAGCTCGACCAGCTGAGGACAACGGTCTGTTCATTACAAGTTGCATGTCTTTTTACCCTGAAAGGTCCTTGGGAATGAAGCCTAAGGTAAGTGAATCTGGACGAAAATTCCAACATGACTGATTCTCAATTCAAATTTGCGCCAGGGCTATGTCACTGTGAGCTCCAAGCCACACACAATATCCGCCTAATCTTGGCTCTGCAGGGCCCCAGAAATCAAGAGTCCGAATACGAGTGGGAGCTAGACTTGATACGTATATCCTGCGATACTGAGGTCGCTGAATGGATGTATCACATCAGGCTAGGTCGTCACAACCCTTTACTTATATCATTACGCGCTAAGATTTGCTAATGTTTTTTTCGCAGTTTTCTATAGCCTCCGGTTGGCACAAGCTGAGTCACTCAAAGAGATTTTTGTCAGAGTTGTTGACGGTACAAGTAGAATGCAGGCAACCGAATGCCAAAGCAATTATGTACCGCTCTCGCCGGGATACACTCTCGCTGAATAATACCAAAAAATGCTGCAATAAAGAGACCATGTGCAGACTTGACTGTTCGATATTCCCCAAACCATGGCAGATCTCAATGTGGCTGTGGTGATGTCGCTTTCTGGACGAGTAGGTCTCGTTACAGGCGGAGGAACAGGGTTGTAAGCAATGGTACCCTCGATTATGACTCGTGGTTCATTCTTCTGCAGGGGATTTATGATTGCTAAAGCCTTCGCTGCGAACGGAGCCAAAGTATACATTACTGGCCGAAGGTTAGACGTACTGGAGAAAGCAGCCGCGTCTATTACTGGCGTCTCAGGATCTGTTATCCCGTCAGTGATCCTCCTTTCCATAAGATATCCGTTTTTGACACGTACACAGACTCCAGATGGATGTGACAAATGGAGAAAGCATTAAGGCTGGCGCACAACATATTGATGGAATCGATGGCAAGCTCGACATACTCGTCAATAAGTCGGTCTATGATGCCCCTAAATCCACTCCTCCGTACACTAAACTCTTCGTAGTGCCGGATTTTCAGCTTCCCTTCGCGATCCAGACTTCATCGCGAAGAAACTCGCCGCAGAGGATCCTTTTGAACCCGAAACCGTACAGAACTGGGCTGACATTTTTGCATTAAACACGATCGCCCCATTCTTTGCCGTACGCGCTTTCCAATCCCTCCTCATCAAAGGAGCGCATTCCCGCCCCCAAGGTACCTCAAGCATCATCAACATCAGCAGCGGAGCAGCAAAATTGAACCTTTCGGCGTCATCTGCATCCGTACGTACTTCAAAAAAATCCTTTCAAGCTTTGGTTTACCTATTTAGTTCGCACACGCTCCTACGAAAGCTGCTTTGAACAAGCTCACCCTCGTTCTGGGAACGAGCTTTGCTGGGAGGAATATCCCGATTCGAGTGAATGCGATAGAACCTGGGGTATTTGCGTCTGAAATGGCTTCTGGTAAATTGTTGGAGTCGCTGAAGACTAAGCCGCTGCCTGGCTTGGTGGCTCCTATACCGGCAGGAAGACGTGGGACGTGAGTTCTTTCACTAGTTGGGTGGAATTGATATTGATCCGAGTTTATAGTGAGGAGGAGATAGGGATGGCGGCGGTGTACTTGGCAGCGTCGGATTATACGAACGGAGCGGTCCTGAGGGTCGACGGTGGAATTACATTGGTGAATCCATGATGGTCTGACTGCGTAACGTATATTCTACCCTCGTCTTAGGCGATGTCAGAGGACGTTTCTCAGCTGTGAATTTACTCGAGTCTGAAATGCAGTCGTTATTCGAGGGATAATAGTCAGATGGAGGACGCATTTTACGGAGCTCTGCTCAATTTATGCGAGCAGTTCAATATCAACTTTCTGCTACGTCGAAATCATTAAGCTCTCAGGTTCAATGGGCTCAACAGAATCAACTTAAGACTAGCTCGTTTATACTCCTTTAAGAACCCCGAAACCTCCGGTACCGCGCCAGTTATCGTGTATGTGATGTCTGGACTTCCAGAGTGGGTTTCTAGTGGAGACCCCAACATTGCCCTGCACTCCATTTTCTCCTTGCCCATGCTGAGTGTCTGTCGTCATTGTCAAGACAAACTACAGTCAACTGGTACCAAGGAATTGGGAGAGTCACTGGAAAACTGGCCCTGTTTCATGCAAAAGTAGATGGATTTTAAGGATGTCAAAAGAACGAAACGCAGCTCCGCAATAGCATATCTCCAGGTCGAAAACCGAAATCGGGCCTCACCGATCCGATCCGAATAATCCAGTCGACAGAAATATTGGTGACTGTCTCTCGGTTACTGGGAAGAGTGTGAGCTGAACGCCGAAGTCGAAAAGATGCAAGCCCCCAGCTGGCACGGAACCGATGTTAACGAATACGGAGCCGGGAGCCGGTCAATCCTCGAGAGTCAGTATGAACTGATGGAGGATGGCCAACCGACAAGGAAGCCTCATCGAAGAGGACTCGACGAAGAGAGGGAAGAAAGTATTTCCTCGAATACACATAGTACCCTTCCTACGCACACAATGCATCTAGCGGATTCGCCCTTTTGCTTCAGATGATGAAAAGTACACAATTGAATGGATCCTCTAGTATATCCGGGAGAAAGGGACTAGAGCGCTGCTCTAGAGATAATGGAGAATGGAACCACTGATTAAAATTGTAATCAGAACGTTCAGAGTCTGACAAGATCGGAGAATAATGGTCGTTTCGAAAGTACACTCTGATGCACATTGACCGCAGTAGGAAAGATTATTCATGTGATTCTGAAGGCAAGAACGAGATATATTAGTGTCGGAACTCGGTTCAAAAGGAAGTTGCCATAAATTGGCAAAAGGTTCAACAAAATCGACAAGCACCGAGATGTAGTAATAGCGAACCAGATCACTGGGTTTGATCTTCAAGGCTATCTTAGGGATCGCGCAAGTTATCCATGGTTGATTGAAGGAGATAGACATTCAGAATGCAAACCACGGTGATGATGGTAAAAGATAAGTGATGTCATGCGCCCAATACAGAATTGGCAGAAATTTGAACCTATGTCGGACTTAATTCCAATCTTCGCGTCAACGTTTAGTGTGACTTACAGCAGTAACCTAGCTCCCCGGCCGACTGCCCGTCGATTTTACCGCGCTACAGCTTTTCAGAGAAATGCTAGGAGCAGTGAACTTGAATATCCATTATCTCCTAGGAATAAATAATCCATTTATTTATCCCTACTTATCCAAGGTAGTTGAATAGCCCGGTCATAGCCCCTCCGGTGATGGATCGGAGTCGATTAGGATTCAAGGTCTTCGATTTCGAGACGACGTGGAGCACTAATGCTGGAATGTTTTCAGTGCTTACCACTCTCGCTAGCGATCGTCGCCTCCCTCTTAGTGGCGGCTGCAGCTCAAAGTCGAGGAAGGATCCAACAGACAAACCCCAGTGGATGTAATGACGTCGAACATCCAATATGACTGCTCGTGTGCGTATGCCGGCGCCGACGGGATCGATAAGAAAAAAGAGAAACGGAAAAGTGATAATGGGGACAAGAGTAGAATGAGTCAGACGGACTTGCCAGCAGCGAAAGCAGGATGACAGACTTGGGTTCATCGTTAACGTAAGGTATCGGGAGGAGCATAGAGACGGTACCTTGAAAGATCGACCACCAAACGAAGGCCAGAAGTTCACAAATAGTATCCGCGACTAACTCAGGACCAAGGGTGCCCAGCTGAGATTGGACCTTCTGGACCGGGGAGAAGGCCAGATGCGGAAATATCCGTCACGAGAAAATGAAGGGCCAGGAGAAAATAATTTACCTCTGATGTACTATCCCCATCCCGAGGTGTATGATCTCATCAGAACTTGGGGCTAGCCACGCATGTACACACATCGCACGGAACTTGAGTCTGTCAATGAAGAACCCGGGTAAGAAGACAATATAGAGAAATCGCAAAGGACTTGGAAGATGATTGTGTATCATCATTGATAAACGCGCTCCTGATTACAGGTATATGTGGAAGGATTTCCTTTTGCGATGGAAGAAGTCCTGCCGCAACTAAGTTTCAGTTTCATGCGTACGAAAGACCAGAGTAAACGACATGTTCGTGTCCTCTGACAAGTCACAAACCCGAGCCGAGGGTCGCTTCGCCTTACATATACGTGAAGCTCCAAGAGCAGCTATCGGCGTACAGAGGAATACCGGACATGTCCTCATCGACGGGCGCGATCACGGCTGAGAACACGCTACTTTGCTAAGATGACTGAACAAATCCTGGGCCCGGCGGCGATGGCCAACAATCAAATGCGGCGCCAGCGTTGAATGCTGCAGGAAGCAAACATTTAAGCTGTGAGGAGACAAATTGGCCTCCACAAAACCGGAGGTGTACCTATAAATCAAGGTTCATTAGACTGTATGTCCGAAACTCGGGGTATAGGCGTGTGAAGGACAGAGCTGAGAAGAACAAAGGGTAATCTGTCCACACGTCCGCCATATGGGGAATGCTAGAACCAGATGATCATCGAACGAAGACGGGTGACCGACTAAGCAGTGATGTCATGCGCTCGGGAATGCTTTACGGGCTTCGAACTTGCTGGAAGGATCGAAAAGATGGAATGACGCAAAGGAGCACAGGGTAATTGCTGAGTGGATGTTATTGGCTCTCTAATGTTAGGATGTTTATACAGAGCACGGCGTAAATATAGAGTTCGCTTGGAATGTGCTGGGAACTGAGTTGATCAGTCAGCGAAGCCAAAGACGCACTAAAGTACACACCAGTGGGCATCAATTCAACAATGAGATATGATTGGTACGGCTGAGTTAGGAGAAATGAGCATCCACCATCACAATAACCGAAAAGGAAAGGACCATTCCCTCTAGTCAGACATCATCGGAGATCCCGCGAAGGATTTAAGCATGTATATCGTGCGACCAAGTATTACTCCCATCAATGACCGTTACATCCAGTTCAAGGTGTGTCCGATGAGAACACGCACTTGCCCGTAAGCACGACTGGATTGCTGGTATTGATGCATCTGACACAAAGCCAGCAATGGCCTTATGTCGACAGATGCTTACTCGTCTTTTTTGTGAAACGAAATGCATGGTTCCCCGGACATCCGAGTTCGTAAAATAAAAGGCCAACGAAAACCTATTCAGATCGCCGACGGATAGGAGGGAAGTAGTAGTTCGCATGATCGTCGAGGACGCGACTTAAACCTTGCTCAGATACGTACAGTAATGCGTTCAGAACGGTGTTATTTCAAGCCTAGACCCGCAGATAAGTATATTGACCATCCCACACATAAGACAAGATGACGAACACGAACCGACCTTGCGAATGTAGGTAATGACGGCGGCTATAGTATCATATTCATAGAAGCAATACCAGACCAACAATTCCCTTCTTGTTATGCAGACCCAAGACATGTTCAATTTAGAGGGGCGCGAACTCATCCGTACAAGTAACTCTCAACCAGCGGGTCCGAGTTTCAGCGAAACGAATGGGATGTCCCGTGATTAAGGCAAAGCTGTGAAACTTCGTCACTTCAGATCGACACCCGGAGATATGAGCCTGGGCCCTACGTCGATAATCACAAGTCCAAAGCATCAGAGCAACAAATTGAAGACAAAAGCGTCTAACTCACCGCTCACACGCTCACATCCAAATATGAAAGGCGACAAAGGAACGGAATGCATATATTGGATAGCCGGCCTTTTCACAAAGGATGGTGGAAGCGAGCAGACTTTCTCCGTCCCGCAGGGCGCTCAATTGCGCAACTATCGAAGTCCGGACCGGCACTAACCGGTGGAATGTTTGCTTCCCAGTCTGTCTGTGTTGGACTTTGAAAGATGAGCTCGTGACCATAGTTACAAGGGTCAGTATGTTCCTCCACGAACGAATGGTGTGAAAACAAATTCGTTTGCGTCGATGAAGGGTGCCAATAAGAACAGCCTCCGCGATAATATCCTAAACGGCGGTCTGCGCGACTTAAACCCCCCTTCGGGTCTTCTCCACAGGGTGCATCTGCATTAGACCACAATTATTCGAGTCTTGCTGGGTTATGGACTACCCCGAAGTTCCCGCTTCCCGCAGTCCACTTCTGTTCTCTCGTCACTCCCTGCCGTTCTCTGTCGTGCTATATCCACGCTGAACCCCTCGATCGCATGCAAATGCACCCAGAGGTACACGGCACCTCCATGTAATAAGTAAGCGCAAAGAAATCAATAGCTTGCAACCCTGCAGAACCAAGGCTTATGGTACGAGCCGCCACATTCAGGGCAGCGGTTCTTGACGGGAGACCCGAATTTGGTAATCGCCACCGGAGTGGGAGGAGGATGGGCGGCCTAGCAACAATCCCAGTATCAAGTACCCAATCCCGAACTCATAAGTCCAACCCAATACCGAGGAACACGGGCCCGACGAGCTCAGTGGCGGGTGGGTGTCCAAACAGCTCGCAAAGCGTTTGTTTACGTCCGTTGTTAGAGAGGCGATGGAACAGGGAAAAATGAGGGGGAGAGAACCATTCACTAATAACTTCCATGAGATGAGTTTGAAACATTAGATTTCACAGATCGCCACAGTATAAGGATCGACTGGCGCTTCTGCCGCGATGCTGGCCAAGAAAGCTTTAAATAGCGTAAACAAGCACTTGAAATCTTTCCCTTCAAGTCGAATGAGCGCTGATTCAGCAACGATATCAAACCGACTATCGAAAGCGAATGAGAAATAATTTCGAACCAACCAGTGGCATAAGGACTAACCGATACACATAAACTTCACTGCCTTAGCTCAACAACTCCTTCACACCATTGGCGATCATTTCGCAAGACGACGAAAAAAGGCTTCCAGAGCATAAGCGCGCGCTGTCAAAGGATACGTTGGCAGTGGCAGACGCCGGAAGACCTTGGCTATGGGTGGACCACACTTCGGATCAGGACTAGTAGTGAGAACACGAGAACACACGATGAAAACATACCACCGACTATTGTTGGAGCGTGGGTAAGGAGGCGCTTCCGAGTCGGAAGTCGGTGACATGGTATACCCGAAACGAACATTTTTCTTTCACCTTCATACGCGTCCAATTGATCGGAAGTCTCCCTCTCACCAGCTCCGCGCCGATCAAAGCAATATCAACCACATTCTTCCATTCTGCCCTGTAAGACGCGAAGGACAGTCCACACGTACGGAAACTCAAGTAGCAGGTGATGGCTACAGGCGCAAAACTCCAGTCGAGATGTCAAAAACGGTGTTGAAATGGATACGGCAACAGATTGTTGGTATACGGACCGAAGAAAATAGCGGCGTTCGTGAGGTGGATGAGTAGTCTGTAGGAGAAAACGGAGGTGGTGCTGTATGACTCAAATGAATGACAGCACGGTGGCAGCTCAGTACCATGGCGATAACTGACAGGCGGCCCATACTTGAGGAGAGCGGATGATATGAGGATGGAACGATGTAAATGCACATTGTTCCACAGGTAAGGATGTATGAAAGGCGCGGATAGGTGTAAAGTAATGACAACTTTCTGGAATCGACCAAGCTTACAGATTCCAGAATCGTCCCGGGACAGCTTGGCCGTGCATTGAGGTTCTTGATCTATCAATTGCAAAATCAGGACACTGAACCAGGCGAGAAAAAATTTCAAGCACCTAAGACCTAAGCCAGCGGAGGTGCTGTAAGTTATCCTGTCTGTCGGGTCGCGACGTGCGCAGCCTCGCCTTACCCCGCGGGACGACGAACATCATTCTTAACCGTACTGATTCCACTGTCCAAGAAGTCCAACGATTGACTCGAAATGATTCAAATTATACTTACAGCCGCACCGTCAGTCACTGCTGCCTATTCCCAAATTTTCGTTGTTCAGAGCGGAATTCTTAGTATTGAAAGTAGGGCATCGATGTCCTTGCATCAAGGTGCATTTAGTTTCGACAGATCTAGGCTAGACTCTAAGCGCATAGAGCGGTAATTCTGCCTAATATTGCGTCAGTTAGCCTAATAATCCGTCGGAGAAGAGGAACAGAACGCACGCTTGCATCTTTTCAAACTGCCGTGGGGATAAGGATAACGACATGGGCGCATCGTCTATGCAAGTGGATACTGTTCGAGACAAAGGGCGTGGGAAAGAAAAATATTCCTAATCTGTCATTTGCCCCGACAGTGCTCACGTCTAACGGGTAGGTCCGAGTGGGTCCACACATGGTCTCTAGGCAAAACTTACCGAGGCTCGTTCAACAAAACCAATAGTATCGTGGCGGCAAATTCCGTCTCGCCTGGATAAATTCGGATTATCTTCGAGATATCTCAGTAGTCACCCGAGGTCTCCGACTCCCCCGCCCGATCATGATGCTTCGATGCACTGTGACTCCTCCCATTGTTCATAATTTAATCAAAATTTAATTGTTGCTGCTGCAGCCTCGCCCTCGATTCTATCCGCCGCTTATGTAGCCTGCATAGTTTCATCGGGAAGGAAAAGCCGTAACAAAGTTCTTCTCTTTACTTACTTACCCGCTGCTACAACAATCCCGTGACTCGATCGCAAACAGCGCCCAGCACTACCACTTCTGTGTCAACGGATCGAACAGAAAAAATCGTATTCCTCCGCCCAGTATGGATATTAATCCCGTCCTCACTGGGCCCTCGTTTCTGTCCATTACATCGCGATGCTCTTTGTTCGAACCGATCTTTCTCTTGTCATGCATGACGCATCCTATTTACCCGAAGGGCCTCCCCCCCAAAGCCGGAGATAATTAACCTAAACGCCTCGTGCTCGTATGACAATGAACCTTCTTCCTCCCCAAACCGTCCAATTATTCAATCAACCTCGACCTCGCGCCACACTGCCCAATACCAACCTGAACCAAAAAAAAAGCAAATCCTTGATCAGAAATTCCAAATCCCCGCTCTCAGATCTAGGGAAAATCCACTGTGTGCAATTGCTGTTTCACGGTCCGAGATCATGCTTTTATAGACGGGGGACGGAATCTCGCTTCGAGTGGCGCCGACGTCACGGAACGAAATTGGAGGTGCAAAAGATTCGGGAAATCTCAGGGGGAGAGAGGGGAGGTGCCTCGGTGTGTACGTCAGCGAGAGAGTACGTCACCATAACATATATATATTACGGCAAGAGAGGGTGCGTTATGGTACAAGTAAGTAACTGTGCCGCAACATAGGAATTTGCACTGTCTAATGTCAAGTAACGCAAGCGGACGCCGTTGGCATTCACTAATAGTATTTCTTTTTTACGATTCAAGTTGGAATACCTGGAGATTTCCGAAAGGAGACAGGCTTTGGGCTGACAGTGCGGGAGAAGGTGGAACGACGATGTTAGATGTGGGGTTGCATCTTTCGCAATAATGGAACTTACAGGTCCCCCCACCAGCCACAGAACCGGGTTTTGGAGCCACAAAGGAAATTTTCTGCATTGTTATTGCTTCAAGTTGTTTTTAGCAGCGATCTGGCTGATTGTGAAATTAAGTATTGCTTATTGCTCTAAAGACATCACCTACGGAAGAGTAGGCCACAGACACGTCCTGATGGCTGATCTCACTAAGAGACGCAATCAAAACACTTCTCGCAGCTCTAAATACACTAATGAACAGACACAGAGCGAAATTTGGTCACATTTAAATAAAATGATCGTGCACTTGAGTACGATTGACAGTCTATGCCTCATGTCATCTGTCTGCACTGGCAGGGAAGTACGCTTCTTGGGCTAGATGCGCGCACCGCTAACGCGTGCAACTTGACTAAAATTAGGGTCAAATTTATCAGCCTGAAAGCCTTACATGTGAGAAACGAGTCAGTCCTCCGTTATCATTAATTTTTTCTTCTCGCAACAAGCATACTGGTTACTCGCACTCGCATATCACTCAATCGTAAGTTTTGTGAAAGGACGCAAAGCTTCGTCGCCGTCAGGGGTAGTATGTTCGCGTTCACGTCTGGTTTTGGTTAGATTCATCATCAACCTAGGAAACAGCGAGATGGCTCGCCCCGTCTCGAATGTTAATCTCCTGTGCGTGGTGACAACGGATGTGCGGGACCCAAGTCTTACTTCTTCCTTTCCCCCCACGAATTCTAATTTGACTGACTGACCTGCAATGATACGATACGATCCGTGAGACAATTCTGTCGTATGCGTCATAAATCTCCATTATGTATGGAAACTCTCGAGTAGTAACTTACCCGGGGATTCTGAGGTCAACAGGCCACGAGATCTTATCTTGTTCCCGCTCGTCGTAGGTGACGAGGACCGGATGCAATGCAAAGGATAACTGCGTACGTACATCATCTATCACTTGTTTGCTGGTTTGGTACGTTCCCGCTAACGCGAGGTTTATGAAGTCCTGCATACGTTACGGATACACCTTGGGGGGGTACAGAGAACGACACTAACTGCCTAGAGGCGGTCCGGAGCATGAAAGTGTTTGTGAAGGGATACAAAAGGCTCCGTACGCAACTTGGAAACGTGGAAGAAGGCCATCTATTAGCATTTGTCTCTGTATGCGGAGGGGGTTTCGGAGATCCGAATAGGTATGTCAGCAGAGACTCAACGCATGGAAGAAACTTGTTACCTGTTACCACCTTGCCACAACGACAGTCATTCATCATGGACAACCGTTTCACAAAGTCGCTAACCAGTGCTTGAGCCATCTAGTAGCCTAATTTTGTAACAGCAAGTCACATAGTGGTCAATGATACATGGAGCGATGCACGTTGGTAGTCTGATCAGTCTAATTCAGTTGAAAACAACCAATCTGTAGCGTCACCGAGCCAAAACAATGACCAAGAGAATGAAAACATCCGAGTTAATCAGAGGGATCTATGAGAAGCCACTAAGAGAACGACGGGTAATAGCTTTGCACCGACATCATGCAGGCTCGAGAAGTTAAGCTTGCCAAATCACTTTATGGGGGTGCAAAATCAGAGACTAGAGATCAGCTTCCAGCGTTTCTGATAGCCCCACTAGTTAAGCCTGCACAGAATCACATTCTCTCTAGTGATTGAGCAAGAACACGCTTGCGAAACAACCGGAGATTTACAAAAACCAAGTCCAGAGGTTCTTCCTGATACAAAAGGCCGTTCGAGACCAACACAAGAGAGCTGAGTTATTCGGGCCAGTCAAACGAGATCCAGAAATCACACGCGCGAGATCTCCAGGATGCGAGTTCTAGTGTGAGAGCCAAGTGAGAGTAGCCAAGTATAGCTCGGCCCAGTTCGGCAAGTAGAAGCACCCGACAACAGTAACAAAGCCACATCCAAAAATAGTCTCTCTACCTTTTTTCTTTCTTTCTCGTTTTCATGCGGTCTGAATTATAAGATGCCGAAACGCGGACCTAAACGCCAGAAGACCTCAGCTGACGACAATGCGAGTAAGGATGATGAGGAGAGAAGGCTGGAGAGCCTACTTTTGGGGTACCGTATGTACCGGATGGTGAGGAGATTGTGCTAGAAGACGAAGACGAGGGTGAGGAAGAGAACGGGAAGGAACTTCAGAACCTTACGGACAGAGACGTGTGTCGTTAGCTCTTTTTTTAATCGTTATTGTGATAAGCTAACTTGTGTTTTTTCGAAGTTGTTCTTCGTAGACGATGATGCTGGTCCTTCTGGCGAGGCTGGCAGGGATGAGGAAGATGACGACGAGGAAAACGAGGAAGAAAAAGGAAGCGATGATGATAACGACGACGACGACGAAGCCGAGCCAGCCGAGCGACTGGCCAAGCCTGAACCCGTACTCTCCTCTCGCAAAAAGCCAGCATGGACGGACCCTTCTGATCCTCCAGTTGTGTCCCTTGTCGCGTCCAAGCGCTCACGAAAACTCCGTGACGCGCCCTCTGAAACAACACTGTCAGGCCGAGGTACGAGTCTCGTCTTCGCCGCCAATTTGAGCGCATACATCCAGCTCCAGATGGGCTAAGAAACGACGGCGTGAAGGCGAAGACGACGACAAACGATAACGACAGCCTATTCACATCGACAGCAGGAATACTGTCACGGCAGAGTCGGCGTACACTGTCGCCTGGGATCCTCGCCATCGAGCGACTTCGTGACGCCAACCAGTCTTCGCAAAAAGCCGACGTCAAGTCGCTCGCCTTTCACCCCAGTGAGCGTGTCCCCGTACTTGCAGTCGGCACGTCGGACCGTCGAGTGCGCTTGTACAACGTCGACGGACACACCTCTCCGCTTCTGCAAACACTGCATATACCCACGATTCCCTTCACATCCCAATCCTCCGTTTCCTTCCATCCATCAGGGACGCACCTCCTACTTACTGGTAACCGCCCATACTACGCCGTGTATGACCTCCAATCTGGCGCTCTCAAAACACACAACGGGCTATGGGGAACACGATTCTCCACCCCGGGAATTGCCAAGGCAGAGTGCATGGAGATAACAGCATTCTCACCTACTGGTGAGATGCTAGCTGTGGCAGGCCGAGGTGGGAACGTGCATCTTGTTGATTGGCGGAGCGGAGGCGGGCAAGTTGTCGGGACGCTCAAGTGTGGGGCGGGCGGCGGGATTCGGGAGCTGTGGTGGACGAAGGAAAGGGAGGAGGAGGGCCTGGTGGTGCTCACGGGAGACGCCGAAGTTTGCTTATGGGATGTTGGTCAGCGACGGGTGTGTGAGGCGGTGGCGGGATGAGGGCGGGTTCAGAGGGGCGGGCCGTGCCATGGCCGGGACCACAACTGGCGGATGGATGGCTATCGGGTGAGCTCCGTCACCTCTCTTCATCATATGTCCATCATTGACCTGGGATTATTATCAAGTTCGAATTCCGGGTTAGTGAACATGTACACTGCCGACGCATTCGTTGGCACCAGTAGTAGTACCGCCCAACCAAAACCGACCAAAACTATCGGCAATTTGACCACTGCGATATCAACACTACGCTTTAACCACGACGCGCAGTTAATGGCTGTAGCCAGCCGGGAGAAGAAAGATGCAATGAAACTGGTTAGTTGTTCCCGCCCCTTGCCTTCATTCATTCATCCATTCATTCATTACATTTCATTTTAGATACATCTTCCATCGCTCACAGCCTTCTCCAACTGGCCTACATCAAGTAGTCCTATTGGACACGTCACCGCTGTAGACTTCTCTCCGCGAAGCGATTATCTTGCTATTGGGAACACCAAAGGAAGGGTGTTGCTTTATCACCTAAGGGACTACGGCAAGTCGTGATTTCATGGTAAAAGTAGAATGGACATCATATGATTTTATTGCCGTGACAAGTAAAAAGTATGCGTATGATGATTACCCATAATGACGATACATACATAAGAGGGGACGGGTAACAGAACAGTCGGCGCTACGTCAGACAGAAGGCGGCGCGAGATCACAGATCAAGACCAGGGAACAAAGAACAAAGACGGAGGCAAAGATGCAACAGCAACAAGACCAAAGAGCCAGAGCCACACAGACCAGAAGCATCGCACATTTATCCAGTCGCACATCTCTCCAATAACCGCGTATACGTATCAGAGATCTGACCCACAACAGGTCAGCCCCACTTTCCCAGAGGAATAAAACAATCAAAAACATACCTTTTCTGCTCGTTCCTTCCCCCCAGGCACGTACCTACAAATAACCGTACTCGATTCGAACCATCTCTTAGCTTCATCAAACGCCGATGACCTACACATGCACACAATACACATAAGCTTCAGGCGATGATGGTAGGAAAAGGAAATCAGACTCTAGGCATTCAAACCCAACGTTATACGCTGTGCTCAACAACCAGAAACGTTCGTCCATGGGGTAAGGCTAACGGAGGGGGGAGGGGTTGACAGCACTGCGAAAAACACACAGCAAGCTCACCTCATCGCTTCCAATACTTCCCTCAATAACTCCGACAGCCTGCTCGACGTACCCGATCGCCTTGAGCCGATCATTCCTAGCTATCATAATCGTGCACAATGCCCTCAGCCACCTCGAGAACTTGTCAATCGAGAGCGAGTTGTGATCGAGGCTCGCGCGGAGGATGGACTACACACGATCGAACGTTCCAACAAGCAATCCAAACAACGGCGACGACTCACTTCCAGACCCACGTAAAGAACTACCGGAAAAAGCACATATTTAGTTTATGTAGCTGTTGGAAGTAGTTTTTTTTGATACGTACTATTGATCGGGCAGTCCTTCCTTACCCACTAAAACGGATGACCCAAATAAGCCACGGATCAGGAATGAGAAAGCGGCAAATGGGAAAGAAAGAAAAACCTTACAAGAATATCCGCAATCGCTTCGTACGTGCTTGCCGCTAACGGACCAGCCTTAACCGTATCCTATCAAGAACATTATCAAACAGACACGTCCAACAGAAGTAAAGCACCAAACTTACCCCAACGACCCTGCCCACCGCCTCCCACTCCCCCAACCTAACCAACATCTCCACCTCAAACACCCTCAGCGTGTGCAAAAAATACCCCACCCTCACCAAATCATTCTCATCCGTAATCACTCCCTTCCCCTGGATCTCCTCAACCCTCTCCCGACACGTCTTGATTTCCGAGGATATATCACGTATCCGGGCCTTTTTGTCACGAGTACCAGGTCCAGATAAGGGGAAAAACACGGAAAAATAAAAGAGAAACAACTTCTCACATTGATATTAGTCTCCGAGTCGGGTTCCCGAGATTGCCGGAGTGCGAAGACTAAGAGTAAAAAGATAAAAATGGGGTTAAGTGGGAAACAGGAAGGGTTGGGCAAGAACTCACTCCGGCCGGAGACTCCGGAGAACGACGCAATGATGAGATGTAAATAAACTTCCGCATCGACGTCTACAGGTGATGTTGATGATGCCTGGCAACACGTTTCTAGCAGCTGGAAAAATATCGTAGAATCAGTCAACCCATCCCTCATCCCCATCCCTTAATTACTCACATCTCGTGCTATATCAAACAAATCCGAGATCCGCTCTTCGCAGCCCGAGCCTTCCCACTCCGAACACCCTTGTACAGCGCAGTTGAATGCTGTTCTCCATAACCATGAGACATCTTTGGATATCAGATTCAGCGCCTTTTGAGCGTTGGCAGCTTCGATGAGGATCTTCGCTTTTGAGGGGGAGTTGCGGGGGTTATTCTCAATTATCTACAACTGAGGGTCGACTTACCCGTCTGGAAGTGCTCCACCATTGTACCAATAAGGATTGGTCTGGGTTTTAATTAACGAGAGAAGGGCAAGGGGCGGGAAACAAGGAAAACATCCGACGCACTTATCAGCGGCAGGCTCGGTAAGCAATCTGAGCACAAGCTTGATGATGCACCGAAGCAACGACATCGCTTCCAGTACAGTCTCACCGCCCTTTGAAAGTTTCAGGGTCTTGAGAAGAGCTTCCAGGGCAGCTAGAAGGATCCGCCTGTTTTCGGATTCATGTGAAATCTGCGTGGCTAGAAGGAGCATCTTTCGGTCAAAATCTGGTGATTTCATCATGTCCTGGACAGCTCTAATGGCTAGAGAGTGGTAACGTCATGCGATGGAGCGCTCATGGTAAGAACAGAACAAACGGACCTTCATCATCGATGCCTTGGCAGAGTAGAATGAATGCTTCAAACTTCAATTCCTCCGTGTAACGATCAACCGCTTACCTTGATGAACAGCAGTAAGGAATATAACATAATGAGTAGCTGCTTCGGTGATGGGACAGCGGCGGATGACGGCGGAAGCTTTGGCATACTCTCGGTGCTCAATATAACAAAGTGCCGCTTTCCGGTGACATTTCGAGCTACTTGTCGGGCAGTTCTCCCGAAATAGCTTGTGACTACCGGCAATAAACCAATCTGCCGCGTCCGACCATCTCTTTGCGTGATAGTGACGATCACCATATTGCCATAAAAGCTTAAAAAAGAAAAAAGGGGCACGAGGGGGGTTATATTACAAAAAAACGGATAAGCGAATAAGAGAAACGCACCGTAAGACATGCTGTTGCCGGTACACTCGGAAGTTCGTAGTCTGCTTCGCAAATGGCTAAAAGGAGGGCGATGAGATATTTCCAATCAGTCGGGGGGATAGGCTGAGCTGGAAGGTTCACTGACATGTGAACGTGGAATCGATGGCCGCCATTGCTCTGGCGTGGTCTTCGTCCTTTGAGCAGTGAACGATCAGCGAGAGAAGCAGTCGGTCAACATGACCACTTGACCGGTCAGGACATGCTAGAGCCCGTTTCAGACAGTGCTGATTGACGGCAGTAACGAGGGCGCTGAAGCACGGAACCTGTTTAGCATTTGCTTTACCTGAGACACATGCACTAACTGTTGGTGGCTGATTGTTCGCAAGTCCTGTAGAACACTGACATGCTGTGAGCATGCCTATCTAGGCTACGTCGAAAGTACCGAGCTTACTCAGTTATTCGAGACTCCGTTAATTCCATGTGATCAATTATAGACTTGAATGCTAAACGAAAGATATCAGGTTAGCGATATATAACAGCCAAGTTGAAATATGCATCAGTCAGATCGTGTTACGTGCACTGACCATCTAACAGAGCTGGATCGCCAGCTTTGCGCCGTTTAAGAATAGCCAACCGCAGCCATCGAAGTTCTTGATATTCGGAGCTTGCCTATAAGATTTCAGGGTGGGGATGAGTCGAGAGCGCTAAGTGAACCTACGGGATCATCTGAGGAATCTATGGATGGGACGAGTTCGTCAAGTGTTGCTTCTGCTCTGTCGTATGACCCCGAAAGGAAATACGCTCTTGCTACATATGCTTCTTGAGCCGCGACAGTAGGATCCAAGGCACAAAACACAAACCTAGAGTTCTCAGCATCGATATCTGATAAACCATCGTGAGAGTCGGTACTGAATAGCAAGGCTGTACACGACCTTTAGTTGTGGCACGCCGGATATGGCCGAATCGTCTAGTTGGTCCGCCATGGTGAACGCCTTCTGTAACCACACCACAGCATCTGCAGGTTTCGTTCCGTTGTTGTCCGAAGTGGCGTGGCTTTTTAATATGGCCCTCCCAATGCCATGGAACTTGGTAGCCAGAAGTGTACGCTGATATTTGATGTGAACAACGGAGCGAATCATTATTCCAAATATGGACTTACATCATGAGGTGGTAGCAGAGCGAGACGCTGGTCATCGTCTGTCGTGATACACGTGAGAACCCATGTCGGCATTCCTTTTAGAACGGAACACAGCACATACCCGTTATCTTTGAAGACATGAAGTCAGCCACGGTATGATTTCCTTCCTTCCATGCCTGAATAGGGCAGGATGATCAGGACGGGATGTGTCAGCTCCAGGGAGAGATCCTTACAGCCTCCATTCGACTGGAGAAGTAGACTACTATAGCACGGGCTCTAGCCTGTCGATGGGTTCCATCTGGGTCTGGCGCGTTTCGCAAGAGCTCTTCAAACTAAACCAAAGTATGCATTGAAACGGAAAAAGAAAAAGATGATCAGTATATTAACCTTTGCGGCGCTAGTGAGCACACTGCCAGCCATATCGTTGTTTCCCAGTTCTGACATTGAAAATCATTCAAACTCAGCGTGGAATAACTTCAAAGAATTATAAAGTGCCGATCACAGACCTGAGAGGGTGGCGCCCGTCTTGCTTGCCATCTGGAGAACATGGAGAAGGGCTAATAAGGGATAAGCTACGCAGCAAGGGAAACAGCCTGGATACACACATTCTATCCCCGGCTTCGGTTCTAACCCTGCTTCAACAAGACGGAAAGCGGCAAGTCTGACTTGGAGCACGGAACGAATAAGCGACACAAAGATCAAATGTGCAGGTGCCACGGAGAGCTTACGTGCCACGACAACAGCCCGGCCGTCGTCCTCGGGGCATTTGCGGACTAGACTTGATATGTTCCACAGATTGACACCTTCAATGGATTTGTAGATATAATGCCAATAGAATGGAAAAAACGCGCCTTCTTGATCCAATCCGTCAGCCAACTCGGCGCAGTCCTTGCTGGCTCTCGGCCTCTGTTCCGTAAATGATTCTGCGAGAGAGGCGACCCGATGGAGATTCTTCACCAGTGTCGGTCGTACTGCCGCCTTGGGATCGTCGAGCTGGGATTTCGTACTTATCAAGAGATCTGTACAACGCGTCAATTACCTCTTGGGTTACAGCCCTGGGCAGCCCTCACCCTTGATAGACTGGAATATCTGCTGTAAACCGTGAGCAGACCGTTTCTTTGCCGTCGACATCAAGGGTCCAGGTCAAGTGCCGTCGCGTCATCGTCGTCACGGTCACAAACACGCCCCAATAACATTCGCACAGCATTTCCCTTCTGGGACGGCAACCACAAACCTTCCATTTCCGCTCAAGTTCGCCTTAGCCTTGACTGGTTTCATTAACAGCTGGCAATGGATGCTGGAAACCCCCCTCCTGCCGATGCTGTCGAGCGGGCAAAGACCGTGGGTTGCTAGTTCGCCGCGGTAGTAAAAAAACACATCTGTATGTCGACGTTTATTCTAGGAAGGTCGCAAGGAAGGACTTTTTGCGGGTCTGACTTCGGCGTTAGCCTCAGGCGAGCCTTTCTCTCTTTTCACATAGAACCCCCGTTGCTGAGCTCACTCCGTTATTCAGGTCTCATTGGTGCCAAGTTTATGGGCCTCAACCGGAATAAAACCGTTGTCACCATCGTCCGTGAGTCAAATGTGCAGTTGTGTATATCACATACTACATATATATCATCATCATCATCTCGCAGTATCGGGTGCCTTGTCCGGGTATTATTTCACGGAGGTCTGTTCTGTTCTGTTTGGATGGATTACCATATGCATGACGAACCCTAACTAACGTACACGTATACAGGCATTCACCCAAACAGCCCTTAAGCAACTCCAAGTAGAGTGGGAGAAGCGTCAAAAGGAACCATCGCAGCAGGATCGTCCCGGCGAGGAACCGCCGGCATAACCGGTGCCTCAAAAAAATCCATTTTGTCGTGGAAACCAAGGTGGAAAAGGGCAAATATGTATGTACGGACGCGGACCCTGTATTATTATACTTACCGCTGGCTTGTCATATGCATATGATGGATTCGAACACCCTTCTCTACCTCAATTGTGTCGTATACGTTAAGTAACGCCTGGGGGGCTTCGAAATCTTTTTTATCCCGTCTTCCTTTGTAAGGGCTGTCCGGAGCGGTGTCAAGTCATTCGACATTACGCCGTGGGCCCCTCTTCCCTTTGCCCCAATGGGTACGTATCCACACCCTGGCAGCGAACCACAAGCTTGTCATTCATGCAAATACCGTTTTCCCTGGACAACGGGTAATAAGCAGACAGAAAGCCCCCAACTTGCGATGGAAAGGAGGGGGGCTAGGTTGGTCCCGACTCCCGATGGCTTAAGTAATTCTGCGTTATTCAACCTTGTGGTAATAAAGTAATATCAATCTGTGGGACGTTTTATTAATCCTGAACAACTAGTAGTCTGATACAACAGCACTGGAATATTATGGCGCGTACATAGCCTTCTACCCCTACGATTGAAAAAAGAAAAAAAGACTGCGAAATCGCTCCTTATGCAGATGTTCCACCGTCCATCCACCGTTTGCAATATAATTGACAGGACTCATTGCCATTACCCCTTTCGAGATTCTTGCACATGCAGAGGGTACTAGGAGGAGTCATAGATAAGGTTTAACAGACGTCTCATTTTAGCCGACCGCGGAATGACCCGCCAACTCAGTACATGTTCCGGTCTTAGCTTTTTGTTGTTGGGTTCAATCGATTCGTTGTTAGGAGCCGAGTGCAAACGCGGGAGGGTATTTCGTTACATTGCAAACCCATCCCAACCAAATACGTAGCTGTCAAAAGTATCCTACAATTTCAGGGTAAAGGGAACGTTACTTATAGCGACGATGGATGTAAATACAACAGAATAAGTGAGATAATGCGGTATGTATGTATGTATGAGTGTAAATGCAATTGCGATGATTGGATTGATTGGAATGCAAAAGTATGTGCGAATGAAGGTCCTGAAAAATGTTGCGTGGGGAACATGATGGGACGGACGAGTCGTAAAAACGCGAAAAAAAGAAGCTTTTGAATATTATCATTACTTTCTTTAATACCCGCGGCTGCGATACCAATTATCGTGATGGGGTGTATAGCGGGGCGGAGAGCGCGGGGCTGTAGAGTAGAACTGGATGCCCGGGGGGCCAGCATTAGCGAAGGGTGCGGGGATAGGACTAGGCGTATTATCATTAGTATAGTGGCGGCTGGGCTTGGGGTGATGGAGGGGCGGTAGAACGACTTGGTGTGTCCATGCCGTTTCGTGCAGGTGATGCGACGGGTCAAGATTCATATGTACATCATTCGGACTCGTCGATGCAGACTGAATGTTAACCGGCATCGACGCACGCTGCGAGTAGCAAGGAACACTCGATGACGGCGGCGGAGGCTGATGATACCGCAGCCTGGGCCGACGAAAGCGGTCTTCTTCATCCATAGGCGAGCCTGCGAGGGTATAAAAGTACAGATTCTAGAAAGGAAAGCGTATTAGCAAACAAAGAAAGAAAGAAAAGGCGAAAAGCAAGGAAATCTCACCTCAGGTACAGCATTCCGAGTGCCTTCGCTCGCATTATACGCCGAAACGAGCGTTTGAGGAACAGTCTCCCGCTTAATCGGTACCCAAGGCGAAGACGACGAGGACGTCGGTGCCCGTGAAGGAGATTGCAGGGACATCTTGGCGAATGATTGCAAGCCTTCGAGCGGCGAATGCGAGTTGGAAGCCGAACCACCAGTCGAGGGCTCTGGAATCTGAAGGGAGATTGCGGCGGGCCGTTTGGAAGGTAGCTGGGAGAAACTCGCGCTCGTGGGAGAGAAGGCGGCCTCTGCTGTACGCTTCGAACCTGACTTGTAGAAGAGGGACGTGTCAAGAGGAGGAGCAGGAGGGTAATCAGTACGAGAGATCTGATTGGGTGACGTGGATCGAGCGCGAGGTGAAGGAATAGCGTAGCGGGAGGAGTAGCTTCGTGTCGAAGGCGAGCTGCTGGCGGCAAGTCGCGAAGACCGGGCCGGCGTGCGTGATTTCCGGAAATGGCGACAGTCCCTCTCCTTTGCCAGCACAAGTCCCTTGAGCAGACTCAACCAAGACTCGTACGTCTTTTTGTCGACATACAAATTGAAGTCGACGCCCATCAGAAACTCCCGCTCCATCCGGTTTATCTCGGGCAGTTCAATGCCAGACACTTCGGACCATGTTTTATTCGTATATGTATTACTGAAAAAAATAAAATATTGTCAGAGACGTGTCGAGACGCGTAAACGGGCGGAACTCACTCGTCAAGAAATTTGTTCGCCATCATAAGCGCAGCCACGGCTATTCGGAATTCACTGCCAGCCTGGGCCGGAGTCCCGTTGTTTCGGTCTTTGAGTCGGTAGATGTAGTGCAATGAGAGGACAATGACGGAATGTGAGACTTGGGTCGTCTCGAGCAGTTTCTGCATGAACTGAACAAAGGTGGGCGTCGCGACGAGCTGGAGGTTGCTAGACGTCGTTGGCCGGTTGAGAAACGGGGAATTCGGCGGTGAATAGGATCCTTGCGAAGGCGTAGAGGACGCGAACCAAAGATAACAGATCATCTCGCAAGTTTTCTCGGCAATGAAACGTGCTGAACGCGTCCGCGAGACGTCCAGCCAGTCAATGGACATGTCGAACGCGGGCGGTTTCGTTGTGGCGGCAAGTGGGGGAAGGCGGGTTGGTTCAGGAGAGTAAGTCGGTGGTGGAACATCGTCTGGCGGAGTTACTAAAAAGGGTGAACAATATGAGTCAATTCGCGTTCAAAAAGTGAGCAAAAAATGGACGCACGGGGCGGCATTGCCGACGCTAAATGGCGCACCGAGAGCTGACGATCAAAGTGGGCTATTGAAGGCAGCGTCGGGTGGTGCTGCACCTTTCTCCTTTCAAAGGTTGAGGTCATCGGTGGGGTAAGGGGTACGTCCTTGGGCCGCCAGTGCAGCGACCAGGACGAGAGGAGCTCGGTAGGTAGGGCATTCATGGTGCAGGAATGGGGGATGGAGGAAGGTGTATAAAAGGCCATGGCGTGGCCAGCCAGTGTTCAGACGAAAGGACGAAGCGGGTGGCATATTGCTGATATTTAAAACGGAAGAGATGTACGGTCTCGGAGGAGGAGTAAATCTAAGGACGTGATCTAACGTGATCTCAGGACGTGGCTGCATTTCCGCTTAGAGACAAACAGGGGATCCGTCGAGGGTCACCACGGCTTGGGCCACCCCCAATTTGGAACCAGAGCGCCTCACCACTTATTCTTTTTGCCAATCAAATTCCATCAAATTCCGTCAAATCCTAAATTCATCGTTTACAATTCAGATACTTAAGCATTCACACGTGACTCGGCACGCCCGGCACAGGGGACTCCCCAGGGATTCCCCATAGCCTTACCCTTAATTCATGTCTTGGTCGCTCCTTTTATGGCGTTCTTATCCTACTATTCTCCCACGCTCCTATTAATTTTCGCTTTTTCAATTCTAGTTTTATTCCCCATTATTCCCTTTTCTTTTCTTTTGCCTTCCTCTCGCCATCTCCCCATTTGGTAGGCTCGTCGTCGTCCTGTTCACCTCCGAATATACGCTCATCAGCCTCATCTTCTCTTCCTCTTCCTGTTGCTCATTGACACACGTCCTTTCCGGGTTTGTCCCCGTTTTCGTGCTTCGTCCCTATCCACAGCCGTAAATTCGTCCAGATCTCCTCCCCTCCGCGAGATTTCATCCGGATCTTGTCTTGTTTTGCTCCTATGTTTTGATAATACATACATCCAATCCTTTTCTATTTCATCAGCTGCGCCAGTGTAAGGCGCGATCATTCGTGGCGCACAACACTACTAATCCCACCGTAATTTATTTCTTCCTCTTTCCAATTCTTTACCCAAAGCCCAGACATTCTCGCGAACCCCCCTACGCTTTCGGATAAAGCCAGTTCTTTCTCAGCACAGTCACAATCCGTCAACGTAACAGCAACTTTTTGATTACACCTTGATTTCTGCCTTGAATCTGATTCGTAGTACTGCTTTCTTTTCAATCCGAGGACCATCAATCGCTACGCCGTCACTACGCACACATTCTACGCCGAAATCGTGTCAGCTACTAGCTCCATTTACGGTCAGGGGTGATCAATGCGGACCTTTGTATGGTCCCCCAAGCCCGTAAGACATCTCAACCCGTCGTGGAGTATACGAAAGGGTTGTCCTCCTAATCTTCGTCTATCATTCTCTGCATTCATTCCAATTAAGCCGCTACCGCGCTTCATTCCGAAGCCTACATTTTTCCGGACATCCCTTAATCTTCCAACACAGCTTACACACGGCACAGGAAAAAACCACCTCGGCATTCTCCCGCGTTGGCCCTGTTCGTCTTGCTGCTGTCAGATGGTGGCACAGAGCAAAAAGCTTCGAACAAAGTACGCTGATTCAACGCTGTATTTTTTTTTTCACATCACAAGAAGGCGGTAGTAACATAAGGACGAGATGTGTGTTCAGCTAGGTCCGGAAGGTGTATACATCCGCTCGATCTAATCTATCGGCCTTGCAAATATCAGTATCTCGCACCCACAATCAGACCATCGCAAGAACCTCCCATGCAATCCGGAGCGTTTGAAAGACGCTGTGCATTCCATACCAACAAAAAGGGCGCGGCGCACATCAACTTTGAAGGCACTTTTTTTGCCATGGCGCCGAAGAGAAGACCAGCCTCTAGTAAGTAGGTAAGGAAGGAGGTGAAAAAGGCTGTATCAACCGGAGCCGTCCTCGGTAAACACCGCTCACTGTTCGGCGGACGATGAAAAAAAAAGGTTTGAGAGGGAGAATCATTCAACGAGGACGAGCTACTTGGGATTCACACTACCACGAGAAGCGTCGGCCCGATGCATCTTCATTTGGGTTACCTCCAACATTTAATTTTCGATTATTTAACCCAAATACCTCATAAAGGTGTGGACCTGAGATTATGTACTGCCAATTTAAAAAAATGATGGCAGGGATTATTATATCGTCCCAGAGCCATATGAATCTGGATGTCTCTCATGGGCGTAGTGTTGCTAGCCTAGAGAATGTGCGCCCTTCGCCAATTACTAGGATCGGATCCCGCAAATTATCCAACATAATATAATATACATAACTCGCGCTTTGCCCCAGTCGGGCGACAATAACCTGATCGCCGCCACATCGATGATATATTGGCCTACGGAACGGAGTTTCGAAAATGAGTCCCAGTTAAGATAACCGTGCTTAATTTTCAGTTAACCGTGGCCAGATCCCTGCACCCTGATCTTCTACTAGGAGATTGGGTTGTACACCGCATGGGTGCCGTGGACAGCAGGGCGTTGTTATATAGGATTAATCGCTGGGGGTTCTTTTGAAGAATCGACAGTTTGGGTCTATCAGTTGTCGCTCTATCGAAAGAGCGCTTCCGGGGGAAGAAAGGACTATCATAAACTGTCGCGGTCGGTCGGTTGGTTGGGGGGGCAAAAATGGTTCAATGGGTCGACGTTGCAGTGTTTCCGTGGACCGGTGGGACCACCTTATGGGTTTGATTTACAGTTTGACGGGACCGAGCGTGGGCGAGTAGTATTACCCTTATGGGAGGGCTCGGGTGACGAGTCCACTGTACAATTGCATTTTCAGAGAACCAACAACAGAAGCAAGCCACCAAGTAAGGGGCCGAGGCGAAAATGAAAAGGTGCAATGTCAAGGCACACACACAAAAAAAACAGAACGGGTGCGGTCGGTGAAACGAACGGATTAAAGCCCAGACAAGCTTCAAATACTTACCTCGAGCGTATGTATACGTAGCAGATAGGAAACGGCATGTCTTGCCATACATAGATTGATAGCAACTGAGTTCCAAGGAAGACGTATGTAGCATCAGAACAAACATGCGTGTGGACCATCGAATTTTCGAACGGATGAAAATATATATTGAAATGCGTCCGGGTTTGTATGATTGCGATGAATGTTGATTGTCGAAAAGTGGATTCTTTGCTTTTTTTCACTCTCCGTCCTGTTGCATTAATACATGGGACTGACTGATCATCAATGCGAGGACCCATCATCCAGTACGATCCGGCACCGCGAAACGTTCGTATACGATGGGCTGCCTGCCATCCATTCATTCGAACCCGACGCACCCCCGAGCCATAGCCCATATGTTGCCATCAAACCATCAAAAATTTTATGCCCTATTCTGGCCCTGCGATGGAATAACTTACCAGCTTGTGTAAGGAAGGGTTAGGCTGGACAGGAATGGGAACGGAACGTAAGTTAAGGAACGAGCGGGAGGGAAGGACAAATGGGTTATTACTCCGCTTCCCCCTTCCTTGGTAACGTACGAATTGAAACTGAAGGTGTGGCTTCCACGTGGTGGAGGTTAGACGTCTGAGCATAACAGCGTTCAACAGCCGGACCGACTAGCCGTGAGGCTCTGCCAAACTACTAGTGCGAAGAACGAACGTGTGATGGGAGTGCTGTACACGCAAGTCAAAGTTGCTGTCCTTGTGCATTTTGAACGGATGCCGGTATTATCCCCACGAATATTGCTATTCAAGGGTACTTGATATTATTTTTCCAGGGGTATATTTTCAACAGATATCCTTCAATCACTTGTGATCCCCTCCTTCAAGAATCCCGGTGTCAGTTACTGCTTAATACCCGGTTTCTAGGCTGCATTGGGAGGCAGCAATCCCCCTTCACGGATGAACGTCAATTGTGATGATGGTACGTACAAGCGAAGCGTCATCAGTCCAAGAACCGTCCGGTGGTGCATCTGCAACAAGCAGCCGCTGCTTAAAATGTAAGAACCGCTGCTCCCGTAACGTCGTTGCAGCCTAAGTCCTAGGGTCAATTTTTTGAATGGACCTTCCTCATTGTACGTGTCAGCCACAAACCCAGAAAGTCATCTCCGACCAAATGCTGCACGCTGGAGATTGCACCAAAAAGCAATTAAGACGTGAAGAGAACAAACGAGTATGTGTCCATTGAGATAATCGTAACGCCGAATAATACCGTGATCAATACCCTCCTCCCGCAGGCGGATACCCCCCTCTGTTATACCCGCCTCTTTGTTGATACAGCTGTGCCCCGCTCACTCCGCCGACTAGGGATGCTGGCTTGCCTGCGCCATATCCGTAATTATTGTTGTACCCTCCTCCGTGGTAATTACTGCCGCCGTCTTCTTCAGAGTAATCTCCGCCAGGTGCGGATGCATTTGAAGATCCAGGATAGCTAGATGAGAGAAGAGGATCCTTGACCTCCCATACAGCCTGCTTGGAGCCCACCGAGAATTCAAGATCTTCGCGCTGTTGAAATAAAGTTAAGCGATCGACAGACAACGAGGTGCAGTAGATCGTTCTTACCGTTATACTATCCCAGTATTTGTACACCATCATCACGCTGAGCAACACGCACAGCTCGGAGAAGAAAAGTCCATCGATGTAATGCTTGATGGCGTCGCATATGGTCGTGCTAAAAGCGAAAAGGATGACCATGCCTACAACCCAGAAGCTGGTGCCGAATACGATATCGCCAATCGGCCATCGGTCCTCAAGCGTGCGGAATACTAAAACCAGCTGCGAGATGATGTAGATCGCCACGCATATAACTGGCCATAATATGTAGATGATCCATAAGGGAAGTGTTTTGCTGTAAGAGAAAGATGCGAAGGATTTGAAGGTGGCGATTGCGATAAAGAAGGCAATGCCAAAAACGACGAGACAGGTTATACGAAGGAACCACAATGAAAGGGGAGTTCCGTCTTCAGCGAACTGAAAGCCGACAAAGGCGTTGATTAGGATACAACAGTACGCGGAGGCGACGAGTCCTGTGTATACAGCAGCGAACCACTGCAAAAATAGGTAAGCAATATAAATTGCACAGCACCGATGAGTACGCACTGCATACACCGTATTCGACGTTGGGATGATGCCTGAATCCAGGAATATGCCCAACAGCTGTATAACGGCATACATCCAAAAGAAAAGGACAATTTCCTTTCTCCCAACTGCGGTGTATTTGCTGCGAATGTGGTAAATCATAATTGCAGTCATAATGATGGCGACGATGTGAATGAAGGACGTCGCTAGAAGCCACCATCAGGGAGATACGCAGCACAAAGGGTAGGTGAACTAACATGGCTGGAAAATAAGGGTCCCTCCAACATCCACATTGCGACTATAACATGTCGGTACAATTCCTTGGTCAGTACCGACGAGTGGGCATATAATGAGCGCTGCTGTTTCGCATAAGGAATCAAAGGACCCGAATTTGAGTCCCATCCCGCGAAGAAGAGAGAATCACTAAGGGAAGACAGTAAGCTATGAAGGTAACAGGACTGTCGAGGGCCGAAATGAGTGGAAAGGCGAGCTCGACGTTTGTTGTGGGCGTTGTCACCGTTGATGGAATCGTGACGAACGTGACGGTCTCTATTTGCCTATGTTTTCTTTCGGCGTCCTTGCCGCCGGCAACTCTGCTTCGACAAAACCTGCTTATGGTATGGTAATGGCAGCGCTCATGCTGTTGTGAATCGGGATCAACGTTTAAGAGAATCCTTTCCAGGAACTTGTTGTTGAGTACCAAAATATCGGATGACTACAGCATGATTTTTATTTTTGCCCAAGTGCTCAAGTATAGGTGGGTTGTCATCATTCGGTTAACGCTCGAATCCAAGCCGGACTTTTGATTCCGACCAGGGTTCCTGGACCATGGTGGATTAATCTAATCAAAGGGTTTCGGATTGGAATTTTGTGTCTTCGTTACTGAGATCAACTTTCGAGAAGGGCGCTGATTTACTGTCGTGATAAAGTCCTCAGATAACTGTCTTACGTACCCACCTGAACCTTGAGCACGGAACAATAATAGCACAATGTTAACACATGTACGCCAAGTCGTTTCCACAGCACCAAACCGGTGATGGCAGAGGTGAGGGATGGGTGAACGTGATTTCGAAGTTAGCGGCATAAATTACAGCTTGTAATGCGATTGCAACAGCTCCTATTTCTGTCTTTGATAGAATAATCCATACACTTTGAATTTTGTAAGTCAAACGTCATGAACAACTGGAGCATCAGTTGGTCAAGAAAGTTCCAGAAAGCGATAATGGTGGCAATAGTCTTACCGAAGAAAGGTTTTCATGCAAGGAAGCCGTCAAAGCGCCTATGTTGTCTGCCTTTATCACGGCATCGTAACTTACAATTCGATCAAACAGTGTACGAACAGACGATTCAAATTTCCTAAGGGAGGTGCGCTTTCAACGAAGGTAAAACTTGTTGGTGATAGTTTGCGTAGCACCAAGTAGTACCGAAATGTGACCAGTGGATTCAATTACTGGGGTCGGCCTCGGCTTTCGTGTTATCCGTTGCAATAACTTGGTAATAGGACTAAAACCCAAATAACGGTTCATTGTGGATCCAAGCCTAAGGTCTTGTCTAAGTCAAGATTGCCCCTCCCGCAACAGGGTGATAATTCTTGAAAACTCCACAAATAACGGATCTCTAAGATGTGTTAGTGTCACGTTCCACGAAATCCACAGAGACCGAGGTGCAGACAACACTACCCACGGAATGAGAGTTTCCGACCATGCGAACCGCACTCAACGTGGGAAACCATGACCGAATCTAGCCAATTGGATTTCATCCACCCTTGCCGACATTTCGGAATTCGTCCTGGCGGTCATCGTTGCTGTATGGGACGTTGAGCGCGAGGGAAATACCGCGTTTTTCTTCCTCCAAGCCTGGGCTCTGATGTACAGCCTATAGAGTTCTCTTCGAAACCTTCAGTTCGGTTCTTGTCAAGGTTCAGCCACACCCGCTTTTACGGTACGTTTTCGTAATTCCTCTCCTAGGGCCACCTACGAATCAGCTGGCAATGCAGTGCTTTAGGAGGTTGCGGATCATGCGGTATATCGTCGAAAATGCGCTTATCTGCGAAAATGGCTTTCTCCGAGCGTTTATTGAGTGTTTACTCGGGTGGGTGTCTTGGCAGCTGCTATTCGTGATCAATTCATATATATATTAAGTTTGCTGCGAAGTCCTTTCGTAGGTTATATCACGGCGCTGGCGTTCATGATTTTATGTTGGTTGTCCCCCGCCCGCATGGTCTGTTTTTGAAATCATCGACAACGGTGCTGCGACCAGCGGCATTTCTGGGGCAGCTTGAAAGTAGGTCTCACCATTTTGACGCTGACTATTAATGCGCTGTTACCGTGGGCCTTTTTAGCATCATTTTGTGGCTCTTCTGTGGACATTTTGTGCACGATCTTCATATGTCAATCTGTTGTGCCTTGACTGGATTCTTGTCGATCCACCCTGACCTGGAAGTGACGATATCGACGGTCTCTATAGACGTTCTCTGGTGCCACGTACTGTTCGCTCGTGGAGGGACTCGTAATATCTCTCGTCAACTGGACACATATCCTCTCTTGATAACTCCAATGGGCAATCATATTCTTTGTTCGTTCTTGGTGATCCGGAGTTCAAGCGTCCGACGTCACTCATTCTTAACGTACTTTACATGGCGCATAACTCCTCTGACGGTGGTCCATATGTTTCTGAAACGGCGACCGAGAGATTGAGGCCTGGCGATGTGTCGCATCCACGGATTGTCAGCAAGAGCTCGGACTTCTGAAATAGAATCGTCTAAAGGAGGTGGACGGTCACAATGCTTTCCACATGCAACTGACGTGTATGCAATGAGATATCGAATGATACTTACCTGAATATTAACCGTACGAGCTCGTGTCAGGGTACTCCGGTTAACATTGTGTGTATCGTCACCGACGCCGACGAGTCGACGGCTGTCGCCCTTATCGATATCGACTTCCTTTCATCGACTTTTCACTCAGGCTCTTATAATCCGCTTACGATCGGTCGGCCAGCGAGAGGTGAGAACTCGGATTAGAATCTTCTGACTCATTCTTATCGTACATCGGTTGAAAAGCGCATGGTTCGAACTTGGCGCGATGTTCTCAAATATCATCGTGCTGTCCATTAAGACACCTTCGTGAACTCGGCGCCGACGGGTGAAAGCTTTCTCCGTAAACCCGATCTTATTGGATAGTTTCAACAGCAAGACCATACTTCGTCAACTTCAAAAGTGGTCTAGACACTATTAGGTACTTTGCGGTGTTTACTGAACGGTGACCCATGCACATTTCCGGAAGCGAATACTAGTGCCTTTTGAGCACCCAGCTAGTATGGTTTACGACTCGGCTTCAAGTTGAATTGACTAGTGAGCTTCATTCTTACAATTGGCCTAAAAGAATATGACTTCACCGTTTATAAAGACTATACCCTGCATGATTCAGTTATTCTGATTCGTTAGTAATGGCAGCGGGTATGTCCCGACTCCCAAGCATTGATAACCAAATGGATTCAGCGCTGTGATGAGGCTGATACATGCCACAAGCGACGAAACAGTAACGAGGTGTTTGTACGGCGGATCAGCAAGATATGTACATAAGGCTCGTATAACCACTTAGCACGGCCCATCCCTAGGAACAGGTGGACGATGCCGGCATAGCAGAAGTATGGAGAACACAAAGTGAGATGTCAGGGCTTAACACTCGTTTTCCACCGATAAGAATTCGGCGTACTAGTGCTGAGTAGCGACCCGTGCTTCCACGGCTTCTGTAGCGATGTTCTTGGCGTAAAATTTTGCACGAGAATGTGTTGCATATCTACGAAGTTGGCGAGAAATGAGGATGGGTGCCGATGAGGACGGCTACATCAGGCGAATTCGAAAGCAATGGATGTCGAGAAAATGAGTCTGCACGGAACCAGTCGTCGTCCTTCGCGGGTGGCATTTACCCGGCAAATTTGGGAGGAAAGATGACATCAGCGGCCACGCGACTGCCGAACCGCGTTCATGTTCGAGCAGAACGTCGTACCGTCGGCTAAGACAGTTTCGTTCCTTCTACCACCATCATCACTGTCGCCATGGCCGTGCAGCAGAGTTCCACGGCAAAGGTGGTGACGTGGCTGAAGGCGAACCTTCAAGTCTAGAAGGACCGTCAAAACTTGGATTCGATGCTGCATTTCGCTCGCCATTTCGTTGATCTACCTCTGTGCCACCGAGACTTCGAATGCTGAGGGACAGGCGGCGTTCTTTTCTTCGTGCGTTGTGCGCTCATCTCGTGCGGCATCATCTTGATATTCGGAAATTTGTTTCCTAGGATCCTGGCAGTTATGCTACCGCCGTCTTTCGCGCTATCGATGTTTCTTTTTGTATCGGCTACGCTCATAATAGGTTTTTAGCCTTTTTCTTGCTCGAGAACTCAAATAACAGTGGCTAGGTATGCTTTTCGGTTGGGCGTGGGGCTGCGCCGCCATGGCTTCTGCTCTTTCGGTTCGTGACCAGGCTCGATTGGCGCGGCAAGTTCAGGCTCTCCAGTCTTCGTTGGTTCTTCATAGTCATTTTACCTAATTTTAGGCTCATATTAGGCCTACAGCGGTGACCCCACGGCGCTTCAATACCAAAGCGCCATATTCCACGGCCAGTTTCTTGATCCTCGGCAAGCGATCTCATCGATATTCGCGCCTTCCGCTCAACTTTATTGTGCAGGTCTTCGGCTGTGTTTGGTGCTTTCTTCTTCATTGGGACCTTCTTTCTGTCGACCGTCGTCGCATACAGACCGAAGCTTGCCCTTTTCAGTATATTCGGCACCATCGTTCTGGATGTCATGTGTGTTTATGGCCCTGGTTAGTTGATAATCATAACCATTCTACACGTCGGATTCATTCAGATGCCTAGCTTTTCCGGTGTCTCAGTATACTCTTGCCAAACTGTTCCTGATCCCCAGTGGCTTTTATCTCGCAACTGCTATCGCATGCCTCATTTTTATCTTTCCAGAATCTTTGAATCATGTTTGGCTGTGAGCACGGTATATTAACGCTAAATAACGATTAAATATTGGTATCCAGGAGCTTGCTTGGTGGCGGCATGCTTAAAGTTTGTTTTCCGGTTTCCTTAGCCTGGAGTCCTTCCTTAACCGCATGTTTATAGCCCGTCCTTGACATTATCGATCTTCAGGCTGAAACCTTGCAGGCGGATACCTCGGACCACGAGGCGATTGAAGCGCTGATTCAGCGAGGGAAGGCGTACCGTGCATCATTAGTCGCAGGATTTCAAGGTCTGCAGGGTCAAATTGGCCTCATTGATCTCGAGAGCTCGATGGGAAGGCTAGGTGCTGCGGATTTGAAGCAGGTGAATAAGGAATTAAAAACGTTGACGAATCGGACAGCGTGAGCGATTTCGTTTGATGTGACATGAGATGATATTTTACTCCGTCGCAGTGGGTTATTGGCGTTCCAGACGGCGGTAGATGACCTGCTTGTTGCACATGCCAAAACTGGTCCTGATGAAGATCCGAAGTCCAACCGGGCAACCATGAACCGGGCAATCTTGCTATTGCGCGATATGAGGGCTCGTGAAGTGAAGCATGGTCATGATCTGGAAACTTTGGTCCCATTACTGTCTAATGCGTCCAGGTCTCTTAACAGCGACTGTTCGGACACTGTTAAGGTCATCACGTCGTGGTTCCAAGACTGCAATAGTGCAAGGTGGACGTGGCTGTTCAGTAAACCGTCTCCCGAGAAGATCCAGCAAAGGCAGCAGGGTCTAGTTGATCAGTTGAATGTTATCAAGAAGTCTTTGGACCACTTCCGTAATGTCGAACGTGTCCAACTCATCAAGCCATTTGAACGATTTTTCGATCCAGTCACCGGTCGACCGCTTGCCTCAGTCGAGGAAAATGCGGGGGCCTCGGGTTTCTCTGTGAGGTACGTGGTTACCAGATGTGCCTGGATATCTTGTACATTCTCATCAATACTGATTGAGGTGTTTGTTACTTACATAGGTCGTTGTTCATATGTTTCGTGTTCTGTGATACCTTGGAGGCTTTTGCGGATTCCCTCATCAAGCTCTTGACCCTGATTGTCTATCTTGATGATAAGCGGCCGGAACCTAGGCTGTGGATGCCCATAGGGTTCGGAAGCGTGGGGGGCAGAGCAAAAGGGACCGGCGGGACAAATAAGAATGTTTCGCCCTTCGCGATGGGGGCGCCCACAGATCCTTTCAAATTCGACGAGAGTCTAGCCGAATCACAGGATACGCTCAAGGCTGAAGGCGAGAAAGCTGAAATCGAGGCAGGGGTACTCCGACGTCGTCAGTTGATATTTTCCTTAATGAGACTGATTGAGACCGATGATTGCATGTGTAGCCCGAGACCCTGATGCACTTCCGCCTAAAACTGCCCTTGGGAAGTTCTCTCTCAAGTTAGCCTCGACTGTCATGTTTTTCTGGTCTCCTCAGGGTGTCTATGCGACAAGATATGCCCTTGTGTCCATAGCGCTCTGGATTCCGTCTGTTTGTTCCTCAAGCGCGTGGTTCGTGTATGAAAATCGGGGACTTTGGGCGCTGATTATGGCACAGGTGGATTTGCTTTACCTTGTCCTTGTTTCTGGTTACTACTGTATACTGATATGTGGTCATTGACAGATCGGTCTAGCTGTGTTCGCGGGAGATCAGGTATGTTTCCTTGTTTTATGAACGGAGGTTCGAGCTATTCTGATTTGCTTCCTCCAGATATAGCTACGGTGTTCGGCTAATCGGGACTGGCATTGGTTTGCTCAGTAAGCTCATATCGGTTCTTGTTTCGTTCTTTGTTGATGCAAGGAAATAGATGGTCTTGTGGCGTGGTATATCGGCGCTGCCCGAGGGAATGGTAGCCCCTATGGTATCGTTATAATTACGGTGTGTGTTGCTCGTCTTTGTCTTATTGGGTACACTGACTCAAACATGGACTTCGAATTGTAGACAGCCTTAACCGCACCCTTCATGTTGAAGAGTATCACATGTCGACCCAGTGACAAAGCTTTCTGGAGTATGATCGGAGTAACGACCGTGTTTGGTGAGCCAAGATGGCTGAGTTTAGTGCGAACATCGTGTAAACTTGTGTTTCCCTTAGTTGTCGGATACAGTTGGGTCGATGCCCATCAGGTCCTGCTGGTCAACACTGGAATAGGAATAGATATCGCATGGAAGCGAGCGTGAGTCTGTTATGCCATGCGTAGTTGTTGTTACTTACTCTTTTGATCTTAGCCTACTTATCATCATAGGGTTTACTGCTGGGGTACGCGATCTATACTTGCCTCGGTTTCTGTGCACATGCCTGATATAGCTTCCGCCAATGCCCAGTTTATCGTGATGATTGTACCTAGGCTGACATCTTCTCGTGTATTCGTCCGTCGGTCTTTGGCTGCTATTACAGATGAATTGGGTCACCTATTGGCCTCGGAAATTGAGGCATTCCTAGCGGAAGAACGCAAGAGTCGGCTCAATGACGACCTGGAGAAACGCCGTACGAATGGATCTGATGATGTCTCAACGAAGGAGGAGCGTATCCGGATGTTCACACCTAGGATGCTTGCGATTGCTGTACGTTCCGCTTTTTCGGTACCTGTGCTCACGAGGCTTATGCACTGCAGACTCGACTACAAGAGTTGCAGCCGACGCTGACTGCGGCGAAATGGGAACCCCAGGTTAGAGGCCAGTGGCCGTACGAGCAGTACGCTTTACTACATTCGAAATTGTATGATCCTTCCGTCATTTTCGGTCTGGTTCTGAGGATTTAATTTACTTGAACCATATAGAACGCGGCTTCTTTCGACGTTGAACCTTCTCGTGGGAGCCTTGTCGAGAATGGACGAACGATGGTGTGGCATCCTCATACATCATGTTCGTAGTGTTCTATACCGTATATTCTTTCCATTCAATACTGATCTTCACTAGACCCCATTTATGAACCCCAGCTTCGTGCGTTCTTTCATCCGCAGTTATTTCTTTCAATGGGGTTAACTCAGATTGCGCAGCTCTCTGACGTTTTTACGAAAATCTCCGTCATCTCCAGCTGCCTTTCCGGTGCTCGACCTTTACCTCCTGCATTCTTTAGCTTGAAGGATCGGATCATCTATCATGAGCGTCGTTCGAAGGCTATTCGGCATAGACATGCCCAGATCCAAGAGGAGGAAAAGGATGACTCCGACTCCGATTCCGACGTAGAGGACTCTACTGACCATGTACCGGAAAAGGTGGACGGCACCAAGATTGGTATCAAGGAGCTGACGCTACGGCTTCTCATGGTGAGCCCTTTATAGTTTACGTCACTGATATGTACCAATCAATCATCATGCGTAGGATCCTCATCTTCCGGCGCATTCCACGGGTGAGTAGTTTGATTCACTGCGGCGATGTGTTGGTTTTGAATGTGACTGCCATTACAGCTGTAATTGCGCTTTCTTCCGTCATAAGTGTAAGTTCCAGGCTTTGTGATAGTTTGTGACGCTGACCTTGGCTTGGGAAAATAGCTCCTGGATGACATTTCTGGTATCATTAAGGACTTATGTGGCGAGACATCCTTTGCTAGTTTGGACACGCTGCATCGGCGTTTCTTAACCTTTGAGGAAGAGGCGCTGGGCCGTACTGTTTAGGGCATGATCAGATACCGTCATGTGGGACATATACATCTGTTGTGGTGTATGAGCTGTTGGGTATTGTCAAACCAAGCTAGTATTCTTGTATTTCCTCGTGTACTTCAATGTAGCCTTACGAAGTCGTTCGATGATGGCCGACCCTAGGGCGAGGGCGACGAGCTGGGGACACTATTGGCCGGGGAGTTAGCCTGACTTGGCAGTGCTCTGCTCAAGGTAGTTCATGTTTGAGTTGAAATTGGCTGAATAATGTACAATCAAGCACCTTAACTTGTACGCGTTTTCTTTGGTATTGGTATGTAGTCATCAAATCTAAAACCACCGCAGCCCAATCCCTTCATAGGGCCACCTCATACGAAACGCGCAAGCACTGCCCCTTGCCGAACTTCTTGATACCTGTGTAAATAAGACTACAACTTAAGCGTACGATGTGGGGATACAGATCAATATTAATAATGATTACGGACATACGATCACGAGAGAAGAATTAAAAGGGCTGTTCTGCAAGAACCTCTGATATTTTCACAATCAAGGCCGTCTTGCCCCTAAGCTCCGCAGCAAAATACGCTTTCGCCCCCCCAACACCCCTGGTCCTAACTACTTGCGATATACGGTCATACTCTTCCGGCGCATCACCTCGTCTTATGGTGCATACAAAATCTCTCTTCTTCGTGTATACCAGGAGATCTCCGTCAGGCCTTATGTTTGGTCTACTCGAGAATGCGTCAAAGGGTACCTGCACTTTAATAACGATACTTTTTGGTGAATCGGCAGAGAGGTTCTTGGGCGTGTGTGCAAAGCGACGATGAGACGGGGGCGTTTCCGAAGTGGGAATAGACCAAAGATCCCGGGAAAACTTGGCCATTGGCTGGCGGAACCCGTTTTTATCTTCGGGGTAGTATGGAATGAGGGTGACAGTGTTCCGGGCAGTGAATGGCTGACAAAGGGGTTTGTGGGTAGGCCAGTGCGAGCCTGAATGAAACGTTAGGGTGACATATAATACTACAAAGGCTGAAACGTACGCTGACACGTTGTCGAACAATATCTCGCAGTCTGACACTTTGAGCACAGCCGGAGTTGAACACCGTTTCCTCCTGGTTTCTTGCAAAATTCGCATGCCTTGGTATCCATCGGTTTTTCGTCCCCTGAACGTTTCCTCAACCATCGCTGTACAGTAGCTGTCACCTCGGGGCCGGACTTGAGCTGAAACTCCCGAGGTCTGACTCCATCTGCGTCTGCAATGTCTATGTCAGCGCCAAATTCCATGAGGTCGATTGCGCCGATTCCATTGGTCTGGAAGCATCCGAGCAAGGGGACTTCACCGTAGCGGTTACGCTGATTGGGCTCTGACCCAGATTCGAGGAGGACGCGACACAGATCAAGTTTTGCCATATGGTTCAGGTCTTTGTAGACGTTGCGCGCCAGAGACGACGATGGTGAGATACCCAAATTTGTATGGCGTCTCTGTACCCTTGAGGTCAGGTGCATCTCCAGATTCTACTTCCTGGTTTCACAGTCCAGTAGCCGGGGAAATTTGGTGGTTGTCTCAAGCTCACCTTGACTACTCTGTCGTAGTCTCCCAGGTAGCAGCAGAGTCCGAAATAGGTAAGCTTTTGGGGGTTAAATGAAGTGGATCTTCCGTTGTAAAGTTGTCGGAGAGTTTGTCCCCCCATTTTAATGGATAGGTAGCCAGGCTGTTCCAAGATGTTGCGCATTTGTTTGGTCACTGAGAGTCCGCCACTGCCGTCTCCTTGGTGCGTGTACTTTGATGGAGAGACTATAAACCGAATTGGGTACATCCTGGTATTTATTTCTGCCAAGTTAGAGTCTGTCAAGCATAATGTAAGGGGGAAGATGAAAGAAGAAGCATCAGCAAAAACCCCCAACGATTGCAATCATTACTATTCTTGGAATATCTTATCAGTGCCGATATTCGGCTGACAATCAATATCATAATCGCATCAATTTGTAATTGCATTATAATCCGCTGCGACGCTTGTGGATCTTACAACTGCATACAGCCCGATTGCAACCAAATTGCAACACTCTTACCATGGTATTGTAAATGTGCATCAGCTTATTCCCAGTAATACTTCAAGTTCATCCTTCCTTGTGCCGCATTTATTAGTAGGGAACAAATCGGTTTGATAGTGTTGCAAGCATTATGTTAATGTGAAAGATGTTTTACTAGTACATAGGTACCGGTCTTAGCCAGAATTACAATGAGTTAATCGCTAGTACAAGCAGACAGAAAGCAACTACAGCATAGTATCATCGAATGGCGGCAGGAAAGCGCGGACTGGGCCATAAAATAATCAAAGTCCTTTCAAACTCCGTTCCAGGTTCCGCACTCCGGGATCGCGTCATTGCACGTGATGTTGACCTTTTGTTGATGCAAATTCCGACTCCCTTTCTCTTGTTCTTTCCATCACCATCGTTCCTCAGTTCTTCAGGCATCGATACTCCACGAAAAAGTCTGTGATAATTCTCCAATCAATTCAAGTCCTTCTGATGGTGTTCTTTCTGTCCTAGGTGCCTCTATTCATTCACTTCTAGCTCATGGCCAGGGAGAACGGTGTTGCCGTTGAATATTTCTTCGAGTATGAGGACCGTAGATTTATCTCTTCTATTGTTACTGACTACACTTCTCTATTTGCCTCAGAACTCGACCACATTGACATTCTCTCCACCCCCAGCTATGGAAGTTGTGCGACAATCCCGTGTACGGTGCGAGTTCCTTGTAGACTTTGCTTCAAGATTATTTATATGGTCTAGGACTCGTTGGTGCCTTTGCGATATCTGTTTAGGGATGGAGGACATTCCCGCAGTCAAGGTGAGTCAAGACTGCCGGCTACTTTCGATGCAATGATTTGTTTTGACGCTGCAGCCACTCGCTCATTAATACCTCTGCCGTGACGACGCCATTATCAAGTGCATTGATAAATCTATAGCCGCTGATGCTCGCAAGAACCTGTTGAGGGAGGGTAATGAGTACGTACATTTATATCTGAGTATGCTCATACTGACTGGGTGCTTGATAGGTGGGCTTTCCATCGAAGGAATGGTGCGCCGCGAAAGACTGGAGGATCGTATGGCTCGTTTGTGCACCTCTCGGGGACATTAATACATACTAGATGTCATTTTGTGTACCTTATGCTGCAATAAATTTATCCTTTCGTGCTTTGCATTGTACGCTTCGCTAGCTGAATGAATGATATGATCCATTTAATTGCTTGAGTAACGGTCATATCGTTCACTTAGTTGGCTCTTACAGAGGCCTGATATGAAAGTTGTATTCACATACAATCATGATAATTCTATCAGGTCATACGAGAACCACCATTCTTGTAGAAATTATATTCCGATTATAATATGGGTACAACACAGTTATAAAATGTACGCGTCGACGATAATCAATTATAACTGATTATACATACTATAAGTGATTATTGCGATTACAAGCCTCTCACATGTATTTGTAATTGTTCTGCATTTTTGCTGATGAAGGCGAATTAGATTACAAAGTTAACCAAACCGAGCGATTGCCAAATGTAGACTGATATTTCCTTGGTCAGCTGTTCGGCCGCTTACTCTGGCACCCATTTACAACGAAGGTCCTATAATCTCTGCGTCACTTCATGCTCTCGTCGCAGGTGATCTCGTCTTCCTCTGTCATTCACTGACACTTCTTTAGTGTCTATGCTGTTCGACGAGTCACGTATCCCAGGCAGCCTGAGGAAGTTGACTACTAGCCGCAGAATTGGACGCCTTTTTGCAGCTATTTTGCTGGTAAAAAGAGGAAAGACTACTTATGGGTTCAAGTTATACCACAGTGGCTCTCAGAAACGATAAGTGAGCGGAATTTCCCGGTGGCATTGCATCTGCGACGCGCGTTCAATCTCCTTTCAGTCCACAGTTCCATTTTCTTGAAAGCATTGCTGGGATACCTTATCATCTAGAAATTTTCATCAAAGAGTGCTGAGCGGAATTTCATTGTTACTTTCTGGTACGACATCGAGAACCAGGAGAGCAGCACTCTGCAGCTTGGTCTGCGTGAAAAATGGATTCAGTACTCTTTAAGACGTTCCATGCACTGTGCAGAAGAGAACATCGAAAATCCTTCTTTATCTGCCTCAATTGTCAGCCCACTCTTAGGCTTACCGTACCTATCTCGTGGTTGTGACATTGATCTGCATCACTTGTTTAGGGTCAGGTAGGTACCGGCCTGTTCAAACGAACTGCGTATTCATTTTTATTGAATCTATCAGGTGCTATACGAGTAGTCTCGAATGTATGCAAGGCTGGTATGATATCTGTTTCGAAGCAACTGTAGAAAATGCAAAAAGGTCGCCGCCTTTCGCATGCTTCCCTTCAAGTAGAATCGAAACAGATGGTTGTACCAGTCATGAAGGCATGCAATCGACTGGATTATTTTACGAATATTGAAAGGGTAAGCCTTTCGTTTGTTCTTCATATCTGTGTCCAACGTTCGCGCACATCTTCGTGGCGCACGTAGCGACTGTTGACCAAAACCATCGAAAAGTAGGACAGAGTACATGCGATCTGCCCCGCGATGTGTTTCTCTGGACGCGTGAAGAAGTTTAATTGATGCCGAGGAATCATCTTCAATGATCCAGATTGCGCACCCACTCGGGTGTCGATCGTGAACGTAGGACGCCTACATCGCCAATGTCAGGCATGACCGTCTATAACGGGTAATAGCTCAGCTGCTTTGCCTCTCACGTTTGCTCCACCAGGAAGTGGCAAATCATTTTCTAAAACTCTTAGAATTCATAGCAGATCTCAGTATGGCTACGACAATGTTACTCTCTGGACGCTTAGCTTTGATTACTGGAGGCGGAAGTGGAATATAAGTTTCCTTGTCTTTAATTTCGACGCGTTAAAAAAAGAGGACTCAGCATCGCGAAAGTATACATCACCGGCCGAAGGTTGGACGTTCTGGAGAAAGCCGCCATGTCTGTCACAGGGTGTGTTAGGATCCATTATCCGTAAGTAACCGCCTTCCATGCTATACTATCACGCATTCCTTACCTGTTTCCATGTTCTGAGGAAAACGTGAAGGCTGCTGTTAAGCACATCGAGGGAATTGACGGCATTCTCGTAAACAATTTTGTCGCCTGTGCTTTCCGTTCCTATTCCCCCTGGCGCTGATTATCTTTGTTCTTTATTGCCGGGCTTGCTGCCTCCCTTCGCGATCCTGACTGAGTCTTTACAAAGAAGTTGTCAGAAACTGACCCCTTTGAGCCGGAAACGGTACAGAACTGGGCAGATATGTTCGTGCTGAACACCATCACGCCGTTCATTGTCGTCCAGGCCTTTCAATCACTCCTCATCAAAGGAGCACATTCCCGCCCACAGGGAACATCGAGTGTCAGCAGCATCAGTAGCATAGCAGCAAATATACAGTCGTCGCCAGGTGGACTCTCGGTATATTTCCTTCGGATTTTCCTCGTTCTGAGATAAGACTAATTTGAAACGTTGAGATGGCCTACGCGCCAACGAAAGCTGCCTTGAACCATCTCACTCGCATTGGAACGAGTTTTGCTACTAGGGATATTCCCATTTGTGTGAATGCGATCTCGCCTAGGCCATTCGCGTCGCAATTGATGTCTCTCGAATTCTTCGAGTCTCTCAAGACGTCGGTTATGCTTGAGTTAGTGGCTCAGATATCTGCGAAGAGGCATGAGAGATGAGCGTTTTTGTGGGGATACACGCAAGCCTTTATTGTTATAGCGAAGCGGAGATGGGAATTCCCGCGGTGCTTTTGGCAGTCTCTGATTATACGAACGACGATTTAACCGTCCGAATCTATTGACCACTGGTAACTACAAGGACTGGTACCTAGTTAATAAAATGTTTAAAGTCTTGGCCCTTGAAGTTAAATATACTGTCAGGAATCTATAGGGATGAGTAGACCCAGGTTGGAACTGAGGACCTTCTATGTGTGCGACGGATACAAGAAATAACCTTCCATAAGCCTATCGCATCCCAGGAGAATGGGCAAGTTCATCCACAGATCAGGAAGAGGTTACCCAGTACGGAGTCGGCATCGACGTAGTCCATTCACGGCACTAATCCCACTGGTGTAAAATATGAAGACACAGCACTTCAAAGCAGCCCTAGTCTAGGCTATCCAGCAGAGGCCACGCAACATTCATGATGCAGTCAGAAGAGAGAACGATCGACGCTTGTGTGGGGAGAACGGTGTTTCTCTGAAACAAGACAGACAAAATAGGAATTTCCCGGTGCCGATCCCCTTTTCTCTCAGCCTTTACCCCGCCATTTTGTTCTTGTGATTAAGTGTGAGTATCATACATCTGCCTTCAAACTACAGATCCTAATGACTTACCGCTCACATCTCAGTTTAATTCTCAAGAGTTGGGTTGGAATTTGAAGAATTCCATAATATGGCGCTGCTATCTGATTCTGTTCTACTACGGCTACAAGACGACGAATCTCAACGCGAACAGATGATAACGTCGATTCTTCGTAAAAGGAGGCCCTTGCTGGATGTTGATGTATCTTGGATTGAAAAGGACATTGCTGCATATGAGCAGGAGCTCTCTAATCTGAAGACTCAAGTCGCCCTTCTGAAGCACCAAAAGGAGCAACTTGAGCGTTCACTTTCCAGGCACAAATCGTTACTATCACCCATTCATCGTCTCCCATGTGACATCCTTGTGGAAATATTTCGCTGGGCTGCGCATCGTCCAAAGAGCAGCCTCGATGTCACGAAGGGCGTGTGGCCTCTAGGGCAAGTCTGCGGATGGTGGCGGGATATTGTACTAGCTTCGCCCATCTTATGGTCTGTAGTTATTCTGGAACCACCATACACGCGGCACTCCGTTGACATCCTCACCCACCATTTTTGTCACTCGGCGGAGCTTCCTTTGTGGATAGCGGTAACGGCCGGGGACAGCGTGAATGACCGTCGTGTCTTCGATATGGTCATTCAAAAATCCGCGCTCTGGAAAATGGTGGACATTTGTACACCATTGAAAGACCTGGAGAAGCTTTCCTCTGTATCAGGAAATATCCCTTTTCTGGAGGAGTTGTACGTTTATGCCGAGGGTAAAGTGTACTTCAGCACAGATGCATTGTCTTCGGCGCCGTCTCTTCGGCGTGCAGGACTTCAACCACTGGAGGTATCCAAGCTGCCTTCGAACGCTAGCTTCCTTACACATTTTACTGGGACCTTGCGCCATTTGACGGACATTCGATACATTATCCCAGATACAAACACTCATCGATGTTCGTATCTTATTTTTTGACGACGCGGATGGACCTTTGGATTTTGATAATCCTTTACCCGTTAAGATGGAACGACTCCAATTCCTAGCAGTCTATGATGCGAGAATACTGGACCATCTTATCGCTCCGTTGTTGAGAAAATTCGAATATCATCCAGCCTCCGCTTTAAACGGCAGCGACACCGATATTCCTTCGCTTCGAGATTTTCTAGCGCGGTCCTCTTGCTCCATCGAGCTTTTGGTCATTTGCCCGGAGACGGTCCACAAGATTCATCATCTTATGGCCTTTATAAAGAACGTCAGTTATGTGGAGGTACACTACGAAAGAGGTCGTACCGTATCCTCACTGGATCCGCTGACCTTACCTGAGGTCCTTCCTGCGATGGAGGGTCTGAGGCTATGGATTTGTACTGATTCCGGTTGGGGAAGACAATGCGTGAAAAGCGTCATTGCTGTCGTCCGCCAACGCTTCGATAAGGAGCGAGCAACAGTTTTGAACGTCACAAAGCTGTCTTATCTACGTATAGATTGTGCTGACAGCTCTAGAGTCTTCAGTCAGCTAAAAAGTGAAGGGCTTGATGTCCTCGGGGGAGAAGGTTTAGATTGGGAGAAAGGGACACCGTACCTAGAGATTGATGAATATTGGACAGGAGACTGGTTCAGTTAGCTTACGACTCTAATGATTGAATAATGCCAAAGAATAAATTGGTACTGCCTATCTCTCCCACAATGCGAATCATACAGTTTCCCAAAGCAAGGATCAGAAAAAAAACAAAGTGAAGGCTGTACTCACGAAATGTCCGGGATCTCGGCAAATCGATTTTTGGGACAATATTTTACCTTAAAATGAATATAGCATCGCGTCATCTTTTACGCCCATTTCCTTCTTCAACTCTCTTTGATGAACGACCTTTACTTCGTACAATGTCCATCAAGGATCTCCACGACATTTCTTCTGGTATACGCAACTTTTTCTTGCTTTTATCCTTCTACTGACGCCTCAGACTGCTTAGATATCATCTTGATCCTGGAAGTGTGATACTACACACCTGAGTCTCGCGCTACTTCTTCTCGCTGAGCTATATTACTTGACTGCGATTTCATATCGACGGCGCCAACCTGTAAATCTGGTACCAAAATTATTGACAACGCAACCATCCCGGGCCCCATCAGTCATCATCCTGGCTCTTTCTAGGGTTGCGCCTGAGTCACTACAAATGTGTCGACCTACAATGACGACCCACTGTGCGTGCGAGGCTGACGCCAATTCATCCTGGAGGACAAGTATGCTCAGCAGTTTCCCTGCATCCGCAAAGTCATATGCGCGTTTGGACGACCTCGACAGAGCTGCTGCACGGTCTTGACGAACCTCTTGTTGATGAGACGACCAATAGGGAACCACAAAAGCCGGGGATGTGCAGCACTTTCAGTGCTGGAGTAGAGGCGATGTCATTCTGAGTTGTTATCGACACACCCGTAGACCTTGAGCCTATGCTTCGGCTGTACGGGTCATAGATACAAGGAAACGACTCCATCACCATGCACGGACTTCACAAGATTAAATGCTCGTGCAATCATTTGCCTGTCGGAGACCTCCCAGGTCTTGCCTGCTCAAAAATCGATATTTATATCCGGATCACAATCGGCAAGCTATATGTTCAGTTCATTGAACCTGTATCTCTTTGCACCCAGATGATGCGCCAAGTACCATTTTACAAACTTCTTGTACATCTCATGCGCTTCTTTGTGGGGCGATAATATAACCAACGCACTCTCGTGTGCTTCCATGCACTTCTTCGCCAGGTAGCAAAGAGCCTTACTCTTTGGCTCGATATAAGGTTGTCATTTTCACTGTCACGCTCCTCCTGTAGAACGAGGTGACGTCGTTTATGAAGCAGATGGTATCATGGAGGAGAGGAAGAGCTTTGATGTATACGCAATACGGCATCTCGGTGGGGAAAATGAACACAGCATAAGCGTCAGCAATTCCGCTTAGCTCTCGAAGAAACACCGCGTATCTGTCAACTTTGTACGTCTGCCATCTTTGATGAGTAAGTGGGCCAATTGCCTGAGGGAGAATCACTCACCGGTTCAGATACGCTTCCGCTTCGTGTCTCCAAAATTAATGCAGTCATGAACCTGAGGATCAACTGGATAATGAAATCAGCAGCCACTTCGCCAAACACCTGGGAGGCTTCTTTTATAGATTCGCAAAGCCTGCTCAACAAGTCACGCCGTAAGAAGTACCGCTTAATGGGTGTAGAGACTTTTCTACCGTTATCATTACAACTGTCAACAATATGATGTTTGGCCTCGGAAAGTTGATTACGCCGGATACGCCATTGCAAGTAAAAATCCCTCTACTTTATACCAATAGGAAACTCTGTACCAAGTCAGAAGCCTTAAGTTATAAGATTTCAAAACCGCAAAGATAACCGGTCCATTTCTGGTTCCCATCAGAATAGTAGGGGCTTCCTAGGACCTCGGGTCTTTCCAGTACACGGGGCCTAAGGAGAAAAGAATTCGGGCACCTCTAGTGCCATGGACCGCACCGAACCTTTGGACGCTTTTCGATCATCTTACTCTTCATTTCAACATCTGATTCTCCGCGAAGCTCTTAGATCTCTACTAAACATCGGGAGTTGGCTCCATTTATAATGAATAAAATCCTGGTTTATTCACGCGTGGGAGGCGTCATACTTGAACAAACCGGACTGAGGAGACTTCTCTCAATGCAAAAGCGCCAAATCACCCCCAAGAGGAAAAAGGGTGCCTGCATTCGCTGCACCACTTTAGTTTCGAGATCATCTGCATTGTCCTGATCGTAGTGGACCGTTCATGCCCGGAGAGATGTTGTGAGTTTATCTCTGAGATATACACACGTTGGCTTACCTAGCCAGAAAGTGAGTGATGGTAGTACCTCGATGTGCTTGACTGACGGTCGCTTGGATCGCAGATAAAGCAAATAGGCTACCAGCGCGACTACGGAAAGCAGTAAGAGTTTCTGAGCAGAGCCGAGTGCACGATAACAGTCTGTAAGACAAGCCGAACGCAACTGACCTTCACAAGAGCAAAACCATAGCGAAGCTCCATTGTGATAATGATAAAAAAAGGGAAGGCCGCCCGAACTTTGTTCTCTTGGAAAACGGACCGGTGATCCATCGTGTCAAAGCTTTAGTACATGCCCGATCTGGCTGCGAACTTGAAGACACAATTACGCAGAGACGAGGAAGGGCATCAACAGCAGATAGCACACCAGAGATCTGTGATAAGTGGTAGTAAACTGAAACGCGTATGAGTGCAAGCGCAACCTCAACAAAGGAATCAGTAAGTACATCGCTCGCTGTGATACCTCTCAATCAGCTTCGTTAGGCCATTACCTCGAGGTTGCAATTCGAAAGCAGATATCCAATAAAAACCTGGGCGTGGAGATGAAAGTTTCTAATTCGTACTTGGACTCTTCTCAAACCGAATAACTGGACGTAAAGCAGTGCGACACGTCAACAATTGAGGATTTCACCCAGTAGTCATCCAGAATCCAGATGCCTATTCGATTACACTAGACCAAGAAGCAATCTAGCACCAGCGAGACTTCAAGGAAGTATTCCAGTCTAGTCGATGTGTAAAGTTGCTGAGAGGACTAGGGATACTGGGGACAAATGAAAAGAAAACATTCAGGCTGTCGTCGCCTGCGCTGGAGACTGGTGGTAGTAGTAGTAGGCGGCAAGCAGCAGCGGGACAGTGGGGGCTCGCCGGCCCGGAACCGGTGTCGGGGTTTGAAAAACGCTTTAACTGCAACCATCATCTCTCAGTGCCGATGCACTCTTTTGTTTCTATTTAGCCTCGAAGCTATGGCACCATAAGCTCGCTGTCGAGCAAGGATGCAAAAATGACGATCTTCAACCGCAATTTTGACTTTAACGAGCAGCACAAAGGCGAAAACAGAGCCCAAGGAATTAGGACGCTTAGCTCGCCGTAAAATCAATGAGAATGCACCCGGTTCCCGTTCAAGCCTGCCATGTTCTAAGATTCAGCACGATGGGCGCCGGCCGTGAGATCTAGCTTCTGTGGCGGTTTGGGGGAGAAGGATGACAGATTTTGTAATGCCGAGGCCGAAGTATGCGACCATCGTTGGGGCCAGGGATGCAGAGCTACTGCTGTAATAAAAAGGATCATGTCCAAAGGCTACCCAGTATTCCACCAACATGGATCTCAATATGGCTACGGTGATGTCGTTGTCTGGACGAGTAGGCCTTGTTACAGGTGGAGGAACAGGGATGTAAGCATTAGAACTCTCGTTTATGGCTTATGGCTAACCTTTCGCAGAGGATTTATCATCGCCAAAGCCTTCGCTGCGAATGGAGCAAAGGTATATATCACTGGGCGAAGGCTGAACGTTTTGGAGGAAGCCGCTGCGTCTGTCACAGGCATTCCAGGATCTCTTGTCCCGTAAGCGGCAGCTTCCAACTCGTGATATCCCTCCATGACACGCCTACAGACTCCAGATGGACGTGACAGATGAGGAAAGCATCAAGGCTGGCGCAAAGCATATCGAAGAAATCGATGGCAAGCTCAATATCCTCGTCAACAAGTTCGTGTGTGGTTACCTCCACTCCTCTCGCTCATATACTGATGCCTTCCTAGCGCCGGATGCACATGGGTCCCGTGATCCAGACTTGATCGCACGATATGCCACAGAGGATCCTTTGGAACTCGAAACAGTACAGAACTGGGCTGATATCTTCGCGCTTAACGCGATTGCCCCGTTCTTCGTGATACGCGCCTTCCAATCACTCCTCGTCAAAGGAGCACAGTCCCGCCCCCATAGCACTTCAAGCGTCATCAACATCAGTAGCGTGTCCGTAAAGATGAACATGACAAGCTCCGTGGCATCTGTATGTACCATAGGCTTGTCATTCTCTCCATCTTGTTTGAACCAACTTGATTTAGATTGCATACGGGCCGACGAAAGCCGCCTTGGACAAGCTCACACTTGTTCTGGCAACGAGTTTTGCTGCGAGAGGTATCCCGATTCGGGTAAACGTGCTGGCTCCTGGCGCGTTTATGTCTGAGCAGCTGAATGATGAGTTTTTGGAGAAGTCAGTTCCTGGTCTGGTTAAGACGATACCGGCGAAGAGGCTAGGGAGGTAAGTACGTTCAGTGTTTGGTCGAGATCGAATATTGATTCGAGTTTTTACTAGTGATGCGGAAATGGGGATGACGGCAGTCTATCTGGCTGTGTCCGATTATACGAACGGAGCGGTGTTGAGGGTTGATGGTGGATTGGCATTGGTCATTCCTTGATTATTTGGCCATCTAATGTAGATCTCTTCATGAGCTCAAATTGCTATTTGTGAACATGGCCTCTCCAAATGGTAGGAGTGTATAGTTTGGGCTTTCAAGGCTGGAACGTCGTATCTATTCTCTGGATATTCGCATAATGTCCCACTCTAAGGAGGGGCGAGGGAAAGACGTGGTGCTAAGCTTCGGAGCCCCAACGGGCAAGTCAATCAATGCAGCAGGAACAAGCTCGTACCGGAAGGTTAATTTCAAAAGAATTTTGATTCCAATAAGAACTTGATTCATTCACAGATTACTATAGTACAAGCGTATTCCTACAAGAACATGTCGACTACCGGAGAACTAGAAGCCTGTTCGTACAGAGAATGGAAATCGGTACTTCAGTTATTCTTGAAGACCACCTGCATCTTCATCATGGAAGTGCGATTCTGCACACCCACACCGGCATCTCGCGCTACTTCTTCCACTCGTTGGGCAATAGCCCTTAACTGCACCTGCATGTTCATATTCACGGCGCCAACCTGTAAGGCTGGGACCGAGATGATTGTCAAGGAAACGATCCCGGCGTCCTCATCGGGCACCATCCTGGCTTTTTCGACCAACGCATTCGAGGACTCCACGTTGGCGTCGGCTGCGCGCTTTGGGGGGATAATGGGCCTGCTAGCTGACGCAAGATCCGCTTGGGTCGCTGGAAAAATGTGTCGGCCTACAATGACGGCCCACTTCGCACGCGAGCCATATCAGTACTCAATCCTACCCATGTACTGGGGATACTCACGTCCCATGTCTCCTCGCAGGTACTGGCGCTATAGACCCAGGAAATGGCTCTGTCTTGACCATTTCCACAAATTCAGGCTCAGTACTCATCTGCGACGGAAACATGCCAAACTCCAACGCGTTCACCCGAATCGGAATACCTCTCGCAGCAAATCTCGTCCCCAGAACGAGGGTGAGCGTTTCCAAGGCTGCTTTGGTTGGACCGTATGCCAACTCGTAAGCCAAGTTAGTTCTGAGTGGAGCTTGAAGGCAACTTGAAGGAAACGGTAAGCCACATACGGGATCTCGGCAAATCGGGTTTTGGACCAGTACTTTACCTTAGAATGGATATAGCATTGCATCATCTTTTACGCCCATTTCCTCCTTTCGCTCTCTTCACCTGACCGCGGGTCAACGACGACCTTCGCCCCGTACCATGTTCATCAAGGACCTCCATGGTATTTATCCTGGTATCTGATGCCTTTTCTCGTCTTTTATTCCTTCATTGACGCGTCGGACTGCTCAGATATCCTCCAAAATCTCATATTTTACTTCAAATATGCATCGTTGGCCTTTACGCCCTTTTGTCTAAGGTCAAACAGCTATAACCTCGTAATGGAGGTTCGAGGAATTATATTGAGCAATTTCTAGTGGCTCTAAAGATATCCCAGATATCCAAGACCTGCTCACGACAGGACAGAATTGGTGTTTGCTCTCCGTAGAAGGTCGATCCTGTCGATAGAGATCGATGGACTGAGGATTTAACAGAATGACAGTGCATTCATCATTGACGTCCTGGTTGACTCGGCAATCGGTCTCGTCCCATTAATTACGCCTGATGTCGAATCTTCAAGTGAGTTCAAGTTGCCTTTGAGTTTACGACAAGGATTACCGCTGGTAGACGGTGTGCGGGTACATAACGGGTTCCTTGTTGGGTACGTTCAGCTTGATCTTGTGTTCCAGGGCGCCATCTTATGTTCTTGCAGGTGGCGGTACAAATTATATCAGTGATGAAGCAAGTTCAAGAAACAGTTATTCCTGCACCCGGATCTGAAGAATATAGTTACGACTGGCCACTCCCTTGGAGGACCCCTGGCGACGCTAGCCGCGATATGTCTTCGAATAAACTTCCCTTTTTCCTTTGAGGATTGCGCCTGAGTCCCTGGGAAAATGTGTTGGCTTACAATAATGGCACGCTGTGCATGCGAGGCTGAGGCCAAGCCATCCTCACTCTCGCTTGATTCAGTTTCCCTGCATCTGCAAAGTCATATATGTATGTGTGGACAACCTCCACGGCGAACTGATGCACAGCATTGATGGATGTCTCGTTGATGCGACGGTCAGTGGAGAAGCACAAAAGCAGAATACTAATGTGAGTACCTTCAATACTGGAGTAGATGTGATATTAATCTGAGCTGTTATCGTCACACCAGTGAACCTTAAACCCGTGCTCGGCTGACTTCGTCGCCATGCACTGGAGCTTCACGAGCCTTAATGCTCATTTAATTATTTGCCTGTCGAGTCTCCCGGGTCTCGTCTACACAAAAATCGAATATTTATATCCCAGATCACGATCGACAGGCTACATGTTCAGCTCATTGAGTCTGTATCTCTTTGCACCCAAATGATACGCTAAGTACCCTTTTACAAACTCCTTGTACATCTCAGTGCGCTTCTTTGTGTGGCGATAAGACTAAGCAAGCGCCCTCTCGTGTGCCTCCTATGCACTTCTCCATCACGTAGCAAAGAGTCTTCGTCTTTGGCTCGCCGTGGGCTTCAGCTAATATCGATATCAGATTGTGGTTGTCACTGTCAAGCTCCTCCTTGTAGAACGAGGTGACGTCGTTTATGAAGCAGATGACTTCACGGAGGAGAGGGAGAGCTTGGATGTATACGGAATACTGGCATCTTGGTGGGGAAAATGAACACGGCGTAAGCTTCCGCAATTCCGCTTAGCTCTCGAAGAAATGCTGCGTATTTGTCAACTTTGTGCGTCTGCCGCCTTTGATGAGTAAGTGACCCAATTGCCTGTGAGAATTACTCACCGGCTCAGATATACTTCGTGTCTCCAAAATCAATGCAGTCATGAACCGGAGGACCGCCTGGACGATGAAATCAGCAGTCACTTCGCCAAACAGCTGGGAGGCTTCTGCCAGGATGTTCGCAAAGTCATCTAGCATCTTGTTTGGCTGCTTCTCTGAGGATGCAAAGTGCTGTGTGGAAGAAATTAATGGAATTTCACTAGCAGACATGTAGACATCGATATTCACTTTGGTAAAAATAGGAACTCCGACCAGGGCGTCGGGGTCATCAGGATAGACGTCGTCGAAGTATATTGCAAACGCGGTGTAGAAGGCAATGTATACTTTCACCGTTGACATCGTCGAGATGATGGTATGCAGAGGCAGTAATGTTGAGTCCAGGTCACTAGGTAGGGCCTGAGTGCATCGAGGGCATATCCTCTATGCTCGGCCTCCTTCATGCAAAGATCTTCGAGTGCAGGGATCCGAGACAGACGGCAAGTTGGTAGGTGTCGAATTGGTGTACGAAAGATCGGATTATGTCTCCAGTAGTCTGCTTCGATTTCTGTTGTCTGTCTGTGACGTTACGAGGCCCGACATAACTACAGTAAACACCCTAAAGAAATTATGGAAACGTAAGTTCCGAGTCGGTAAAATAATACGGACAAAAAGAGCATACTGAGCTAGAACTGATATGGTGGAAGGCCACGGTTCGAGCATCCCCGATGTTAGGCTATGGAGACCTGTGTGTGCATGCATTTGCAAGGGAAAGAGACATTGTCATCGTATAGGATATCCTTGAATACCAAAATCTGAAAGCCCAAGAAGTTGAACTTATATATTACTCCTCGTCCAGAAAGACTTATGCAAACATCGGCTTTGGAGCATATGCTCTATATTACTCAGTTCTCATCGGAACGGGGGTGGGAGATCTATAACTGAGCAAACAGCGAAAATGTTCAAGGAAGCCTTTTGACACCAACAACGAAGGCGCAAGTTTCAGCTCCAGCGAATGTGTGAGATGTAGCGGTCTTCTCGTAAACCTTCCTTGACAACTTGCTATGAACCTATAGGCCCCGGGAAGTCCCCGCCAAGGTGTGTCCGATAAAATCACCGATTTTGGGGGGACGGTCCGGGCGGGACGAAGGCGCCGCTACACCAAAATTTCGCTTTAGCATCGTTGTCGGCACTATTTTGGTTTCTAGGTGGCAATTGGGCGACATTTCTGCCAGATTCCACTAGTCTATCGCCCAAACTGTACACACACCGCCAATTACAGGCCTTGTTGGCATGTACCATCGCCACGAAATGTCCTAAATTATGCTAACTGCAGACAAGGGGCTCAAATTTTGGTCCTCAAATATGCTAATTTTCGGACACCCCTTGGTGGGAGCTTCCCGGGGCCTGAACCTATGACGACATTCGCATTTTGATTCATGTTCATTTTTAAAACCACACTATTCCAAGTCCGTCATTCCTATCATCTTTTCACGAGGAGCATTAAGTATTGTAATCTATTGCTTGACCCATGCGGGGTTTCTATAGAGTCGTAAGCCTTACTTTATGAGTTGTATGAAGAATCGCTCAATGAATGTAGAGGCTTTTCTACCGTTATCATTACAACTGTCAAACACATTATGGATGGCCTCGGAAAGGCGATATGCCGGATACGCCCCACGTGAAAATTCCCTTCACAACTTTCAATAGATTTTATACAGTAGGAGAAGTTGTACCAAGTCAGAAGCCTTTTGTAAGATATCAAAACCTCAGAATAACGTTCATTACCGGTTTCCATCAGAATAGTAAGGACTTCCTAGGACCTCGGGTCATCCCAATATACGGGGCCTGAGGCGAAAATAATTCAGGCTTGTCTAGTGCCATGGCCCACACTGAAAACCTTCGGATGCTTTTCCACCTTCTCAGTGTTCTCCTATGTCCACGGAGCAGGCTGGATACTCTACAAAACATCGGCAGTGAGTTGACCCCACTTATCATGAACAAATCCCGGTTCACGCAAGCGTGGGGGGCGTCATACTTGAGCAAACTGGACTGGAGAGATTAAAATAGATATCCCATTATCAGATCCAGATGCCGTATAACCCGCCCTGATTTCCATCCCGAGCCTGATGTCACCTCGTCAGCTGCATGTTGTTCAAAATACATTCTCTAACGCGACACGCGAGAATGCGTTTTTCAATTCAAACTTTCAGAGAAACGCACATCTACTCGCAGTCTCATACAGACTTCTGGGATTCTGAGCATACCATGATACTAGGATTTATGAGACATCCTCTCGAATCTTTGATTGAATCGCGACCGGAATAGAAGAACAGAGCTTGCTTACAGTGAAGCACAGTCCAGTACGAAAAAGGATACCGCATTCACTGCACCATTCCGTTTCGAGATCATCTGCATTGTCCCTGTCATGGAGAACGCCTTCGTGCCTGATGGGTGTGGGTTCATCTCTGTGCTAGGATACATGCATATTGGCTCACCTAGCCAGAGAGAGGGCGATAGTGGTACCTTGACGTGCTTGACTGATACTCACTTGAACCACCGATGAAGCAGATAAGCTACCAGAAGCGACGCGACTACAAGGAACGGTGCAACCCCAGGAAGAAAGATCTCAGATCCTTAGATTCAATAATGAACTTCCGACGCTTAAGATGCTACTGGAGTGGATCATCGAACACAGGCTAGGAAAGCAGTGAGAGTTTCTTGAGCTGATCCGAGTGCGTATTCACATGATGACAGTCCATAAGACCAGTGGAAAGCGACTGACCCTCTCAAGAGCAAGACCGTGGCGGAGCTCCATTGTGATAATAACGAAAAAGGGGAAGGCCGCCCGGAGTTTTCTCTGTTGGAAAACGGATGCTAGTGACCCGTGTTAAAGCCTCAGTACATACCTGATCTGACTGCAAACGTGAAGATGTAGCTACATAGGACGAACGCACCAGAGATGTAACCTGTGGTCAGTAAAAAAATCCGGTTGGAATTATTACTTGACTTGACCTATCGAAGTCTACGTCCTTTGTTTACGCGTTCTTGGTTATCTGGAGGCGGGAGCATTCCTATCCACGTCTGGAGATTTGGTTTCTGTCCGCAATATACATGCTTCAGCTAATTCTGATGTCAAATCAAATCATCTGGAAAAGATGCAGCGCTTTTCACCTTTTTCGCGCACGCGATTCTTCCGGGAGTTGTGCTCTGTTAATTCTAAACATTTTTTACCGGAGTTTAGGTGTCCTGCCACTGCGACCAATAGTGATTCAGATGTCTATTCAATACGCTAGACCATGAAGCAATCCGGAACCAGCGAGCCTAGAGACTTTGAAGAGGTATGTCGGTTTCATCAGCGTGGAAGGCTGCTGGTAGGACTGGGATAAAGTGGAACGGGAAATATTCAGTATGCCGTTATATCACAGTAGTCGCCGTCGCACTGCGCTGGAGACTGATGGTAGGCGGCAAGCGGTGGCGGGACCGTGGAAGGTGGCTGGACTGCCGCCGGTCCGCGATAGCCCGCTGCGTCGGGGTTTGAAATACGCTTTGACTGCAACCATCATCTGCCGCCAATACCCTCTTGTTTTTCTATTCAGCTTCGAAGCTATGGAAAATGTCTAATTGAAGGAACGTGTCGAGCAAGGATACAAAAGCGATGATCTTCAACGGCAATTTTGACTTCAACAGGCAGCATCTAATTTTGAGAGAGGAAAAGTTATGGTATGCAAAACATTGAGCGAATAATCTAGTATGCCCCATACAATTTTTCTATGCATCCCATATTTATGTGGCCTCAGACGTATGTGTATACTCCAGCCTCGAGTGATCCAACGATCCTCCGCATTTTCTCACCTGGAGTCTGAACTGGATCGCCGAGGAACGCACTCATACTAGCATGCGGAGCATAGTCCGGAACGTTACCTTGATTAGATCAATAGGAAATGGAAATGGTCATGAAAGCAGACGGCAGGCTACACTCAGCTAAACGGCACCAAGGTATCCTGACAGTGTCACTATTGGCATGGGCTTCTTGCGAAGGAGACTCTACAGCTTCTATGGAAAAACATGACCAGTTCCTGCCACGATAACTAGGATTGTCGCTCCGAGCATGAGAACCTTTGTCATAATGCTGATGGCCATAAAGGAATCTGGACCGTCTCCTCCAACTTCAATGCACCAAATACTGCACAAATCGGGATACGCAGTTTTGCTGAATAAGACAAAAGATGTGCTGTAGTGAATAAAAGCAACTGTGCAGAGGCTATTCAACATCCCCCCGAACATGACAGATCTCATTGTGGCTACTGTGATGTCACTGTCTGGACGAGTAGGACTCGTTACAGGTGGAGGAACAGGTGTTGTAAGTCTCAGGAATTTTGATCACACGGATAATTGACCTGTCGACAGAGGATTCATGATTGCTAAAGCATTTGCTGTCAACGGAGCCAAGGTATATATCACTGGCCGAAGGTTGGGTGTGCTTGAGAAAGCCGCCGCTTCTGTTACGGGCGTCCCAGGATCCATTGTCTCGTGTGTGATGCCATTTCTCTACAATGTTGATTGCTAACACGTATACAACGGACTACAAATGGACGTGACAGACGAAAATGCTGTCAGGGCTGGGGCAAAGCTCATTGAAGGAATCGACGGCAAGCTCGACATCCTGGTCAACAAGTTTGTCTATAGTATCCTTGGATCCCCTCTTTCATACGCTAATCTCTTTGCAGTGCTGGATTCGGCACCTCTTCTCGCGATCCAGACTTTGCTGCGAAGAAGCTCGGGACGTCAGATCCTTTCGAACCCGAAATGGTACAGGGCTGGATGGATATCTTCGCCCTAAACACTATCGCACCATTCTTCGTCGTCCATGCCTTCTAATCTCTCCTCATCAAAGGAGCGCAATCCCGTCTTCGAGGCACGTCGAGCGTCATCAACATGAGCAGTCTGGGAGCAAAGACAAATTCAGCAGTACCGATAGGCTGTGTATGTACCCTGCTATTCCCTTCAAGGCTCGACTCGGAACTAACGTGACTAGTTGGCATACGGCCCGACGAAATCAGCTTTGGAAAAGCTCACCTTCGTTTTGGGGACGAGCTTTGCTCAGAGAGACATCCCGATTCAGGTGAATGCGATGGAGCCTGGCATCTTTCCGTCAGAGATGGCCACTCCTGAGTTTCTGGATACGATCGAGACAGAGCCGTTACCTGGGTTTGTGGCTCCAATGCCTGCGAGGAGACATGGATCGTGAGTATGTTCAGTATTTAGATGAGATTGGATGTTGACTCGACTTTACTAGCGATGCGGAGCTGGGGATGACGGCGATTTATTTGACAGTATCTGACTATACGAACGGGGCAGTTTTGAGTGTTGATGGTAGAATAATGTTGGTCAATCCTTGAACTTTTATTTATCTGATGCAGAACTTTCCCCATGGAATCAAATGCATTTTCTTTCTCTCCCATATCAAAATGACGAGCCTCAAGACATTTCAAGTTCAGATTGGATATCGAACATCCTCGGCTAATATTGTACTAGGTTCAAGTTCATCCTGATACAACCTATACGAAACGACACCCGGCAATAGACAGGCTATCGCTGGTTCAAGGCTGTCGACGTGTCGCGATCTGTAAAAATAGCTTCTCCAAGAGTGGCGAAGTGCATAGTGTGAGCTTCCATGACTGAATACTGTATGCATTCTATGGATACGTGAAGACGACTCGTATCGTATCCTGCCCTGAGGAGCGCATGCAGGGAACGACGTGACACTAAACTTCGAAGTCCCAAGAATAATTCAATAAAATGGGAATGAGCAGGTATTGGAAGGTTGGTCTCAAAAGAATTTTAATTTCAATGAGAACTTGATTCATTCACAGGTTACTATAGTACAAGCGTATTCCTACGAGTACATGCGGGTCACGGAGAATTAAAAGCCTATTCACATAGAAGGAAATTGGTATTTCAGTTATTCTTGAAAACTACCTGCATCTTCATCATGGAAGTGCGATTCTGCACACTCACACCTGCATCTCGTGCTACTTCTTCCACTCGTTGGGCCATAACCCTTAACTGCATTTGCATGTTCATATTGGCAGCGCCAACCTGCAAGGCTGGGACTGAGATGATTATCAAGGAAACGATCCCGGCGTCCTCATCGGTCGCCATCCTAGCTCTCTCGACCATCGAATTCGAGAACTCCTCGTCAGTGTCCTTATCTCGAGGCAGTAACAGAGGTCGGCAGGAATCTGGCCGAAAATAAAATGGTTGGATTGGTAGGCCATGCTAAAGGAGAGGATATGCCGTAGACCATCGGGCGAGAGAACTTAGAAATGTCGGTCATCTTTAGGAACATTCTGATTCTATGATAGGCCCACACCAGATAATTGAATAATCAGGGATTGACCAGCGATAATCCACCGTCAACCGTCAAAATCGCCCCGTTCGTATAATCCGACACTGCCAAATAAATTGCCATCATTCCCATCTCCTCCTCACTAGCAATCTCAAATCAACAATCAATTTCATCCGAGCACTAAACATACTCACGTCCCCGATCTCTTTGCGGGTGCTGGCGCAATAAGCCCAGGTAGTGGCTTAGTCTTGATCGCTTCCACAAATTCAGGAGTCATCAACTGCGAAGCGAACACGCCAGGAGCCAGCGAGTTCACGCGAATTGGGATATCCTTCTGAGCAAAGGACGTTCCTAAAACAAGCGTGAGTTTGTCCAAAGCAGCTTTCGTTACATTGTATGCGATCTAAATCAAGTTTAGCAAAGAGAGCTAAAGGGGAGGATATAGCACATACAGACGTCACAGGCCCTGTTCCGTTGAGCTTGGCTGCAATACTACTGATGTTGATGACACTGGAGGTGCCTTGGGGGCGGGTCGGCGCTCCACTGATGAGAAGGGTTTGGAAAGCACGTACGACGAAGAACGGGGCGATTGTGTTGAGCACGAAAATATCAGCCCAGTTTTGTACTGTTTCAGGTTCAGATGGATCCTCTGCAGCGTATTTCTTCGAGATAAAGTCTGGGTCACGAAGGGAAGCTGAAAATCCGGCACTACGAAGGCATTAGCATATGGATGAGGTGAACTGAGGGTACCATTGACGAACTTGTTGACGAGGATGTCGAGCTTTCCGTCAATTCCTTCGATATACTTTGCGCCAGCCTTGACGCTCTCTTCGTCAGTAACATCCATCTGGATCCTGGAGGTGCTTCAGAAGCAAACACCATGGGGAGAGAACGGCTACGTACGGGATAATGGATCCAGAGATGCCCGTGATTGATGCCGCGGCTTGCTCTAGTACATCCAACCTACGCCCAGCGATGTATACTTTCGCCCCGTTTGCAACGAAGGCTTTCGCAATGATAAGTCCTCTATCAGAGAGTCAACCATGAGCCATAATCGTGAATCAGGGAGCATACATTCCCGCCTGTAACAAGGCCGACTCGTCCAGAAAGCGACATCAATGAAGCCACGTTAAGATCTTCCATCTTTGGGGAATGCTCTGGATTGCAGTCCCTTCTATCTTAAGCGGTTAATGCCTGGATGACATAAATCCTGATCTTATGCAGTATCCAGGTGTCTGCCGTAAATGGTGGATTTACGCTACAAAAGTGCCTTCCCTGATATCCGTCAGCATGGTGACAAAAGCTGTTATTCTTGGGGGCGCTGTCATATTCGTCGGCTCTAGGACGCGTGCCGGTGTTGCATCGAGAAAAAGAATCATTGTGGTACTTATTCACACTGCCCCACCTATACCATAGGAAGACCTTCGTAAGACTCTGGTACGCGAACAATATGGCGAGAGAGTGCAGACAGACACAGGCACCATAAGGGCCAAGAGGCTTTGAAACAGGAGCCAACTGCTAGCGAAACTCATTTAGTTGAATGATCATAGCGGCACTGATTCGGAGCAGTGATTCCGCCGCAGCTCACCACCATCGCCCTTTCCCATCGATCTGCGTAAGGAATCTCGTTGCAGGCCGCGCTCCTTGATGATCTGCACACACCAGTATGAGAACGTCCTTTTGGGGTTGAAGTCTCTAGATTGCCGAGGAAATGTATTACACGAATTCATACTCTCGGACCAGGCATCATCCATTACGTTAAAGCTCTCACCCGTAAGGGTAGCTGAGATCCTAGATGTGCTTTCCCCTTCACAATAGGCACAACAGCCGGCGATCCAGGGAACTGCATTATCTCAATGCCTCCCTCAGGCAAACCGAACTCGAAGTGTAGAATCAGATTCGCTATGATTGTTTGCGTTTCCATGATCCTGCAACCAGTTTGAATAAAATGAGGTTCATAAGTGAAGGGAGGTAGTACGTACGCAAATCGCCACCTGCAAGACAGAATAGAGATCAGCAAGGGGATAAGGGAATCGCTGCAGTTAGTTACCCGATACATGAACGAGGTCCGGCACCTGAGGATCATGTAAGTGAAAAAGAAACTGCGCTGGGATGTAGCCCACCAAATGTCATCCTAGCATCCCGTCAAATAAGCCTCGAGAACACGCACAAAACCCGAGATCTTACTCACAGATTAGCATACACACCCCGAGATACAGACAGAGTCGTGTCAAAAAATCGAGCCGGGTTCCACTCTTCCGCATCGTCTCCCCAGAGAGACGGAAGACTAGAAAAGGTCGGCGCTGAATACGGATTAAAACGACATGGGAACAGCATACCGGTTGTATAGGTAAGCAGAACAAGCAAATGTTTGCCCCTTAGGTACCGCGAGCGTCTTCCCTTTGGAGAGAGGCAGGACGTCGTCATGAGGAGCAGTACGCATCAAGGAATGCATATTTGGGTGCAGACGAAGAGACTCCTGTCACTAGAGGTGAATGTGGACATCCGATGCAGCTAACCGTGCTCACTTTGATAGCTGCGTTCAAAAATGGCATTGAGTCGTAGTCGTTTGATTGTTTGAGCTCTGCACGAATTATGGACTGATGGTCAGGATGCAGGGCGAGTTCGTAAAGTAACCACGCTATACTAGAACTCGATGTCTCATGCCCAGCAGTGACGAAGGTCCTGGAATGAGGGAGAATTACCTCACGAGGGACAAGTAAAGAGATCTCACGAACATTAGCTGTGCTTCAATTTCATCATCCTGCATTTTACCTGCTAAGCGCGCTCCCGCTGAAGATGAAATCATGTTAATTGGTGTATTAAATGAAAAGAGTGAACTGACCAAGGATATTGACTATATCTCCATCACCTTCTGGCGTCTGCACCTCGTTATGTCTAGCCATGATTTCTCGAGCTGTTTTCTTAGCCACCTTTTCTATACTGAGGAGCTGACGTATTTCTCGGATCGGGACCAGTCGAAGAAGTCCTAGTACTGAATCTGGAAGCATTCGTATCAAGGTTACGAGGATAAGCTCTGGTGCAGATGGATTAGCTTGCGAGGCCGTGCTGAAATTAAATGTTAGATATGATGAGTATTGTATGAAAAGGAAAGGCGCTTCGTACAAAAGATGTCTCATTGCTTGCTCTAGTTCCGTTTCCAGACCATCGAGCGAACAAAAATCATACCGGAAGAAAGCTTGTGGACTCAGATGTTAGGCTGACTAGTGAGAGGATATCATGGGTTCTACTTGCCTAGACCGATAATATCTAAGGAAACCTTGCTTGTCCAATCGTGTATATCGACAATGTCATCAGCACCAGTCAGAGATTCTTTGATACAATCCACAAGCTGCAATAATCATCATAGGATCCCTCAGATCACCACGCTTGTTTGCTGTGTAGACGAACATACCTTGTCACTGCATTGTTGAAAGATAACCCTGGAATTCCGAAGCTGTGCAGAGGAAAATGCTGGATTCAGAATCTTGCGTTGGCGGTGGTGAGGTTCACCTGAACACGCTGATTATAATTTTGTGCGAAAGCTAGGCTGACGTAAAACTCACCGTCAACAATGGCAAGACCATCCTTGCCACCAATGAGACTCAGTACAAAGATGATTTCCTTTGATTTTGGGTAAGGACATGAGGGATCGAAAATGTGTTCGAGAGCCTTTGAATCGCAAACTACCAAGATGTCTTGCTACGAATCATCATGTCAGCTTGGATTATGAACAGGGGTAGCTGTGCTTGCTTACACCCAGACCGCCCTCAGTACGATAAAGGGTGCCATACTCCCTGCACCATTTCGTTTCAAGATCACCTGCATTGTCTTGATTGCGAAGTACACGTTGGTGGCCTGGTAGTATTGTGGGTAAGCTCAGGTTTGTACTTGGTAATCTATAGATGACTTACCTAGCCAGAAAGATGGCGATGGGGGTCCTTTGATGTGCTTAACTGATGGTCGTTTGAACCACCAATGAAACAGCAAGGCTACCAGGAGCGATGCGACTGCAATGGAGGATGTGGCCATGCTCAGAAAGAACTAGGGTTCTTGAAATCAGAGTCAAGATACGTTCCTGGCTTTATGATGCTCCTACAGTCTTATGATTCAATGAATGCTGGCAAGCAGTTGATCCACAAGCTAAGCCGAGTCGACATGATAGGACAAGCTAGTCCTTCTCCACTGGACTAAGGTTTCGGTATGGCTCCATTTTGATGATGTGGAAGAGACTAGAGGAAGCTCAGTCGGAGTTCACGAGTTTGCTCCAAATCTATTGGAAGGGAAGGCCGAGAATCCTTCCTGGGGTTTCAGGTTATACCGTATTTAGCTACGGCCTCAAGGACAGTGACCACTTCCCTAGAGATCTGTATTGAACATATGCTCAGTAACAAGTTTGTCGGAATAAATGCTTAACATACCTGCCAACCGTGTTCATTATTGTTCCTGCAACCGCCAGGAAGCGGAGCGTTCTTGAGGCTCTGTTAACTGCTCCGATATTTGTGCCTGGCTACAATGAATATGTTTCAATTGGTTCTGTGAGCTATTTGGCAGGGCCTTGCTAAAAAGAAAAAAACATACAATGGTGTTCCTGAGATCGTATCGTCAACATTATTATTGAGCCCTTTCTACTCATAGAGCCCTATACCGGACAGCGATAATGAACGTGTGCCATCAAGCAACGATTCCTCCGACCTTCGCGGAAGACATGAGGCGAATGGCCATCTCCACTTCTGCGTCTGATCAAATGTATCAGTGTCAATTATTAAGCAAACATAAAAATGTACCAAGTTTTCCGCCCTTCTAAATCTCCGTTGTAAATTTGGTACGTCCTGACTCCCGCGTTCCTGACTAGGAGCCGATGGTACACTACACGGAGGACAGTCTAGTATCTTCAGGTGGTTAGTGGAGATGCTGATCGGCTGCCTAGTAAGCGACGATGCAGGGTACGGCAAAAATCTCTAGCTTGAATGGTCGTAAGGAAAGAAACTGAAGCCTAGACACACGAAAGACTCCAAAACGCACAGAGAGAAAAGTGCCCAGCACATCGTCATGGTTTGAAAATACGGGGGGCTTGCGAAAAGTTGAAGTTTCTTGTGCAACGGCATACAGTAATGAAGTGGATATACTCTTTCCATAAAATATGTTGAGGTGCAAAGGAGAGAACTGCAAGAAAAACTCACGTCTTCCTAACCCTAACTCCTAGTCGTGTAAAAGCTGTCGATTATTAAACCGGTAATCCGTGTTCGTTGACGCATTATTGTGTTGAGCAAAAAAAAAAACCATCGACCTGCTTCTTGGTCTCCTGACACGCAATCTGGAATGATCTTGTGTACCACAGTAGTCATCTTGAATCTGATTCCATGATAGTTCTACATTAGAGGGATCAATCAATTAAGGACTTACCAGCGATAATCCACCATCAATGCTCAAAATCGCTCCGTTCGTATAGTCAGACACAGCCAAATAGACTGTCGACACCCCCATCTCCGCCTCACTATAAACTCAAATCAATATTCAATTCCATCCAAACATTGACCATACTTGCTTTCCCTGTCTCTTTGCAGGAATCGGCGCGACTAACCCAGGCATTGGCTCAGTCTTGATCGCTTCCAAAACCTCAGGACTGATCAGTTGTGACGCAAACGCGCCCGGAGCCAGCGCGTTCACACGAATCGGAATATCCCTCCCAGCAAAATTCGTTGCCAGAACAAGTGTGAGCTTATTCAAAGCAGCCTTCGTTACGTTGTATGCTATCTAAACCAAGGTTAGTGTAGAGCTGAAAAGAAAAGACGTAGCTCATACAGACGACAGAGGGCTCGTTGAGTCCATCTTGGCTGCCGCGCTGCTGATGTTGATGACACTGGATGTGCCCTGGGGGCGGGACCGAGCTCCTTTGACGAGGAGCGCTTGGAAAGTGCGTACGACGAAGAACGGGGCAATCGTGTTGAGTGCAAACATATCTGCCCAGTTTTGGACGGTTTCAGGTTCAAATGGATCTGTCGCCGCGAGCTTCTTTGTGGTAAAGTCTGGGTCGCGAAGGGATCCTGCAAATACTGCACTACAAAGACGTTAGAACATGGGCGAGGCGACCCAATGGCACCGCGGACGAACTTGTTAACAAGGATATCAAGTTTGCCGTCGATTTCTTCAATGTGCTTGGCACCAGCCTTGACACTCTCTTCGTCAGTAGCATCCATCTGGATCCTGTAGGGGCATCAGAAATGAACACCACGAGGGAGAAAAGGCTGTTTACGGAATAATAGATCCTGGGACGCCTGTAACTGATGTCGCGGCTTGCTCTAGCACATCCTGCCTACGCCCAGTGATGTATACTTTCGCCCCGTTTGCAGCGAAGGCTTTTGCAATCATAAATCCTCTGTCAGAGAGGCGACGGTGAGTCGTAATCGAGAACCAAACTCCAGAGAACATACATTCCAGTCCCTCCTCCTGTAACAAGGCCTACTCGTCCAGAAAGCGACATCGCTGTAGCCACATGAAGCTCTGCCATGTTTGAGGAATACAGAGTAGCTTCTGGACGTGATGCCTTTTATTCTAGCGGTCGTCGCCTAGATTTCGTAAATGCCTGGTGTTATTCAGCAAGGCTATATCCCGATGTATGCGGTAAATGGCGGATTTATGTTGCAAGACTACCTGCCTTCTCTGATACCCGTCAGCATTGTAATGCAAGTTCATGTTCTCGGGGCGGCCGTTATATCTACTGACGCTTGTACACGTGTCGTGCTAGGCAGAGTTTCCCTTTCACGTATGTCATGCTCGTCACGAAGAAACCACACGAATACGGTGAAGGGGTGCAGGGACAGGCGCCATATGGGATGAGAGACTTTGAAATGGAAGACTATTGCGAACAAACGTTTAGTTGAGTAATTACAACATTGCTTCCGTCGCCGCGTACCTTCGTCACCAAATCTCATGAGTAAACTTCGAACAGGTAAGCGGTACCATGACGCGTCCTCCGATCAACGGTATAGTGACACGAATCCGAGGCAAACTGTTGACAGACCAGCCCATATCTCAGTAAGCTGGCTCCCGGGTCCGATGCAGCAGATGTATATTTTCTGGTGCCAAGAATCCCTGATCTATCTCTGTACCATCGGTATGCCGATGCTAGTGAAACTCGTGTGATACGTTGCATATAAGAGGGCCCCTTGTTTGTGTCTAAAAAAGCTCATCCACTACGCTTATGAATGATTAGAAGACAATCGTTCGGTAGGAGAGCGGTGAGGGTGATATCCTGGTAGAACCGAAGGTCAAAAGAGGCTCGCGCATTGCGAACGAATTCTCTCTTCTTCGCAGAGAAATATAGCTTTGAGGTTAGAGGAGGAAGAAACGAGCATAGAAAGATGACGGTTGCGGTTGAAGCTGCATTTCAAATCCGGTCCGCTGTCCCGCGGTTTCCAACCCGCTATGATCACGGTTCCAGAGAGCGGCGACTACCTCAGCCTGAAATACAAGTAAAGACAATCTGTTCATTGCAAGTTGCAGGACTTTTTATCGTGACAGATCCTTGGGGATGCGGTAGAAGGTAAGTGAATCCATACGCATACTTATCCTGTGATATTGAGGTCGCTTAATGGATGCATTATTGTCGGGCTAGGTGCCACTTACTTATCTCTTATAAGTATCATACGTGCTAAGATTTGCTAATATTTTCTGGCAGTTTCATCTATAGCCTCCGGTCAACCCAAGCTGAGTCACTCGAAGGTAACTGATTCAATATATTGAACGCGCACTCGTCCTAACTGTAACTTGGTTCGTAGCTCGTTTTGTCAGAATCCAGACCATAGGACCAAATGGCATCTGTTCCTATTCGGCTCACTTCCTAAGCGGGCCACGTCAAAGTATGAATGACCACTATGAAAGAACCTTCTTCTGATGTGATACCAAGCATTCAAGAGCCGATAGGGAGAGCGGAGCCCGAGAATTTTGTCAGAGTTGCTGACGATACTAGCAGAATGCAGGCAATGCCAAAGCCATTGTTTACTGCTCTCGCCGGGATACACTCTCGCTGAATAATACCAAAGGATGCTGCAATAAAAGAGGCCATGTGCGGACGCAACTGTTCGATATTCCCCTAACATGACAGATCTTAAGGTGGCTACGGCGATGTCACTTTCTGGACGAATAGGTCTCATTACGGGTGGAGGGACTGGCATGTAAGCTCTACGATCTTTGGTTACCACTCACTGTTGACTTTTTGATAGAGGATTCAGCATTGCTAAAGCGTTCGCTGCGAACGGAGCCAAGGTATATATTACTGGTCGAAGGCTGAACGTGCTGGAGAAAGCCGCCGCGTCTGTCACTGGCGTCTCAGGATCTATTGTCCCGTTAGTGATCGTCCATCTCCAGGATGATCATTGTTAACGCACATGCAGACTCCAGATGGACGTGACAAATGAAAGCAGCGTCAAAGCCGGCGCACAGCACATCGAAGGAATCGATGGCAAGCTCGATATCCTTGTCAACAAGTTGGTCTATGATGCCCCTGGTTCCCTCCTCCGTACGCTAAACTCTTCACAGTGCCGGATTTGCAGCTTCCCTTCGCGACCCAGACTTCATCGCGAAGAAACGCGCCGCAAATGATTCTTTTGACCCCGAAACCGTACAGAACTGGGCTGACATCTTTGCACTAAACACGATCGCCCCATTCTTTGTCATACGTGCTTTCCAATCTCTTCTCGTCAAAGGAGCGCGTTCTCGCCCTCAAGGCACCTCAAGCGTCATCAACATCAGCAGTGTAGCAGCACAATTGAACGTTGCAGGGGCACTTCTATCTGTACGTACTTCGAAAATCCTTTCAAGCTTTAGCTTATTCTATTTACTAGCTTGCATATGGCCTAACGAAAGCCGCTTTGAACAAGCTCACCCTCGTTCTGAGAACGAGTTTTGCTGGGAGGAATATCCCGATTCGAGTGAATACGATAGAACCTGGGGTATTTGCGTCGGAAATGGCGACTGGTGATTTGTTGGAGTTGTTGGAAGACTGAAGCGCTGCCTGGAATGGTGGCTCCTGTACCGGCAGGAAGACATGGGTCGTGAGTGTCTTCATTACTGGAGTACTTTAGGGCGATGTTAACCTCAATCCGGCTTGCTAGCGACGCTGAAATGGGGATGACGGCGGTGTACTTGGCGGCGTCGGATTATACGAACGGAGCAACCTTGGCGGTTGACGGTGGAATTACATTGGTGAATATCTGATGGTCTGGTTGCGCTGCGTATATCCCATCCTTGTCTTAGCGGAGGACAGGTGACATTTTTCAGTTGTGATTTTTCTCGAGTCTGAAATACAATTGTTATTCGAGGTGTGTCGTTTCGCTTTGAGATCAGCAAGCTTAAGGAGACGCAAGGGTTTCCACTTTCTCGGTTTTCGAATCTTCGTTGTCAGAATTTTGGTACGTCCCCGCTGAGAGCCAATGGTATGCTACATATTTTTTTTTTCAACTCTGTTTGATAAAGAACTCGGGAGGTCCCAACTATGGCACCTCGCTCACTCTAATCAAGATATCTTCCAGCACAACGCTGTGTCAACCAGTGACCGCAATCCCTGCAAGAAGTGTACAAAGGAAAATAGGTTTGATTCCATAAAGTATCTACGTCAGATAACCCAACAATATAATCTAACAATTAGGGATTGACCAGCGATATTCCGCCATCAACAGTCAAAATCGCTCCGTTCGTATAGTCGGACACAGCCAAATAGACCGCCGATATCCCCATTTCAGCTTCACTGCAAACACAAATCAACGATCAATCTCATCTAAACACTGTAAATACTACTCACTTTCCCTGCCTCTTCGCCGGAATCGGCGCGACCAACCCAGGCAGAGGCCGAGTCCTGATCGCCTCTAAAACTTCGGGGCTAACCAGTTGTGACGCAAACACGCCAGGAGCTAGCGCGTTCACACGAATCGGGATATCTCTCTGAGCAAAGCTTGTTGCTAGAACAAGTGTAAGCTTATTCAAAGCAGCTTTCGTCGAATTGTATGCCAGCTAAATCAAGGTTAGCTTGCGTGGACTAAAAGGGATAGCATGGCACATACAGAGGACAGAGGACTTGTGGAGTTCGCCTCGGCTGCTACGCTACTGATGTTTATGACACTGGAGGTGCCTTGGGGGCGGGACTGCGCTCCTTTGACGAGAAGGGATTGGAAGGCACGTACGACGAAGAACGGGGCAATTGTGTTGAGCGCAAAGATATCAGCCCAGTTCTGTACTGTCTCGGGTTCAAAAGGATCTTCTGCAGCGTATTTCTTTGAGATGAAGTCTGGATCCCGAAGGGAAGTAGCAAATCCGGCACTAGAACGATGTTAGCGTGTGGATGAGGTGAACTGAGGGCACCGTTGACGAACTTGTTGACGAGGATATCGAGCTTGCCGTCGGTTGATTCGATATACTTTGCGCCAGCTTTGACACTTTCTTCATCTGTGACGTCCATCTTCATTCTGTAACAGCATCAGGCTGGATGAATATACGAGGAGAGTGTTGCATACGGGACAATGGATCCTGGAACGCCTGTGACTGACGACGCCGCTTCCTGTAGCACGTTCAGCCTTCGGCCAGTGATGTATACCTTGGCTCCATTTGCAGCGAACGCTTTGGCAATCATAAATCCTCTGTCAGAGAATCAACTGCGAGTCATAATCAAGAATAAAGGAGCATACATTCCTGTTCCTCCGCCTGTAACGAAGCCTACTCGTCCAGACAGTGACATTGTTGTAGCCACAGTGAGATCTGCCATGCTTGTGGAATGATGAAGACCTCTACACGCAGTGTCTTTTATTCCAGTACCGCCTAGATGACATAAATCTGGTCTTATTCAGCGATGGCGTATCCCGGTCTATATGGTAAATCGTGGATTTACGTTGGAAGGGACCGCCCACCTTCCCTGATCCCCGAGCCAGCGCTGTGACGAAAGCTTTTGTTTTCAGGACGGCTACCGGCTCTTGTACGTGCGTCGTCTCAAACAAGGCAACCTTCGAGGCGATGCTCCATTCTCTTTCACGTATGCCGTGCTTGTCGTGAATAAATGAGTGAAAGGGCGCAGGGACAGGCACTGTATGTGCTGAGCGACCTTGAGACAGAAGCTTACTGAGAACGAAAATACATTTAGTTAAGTAATTGCGATATTGATTCCGTTGCCGCTTACATTCGTCATCATATCTAATGAGTAAACTTGAACGGTTAAGTGGTACTATGATGCATCGGCTAATGGGCCGCGTAATACTGCAAATTTGCACCAAATTGTTGACAGACTCGCCCATATCTATAAGCCGGCTGCTCCAAGGACCGGCGCACTGGATGGATATTTGCTGGTGCCGAAAATCCCCCGCCTGTGTACTGTCGGTCTATCTTCAGGAGTTCATGGAGTCCGAATATGGTTTGGTATATATCTGTCTGCCAGTGCTCGTTTTGCAACGCATGTGAGAAGTCCATTCTTTTGGCTTTGTTTCAAAGATATTCAGCCACTAGGTTTTTTGCGTAACTGGGAGCCTATCTCATGGCAGAAGAATGTCGAGGGTGACGCCCTGGCGAAAACACAGGTAAAAGGGGGCTGACGCGTCGCGAACGGATTCTCTCTTCCCAGAGAAATTTCTTAGACAGGTCGAAAGGGAAGTTGATATAAGACACAGCAAAAATAATATGGGACTTACCAGAGTCTTCGCCTAGTCTTTCGCGCATCATCGGCCCTTCCTCCCCTTGAATTGTTGCCTGATGCCTGAGAAATTCTTGGGGAAAATCTTTGTGTTCGCAATCTTGTTTAGGACAACGAGCTCTGCCAGATTCGGACCAGCTGAGTGTCTGATTGTTTAAAATATTCTCCGGGTTCGTCAGTCACAGCGGCTCTGAGGCTGAAAAGAAAGAAAATTGAGCATTCACTAGGTGGTAGTTGCAGTCAAAGCGTACTTCAAATTTCGGTCCGCTGTCCCCCCCCCTTCTTGCCTACCATCATGGGCTCCAGCGAGGTGACGACCAAATACATCAGTTTCCCTATTCTCCGTTCACTCCCAGTTAACAGAACTGGCTGGCGAAAAGACACGAGTCGACCTCTTATATGCACCTACAAGTATTGAACTATTTGGGTGGCGCCTGGAGGAGTTCGCCTAGAACATAAACACCGACAAGCGATACAATAATATTGATGGGGCTGCAGCTTCACCAGTTGAGCAGTGAAATTGAGCTATATCTGTTGTAAACGCGACTCCTAACGCGACTTACAAGGCTTGTTACCGCAAAATACCCTTGGGAACGTGATCATACGGCCTGAACAAGAACTCCGACGCGACTGACTCTCGATTCGAAGGTCGTCATGGCCATATGCGCTCGGAATCTAGCACGATATCCGCCTAATCTTGACTTTGCGGTGTAGGTTAGTCCGTGTATGCGGATGCGAAGAGGCCGAACTTGAAGAGCTAGACTTCACGCTTGCGATATTGAGGTGGTTGCATATAATCACATCGGGCTAGGTGGTACTGGTCGTCTTGACGCGTTTCAGGCTTTAGCCCCAGTGAAAAGTCGGTCGAACCACACTGAGCCAAATCAAGCCTAGGGAAATGATCGCTGGGGCTCTATTCCGCTCGCTGTGGCTTCGAAATGTGAACCGTTTACCAGCTCAAATCGAGCTGTTTCGAGCTCGGTATGTCGTTACCATAGAGTTCCGTTAGGCTTCGTAGGGCTCGATTTCTTTGCTATTAATATGTATAGAATCACGTCGCTACTACATACGCTAAGTAGCATAACCGTTTCCGTTCTGCCCACGGCTAGCCCTGTCCTGCTCGGATACCCCAACCGCATTTCGCAACGTGAAGATAAACGTATCGAAATAGACTGCACCAGAAAATGTTAAATCAGTTAACAATGACGGCGAAGATGATTCAGGGACTACTCACGACGTCGAAGCCAGCTGGAATGATGGAAAGCACAACCTGTATAAGATTTGGCTTAGCGAGCCCAGAAATACACGCATATATGGAATGGAATATACCATGGCCACACCCATAGCGATGCCTAGACAGCTTATGGAGTGACTGTACACGTGCTAAATATGAAAAAAGAAAACATACAAGAGCGCAATGAGACGTACCTCAAAGATGTCCAGATATCCTGCTGCTCAAACCAGTCTTCTGAGGATGTATTGCTAATGCAGGCGTCCAAACAAGGCGCATATATCCACCTTGCGCGGCAGTTTGAATCTGTAGCATCGTATCTGCAGGTCTTCGCATGAGCTGCCTAGTGAGAGACTAACAGTAAGAGACTACGACAGCAAGAACGAAGCTACATCCCGCGATAATACAGGATCTGGGTGTAGAGCGACAACAAAGACGGCGAACACGCTCGGGTATGGTGGTAGAAGAGAAAGAGGCGTTAATTACGTCACTGGATAACATGCACGTGGACGGAACCGTTGACTTTAAGTTGCCAATTTGCGCTCACGATATTCAGCGCATTTCAGTCAACCATCGGATTCAGAGAAATTCTACTCTGGTAATTCTTGGATGTGCTAATGGAAAGAGATGAAGGTTTGGAGTTCAAAGCCTTAAGTTGTATGACGCCGCTTGATCCGGCTCGACCATGCTATATGGTAATCTTTGCAGCTTGATTTGGCTCAAACCGGCTCGACGGAATTTTCACTGGGCTTTAGCTCTGCACGCTGCTGGAAGTGAGCCATTGCAAGGTAACTGATCCAATATTCCAGGCACGTACTCATCCTGACTGAAGCTTAGTCTATAGCTTACCTCTCAGTTCATTTATTCTTTTACCCTACTAGTCAAATCCGGACTATCGGAACAAATGCCTTAGTTGCGGCATTCGTTAATCGGCTCACCTCCCAGGCGGTTCGCATGGAAGAGCCTGAATAAGCGTTCAAGAACCGATAGGGAGCATTGAGCCCGAGAAACTTTGTCACAGTTGCTGACTACTGGCGGAACGCCGGCAACGTTGTCGTAGTCCTGCTGAATAAACCAAAGAATGCTACGTTAAAAGAGACCATGCAGACTCGATTGTTCAGCATTCCCCAACCATGGCAGATCTTTTGAATGTAGCTACGGCGATGTCGCTTTCTGGACGAGTAGGCCTCGTTACAGGCGGAGGAACGGGAATGTAAGCATTGGTATTCTCGATTATGACTCGTGGTTGATTCTTCAGCAGAGGATTTATGATTGCTAAAGCCTTCGCTGCGAATGGTGCGAAAGTATACATCACAGGGCGAAGGCTGGATGTACTAGAGAAAGCTGCAGCGTCAATCACAGGCGTCCCGGGATCCATTGTTCCGTCAGTGATCCCTCTTTCTCTGGAACATTCATGACTAACACGTACACAGACTCCAGATGAATGTGACAGATGAAGAAAGCGTCAAGGCTGGCGCAAAGCTCATTGAGGGAATCGATGGCAAGCTCGATATCCTCGTTAACAAGTTCGTCAATAGTATCATTCAAGTCCGTCTTTCGCACGCTAATCCCTTTGCAGTGCTGGGTTCGGCACCTCCCTTCGCGATCCAGATTTCTCTGCGAAGAAGCTAGCAGCATCGGATCCTTTCGAGCCCGAGACGGTACAGAATTGGTTGGACATCTTCGCACTCAACACTATCGCGCCCTTCTTTGTCGTTCGCGCCTTCCAGTCCCTCCTCATTAAAGGAGCACATTCCCGCCCTCAAGGAACATCGAGCGTCATCAACATTAGCAGTGTGGGGGCAATCATAAACACACCAGTAAAGATGGGCTGCGTACGTGCTCTACTATTTCCTTCAAACTTGACTCGATTCTAACTTGGCTTATTAGTTAGCATACGGCCCGACGAAAGCAGCTTTGGAAAAGCTCACCCACGTTCTGGGAACGAGTTTTGCTGGGAGAGGTATCCCGATCCGGGTAAATGCGCTTGAGCCCGGCTTGTTTCCGTCGGAGATAGCTACTCGTGAAGTAGTGAAAATGATGAACTTTGCAGAGCCATTGCCTGGGTTTGGGGCTCCCATACCCGCGAGGAGACCAGGAACGTGAGTATTCTCAGTATATGGAGGGGATTGGATATTGATTTGACTCTTGTTAGTGATGCGGAGATGGGAATGGCGGCGATCTACTTGGCAGTATCTGACTATACGAACGGGGCGATTTCGAGTGTTGATGGTGGAGTAGCATTGGTTAATCCTTGAAGGGTTGATCTTTTAATGAAATCAAGTGACTGCCTTCCCCGGGGAAGCATGCCGCTGTCGTTGTGAGATCACATTGTACACACTCTCCCATGAACGCCGGGATCGGATGTCGACTATTCTTCCTTCGATATCGCTCGACTGGACTGATGTCTAAAAATGAACATCGCTTATGCGGCAGTTGATTTATGGGTGTAGGCCAAACCGGACCTAACTAGGATCTAACTATGTACAAACAAGTCCTAGACTAATTCGGAAGTCGGAGTTTGAATTAATTAATTCCCTGTATGAGCGTTGAGGCAGCTTACGCAGTTGTGCCTTGCCTTCATCTCTTCAGCTTGGCGGGGGTATCTGTAGAAGTGCATAATGTATTTATGAATGTCTGAGCTCATCAAAGGCCCTAATTTATCTGTGAGGCCACCATATGTGCAAGATCATCTTGATGTCTCAGACTGAGCAACACTTTCCGGAGCAGGTGCTCATGGTTGCGCATTCTCAAATGCTTGCATGCATTTGTTTCAAGAATGTGTATCCTTTTGAATGAGCAGAAAGCAAATCTCACCCAAGCAGGAGCAGTTTTTCTCCCGCTACAGCAGTGACAGCAAACAATATCATACAATTTATGTTTGTATGCTATGCCATGCATAACAGAAGAATTATCCCTTTCTTCATGGAGTTTTCAGTCTGTCTAGATGTAATCTGTGTCAATAATCATTCTGAAAACCTGTATTTTAATGTATTACAGTGCGAAGCGTGAAAGAAAAAATAAAGGGCTTTACAAGACAGTATATTCAGGGTATTAGAACATATACTAGCATTGATGGAGGATGGGTACCTCTCAGTAGCCCAATATTTAACTTCTCTCTCCTCCCTTTGAATTAATTTAATTAATCTACATTAATTAATTCAACTCCCACGAAAACCCTACACCTATAAATCAAGTGCCCGCTTATGCGAGTTTGAGGCCCTGTGACATAGTGTTGCCGTGGCGCGGCTAAGCGCAGCGTGGCTCGGCTAATGACGGCTTTGGTAATATTCCAAGCCGCGCCGCGCCGCGCCACGAAATTTGGTACGGCTAGGGCTAGGCTAAGGCTAGGCCGTGGCTTAGCCACGGCCATGATCAAAAAAGGTAATTGATAATTGATCATGCATATTTTGCGACTGGAGGCTTGCCAAATGCATGTATGCTCTGTACAATGAAGGGCAGTAAGCCTAAATGATGCTAGAATAAATATATGCTTTATCTGTTCCGATGTAAGGAGCAATTCCTTTTCTCTACAAGTGAGCCAAGTCCAGCAACAACACAGCCACAAAGGAGAAAGAGCGTAAATTGGGATTGTAAATGAAAAAGGGATAACAAGATTGGTTCAAATCACTTTATGGTTCATCTATGTGCCCAAACGAAGTGTCTACGACGGTTGAAGTGAGGGGAAAGCCCTGATAATATCAGCTTCCCAATCGGGAATTTAGCCACAGCCAAGCCGAGCGCGAGCCACGTGCGCCGGCTCACAGACGGCTACCTAGCCTTCCGAGCCATGCGCCAAAACAACGGCTCGGCTCAGCTAATCTTGGCTCGGCGCGGCCGGCGCGCCATTTTTAGCCGCGCCACGGCAACACTACTGTGACATTCCAATGCGTGCTAATGGTCGAGTTCTTGGGATCCAGGGAGGGAATACAACTGCAGAGACTAATCCATCTGGGTGCTTGCAAAGAAAACTGCGGTTGATGTATGCACGACGTTGTATCATTTTCCTCAAGGTAAGGAATCGAGATATTGGTCTTGACCCTTCACACATCTTACAGGGGATTGCAACCACCGGTCGACACGGTGTTGTGCTGGAAGATATTTTGATTAGACTGAGCAATGTGCTATCGTTGGCGCCTCCCGAGTTCTTTATTGAACAGAGTCGAAAAAAATATGAGCATGTCATTGATCCCCAGCGGGAACGTACCAAAATTCTGACAACAAAGATTCAAAAACCGAGAAGGTAGAAATCTTTGCATATCTTCAAGTTTGCTGGTCTCAAAATGAAACGGCACACCTTGAACAACGACTGCATTTCAGACTCGAGCAAAACCACAACTGAAAACGTCACCTGTCCTCCGCTAAGACGAGGGTAGAATACGGGTAGCGCAACCAGACCATCAGGGATTCACCAATGTAACACCACCGTCAACTCTCAAGGTTGCTCCATTCGTGTAATCCGACGCCGCCAAGTACACCGCCGCCATCCCCATTTCAGCATCTCTAGCAAGTCAGATTATCATCTCTAAGTATGTACTCCAGTAATGAAGGCACTTACGTTCCATGTCTTCCTGCTGGTACAGGAGCCACCAATCCAGGTGGCGGCTTAGTCTTAAACAACTCCAACATATCAGCAGGTGCCATTTCCGACGCAAACACCTCAGGTTCTATCGCATTCACCCGAATCGGGATGTTCCGCCCAGCAAAGCTCGTTCCCAGAACGAGGGTGAGCTTGCTCAAAGCGGCGTTCGTGGGGCTGTATGCGAACTAAATAGAATGAGCCAAAATCTTGAAGGGATTTTCGAGGTAGCTAGTACGCACAGATACAAATGACTCCGAAAGGTTCATCTTTGCTGCTCCGCTGCTGATGTTGATGACACTTGAGGTGCCTTGAGGGTGGGAATGCGCTCCTTTGACGAGAAGGGATTGGAAAGCACGCACGACGAAGAATGGGGCGATCGTGTTTAGCGCAAAGATATCAGCCCAGTTCTGTATGGTTTCGGGTTCAAAAGGATCTTCTGCGGCGAGTTTCTTCGTCATGAAGTCTAGATCGCGAAGGGATGTGACAAATCCGGCACTGTGAAGAGTTTAGTCTACGGAGGAGTGGAACTAGGGGTATTATAGGCCGACTTATTGACAAGTATGTCGACCTTGCCATCGATTCCCTCAATGTGTTGTGCGCCAGCCTTAATGTTTTCTTCATTTGTCACATCCATCTGGAGCCTTTGTACGCGTCAAAAACGGAGATCTTATGGAAAGGAGGATTAATGACGGGAGGAAGATCCTAGGACACCAGTTACAGATACGGCTGCTCTCTCTAACACTTCCAACCTTCGCCCTGTGATGTATACTTTCGCACCATTCGCAGCGAAGGCTTTAGCAATCATAAATCCTCTGCTGAAGAATCAACCACGAGTCATAATCGAGAATACCATTGCTTACATCCCTGTTCCTCCGCCTGTAACGAGACCTACTCGTCCAGAAAGCGACATTACCGTGGCCACATTGAGATCTGCCATGTTCGGGGAATACTGAACAATCAAGCCTGTACACGGTCTCTTTTATTGCAGCATTCTTTGGTATTATTCAGCGAAAGTGTATCCCGGCGAGTGCAGTAAATAATTGCCTGCATTCTGCTCACTAGTGCTGTCAGCAACTCTGACAAAGTTCTCGGGTTCAAGTCTCCCTATCGGCTCTTGAACGCTTAGTATCACATCAGAAGAAGATTCTTCTATAGTCATCATTCATGCTTTGACGCGGCTCACCTAGGAAGTGAGCCAATTAGTAACGGATGCCATTTAGTCCTATGGTCTGGATTCAGACAACGAACTACGGACCAAGTTTTAGTGTGCGTTCAAGTATATTGGATCACTTACCTTCGAGTGGCCTAGCTCGTGCTAACCGGAGGCTATAGAAAATTGTGAGAATACATTAGTAAATCTTAACGTGTATGATATAAGTCATGAGATAAGACACCTAGCCCGATGTAATATATCCATTCAGTGACCTTAGTATCACAAGATATACGTGTCAAGTCTAGCTCCCACTTGTATTTGGACTCTTGACTTCCGGGGCACTGCAGTGCCAGGATTAAGCGGATATTGTATGAAGTTTTGAGCTGACATGGTCGTGGCGACTTTGAATTAAGAGTCAGTCACGTTAGAATTCTCGTCCGGATTCATTTACCTTCTGCTTCATTCCCAAGGACCTTTCACAGTAAAAAGTCCTAGAACTTGCAATGAACAGACCATATTTACTCAGATGGACGAGCTGCAGCCCCCACCAATACTAACACATCACTTGACGGTGTAGATTTTCTAGGCGAACTTCCACAGAGATCAATGCTCCTCCGGAGACCCGCCCATTTCCCTGAACCAAACAGTAACCCAGTACCGAGTTTTTGCAGCGCTTGTAAGAAGTCGATTCGTGTCTTGGGTTTTCGTCAGATAAGGCTGCAGGCTGAGATAGTCGACACTCTGTGCTGGAACCATGATCATAGCAGGTTGGAAGCGGTGGGACAGCGGACCGGATTTGAAATGCAGCTTCAACCGCTACCGTCATCTTTCTATGCTCTTTTCTTCCTCCTCTAACCTCAAAGCTATATTTTTCTGCGAAGAAGAGAGAATTCGTACGCAACGAGCGAGCCTCTTTTTGACCTTTGGCTTTCCTAGGACCATCACCCTCAACGCTCTCCTACCGAACGATTGTCTTCTAATTTTTCATAAGCATATTGGCCGAGCATTTACGAACAAACCAAGGGAACAGCCCTCTTATATGCAGTGTAACACAGGAGTTTCACTGGCACCGGCAGACCGATAGTACAGAGATAAGTCGGGGATTTTTGGCACCAGAAGATATCCATTCACTGCACCGGACTTGGGAGCAGCCAGCTTACTGAGATATGGGTGAGTCTGTCGACAGTTTGCCTCGAATTCATGTTATTGCGCCCTTGATTAGGGGATGCATCATGGTACCCCTTACCCGTTCGAAGTTTACTGATGAGATTTGGTGACTACGCAGCGACGGAATCAATGTTGTAATTACTCAACTAAACGTGTTTGTTCACAATAGTCTTTTGTTTCAAGGTCTCTCATCCCATATGGCGCCTATCCTTGCACCCCTTCACCGTATTCGTGTGATTTCTTTGCGACGAGCATGACATTCGTGAAAGGGAGCCTCTGCCTGACATGACACGTGTGCAAGAGCCAGTAGATATAACGGCTGCCCCGAGGACATGAACTTTCGTCGCAATGCTGACGGGTATCAGGGAAGGCAGGTCATTTTGCAACGTAAATCCACCATTTACCGCATACATCGGGATACCGTCTCGCTGAATAAGACCAGGTGTTTATGAAATCTAGGTGACGACCACTGGAATAAAAGGTGTTACGTCCAGAGGCTACTCTGCATTCCTCAAACATGGCAGAGCTTCATGTGGCTACTGTGATGTCTCTTTGTGGACGAGTAGGCCTTGTTACAGGCGGAGGAACTGGAATGTATGTTCTCTCAAGTTTGGTTCTCGGTTGCGACTTACCGTTGACTCTGATAGAGGATTTATGATTGCGAAAGCCTTTGCTGCAAACGGGGCGAAAGTATACATCAATGGGTGTAGGCAGGATGTGCTAGAGCAAGCCGCGGCATCAGTTACAGGCGTCCCAGGATCTATTATTCCGTAAACAGCCTTTTCTCCCTCGTGATGTTCATTTCTGATGCTCCTACAGGATCCGTATGGATGTCACTGACGAAGAAAGTGTCAAAGCTGGAGCCAGGCACATTGAAGGAATGGACGGCAAACTTGATATCCTTGTTAACAAGTTCGTCCATGGTGCCGTCGATTCGCTTCGTCCTTATGCTAACGTCCTTACTAGTGCAGGATTTGCAGGATCTCTTCGCGACCCAGGCTTCATCGCGAAGAAGCTCGCAGCGGCAGATCCATTTGAACCTGAAACCATCCAAAACTGGGCAGATATATTTGCACTCAACACGATTGCCCCGTTCTTCGTCGTACACACTTTCCAAGCCCTCCTCGTCAAAGGAGCTCGGTCCCGCCCCCAGGGCACATCCAGTGTCATCAACATCAGCAGCGCGGCAGCCAAGATGGACTCAACGAGCCCTCTGTCGTCTGTATGAGCTACGTCTTTTCTTTTCAGCTCTACACTAACCTTGGTTTAGATAGCATACAACGTAACGAAAGCTTGAATAAGCTCACACTTGTTCTGGCAACGAGTTTTGCTGGGAGGGATATTCCGATCCATGTGAACGTGCTGGCTCCAGGCGCGTTTGCGTCACAACTGATCGGTCCTGAGGTCTTGGAAGCGATCAAGACTGAGCCAATGCCTGGGTTAGTCGCGCCGATTCCTGCGAAGAGACAGGGAAAGTAAGTATGGTCAATGTTTGGATGGAATTGAATATTGATTTGAGTTTATAGTGAGGCGGAGATGGGGGTGTCGACAGTCTATTTAGCTGTGTCTGACTATACGAACGGAGCGATTTTGAGCATTGATGGTGGATTATCGCTGGTAAATCCTTAATTTTTTGATCATCTGATGTAGAACTATCATGGAATCAAACCTGTTTTCCACCATCACCTGTAGATTTCTTGCAAGGGATCACAGCCACTATAGCTAGTCAACAGAGTGTTGTGCTGGAAGACATACCGGTTGGATGGGCGATACACCGTCTGCATTATCGTTTGCACCTTGCACGAAGACGTTTCTGTAGCATCCATGGAGCATGAATGCATGAACGTTGAACAATTACTACGACGATTCATTTGCTTGACGCACGCCAGACCTTCAATTCGACCCAGACCAAAGGACAAGCTAAGATCATGACATTACAAAAGGTTCGGTTTCATCACGACATGATATAGGTACAAGACTAGGTGTAAGACTCTTTCAGGAACGGTATAGGGAGAATAATGTAGAAAAACGCTATTCAGACATCAGACAATGAACATCTACAATATATTACCGAGACATACCAACGGCGAAGCTACCAGAATAGATACCATAGGAGAAACGGAGACAAGATCACGAGCCAGAAGATTGATGACCAGAGTAGACGAAGAACCATCACGCCAGTCAGCCTAGTTCAACCAAACGTTGGCGAGTCACGGAAATAAGTACAGCAAAGAGCATAATCACTGATAAGAAGCCAGTTTCTCTTCTAGAAGTAGATGCCTATACGCCTCTGAAACAAAATATAAATATACTGAGTGTGGACGAAGTATCCACTAGGAACGTACCAGAATCTTCACCAAACGCTTTCCGCATTCCTGGTTTGAGGTCCTGGAGTATTTCCGCCAGATCACAGTAAAGATATTGCTTCTCTCGATAGCCTTTGGACCGAGCTATTTCAGCTTCGGCGGCTCACATGATCTGGACGAGTGAGTAGGACATGAGGCGTTCGAGCTCACGTTTGAGCTTGAGGTGTTCGATTTCGTCGCCAACTTGGTCGTGTTCGCTGCGTTGAGCGGGTTCTATTGTCTTGATGTGAGCATCCATTGCTGTGCTGGGGTAGGACATGGCTTTGAGGTAGAAGAAATGAAAAGGCGTGGTAAATAAAGGTGGTCGTCGTGGTCGTAGTTCAAGCAGTGTTTGAAACTCCGACGCTGCCTGCCGTCCTTTGCCGCTCTACCCTGCTCCGTTGTTTGACGAGACCTTACATTATCATCCTTTATAATACCTGATCCTAGCCACTGGTGCTTACTTCGGAAGAACCAGAGCCTCTATCATGACGGTCATCAGCGCGAACATGGTGCCCAGGATTTCCTCTCTGACCTATGGAGAGTACGGGTGCCGACATCTTGAACTTCTAAACCTTGAAGGACAAGGACAAGGATTCTGCTGGCTTATGGCACCTCATCTTCCGTCGTTACTACATCTTTGCCCAACGATTCAAGATTCACTCGTTTGCTCAGACCGAAAACGTATGCATATAAACTCTCTTCCTTGAAGCTTTATCGTGTCTTCCCGCGAAGCTCGGAGGAATCAAGGGGTGTTAACCGCACTCGTTGTTGACGTACGTCCATTATCATATTCTAAAAGGCTCTACTTATACCGTGTCGTGGCAAAGCTCGCAAATGCATTTACAGGCACCTTGTACGAATTTAATGGAGCAGGATGCACCTGAACAGTCCACGGATAAGTCAGTATTAATTGAAACGGATATGCTGCAGACAGGAACAATCCTCGGAGGAGCAATGTTGCGAGAATGCTCCATGTCCAGGCAGCGCAGAACGAACGCTTTGATCGGTGAATTGCTCCGCTGGACTAGTTACTGACCAACATGTCCAATACAGGTCTCTCATTGTAAAGCGTTTGACACGGCTTGTCTTCCCGGTGCGACTGCATCAAGGTTGTAGCCAGATACGACATGCGCTGAGGATTCAACAGAGAAACCCCGAGATAATCTTCTATCTTCCATCCATTATAACAGTACAGTACCCCAGAGCCTTAGTTCCGAGGGAGACGGTTACTAGTATTCTTCTTGTCTTATGGAATGTTCGGTCAATATGAACTCCGAGGCTTAACTCAGGGAGGTCTTTTTGCCGGGCGAACTTTCATTCAATCGTCAAATTATAGCAGCATCTTATTTAAAGCTGGGAGTATATCACTGAATCCAAGAGCCGTAGTTCTTTCTTCACATGGTCGCATTAACTCTTGTAATCGCATCGCTCCTCATGAGCTCTCTGCTTTATCGATGGTTCAGACGTCCGTCAGTCAAGCACGTCAAGGGACCACCGTCAGCCTCTTTCTGGCTAGGTAAACGATCATACTTTGGTACAAACATGAGCTCATACACGACACCCATCAGGCCACGAACGCGTTCTCCGCAATCAAGATGATGCTGGTGATCTCGAAACGAAATGGCATAGGGAATATGGCACACTTTATCGTGTTGGGGGCTATTTTGGGGTAATTAAGCTCTCTATCTCTCGTGGTCAGTTAACTCAACGGTTTCCCAGCAAGACGTCCTGGTAGTGTGCGACCCCAAGGCTTTCGAACATATTTTCCACAAGTCACGACCTTATCCAAAATCGAAGGATACCACCTTCATCCAGGGTCTCCTCCTTGGTCAGGGGCTTGTCACTGTCGCTAGTGAGTGTCCATCCTGTCCAGTTTGCACACAAACACACCTAACATATTCAGATGAAACTCACCACCGCCAACGCAAAATCCTGAATGCTGCATTCTCTCTTACGCAGCTCCGAAAATACGAGGTTATCTTTCAGCAATGCTCTGACAAGGTAGGTGCATCTATACACCATGAAGCGCGACAACGTTCGGAAGCTTATAGCGATTATAGCTTGTGAACGAGATCAGGAGAACTGTGACTGGTACAGATAAAATCGTCAATGTCCTTGATTGGACAAGCAAGGCGACCCTGGACATAGTTGGGCTAGGTGAGTGCCGGCCATTCCTCTCCCCCTCTCTCATTTAATATGAGATTCGAAAGCCTCTTTCCGGTATGATTTTGGTTCGCTCGATGGTCAAACAACGGAACTAGGGCGAACAATGAAGCATCTTTTGTAAGATCTGTTTCTTTATTTCAATGGCTACTGCATCTAACATCGGACTTTAGCACTGCCTCGCAATCCAATATAACGGCACTAGAGCTTATGCTTATAGCTCTGATACGAATGCTTCCAGATTGGGTCCTAGGATTCCTACAGCTGATCTCTACTCGAGAGACTCGTTTAATCGTCAGCGTAGGAAATGCCGCCAAGCAAACTGCCCGAGAGATCATGGATAGCCTGGATAACAAGGCGCAGACGCCAGGCGATGACAAAGACGTCGTTAATCTCCTAGGTAAGTCTACTGGTCCTATCTGATAACACGCCTATGAACATGACTACATCTCTAGCGAGAGCTCACACAGCAGGAAAAATGCAAGATGACGAAATCGAGGCGCAGCTAATGTTCGTGTCATATTTCTACTTAACCTTCTTGATGGCGACCTTTTGTGTTCCAGGACCTTCGTCATTGCCGGGCACGAGACGTCGAGTACTAGTCTAGCCTGGCTGCTATACGAACTCGCCGTGCATCCTAAGCATCAGTCCATAATTCGCGCAGAGCTCAAACAGTCAAATGACTACGACTCGATGCCATTCTTGAACGCAGCTATCAAAGTGAGATTAGTAGCTATGTTGGATACCCATGTTGACCTCTCATAACAGGAGGCTCTCCGTCTACACCCAATTGCACATTCCTTGATACGTACCGCTCCTCATGATGATGTCCTCCCTCTTTCAGGAGGTAAAACGCTTGCCATACCCAAGGGGCAGACGCTCACTTGTTCCGCTTACCTATACAACCGGTACACTCTTCCCACATCACTTCAATGTAAATTTGATGCCAACTTTTTCTAGTCTGCCGTCTCTCTGGGGAGACGACGCAGAAGAGTGGAACCCCGGCCGGTTTCTTGACAAGACTCTGCCGGTCTCCCTTGGTGTGTACGCTAATCTGTGAGTGAGATCTTGACTTTGTGCGTGCTCTTAGGAGGACTTAGGCGGGATGCTATAGGATGTCATTTAGTGAGCCGTGCTTCAGTACTTTTTTTCATTCGCTTACATGACCCTCAGGTGCTGGATCTCATTCGTGTATCGGGTAATTAACTGCAGCGACTCATCTGGTTCCATTACTGATGCTCTTCCTTCTCTCGTAGGTGGAGATTTGCGTATGTACCTCGTCGTTCCAGTCTCGCTTCGATCCGACTGATCTACAAAAATGCAGTGTCATGGAAATTCAAACAGTTTTAGCTAACCTGATTCTGCACTTCGAATTCAGTTTGCCCGAGGGAGGAGTCGAGGTCCTACATTTTCCCAGAACAGGGGTCGTACCCTTTGTGAAGGGGAAAGCACATTTAGGCTCTCAGCTACCTTTAAGGGTAAGGGTTTCACATTAGTGAATGATAGTCGCTTCAGAGACTGCCAGGGGCATCTATTACCACCACCACCACCACCACCACCATCACTACCGTTAAATTAACTTGCACTTGCACATGTACTAAATCTTCTTTATCCTTCCTTCTTACTTCGCTTCAATCTACCATAATTCTCCTCAATAATCATAGTAAACACCCCCTGCCATAATGTCTCACTTCGTTCCACCCTTCTCCCCGCCCGACTCTGACCCTACCCCACGTTCTGGCTCTCCAATCGATGATGACAGCTCCTTCGAGAGTGTTTCCGGGGGGATATCACTTATCGTCTCTGGATTTGACCGTTCAAACAATCCCAACGCCGGAATTCATCAATTCAGGTCTATCTACCCCGACATCATTGCTGTTTCGACTCAAAAAGCACCTCATCGGTACCTACTCCCCTTCACCTTTCTCTCTCTTACCCCTGGCGACAATCTACGCCCCGTCGACTTCATTTTTGTATCGCTTGACAACAAGGAATTCTCCGCTCCACGACCCGATCTCCTCAACTGGCTCAAAGCCGCTATTCAGGACCACGGAAAGTTTGTGGCTCGGTGGATCACTGGAAAGGGCCCCGATAAAACCCGGAGAGGATTCTTCAGGATGGAAAACATGACCATTGCTCAGAGGATGAAGTCCAGGTTTGAAACTGTGCTGACTCAAAAAGGGTTTCACTTCCAGAATTGCACGACGGCCACACACGCTCATGCTGGCATCCGCATTGTTGTCGACTTCCTTGATTCTGCTTCTCTCGATGCCTTGACTGAAACGCCGCTCATTGTTGATCGCATCAGCTACCCCGTATCCCGCCCACGATTTGTGGAGCCCGACTTCGGGTATGATGTTGCAATCACTGGGTGTGGAGGTATTCAAGGCTTCGAGGGCTGCATGAATGCTCACATCAGGAGGCACATGGGACCTGTCATAGCGCGAAGCCGAATGGCACTCGGGGGCGATGTGTATGTTGTCATATTCAAAACTTGGGAGCTAACGTCGCAATTCTTGTCCTCGCCCTTACCTCACCCTCGTAGCGTTCCCACCCACATACAACTTTCCGACCCGATTCTCCTCTACTTCTTCAATAATCGCGGATGTCCTGCCTCCCCTCAATATCTGGCTCCGAACCCTCCTACTTCCTCTGACTCTCCCTCTCTCCAAAAACAAATTGACATCCTGCGTGACCAAGGAGTTCAGTGCTTTTCTACTATGAACGCGATGCTAGCCACACAGTCCAACCTCATCACCGACGTTCGCCAGTCCAACCTGGAATTGCGAAATGCTCTAGCGGCATCTTGCAACACCAATGCTGCGGGCCAGCTCGTCAGCATGGCCCATTCCGACCTCCTCTATCTCCGCTCTGAGCTTAATTCCTTACGGGGGTCATTAGCATCTGCCACTGACCCTAATTTGCGTGCTTCCTTGACCCAACAGATAGAAGAGACTATGTCCTCTATCGAAGCCCAGCGCAACATTCGAGATGAAGCCGATGCACATTACAGGTCCCTAATGCGTGCTACGCAGTCCTTGATTGCAGGCCCGGTTTCAGACTCCCCGGCTTCTGCTCGTCCTGCTGAGGTATCCAACACTCGCCGTCAGTGTCGTCGTCTTGACGAACCCTCCCCTGATGACGAACAGGAAGTACAATCTTCCCTTATGCCAGTCGATGGGCCGCCTGCCTCCACTGGCAATATGGTGAGCGATGACTCCTTGATGATCTCCTTTATGACCCCTTTTCCTCTCTTAACTTTACATTCCCGTCACACATCTCCTGACATTTGCCTCCAAGGACTCGTAGGCAATATAATGTCCCCTGTCAAGAAAATTTTCTCCTGTATCTGGATGTTTCTTTTCGTATTCCTTTCTTCTTTTCTAAAAATTATTCCTTTACGTTCTCATCGTCACACACGATTTCTTTTCTCATCCTCTTATAATCGTTTTCCTACTTTCTTGGTTGTATTACTATGGGTGTTGTTCTTTTCTTTGCCTCAAGTGTCTGCCTCGGTATCCTCCTTTACGACATTTTCTGTCAATGTTAATGGCTTTCGTGACGTCGCCAAACACTCTTCTCTATCGAACATAATTCACACACATCACCCACATGCATGGGTGTTCTCTGAGACCAAGTCTCATACTCCTGTATCCAGCAGAATGGATGTCCGCGGATACAAGATATTTGAGTCTCCTGGCCTTAAAACTAATGCCCGTTCTGTGAAATGGGGAATTCTTGCAGGTGTACACTCTTCTCTCGCCACGCAACAGGTTCAAATTCCGTCCGATCTCAGTGGACGTGTCCTGGCTATCGACATCGTCCTGCCAACGACTAATGGCCATGGCTTCGTACACCGCCTTATCGGACTGTACGCACCGTATGACCCCGGCACAGACTCTGATAGACTTCACACCTTTTGGCAACAGATTCGTACCCTCTGTCAGAGCGCATTGCACTCCTGGCAGATAATCGGAGACTGTAATGCCACAGTTTCTTCCTGTGAGGTTCAAGGAGATGCGTCCGGAAGTAACAATGCTCGGCTGGCCTACCATCGCTTTCTTGATGCACTCCAAGGGATTGATGTATGGTCGCGCCAAGGGGACAATGATGCGAGGTATGTGTGGACTTACCAAGCCTATAATGGTACATGTCGATCCATACTGGATCGCTGCGCCCATTCCTCTAATCACATTATCGCCTCGTCCATAAAAGTTCCAGGCTACTTTGTACCTGGGACTGATCACAGGCTAATTGTCACAGTTCTTCATTGTGGCATCCCTAACAATAGTGCAGATTCTGTACTTTTGCCCCCAACAGAGCATCCTGTCTATGCGCCATACCGTCCTCGGTTTCTCTTTCCCAAACGTCAAGAATCTCATCGGTTCAAGGCATTTGCAGATAGAGTCGACGGACTGGTTCATGATGCACACCTTGTGCTCACGCCAATTCAGAATGACGATCAGTATCAGAAATTGTACTCTGCACTATCCCAAATTCTCCAACATGCTGCAGAAGATTCCTTCGAGCTTCCTCATCTCCCTCATATGGGTCCAAGGAAGCCCAGGAACTCTCTCATCTCTCTCTTGTTAAGGGAATACTCACGGGTTAACAGACTTATCTCTGCCATTAAGCGACAGACTCTTCATATCCTCTGTACCCATCACCAAAACCTGGGCCATACGTTCTGGTCCAGGTCAGCCTTATCCGAGCGACAATACCAGCCAATGAAGATCTGAAGTGCTCTCTCAGATGCATTCCGATCTGTGCTTGTCTGGTTAGATCAATACAGACCTCTGTGGGATCTGCATTGTCTACTTGAGCAGGTAGAGAGCTGTGCAGAAGGGGTTGGAACGAGCAGAGATCCGAGCAGGCAATTTATAACTCTCCAATGCAGTCGATAATTATGGTCTCTGTACAGTTACAGAACTAAAGAGCAGAATATCCAAACAACCCATCTTCAAATGAGTCATCGTCTTCTTCAAGTTCATCTAGGTTGATCTCATCTTCGTCTTGCCATGAATCATCGTCGAGAGCATCTTCCCATAATATCCTAAAAAGGATTCAGTTAAGTTTCCGTGAATAAAAACTGGTGTCTTACCCAGTGCAAATTAGAAAGAGAGGAGAGATATGCAGAACGAGAGAAAGTCGGGAGGTAACTGGACTTCAAGGTTGAGAGTCGACAATGCGATGGTCTTGAATAGAGAGCAAGATCACGTGTATGGAATCGCGTCCCAAGTCGCGACACGTTACATGTAACGTATTGTCACGCTCGTCCTTCTTGCCTTTTACTCCATTCTCCTTCAAGTCGACCATGAAGCCTGCACCTCTCCTGGCACCTGTGAAGGGCAAAAAGGTCAAGATGACGACTCAACCTACCCCTACATCATCTTTCAACAAGACAAGATCGAAAAAGCCCAACAAAAAGCCAAGGAAACCGGTGAGGATAGCAACACCACCACCGTAGCAGCCTGTACATAGGCCCAACCATCCTCGCAAGCTCGTATCCTCTGACGATGAGGACGCCATCGCTATCCACCACCAACAGCAAGTTTCCGAGGACGGGGAAGAGAATGACAGCGAGGCTGAAGAGACTGCAGAGAATCAAAACATGGATTAGAGTGAGTACCTGGCGCATATATCGATCTCTTTTACTGACTTGCGTGTAGAAATTTCCGATTTATGCACTCCTATACATACATCACCACGTTTCTCTTTCCGCGTTTCGAGTCGCATGTCAGCCAGCTTGAGGATATGACTTCTGATGATCCATTGAAGGCTGTCTTTGAGATTCTCACAGCGGTATTCACTTCTTTTTCTCACAAAAAAACCCACTGACCCTTGATAGATCAATGCAGGATCACGTAGTGGACGCTCGGATGATACAACCAAGATCAGCGATAACATCATACGCCTTTCAACAAAGGACCTTACTGAGGCGACGTTGCTCCCGACTCTCAAGAAGTATCAGCGTGGGTTCAACCACATCCACACGGGTCGCCTACTATGCCCTCAGCGGTGGCTGGATGACTTTGATGAAGATCCTGCGTATGTACAAGCTTTTCCCTCCTAGTTGCTCATTGATCTGGTACCTCTGGTTTAAAGAGCAATGATGGTGAAACTCCAGACCAAGCTAACAACACGATACCTACCATCATATCTGTACGATCCAGAGCTCATCGAGTCCACCGATCCTCGTAAGGGTTTCTTTTGGGGCCATACTTGCATCCGGGTTTGATCTCCTTGCTTAATTTGTGACTCATACTAAGCCTTTTCTCAGTCATTCCGTGCGATATTTCTGGGAAATGCGGAACACGACGCATCAGAACTGCATAACACTGTCAAAGGAAAGCTCAATCTCAAGGTCACATCGGATCAGATGATTGTGTACGCAGCGGTACAGGTATGTGATTAATACTTTTTAGATTCATTCTCATCGTCTAATGTTAGGCACGGTTTGCATCATCGTCCTGTACCATGTGGGGAGATCAAAGTGACGGCTTCGACCTCGAGCAATACAATCACAAGCTAACAACAATTTTCATCGATTCCATCAATGAGGACGGCGATACATGGGCAAGAGATACAGTTGAATTCTACACTAGGTATGTCTCCACCGCTTCGTAAATCTGCTTACAAATTGTTGTCTCTCTTCAGCGTGATCTTGAAGCCAGAGACGGACGAAGACCAAGAACAAATCGACGACAACGACGACGAATCAATAATGAATCGAAACCGTGAAGCACGTATCAAAGAACGAGAACGAGCTACTGCTGCCGCCGCTGATCAACTCGACGACGAAGACAGAACTTCTTGATGGCTTAGAAGGGTAAGGGTTTTCAAGTCGACTATAATTTCTTGCTAATAGATGGTGCTACTTAGCTTCGACTGGGCTGTGTTTCCGCTTGACCTGGTTTCTTTTGCTCGGGATGGACTATTGTACGACTCATTTGCTTCTTCTCGCTCTCTCGCTCTGGGTCACTGCGTAGTTGTATTCTTATATCTCTGCTCTCGTGGTACTGCTATGTAATGGTTTATAACGAATTGTAATATGCTTTATCAAATACGGCGCATCAACTGCAAGGGAATGGCTGGGAACAGGTTGCATTGCTTTGTATCTACCCAGTGCGCTCTCAGAACAGGTCTACCTAACTCGATCGAAGACTGCTTGTAATAGCGGAAGAGATCATGAGAGAACACCGGGAACTCTATAGAGTATCCTTGATCTTGTGCTGATCACCCTCAGAACTGCGGACATGGAGGTCAAAGGTCTGCATCACCTGTCGTCGACTAGCAAGATCTGCTCAGATGGCCCAGATCGGATCAGAGGGACTCCATCGTGGATGATTGTATTGGTCTGACTGGGATCGCATGGCCCAGGTTTTGGCGATGCCACAAACCCCTGGACCTACCGCTACCTGCCTCATTTGCCAAGTTCCGACCCTGCTGAGGCCCTTGTCTTTTGCTGCCACCTCAGAAAAACACTTGGAAAGTTACGGTTCCGAGCAGAACGAGATGAACTGGAGAAGCGTGCAAGTCAATCCGCAAAGGCAGGGATCAATGCCTGTCTTCTAGGTGGCTCTGCAAAACGGCTCTACCGTGCCCAGGACTTCTCTGGACCTTCCCCCGTTCTATCGAGGACAGTAACATCGAATACAGGAAACTCCACCTCATACTTCACCACGTCACAAAACGTCAAGTCTCAGACAACTTCGTATTTCTCCGACTTATACTCACGAAATTCCCGGCCTTCCCAACCCAAACCCTGGTTGAACAGTCCTTCAGTGATGGACATCCAGCACCGAACAGAACAAGACAAGTTTCAGTGGCCAAAGCCGATGTCCATCTTCGACGCTCGGGCGCTTTTACGCAAAGGTAAACCAAGACCAGCCCCAGGACCAGATCATTGGGAGAAGTGGATGGTAAAATCACTTCATGATTTTTCCTTGCAATTCGTCGTTTCCCTTTGGAATTACGCTATTGAACACTCTCACTTCCCACAGTGCATCAAAGACACCTCCCTGTCCACAATACACAAGCGGGGAGATGTAACAGATCTTAACAATTATCGTGGTATATGCACAAGCAATCTCAATGTCAACATGCCCTACGCTTGGCTGAACAGCCTTCTCTTACCATATATCACTCGACATCATATCCTTCCTCATGGTCAGATTGCCACCCAACCGGGCGTACAAGGACGTGATCTTACGTCCTTCTTGGCCCACCTTGAATCTTGGTCAGATCGCACTAAGACTCCTCTGTATGTCCTCCGACGTGACCAGCGCAAAGGATTTGATCGCCTGGAACCAGAAGGCTTTTACGATGCCATTAGAGCATATGGTTTGCCAGAATCCATTATCGACTTTGATTGCTCCGCCCAGAGTAATGTTCCTTACCGTGCTAAGACCTTTTATGGCTTTACAGACACATTCATTCTCAATGGCATTACGAAGCAAGGTGGCCCCCTCTCACCTGTCAAATGCACGCTTACCAGCAGTCTCGGGAGTCATTGGCTCAATGATAGCTTCGCCGCCAATGGCGATGGATTGGTTGTTGCAACCACCCAGGCTCTCAAGCGGAAGAGGCATACTCCTTATGATGACATCTGCCTCCCTGTAGCCATGGTGGAGGCGATGGATGACTCAATCATGATTGCAGGTTCTTTCCCTGTTTTCCACCGTTCCACGAGAATGCTGGAGACAGTCCAAAGTGCATATGGCGGTGAAACAAACTGGGACAAATCTGCCGTGTTTCTGCGTAATGTACCAAATCCACCTACAGTCATATACCTCCCCTCTGTTGAGCCAGCTAACCCTTCTGTAGCGACCACACATCCTGTCAATGTATATTCCTCTCACATAGAGCTTATGCGGGTCTCAATGAATGACCCCAAACTACAATTTCAAAAATTGACAGATCTTATTTCAGGCTTTCAATGGAAGCTCGTAGCCACGGAGCTACACTGAAGAACTCGTTCACACAGATGTGCAAGGAACCAGCTCGGTATTCGTGAGACGACGGTACAGATGGTGGTGGTAAACTAAAGAGACGTGACATGGCAATCCCTCGTATCTATGTCACATCGGGAATAGCCGATGTAACCGGCATCCGGGTTACACTCCTCCCCACTCTAAAAAAACAAACGTACTAGTCCAAGTAGAAAGAAACATAAAGAAAAAGGAACGCTGGAACATGAAGACCATTGTCAAGGACGAAACGAACAAGGAAAGTATTATCTTTCACGGGTGCGAACATAAGGACAGAAGTGACCAAAATATTGCAACATGGCTGAAGACGATAGCAATCAAAGAAAAGCGAGTACGAAAGCGATGCGAAAGACAACGGGTAGTGAGGGAAATCTTTAGTCAAAGTCATGGTCGGTGTCGTAGTCCGAGTCCGAAGAGTCGGGTCCATCTAATACAAAGGAGCCTGGCGTTTCCGGGATCTCGGCATCCCCAAAAGTAATTCCAGCTACTCGTTGGTGAGGGAGTAGAGGGCGGGTGGCTCGTGGAGCGACACCGGCAGCTGAATCTCCAGGGCAGTTACGTGCGCTGTGCTGCGTCCAGTTCGGCGAAGATGGGGTCTTCCTGCAATGGAAACAACCTCCAGAAGCCCGAAGAGCCTCTTTCTCGGCATAGGAAAGATCCGGAAAAGGGTAACGTGAACCGTTTGACGCGGCCGTAGATGCTGTGGGATGGGTAGAAGTGATGTGGGCAGTCGGAATGGCATGGGATTGGTCACTAGTCTGAACATTCTTGATTCGAACGACGTTCTCTGCAATTAGGCTCGCCCAAGTCGTAGACATCAGATTGACCAAGGCATCAAGCTTCATGGTTCCGTAGACTGACGCAAAACCCGTAGTACTACGGACGCGAAGGGATAAAATGGGATGCGCGAAGAATAATAGATGATTTTTGACAGAAGAGTCGGTGATGGTGTAGCCAGTGCCAGCAGACGCGAGGGCATTCCGCGCAGTTTGGAGGTCTGACACAAAAGACTGGAAGTCCGTCCCAGGTGCATGCTTTACCGAGTAGAAGGCAGCAAGTGCGTCCAAACGCCAGTTGGAGGGGACAAAACGATCCTTCACCTTTGCGACAAACTCATCCCATGATGCCAGCTTCTTTAACGACTCCCGGTTCTCATTCCACCAAGCAGCGGCCTCAGCATGTTCCATCTTCAATCCAGCAACTAGTATTTGCGTCTCGGGTTTGATCTTCTTATCGGCATTGAGAGCAGACCAGGCCTCAAAGGAGTCTGCGCAGCGAGTCAGCCATGTGAGTGCAGCAATCGAGGTGACATTGGCGAGGGTAGGGAGATCTAATTTCGAAGACATTGGTTGAGGGCTAGGCGAGCAAGAAGAATCAAGTTCAGTCAATGGTGACGATGAACGGTTGGGAACGGGAGATAGACGAGGGTCTGTAGCGTGTTTGTCGGGTTGTTGATGTAAGTCTGGATCGTCCAAGGCTTCAAAGACGGGTAGGTGGTACTGCTGCGCGGTACGGCGCGTGAAACGGCGTGATGACGTGGCAGCGTCCAGTGTGGGAACGAAAGCGAAAGAAGAGAGCAAGTTGGATTGCAAAAAAAAAGTGGAAGCTCGTAGCCACGGAGCTACACTGAAGAACTCGTTCACACAGATGTGCAAGGAACCAGCTCGGTATTCGTGAGACGACGGTACAGATGGTGGTGGTAAACTAAAGAGACGTGACATGGCAATCCCTCGTATCTATGTCACATCGGGAATAGCCGATGTAACCGGCATCCGGGTTACATTCAATTCCCTACTTTACACCTTCGTCTGCCGTTTACCGCCTTACGGCGCATCCTATCCCAATGCCTCATTGCAAGAATTCGTCCAAGGCTTGCGTTTCACCCAATTTCACGAGACGCGGCCCACCGCCTTGACTGCCTGATTGCCCAGAAGGTTCACGACTATCTTGGATTCCCCTTCCAGTTTAACTCCGCCCTTCTCTCTCTTCCACTCTCAGACTTCGGTTTTGGATTTCCTTCAATATCTCACCTGAATGACACGGCAGCCATTAACGGCCTTTTTCGGGACCTCAATCATCATCTCTCCATGTTCCGTAACATGGCATTAATAACCCTTGCTGACTGGACCTGTGCCCTTAACGACTGTCAATTTCCACTTCATGGCAAGTCTTTATCCTCACTCACCTCTCGTCGCCACCCTTGCCTCCCTTTCCCCTGGCTAGTTGCTCAAAGTGCCCTCTCACATCTGAACATATCCATCCGTGACACTGACTTATCATATCTCTTCCATGGCAACGTATCGCTAGTACATCTCAATAAACTTCTCCCTCGCACTAAAACTGTCCCTCATCACCATCTGACTAATCTGGCCAACGCCGGCATCACAACACTTCGACAGCTCGCATCATTTCCTTCACCTTCATCTCTCTCCATCACCTCACCACCTTGTAATCCCCTAATACCTCTTCAAACTGTCTTATACAATCATACATTCAGTCGCGCTCAAGAATTATCCCAACAAACTACTGAATGGCTCGCCTCAATTACGTTGGAAGATATTGTGCTAGGTTTTATGGGCTTAGCGGAAGAGGGTAAAAATAACCGTACTCAGAAAAGGAAACGAAGGAGAGATGATGATACAGAGGACCGTCTGAGTGTTGGTGGAGTTTCGGAGAACTCCAGCGCAACTGGTTCTGATCTGTCGATGCTCGCACTGCCACGCTGCATGAGAAAAGAAATGGCAGAAGAAGTTCTCCGTGCGTGCTTGTATACCTCCCCCCATGATTCATTCGCTTCACCATCTCTGCCCGGGTCCTGGGCCACAGATGGCTCCATGATACCAGCGACACCAGGTTTCCGAGAGCCACGTTCAGTCACTTTCTCAGCCATTTCCGGTCAGGGCAGTGTTGCCTTCTCCCTTGATCTCTTCCGAACATCAGCCAACATTGGTCTTGGGGAAACGTATGGACTTGTCGCCGCAAACATCTATGGTAGCGATAGCCATCTTCACTCACCACAGAACTCTCATGACATCTACACCGACCACCTCAATAGTGAAAGAATTATTGCGTCCGCTCGGTGCCCGTCTTTTCAACACTATCAATGGTCTTCTTTACCCGGACGCTCCCTCTATCGATGGTTACTGTACAATATCACTCACCCTATCAATAACACCTCCGTACCCACAATTAAATATACACCGGCTCACACCGACTCTACCACTCCTCCCTCCCTCCTAAACAACGCCGCTGATCTCCTTGCAACGACATCTCAAAACCTTACGTTACGACCTTTTCCTGCTCCTGTACCTACCTTCTTTATGGATCACTTCGTTATATACAGTGAAACCGACGGCTACATCGAATCCAATGTCTCAAAATATCTGTCCAATGTGCATGCTTCCCTTACCGTAATGCAGCCCGACTTCCGACCTGCCTCGACGATGATGATGCCATTATATCGACCATGTGCCCCTCCTGAACACCCTTATATCCGCGCGTCCTCTGCGTTCTCCGCTGTCGTTCAGTTATATGCACGATCAAGTCAGCTGGATTGTCGTTACACCAGATTTCTACGTTTCGGTGACATCTCCCCTACGTGCACTTCTGGCTGTCCTGAAATCGAGACCATCCATCATATTTTTGTTACATGCCCCGAGTACGACGCCATTCGTGATGAAGTGGCTCAGCAGTTACACGCTGAGACTTCTAAACTTTTACATGCGGCTGATACTCCTTGTCGCAATGCATTCCTCTTCTCGAGTTGGCTCGAAACCTCTTCAAAGATGGTCCTCACTGGCCACGTCACTCTGCACAGTTTTACCTGGGGCTTTTGCCACCCTTTCCCCACGAAATCCTTGACGGGCCGTCCCCTATGACACACTCCCGAACGCACATCAGGATTGCACACACCTGGCATATGGCTGGCATCCGTCTGGCTGGTAGGATATGGGGTATGTATAAAAGGAACGCACGCTTTCATGTTTCCTCCAAAAAGGACAGCAGATCTCGCCCAAGTGTAGCCGTACCGGCCTTTCTTACTGATATCTTATGCTTATAACTTGATACTTATGCCTTTATCTTTTCCTAGTTTACTTCTTCTTTTTGTGTTTTCCTTTTATTTGTGTTCAGCAACGAGTCGACGGGGTCTCTGATAGTAATTTGCTATTGTTTACCCGAGCTTGTATATAGCGGAGTCGACCAATACAACAGTCTAACAGTCTTACAGTCTTACTGCCAGAACTATATTGGTGTGTACTAGTCTGGGCATGTTTCAAATCCTGATATCACCCAATCGTCGTATCTTGTAGGACAATATATGATCTTCCACTACGGAGGCCTTCCAAGATGAGTTTATTTGATGAAAGAGGAAAATTCAAATGATTATTCGACTTGATTACTGGGACCGAGCCGACCGCTACATAAACAAAGAGACAAATCGCATCTTTCTCCTTTCCGACCCACCATCCTCTACGAAGACTTCTCATAGATGACACCCCCATTCAGTGTCCGCTTGTGTATACAGAACGTCATGCCTAGACCTTACACAGCGACGAACCCCAAACGGCATGGATAACAGGAGAAAACGAGCAAGGCTACGCGAAACGCGAGACTCCTTCACCTGCAGAGCACGAAATCTGGGCAGAGGTGTGCAAAAAGGCGTCTTCCTGTGTTCTGGACAGTGGATATAACTAAACTGCGCATCAGTACGTCGAAGAGTTCCCCAGCCCATTACAGCGTAGAAATCATCATCGTCGAAACGGGTTTCCGGCAACAAGTCAAGGTACGCCCGAGAGACAGCCCAGGAACGGTGGGAGAAGGCGGCAGGCAGGTAAGTTGAATGGTCACAAGGTTTCTTTAGAGCAGCAACCGGAGGCCTTGAGGTCGAACCTCAAGGCTGAGCATTAGAAGTACAAACATATTAATGAGAAGAACAATGCGATTACTGCGATATTGAAGAAGTGGCTCAAGAAGTAATTATTTACGTGTAGCCTCACCATCTTGACCAGAATGAATTAAGGCGAAACAGACGGGATTGTAATCACGCAGCTACATACCCGGTAAGTTCATTACCCGAACTAAAAGATCAGTTCATGTTTTGGGTTTTCGTCCGTCGAAGAGGGTTGCGTTGAGGCTAGATGAACTTGGACCTTCGCGCCGATGAACCTTATCCATACAAGAACCAGTTCTCTGAGTCGATTCACATACATTTCACCATGACATAATGCGGATACACAAGACACTAGGTATACAGAGAGTGATGTGGAAAAATACTGTCAAAACAAACGCGGTCAGACAATGGTATCTGCGATGGGCTCGGTAAGACATACCGGCGGTCAAACTTTCAAGGTAGATCCTTTGCCCAAGGTAGAGACCACAACAGAAACGGAGAGAGGATCCCAAGCCAGAAGAACGTGGACGAGAGCAGTTGAAAGATCAGCACGTCAGTCAGCCTAGTTCAACTAAAGGTTGGCAAGTCAAGGACACAGCAGGGAGCATAATTACTGATGAAGGAGCAGTTGTTCTTCCAGAAGCAGAAGTCTGTATGCCTTTGAAACAAAATGAATATACTAGGCATAGACGACGCATCCACGGAACGTACCAGAGTCTTCACCAAACGTTTCCCGTATTCCTGGCCTGAAGTCTCCGAGTGTTGCCGCCAGTTGGCGAAGAAGAGATCGCCTCTGTCGATAGGTTTTTGACCTGGATATTTCGTCTTGGGCGGATCGCATGATCTGGATGAGTTGGTAGGACAAGGCGAGTTCTATTTTACGCTTGAGCTCGCGTTCGAGGTGTACGGTTTCGTTAAAAAGTTGGTCGTATTCTCTGCGTTGTGCGGGATCCATCATCTCGATGTGAGAATCTATCGCCCCGCTGAGGTAGGACATGACTTTAAGACAGAAGAAATGAAAGGGCGTGGTGGTGGTTGTAGTTCAAGCCGTATTTGAAACTCCGACGCTGCCTGCCGTCCTTTGCCGCCCTACCCTGGTTCGCGTCTTCATCACCCGTTCGTTCTTCCCTCTCAGCTATCAAGGAAACATCCATTCACTGGTGCTGAAAACCAAATCTCGCAGCTTGTACGAACGACAATGCACCGGCGTGAGCCCGATGGAATCCAGTGCGCAGATCAATGCGACCTGCAGCCAACCCTCAGTGTCGGTACCTTTAATGGACCTTTATTTGGGGTGTATTGATAGGAAACGACAACAAAAGTACGCTAGGACACAATCAACACTCGACTTACTCGACTAAGTGGTTCTTAAGCAGCGTTTTTTTCCTACATTTATTGACATAATCACTGCGAAAGGACCTTTCTTCACACGACCAGGTATTGTCGCTGTCAGGACGAGTAGCCCTCATTACAGGCGGGGGGACGGGAATGTACGTTTCCTGAGTTTTGTTCGTGACTCGTGGTTGACTCGTTTTCAGAGGATTAAGCATCGCTAAAACCTTTGCCGCAAATGGAGCCAAAGTATACATCGTTGGCCGAAGGTTGGACGTGTTGGAGAAAGCCGCTGCATCCATTCCAGGCTTCATTATTCCGTTAGTAGTGATTGACCTCCTCCAGGCTATTCATTGCTAACGCATATATAGACTGCAGATGGACGTGACAGATGAAGAATCCGTCACGGCTGGTGCAAAGTATATCGAAGGAATCGACGGCAAGCTCGATATCCTGGTTAACAAGTTCGTCTGCAATGCCTTCAGTTTTCCTCCTCCGTATACTAATCTCTTCATAGTGCCGGATTCGCCAGCTCTCTTCGCGACCCAGACTTCATCACAAAACAGGACGCAGCATCAGATCCCCCTCGAACCCGAGACAGTACAGAACTGGGCCGACATCTTTGCGCTAAATACCATCGCCCCATTCTTCATCGTCCGCACTTTCCAATCCCTTCTCGTCAAAGGAGCGCATTCTCGCCCCCAAGGCACCTCAAGTGTTATCAACATTAGCAGTATTTCAGCGAAAATCAATACTCCGGGGCCTGCAACCTGTGTATGTGCCCCCACCATCCCTTTAAAGCTTGTCGCTGACTTGATCAGATGGCTTATGGTGTGACGAAAGCAGCTTTGGACAAGCTCACACTTGTACTTGGTGCAAGTTTCGCTGGGAGGGGTATCCCGATCCGGGTGAACGCGGTGCAGCCTGGCGCGTTTGTGTCGCAGATACTGAGTGCTGAATTCTTGGAGATGCTCAAGACAAAGCCAGCACCTGGCTTTTTGGCGCCGATACCTGCCAGGAGGCATGGGACGTGAGTATGCTTAGTATATGAATGAGACTGGACATTGAATCGAGTTTTATAGTGATGCAGAGATTGGGGCAACGGCGATCTACCTGGCAGTATCGGACTATACCAACGGGGCGATTTTGTGTATTGATGGAGGAGCGTCGCTGGTAAATCCTTGAATGTGCGACTACCGAAATACATTACCCTTTTTTCCCCCTCCTCCTTGAAGGTAGTTAATCAAGCGATCCTTATGGGGTCGTGCAACTCCACTGAAGACGAATTAGCAGCATTCAGCTCACGGAGAAATACTATCATCAGCGTTTCCTTCGGTCGAGGACTTTGGCCTAGATGGATTGATAAGAAACGACGACATATTAAGGTGAGCTGTGAGAGAATCAACACTTTACCTGACTCAGCAAAATGGTTCTCAAGTGACTTCTATCTATTTCAAGGATTGCCCAATCCACCTGTGACCGCACTCTTTCCGCTATCTTGCAGACATGACGACTCTTTCTTCACACAAGAAGCTTTCAGAATAGGATTGGGGCCCGAACCTCAGTCATAGCGTCTGACTAAGTATCATGGGAAAAGGACGGTCCTTTCGCAGTTTTGCTGAATAAGACTGCTAGAATAAAGAGGACCTTACTCAGAGACTTGTTCAGCGATGGCAGATCTTAACGTGGCTACAGTGTTGTCCTTGTCCGGACGAGTAGCTTTTGTTACAGGCGGAGGGACGGGGATGCACGTTTCCTGATTTTCATTTGAGACTCCCAGTTGACTCGCCAACAGAGGGTTTAGTATTGCTAAGACATTTGCTGCAAACGGTGCAAAAGCGTACATCGCTGGCCGAAGGATGGACGTACTGGAAAGGGCTGCGGCGTCAGTTACAGGCGTACCAGGGTCTATTGTTCCGTCTGTCGTTATCCAACCCCCTGCATGTTCATCACTTACACATACATAGGCTCCAGATGGACGTGACCGACGAAGAAGCCGTCAAGGCCGGCGCTAATCACATTGAGAATATCGACGGCAAGCTCGACATTCTCGTTAACAAGTGCGTAAACTACGTCTTTGATCCCTCTTCCCATATGCCAACCTCTTCGCAGTGCAGGATTCGCCGGCTCCCGTCGTGACCCAGACTTCTTCGCCAAGAAACTCGCGGCGGCAGATCCATTCGAGCCTGAGACCATCCAGAACTGGGCCGACATCTTCGCACTGAACACCATCGCCCCGTTCTTCGTCTTCCGCGCCTTCCAATCCCTCCTCGTCAAAGGAGCATATTCCCGCCCCCAAGGCACCTCAAGCATCATCAACATCAGCAGCGGTGCAGCAAAAATCAACTTAACAGCGTTCGGAGTGTGTGTACGTGCCTTGTTAGGTGCATAAAAGTTGAATTTTACCTGACTCTGACACTTTGATTAGCTAGGTTATAGTCTAACGAAAGCGGCGTTGGACAAGCTCACGCTCGTGCTTGGGACGAGTTTTGCGCAGAGGGGTATCCCGATTCGGGTGAACTCGTTGCAACCTGGTGCGTTTGCGTCGGAGATGACGAGTAGTGCATTTTTGGAGACTATCGAGACGAAGCCGGTGCCTGGAATGGTGGCACCGATACCAGCGGGGAGACACGGAACGTGAGTTTTGCTCAGTCTTTGAATGAGATGGATCATTGATTCGAGGTTTGTAGTGATGCTGAGATGGGGATGACGGCGATCTACTTGGCAGTGTCGGATTATACGAACGGAACGATTTTGAGCGTTGATGGTGGCATATCGCTGGTAAATCCCTGAATATTGACTCAATTGTGGAATTTCCAAGCCTTTGGCATGTTCTTTTCCCTCGACATCACCGTCCCTTTGAGGTGGTTGCAAGGCCGAACTTAGCTTTCTGTCTTCTAGGATCATTGCAACCTTGAAACCGAGTCTTTCTTCTCTAACAATTTGAATTATTAGAGAGACGCCGACTACAATAACAACGGAATCATCTGAAATGACCAACATCATTCACTAATGTAAAGCTCTCACCCTTAAAGGAAGCTGAGAGCCTAAATGTGCTTTCTCTTTCACAGTGGGTACGACGGTCGGTGGCCAGGGAACTGTAAGATCTCCAGGCCGCCTTCAGGCAAACTAAACTCAAATTGCAGAAGCAAGTTGGCTATGCGTTTAACGCGATTGCCCTGTTCTTCATGATGCGCGCCTTCCAATTAATCCTCGTCAAAGGAGCACAGTCCCGCTCCCATAGGACCTCAAGCGTCATCAACGTCAGCAGCGTAGTGGTAAAGATGAACAGGACGAGCCCCGTCACGGTGGCATCTGTATGTACCTTCTCCTTTCTCTTTAAACTAATTTGATTTAGATTGCATACGGGTCGACGAAAACTGCTTTAGACAAGCTCGTACGTGTTCTGGCAACGAGTTTTGCTGGGAGAGGTATCTCGATTAGGGTAAACGTATTCGTGTCGGAGCAACGGTCTGCCAACCCCTTGATTTCAAAAGTAAACAGATACTTACAGATCCACTCTACGCCCTTCCTTAGCACTGCGCTGAATGGCGTCAATCAGAGTCTTTGTCTTGAGAGCCGCCTCCAAATCTACATAACCTTCTCCCTTCGCATAGGCTTCCCAAACCCTCCGCACATTGGTCAGACCGTTTCCTTCAATCTTGACCTCCTCACCATTCACATACAGCGTGGTAGGAGTCATGAACGACACCGCAGAAGCCATAGGGTTATCGCTCTCCATTCGGATGCTTCCTTTCTCTCCATCTATAACCCAAAGCAGTGGTGTACCCGCTTTGCCATCCGATCTCGTCTGCAACCCACCGCGTATGTGAACACTCATGACGGCCCCATTGGTCAAGACTCCAGAAACAGCCACCTGAGTGGGGGCATCTTGTTCGATGGTTTCGCCCGTTGGCTTTCCATTCTCATCAACGATTGCAGCGATGGGGTACTGAGTACTCAACGTTGCTGAAACGTTGGCAACGGGTCCGAGTACGAAGGTTAATGTATCAAAGATGTGTCCGCCTTTGATATCGAGAAGTGTACCCCCATGCGAGTTCACACTGTACAGCGCGTTGGCACTCGACACACGAGAGCCCCATATCTTGAGTTCTGGAAACGTCCTTGCAGTCTATGACAACTATCAGACAGGCCAAGGTGTGGATAGAGAGACACTGAAACTGACCAAAGACGTCGACAAAATTCGGCCTATCTCCCCAGAGTCAACAATAGCTTTCACCTATACGGAACGATGGTTAGTACTGCCAAGACGAGGCACAAAGGGCATCATTACCTTTCGAAAGACAGGATCCATTCTTCCCTGCAATCCTACGATAGTTCTGACGCCCTTTTCCCTCGCAGCACTGGTCAGCGCTGATGTTTCCTTCAGACCATTCCCAGCTGGCCACTCCAAGAAAAGGACCTTTCCTCCATCGATAACTTTCATTGCGTTTTCGAAATGATCCATCACCTTTACGGACACGGCCACGAGATCCACGTTTGGATCGGATACAATGTGTTCCGGATATCCATGGTAAGGTTTGACTGGATTACCTGAAAGAGACGCGTATTTCGCCGCAGTAGCTTCAGCAGAATCTGGGTTTGAAGTAGAGACCGCAGTGAGCTGGTACTGAGACGATAGTGGTTCTTCAAACAGAGGCGGGGCAAGCATAGTCGATGCCCAACCTTGTCCTGAAAGACCGATAAAACCAATGCGAATAGGAGACATTGATATGTGGGAGTTGGGAAAATTGGAACTAGGAGGACGCAATATATATATGATATAATACCAAGACCGTCGAATAAGCTTGGCCGGGAGCACATATAGCGAGGTGGACGGGAAATGCTTACTCAGACGCTTAGCAGACAAGTGTATTATATATATCGCGAGGCTAGCGGAAATCGGGGCAGGGCAGGGAAATTGCAGAGGGTGTCACCACGGGGGGAAAATAGAAGAGCTCGGGTCGTTAGGCTGCAAACGCGATAAAATACTCAAAAGTTCAAGCTTGTCAAGCGAGAGTAGAAAGCCTATCTAGTGAATATGCTGAGTCGGGCGTTTATAGATGAGCCAGTTCGTGATACGAGCTTCGTGGTTGACTGTCAAGAGAAGGCAAGGATTGTCATCGGAGCTTGAAGCGATGATACCAAGTGGTGAGCCAGAGAATTCGAGCACTCATCATCTTCAAGTTTGCAACATCCTGTACCATTCTCCGAGCTTTCTTCACCTTTTTTCCCGTATGACAATACGGTTGTTGCATCGTCTCTCATTGCATTACGTCTATGTCTCGATAGATCCTGACAACTATGGCGATACTTCCTTGACGGTCTGCATGCTGCTTGTTACGAACTTCTACAATTTAGCGAAGTTCTTCCAGATCCCGATGGCAGGGGCGCAAAAAAATGCACAATGCGGAAAATTGATCACCTGAAGCTACCAGAGCCTGTATCTCGTCAACTTTGAACCGACCCGAATCGATCTTATACCTCCGTTCGTCAGACACTTCAACACTTGCGGCATTCGCAAGTCAAGACAATCGTTCCGAGTTCGATAGGAGAGCGTTGATGTCCTAGTAAATTCGAAGATCAAAAGAGGCTCGCGCGTTGTATACGAATTCTCTCTTCTTCGCAGAGAAATATAGCTTTGAGGTTGAGGAGGAAGAAACGAGCATACAGTGGAGATGGTGGTTGCAGTCAAACTTGCTATCAGTGCATTTCAAATCCGGTCCGCTGTCCCGCCGCTTCCTACCTGCCATTATGGGCTCCGGCACAGAGCGACGACTATCTCAGCCTGCAGCCTTATCTGACGAAAACCCAAGACACGAACCGACTTCTTACAAGCGCTGCAAAAACTCGGTACTGGATTAGGTTCAGGGAGAAGTATTGATCTCTGTGGAAGTTCGCCTGGAAAATCTACACCGTCAAATGATGTGTTAGTATTGGTGGGGGCTGCAGCTCGTCCATCTGAGTAAATATGATCTGTTCATTGCAAGTTATAGGACTTTTTACTGTGAAAGGTCCTTGGGAATGAAGCAGAAGGTAAGTGAATCCGGACGAGAATTCCAACGTGACTGACTCTTAATTCAAAGTCACCACGACCATGTCAGCTCAAAACTTCATACAATATCCGCTTAATCCCGGCTCTGCAGTGCCCTGGAAGTCAAGAGTCCAAATATGAGTGGGAGCTAGACTTGACACGTATATCTTGCGATATTAGGGTCACTGAATGCCAGATGTATTACATCGGGCTAGGTGTCTTATCTCTTTACTTATATCATACGCGCTAAGATTTGCTATTGTATTCTCACAATTTTCTATAGCCTCCGGTTAGCCCGAGCTAAGTCACTCGAAGGTAAGCGATCCAATATACTTGAACGCACACTAAAACTTGGTCCGTAGTTCGTTGTCTGAATCCAGACCATAGGACCAAATGGCATCCGTTACTAATTGATTCACTTCCCAGGTGAGCCGTGTCAAAGCCTCAATGACGACTATGGAAGAATCTTCTTCTGATGTGATGCTAAGCGTTCAAGAGCCGATAGGGAGACTTGAACCCGAGAACCTTGTCAGAGTTGCTGACAGCACTAGTAAGCAGAATGCAGGCAATTATTTACCGCACTCGCCGGGATACACTCTCGCTGAATAATACCAAAGAATGTTGCAATAAAAGAGACCGTGTACAGGCTCGATTGTTCAGTATTCCTCGAACATGGCAGATCTCAATGTGGCCACGGTAATGTCGCTTTCTGGACGAGTAGGTCTCGTTACAGGCGGAGGGACTGGCATGTGAGCTTTATTATCCTCGATTACCACTCGCTGTTGACTCTTTGACAGAGGATTCAGCATCGCCAAAGCGTTCGCTGCGAATGGAGCCAAGGTATACATTACTGGTCGAAGGCTGAACGTGCTGGAGAAAGCCGCAGCATCTGTCACTGGCGTCTCAGGATCTATTGTCCCGTTAGTGATCGTCCATCTCCAGGATGATCGTTGTTAACGCACATGCAGACTCCAGATGGACGTGACAAATGAAAGCAGCATCAAAGACGGCGCACAGCACATCGAAGGAATTGATGGCAAGCTCGATATCCTTGTCAACAAGTCGGTCTATGATGCCCCTGGTTCCCTCCTCCATACGCTAAACCCTTCGCAGTGCCGGATTTTCAGCTTCCCTTCGCGATCCAGACTTCATCGCGAAGAAACTCGCTGCCGAAGATCCTTTTGAACCCGAAACTCTACAGAACTGGGCTGACATTTTTGCACTCAACACGATCGCCCCATTCTTCGTTGTACGTGCTTTCCAATCCCTTCTCGTCAGAGGAGCGCATTCCCGCCCTCAAGGCACCTCAAGTGTCATCAATATCAGCAGCGGAGTGGCAAAGATGAACGTTCCGGGGTCACTTGTATCTGTACGTACTTCAAAAAAATCCTTTCGAGCTTTGGCTTATTCTATTTAGCTCGCATATAGCGTGACAAAAGCCGCTTTGAACAAGCTCACCCTCGTTTTGGGAATGAGTTTTGCTGGGAGGAATATCCCGATTCGAGTGAATACGCTAGAACCTGGGGTATTTGCGTCGGAAATGGCGACTGGTGATTTGTTGGAGTCGCTGAAGACTAAGCCGCTGCCTGGGATGGTGGCTCCTGTACCAGCAGGAAGACATGGGACGTGAGTGCCTTCGTTATTGGAATACTGATAGAGGTGATGTTAATCTGACTTGCTAGCGATGCCGAAATGGGGATGACGGCCGTGTACTTGGCGGCATCGGATTATACGAACGGAGCAACCTTGATAGTTGACGGTGGAATTACATTGGTGAATCCCTGATGGTCTGGTTGCACTACCCGTATTCTACCCTCGGAGGATAGATGATGTTTTTTAGTTGTGGTTTTGATCGGGTCTGAAATACAGTCGTTATTCGAGGTGTGCCATTTCGTTTTTGAGATCAGCAAGCTTGAAGAGATGCAAGGGCTTCCCCCTTCTCAGTTCTCGAATCTTTGTTGTCAGAATTTTGGTACGGGACCAATGACATGCTCATATTTTTTTCCCGACTCTGTTCAATAAAGAACTCGGGGGCGCCAACGATGGCACATCGCTCAGTCTAATCAAAATATCTTCCAGCACAACACCGTGTCGACCGGTGGCTGCAATCCCCTGTAAGAGGTGTGAAGGTCATCTCGGACGCTGATGGTGGCGGCAAGGAAAACAGGTTTAATTCCATGAAAGTCATACGTCAGATACTCCGAAAATTAGGGATTGACTAACGATGTTCCACCATCAATAGTCAAAATCGCACCGTTCGTGTAGTCGGACACCGTTCATGTCCTCATTCCTATCATCTTTTCACGAGGAGCATTATTGTAATCTATTGCTTGACTCATGCGGGTTTTTTATAGAGCCGTAAACCTTACTTAACAATCCGTATGAAGAATCGTTCCATGAATACGGTATCTTTTCAACCGTTATCATTACAACTGTCAAACACGTTATAGATGGCTTCAAAAAGGTGACGTGCCAGATACGCCGCGCGTGAAAATCCCCTCCACAATCAATGTGTTGTATATAGTAGGAAATTTCGTACCATTCCAGAAGCCTTTTGTAAGATTCCAAATCCTCAAAATAACGTTCATTGCCGAATCCTACTAGGACCTTGGATCATTCCAGTATACGTAGCCTGAGGAGATAAGAGTCGGAATTCCGGCGTTTTGTTGGTGCCATGCTCCACACTGAACTTTCGGACGCTTTTACATCTTCTCCCCCCACCCCCATCATTTCACCATTTCCCCGTGTCCACAGAGTACTTAGATAGGCGGGATACTCTACCAAACACCGGCAGTGAGTTGACCCCATTTATCATGAACAAAACCCGGTTCACGTAAGTGTGGGAGGCGTCGTACTTGAAGAAATTGGACTGGGGAGATCGAAATAGATATCCCATTATCAGCTCCAGATGCCGTATAACTCGCCATGATCTTCATCCGGGGTCTAATGACACCTCGTCAGCTGCTTGTTGTTCAAAACACATTCTCTACCGCGACGCCCGAGAATGCGTTTTACAATTCCAAAGGAACGAACATCTACCTGCAGTCTCATACAGACTGCTAGGATTCTGAGCGTACCACAATACTAGGATCTATGAGACATCCTCTCGAATCTTTAATTGAATCATGACCAGAACAGGGGAACAGAGCTTACACTAAAGCACCGTTCGATACAAAAAAGGGTACCGCATTCACCGCATCCTTCCGTTTTGAGATCCTCTGCATTATCCCTGTCGTGGAGAACGCTTTCGTGCCTGGGGGGATGGTATGTGGGTTCATCTCTGTGCTGGAATACATGCATGTTGGCTTACCTAGCTAGAGAGAGGGCATCTTGAGGTGCTTGACTGATGCTCACTTAAACCACTGATAAAACAGATAAGCTACCAGGAGCGACGCGACTACAAGGAATAGTGCAACCTCAGGAGGAAAGATCTTGGATTGTTGGATTATTAGATTCAATGGTAAACTTTCGGCGTTCAATAGGATGCTACTGGAGTGGATCATCGAACACAAGCTCGGAAAGCAGCGAGAGTTTCCTCAGTTGATCCGAGTGCGTATTCACACGATAACGGTCCATCCGGCCAGCTGAAAGCGACTGACCCTCCCAAGAGTGTGATAATAACGAAAAAGGGAAGACCGCCCGGAGTTACGTATTGTTGATTGAAGGATGCAGGTGACTGAGATAAAGTGGAACAGAAAATATTCAGTAGGGCTGTTATATCACAGCAGTCGCCTGATAGTAGGACAGCAATTGCGGCAAGGGGTGGTGGGACTGTGGACGGCACCTGGACTGCCGCCGGTCCGCTACAGCCCGCCGCGTCGGGGTTTGAAATATGCTTTGACTGCAACCATCATCTACCACCAATACCTCTTGTTTTTTGTTCACCTTCGACGTAGGTATCAAATCGGAATGAACTATCAAGCAAATATCCGACTAGATCTAAAACTCACCCTCGAGCAAAAATACACATGTGATGTACCTTCGGCGAACAGTAGTAATTCTAACTTTGAGCACGTACTACCTCGGCTGTCAGCTCTTAGGATGAACACGATTCATGGCTGCCTGTAGCCACAAGATAGGCAACGCGAAATGCGATAAAGGGTGAGGGTAACTGTTTCGGCCGTGCTATGTTCATACTATCCATCATCTTCCTTTGGCCCGGTGACAAGACTCTCATTTTCTCTTATAAAACGCGACCAGTCTACTGTTTCGTCTTCCTTACGAACCTCCATATCCCCAGAATATTCAAAGACCCTAGAAATATGCTGTAACGTTGGATGAAGTAGTGAAAATACACAACACGAAGTACGCCATGCGCATATAGGCAGTCATACATCCCTCCTCACTCATATTCTGGTTTTAGCGATGATAATGCGGAATACATGGTTCAGGAGCAAGGAAGAATACAGACATCAAGGAATTAGGACAACTATCTCACCACGGAGTCGATGAGAGTGTGGTTCAAGCCTGCCATGTGCTACTAAAGATCCTCTCATCCTGCTTGCCCAGTGTCTCGTTTTCACGTTACCAGAAGAATCTTCATCTGTATGTGGATTCAGAACGTTCCAGCCTTCACATAATAGGTTCCGACCATGAGAACTTGCGTAACGGTCTGGGGGAGAACGATGATAAATTTTGTAATGCCGAAGTAGAAGTGTCCGACTATCGTCAGGGCGAAGGATGCATTCTCACCGTTTAGGACCCAACGTGGAGCCACTGCTGTAATAAAAAGGATCATGTCTGAAGACTACCCAGTATTCCACCAACATGGATCTCAATATGGCTACGGTGATGTCGTTGTCTGGACGAGTAGGTCTTGTCACAGGTGGAGGGACAGGGATGTAAGCGTTAGAACTCTCGTTTATGACTCATGGCTAACCTTTCATCAGAGGACTTACCATTGCCAAAGCCTTCGCTGCGAATGGAGCAAAGGTATATATCACTGGGCGCAGGCTAAACGTTTTGGAGGAAGCCGCTGCGTCTGTTACAGGCGTTCCGGGATCTCTTGTCCCGTAAGCGGCAGCTTCCTTCCTGTGATGTCTCTCCATGATATGCCTATAGACTCCGGATGGACGTGACGGATGAGGAAAGCATCAAAGCTGGCGCAAACCACGTCGAAGAAATTGATGGCAAGCTCGATATCCTTGTAAACAAGTTCGTCTAATATATCTAGATCCCCCTTCACACCCTAATCTTTTTCGCAGTGCCGGATTTGCCGCCTCCCTTCGGGACCCCGACCAGCTTGTCGCAAAGAGATCCATTGCAACAGATCCTCTCGAACTCGAGACGGTAGAGAACTGGACGGATATCTTCGCGCTCAACACTATCGCGCCATTCTTTGTCGTTCGCGCCTTCCGATCTCTGCTCGTCAAAGGAGCTCATTCCCGTCCACAAGGCATGTCAAGCGTTATCAATATCAGTAGCGCGGCTGCGAAGGTAAACACATTGGCTTACCTGACTTGTGTTTGTGTCCTTCCCTCTGAGCTGGAGTCGGAGCTAACCTGACTATGTAGATGGCATACGGAGTGACAAAGGCAGCCTTGGAGAAGCTGACTCTCGTTCTCGCGACGAGCTTTGCTCAGAGGGATATCCCGATCCGAGTGAATGCCTTGGAACCTGGTTTGTTTGCGTCGCAGCTGCTGAGTCCTGAATTTGTCGAGACGATCAAGACGAAGCCACCCCCTGGGCTCATGGCGCCAGTACCTGCGAGAAGGCATGGAAAGTGAGTGTGCTTAGCGTCTAGACGGCTTCGAATTTTATTGATTTGAGCTGCTAGTGAGGCTGAGATGGGGATGACGGCGGTCTATTTAGCGGTGTCGGACTATACGAACGGAGCGATTTTGAGAATTGACGGTGGAGTATCGCTCGTAAATCCTTGAACATTTGTCTATCTGGTGCAGAACTTTACCGTGGAATCAAATGCGTTTTCTTTTTCTCTCACATATCGAAAGGGCGAGCCTCAAGAAATTACATGTTCCAATGGATGTCGAACGTCCTCGGCTGATATTGTACTAGGTTCAAGTTCACTCTGATACAACCTATACGAAACAACACCCGGAAATAGTCTAGCTACCATTGGTTCACGGCTGTTGACATATCGCGATATGTGAAAACAGTCTTTCCAAAAGTGAAGTGTATAGTGCGGGTTCCCCAGACTGAATGCCGTATGTGTTCTATGGATACGTGAAGACGAGTCTTATCATGCCCCGCCCTGAGGAGTGAGGAGGGAAAGACGTGACGCTAAACTTCGGAGTCTCGAGGATAATTCAATAAAGTGCGGGTATGGTTTCAACTTTCAAAAGAACTTTAATTTCACTAAGAACCTGATTCATTCACAGATTACTATAGTACAAGCGTATTCCTACAAGTACATGTCGATCACGTCAAGAGAATTGTCAGCCTATTTGTACAGAGAACAGAAAATGGAGAACGGAAATCGGCCTTTCAGTTTTTCTTGAAGACCACCTGCATCTTCATCATGGAAGTGCGATTCTGCATACCGGCGTCTCGCGCTACTTCTTCCACTCGTTGGGCCATAGCCCTTAACTGCATCTGCATGTTCATATTCGCGGCGCCAACCTGTAAGGCTGGGACTGTAATGATTGTCAAGGAAACGATTCCGGCGTCCCCATCGGTCGCCATCCTGGCTCTTTCGACCAGTGCATTCGAAGACTCCTCGCCGGCCGCGCGCTTTTGAGGGATAACAGGGCCTGCTCGCTGACACAAGATTCACTTGGGTTGCAGGAAAAATGTGTCGGCCTACAGTGACGGCCCACTGTGCACGCGAGGCTTTAAGCACTGCGGCCAAGTCGTCCTGGATGATGTACTCGGACAACATGTTAGTATACAGAAGCCAGTACGGCGCACCCTTGCTTGGTTCAACTTCCCGGGATCATATGCGTATGACTGGACGACCTCAACGGCGAGATGATGCACGACCTTGGCGAAGCTCTCGTTGATGGGACGAGCCACAGAGAGCCATACAAGCCGGATACGCAAATGGGGAGGGCCAACAATGACGTCTGTGTTGCTGAAGTTCTCAATAGACACGTCCATGTTGGCGGTTTCAGTGAATATGGTGGGAGGATGAAACTGGAATGAACGACTTTTATAGCTACTTGCTGCTTATTATGTCAGATTCTGAAAAAGGTTGGTGGTAGTCGATCATTCATGTTCAAATACTCACGAGACCTGATCTCAGTGATCACCGATCCCTATGATCTCATGATGAGCAAGCAGTCTCAGGTCGGATGACGGCTTTATATCAGACTCAAGCAATTCAAGGTTTTCTATTCTTCTGACCAGCCGATACACTAGGTCAGGTAAGAAGGTATCATCAGGGATTCACCAATGCAAGTCCACCATCAATAGTCAAGGTTGCTCCGTTCGTATAATCAGATGTGGCCAAGTACACTGCCGCCATTCCCATCTCCGCCTCACTAGCAACTCAGATTAGTATCAGTTCTTTCAAGTAGTCCAGAATTCACCCACGTTCCATGTCTCCTCGCTGGTACCAGCGCCGCTCCTCCAGGCAGCGGCTTAGTCTTCAGCGATTCCAACACCTCAGTAGGCGCCATTTGAGACGCAAATACTCCAGGCTCTATCGCATTCACTCGGATCGGGATCCCCCTCCCGGCAAAGCTCGTACCCAAGACTAGGGTGAGCTTGTTCAAAGCGGCTTTCGTCGGGCCATATGCCAGCTAAATGGAATGATGAGCCCAAGCTCCAAGGTATTCTTAATATTCGGTGTGCGTACGGATGCAAAGGGTGGCGCAACATTCAATGTTGCAGCTCCGCTACTGATGTTGATGACACTTGAGGTGCCTTGAGGGCGGGAATGCGTTCCTATGATGAGGAGAGATTGGAAAGCGCGTACGACAAAGAATGGGGCGATCGTGTTGAGTGCAAAAATATCAGCCCAGTTCTGTACGGTTTCGGGTTCAAATGGATCTGTCGCAGAGAGCTTCTTCGTGACGAAGTGTGGGTCGCGAAGGGATGCGGCAAATCCAGCACTACAAATAGATTAGTGTACGGAGGAGAACCAGGAGCATTATAGACCAACTTGTTGACGAGTATATCGAGCTTGCCGTCAATTCCTTCAATCTGCTTGGCGCCGGCCTTGACACTCTCTTCATCTGTAACGTCCATCTGGATTCTGTAGGTACCTCAGAAACCAGCGCCATAGGGAGAAGAACGGTTGCTCACGGGACGATGGATCCTGAGACACCAGTAACAGACGCGGCGGCTTTCTCCAGCACGTCCAGCCTTCGACCAGTGATATATACCTTGGCTCCGTTCGCAGCGAACGCTTTAGCAATGCTGAATCCTCTGTCAAAGAGTCAATAGTGAGCGGTAACTGAGGATTATGAGGCTTACATCCCTGTTCCTCCGCCCGTAACGAGACCTACTCGTCCAGAAAGCGACATCGCCGTAGCCACACTGAGGTCTGCCATGTTCGGGGAATACTGGATTGTCAAGTCTGTACATGGTCTCTTTTATCGCAGCGTTCTTTGGTATTATTTAGCGGGGACCTTGACAATGGGCTCTGCCCGCATTCCGCCAATAGTCAGCAACTATGACAAACTCCTCGGATTCGGATGGCAACGCTACCTGTAGACTTTTCTACGCTTATTCTTCATGTTTCTCCTTGCACGTGTGAAGTGTATGCCACTCGCCCGGAACTTCATTCGAAGCTTTGTCGCCTAGATTTGCATAATGGGGGTAGAACTTCGAGTTGTTCCATAGATCCTTGGCATAAATGTGCCACCTACGGTTAAAGCTTCAGCCAGCGAACTGCGCACACAGTTCCGAGATGTTGCATCAGTTACTTAACTTTCAATGACCCTGCCGTTCGTTAAATGTGACCAAATCCCAGTACGTTTCAACGTAGAATTCCCAGCTGTCAACGCGCACAAGAATAAGTGCAAAGAAAAGCGATACATCACCCACTGCAATACATTCACTCAACTACTCATCGTTATCTGATCTCGGAGTCCGTGAACAAGCCTGATCATAACAACAACATCGGTATGTTTCTCCCGGAAATCAGAAGTTGTTCATTATCATTAGATGATCAACTCTTCAAGGATTGACCAACATTACCCCACCATCAATACCCAATATCGCTCCGTTTGTATAGTCAGATACTGCCAAATAGATCGCCGCTATCCCCATCTCCGTATCACTAGCAAGAGTCAAATCAAGATCTCATCGTGTATACTGAATATACTCACGTCCCATGTCTCCTCACAGGTACTGGGGCCATAAACCCAGGAAATGGCTCCGTCTTGACCATTTCCACAAACTCAGGAGTACTCATCTCCGATGGAAACACGCCAGGCTCCAGCGCGTTCACCCGAATCGGGATACCTCTCCCAGCAAAGCTTGTTCCCAGAACAAGAGTGAGCTTTTCCAAGGCTGCCTTCGTCAGGCCGTACGCCAACTAGTAAGCGAAATTAGTACTGAGTCAAGCTTGAAGGAAACAATAGGCCACATACGCAGCCCATCTTCACTGGCGCGTGTATCTTTGCAGCCACACTGCTGATGTTGATGACGCTCGAAGTTCCTTGAGGGCGAGAATGCGCTCCTTGTATGAGAAGGGATTGGAAGGCACGGACGACGAAGAATGGAGCGATGGTGTTGAGTGCGAAGATATCCATCCAGTTTTGTACCGTCTCGGGTTCGAAAGGATCTGAAGCCGCGAACTTTTTCGCAACAAAGTCCGGGTCATGAAGGGAGGTGCCGAATCCAGCACTACAAAGAGATTACCATGTGAAAGAGGGAAGTAAAGAGACTAATCAAACTTGTTGACGAGAATATCGAGCTTGCCATCAATTCCTTCAACGTGCTTTGCGCCAGCCTTGACGCTTTCTTCATTCGCCACATCCATCTGGAGTCTGCATACACGTTAACAATGAGTATGCTGCAGACAGGAGGATCACTGACGGGATAACGGATCCCGGTACGCCTGTGATTGACGCCGCAGCCTGCTCTAGCACATCCAGTCTTCGCCCAGTGATGTAGACTTTCGCACCGTTTGCAGCGAAGGCCTTGGCAATCATAAATCCTCTGTCGAAGAATCAACCAACCACGAGTTACAATCGAGAATCCTAATGTTTACATTCCCGTTCCTCCGCCTGTAACGAGACCAACTCGTCCAGACAACGACATCACCGTAGCCATGTTCAGGGAATACCAAGCAGTCTCTGTACACGTTTCTTTTTATTGCATGCTTGGCATTATTCAGGCGGAACTGTATCTCCGTGAGGGCGGCAGGTAGTTGCTCTGGAAATGCCCACATTCCATTAGTACCGTAAGTGAAAGTTCTTTGGGCTCAATGTTCCGTATCGCTTCTTGAACGCTCATCGTGTCAGAAGAGGAATCTTCGTATTGGTCGTTCATGTTCTCCCGCACATGTTAGAAGTATACGCGACTCATCTGGAACTTCATTTGAAGATTCGTCCCTGAATTCGCGTAATGGGGATAGAACTTCGAGCGGTTTTCTAGATATTTTGCATACATGCAGGACCTACGGTGAAAAATTCAGTCAGGACATCTCTGAGAGATTATATCAGCCACTTACCTTTCAACGAGCCTATCGTCCATTCAACGAGACCAAGCCACTAGATTTCAACGTAGAGCACTTAGCCCCTTGGAGAGATAGCTTCCATTCGTATCACATCCCGAATAAACAGATTAACTGTCGACGAAGAAGCGTAAGGATATGGTCATTGACCAATGGTTAGGCGGACATCGTGCGATATTTCGAACCTCGCTTAGCCTGATATCGAATTGATAGTCAATCGTGTTGGAATTGTTGTACAGAGGGCGACTTTCTGAGATCTCGTTAGTAGTTTCCTGTCGCATTCGCAACTGATGCGATCCAACATCATTGCTTAGTGAGCTCTGTCGACCATAAAAGATCGTTCGAAGTCTGATATCGGCGAGCTTTTCAGCTGTAGTGCGTAGGCTCATTTTCAGCGAGGAAGAACGCCGACACTGTTCATCAGGAGAATAACTGTACTCGCTTGCGCTAGTGTGAGAGGGAACGATGGAAACAGTGGCTTGAGCGTAGATGCCTTCGTGATCGTTCAAGTTTAGCTTGGAGAAAGTTGTCGGACTCAGCAATTTATCCGGGCCGTTCATCCGGTCCCGTTTTCCATTTCAAATTAGGGACTTGCTGCTACCGTCGTGAACACCTCCACACCTACATCGATGGTCTTTCGTTGATAATAAATCTCTGTCATCGCCAGAATGCTCACTCGCCGCCTTGAGTGTCATTTTGAGTTACAAGATCTTACTGTTCTTATTTCTAGCAACTTGTCCAATCTGCTAGTTCGTGTGTCACACGATTCCTTCACGCGATACTATTGCATAATTGCTCCCGGATTGTCAATAAATACGTTCGCGGTCTGCGCACAGATCCGCCATCGTCGGATAGCGGCTGCCTCAGAACCAGACTCCAACGGAAAAGTCAGCTTTCTCCTATTAAAGCCGAGGGCAGGATAGGATATACATCGGGTTATCAAAACCATCAAGGGTTCACCAGTGACATTCCACCGTCAATATTCAATATCGCTCCGTTTGTATAATCAGACGCTGCCAAGTACACCGCCGTCATCCCCATCTCCGCTTCACTATATACTCGGATCAATATCAAAAGTTTACAACCAATTAGTGAAAGAACTCACGTCCCATGCCGTCTTGCTGGCACCGCCGCCGCCAATCCAGGCGGCGGCTTGGTCTTCAGTAACTCCAAGAACTCAAGTACTCGTCGACTCCGACACAAACACGCCAGGCGATAGCACATTCACCCGAATCGGGATATTCCTCTCGGCAAAGCTCGTTCCCAAAACAAGGGAGAGCTTTTCCAAGGCGACTTTCGTCGAGCTGTATGCGAGCTAAATAGAATGAGCCAAGCTCAAAAGGATTTTTCCAGAGTACATACGGATAGAATGGTCGGCGAAAGGTTCATTTTTGCTGATCCGCTGCTGATGTTGATGACGCTTGACGTGCCTTGAGGTCGGGAATGCGCTCCTTTGATGAGGAGGGATTGGAAGGCACGGACAACAAAGAACGGGGCGATGGTGTTTATCGCGAAGATATCAATCCAATTCTGTACTGTCTCGGGTTCAAGTGGATCCGCTGCTGCGAGCTTCTTTGCAGCAAAGTCTGGGTCACGAAGAGATCTGGCAAATCCTGCGCTACAAAGTGGTTAGTGAATGGAGGAGCAGGACCGAGGATATCATAAACACACACTTGTTGACGACAATATCAAGCTTTCCGTCGATTCCGTCGATATGCTTAGCACCAGCCAAGGTGCTTTCTTCATCTGTCACATCCATCTGAAGACTGTGTATGCATTAGGAATGAATATCCTGGAGAAAGGACCATCACTAACGGGACAATGGATCCTGAGACGCCAGTTACAGACGCGGCTGCTCTCTCCAGCACTTCTAGTCTTCTGCCAGTAATATATACTTTCGCGCCATTGGCAGCAAAGGCTTTAGCAATGGTAAATCCTCTATCAAAGAATCAACCATAAGTCATAATCGAGAATTCCAATGCTTACATCCCTGTCCTTCCGCCTGTAACGAGACCAACTCGTCCAGAAAGCGACATCGTGGTAGCGATATTAAGATCTGCCATGCTCAAGCAATGTTGAACAGTCTCTGCATACAATCCTTTTTATTACAGCATGTTGTTGGGCGTTATTCAGCAGTACCGTCACTATATCTCGGTGAGGGTAAACGGATAAACGGACTGCTCTGGTATTTTGTCACTCCAGTACCGTCAGCAATTGTGACAAAAATAGTTCCTTCTCAGGCTCGAACAGCAGCGTGTCGGCTCTTGAACGCTTTAGGCACCGCTTGCCAGTGCGCGACTACTACTCTTACTAATCATGTCAGAAGAAGAATCTTTATAGTGGATTCTTCATGCTCTTGCACGCGACCCACCTGAGAAGTAAGCCGACTAACTGATGCTGGAACCTCATTCGAGCATTTGTTCATATACTCTGGATTCGGCCAACCGGGTAGAAGAACAAGTGAACAGAAGGGCGACCTACGGACAAAGCTTTCAGACGGGATGAGTCCGTGTCTACCGTACTGGATCAGTTACCCTCGAAGGACTCTTGCAGTAGCCAATGGAGGCCGTAAAAGTCACCAGAAGAATACTACATCATGGTACATTCTAACAGAAAGCCTCCAGCTGCGGAAGCTCGGACCTGAAGTAAGTGCAATCTCAGAAAGATGAATGATACATACCTGGCCCGCTGTGATACATCCGTACAGCATCCTCAACATCGCAGGGTATACAGCGTGAGGTTGATCTCTACATCCGTGCAAGACTCAAGATTGGTGTATACTGCGCGAGATTTTCGAGCCTTGGAGACTCAGTATCGAGAGTCAGTCGCGCTGGAATTCTCATCCGTGTACATGCACAAGGATATCTCAAAGTGAAAATTCCTGTAAAATCATAATGTTACCTTGCTGAAAAGCAAGGTCAACCCACAGTTATAGAATTTCCTTTTCCGTCATCTGCCATAAGCAACTAAGTACAAATATGTGGCTGTGCTCAATCCAGCAATCCTCTTCCCCTCTTCTGCTCGCGCATCTGCCAAAACCAAACAAGTACAACATTGCTTTGCAGCTTGTCAAGACTCAGCACTAGGGCCGTTTACCATCTCGACTTGTATTATTCGGCCTGTGAATACCATCTCGACTCATATTACTCGGCTGCGATGCTGCTGTGTCTCATATTACCATATTACCGTCCGTTCCGTCTAGTCTCGTATTACTTGGCCTTGAATACCATCTTGGCTCTATGGCACCTGCAATGCTAGCTAGCTTAAAGAAGCCGTTCCTCGCCAGCTGGCCAGCTGAAACTAGACGGTTGATAAATTGCTTAAGAATTGGTTTTCATCGGTGAATATGCTCCTGTGAATGAGTAGCTAACTGGCTACTGGACTACTGACTACTGGACTATTGACTGGTGCTGACATCCGTTTTTAAAAATAATAAATGCCCGTGATTTCTGTGATTCTAATCTAATTCTGGTGCTACGATCAGATTCTGTACCCTCCGTTCTTCTCCATGTTCTCCGGACCTCTCTTCTCCTTGTTGACCTGTTGATCCATCGTGTATTGCATATCGTCTCTGCTTCTGGTACCCTCACTCCTGGTTACTTCCTTGCCATGGTTCACTTGTTCGCTTGCTGAGTCGCTTGCTTGCTGAGTCGCGTCTGGTGGAGTGACGTGTAACATCTGAAGGTTCTGAGTCTAATGACTGTAAAAGGGCGCAAAACAACCGTCCTGACCTTTGCCCTGATACTGCCGGTACTGATACGTGCGGATTTTCTTCTGATGTAGGGAGGATTGATGTGCGGCATCCCATCTATTCAATTCGTTGACTCGGTAAAGCTGGTTAAAATGAAAAGGCGACTTTTATACCTTGTGCACCTTGTGCTGCTAGTTTGGCATCAGCGGTTATCGCAGCTGTCGATTGGTTTTGTATGACGGATGGCATTCTGGATGAACGCAGCAGATAGTCCAGGAATGATCCCTTCTTAGTTTCTTTTTTCAGAGCTAACAAAGCTAGCCAAGTGGATCTACGAGAGGGAGGCGATAACTGTGCGGACTGTATCAGGAACAAATGTTAAGTTATTATGAAATCACCCAAAGTCGGTGAGGTTCTCTTACCTTGTTACTACCTTTCGCCATTGGAAGTGTGGTGAGTTTGCTGTCCTGAGTTCGTGTTCTGACTGTAAAATAGTGTGCTACTGCTACTGGGACACTCCGTCTTTTCAAGGTTTTATCACCGGAATTATCCGTTCTTCCTTCTTAGTGATTTTTCCTGTGGGATTCCCCAGATTTTTTCGTTGACAGTATCCACAAATGGTTTGCCCGACTTAATAGGTACGCAGCCATTTAGGCTTCTGGTTTCCATTTCCTCTTCTGATGTTCGGGTGTAGTTGCCCAGACTCTGATATCCATGATGTTGTTCAGCGGCTTCCACTTCCTGGCTTCTGGGTAGTGTCACAATCTCTTTGCATGTGCCAAGGACCCATAAGCCATGAACGCATTCTGATTACTCGCCACTCCCAAACCAAATTTACCCCCTTCCCATATATGCGGCACTCACAATTTCGAGTTTGGCTTCAAGAATCAGGTATACAAACATGATCCGGATGCCTAGGACAATCTGCTTCTGCACCATCAACACAACCGATATTCACTCACCCACTCACCCAATATTCCCTGCTATCACCTCCCCTCGGTCGGTCGATCGGTCAATCAATTCATCGGGGATCATTATCGGTCGCTATGAAGGATTGGTGGAACAGACTACGAATCCAAGGACCCGCCCCCAGACGCTACGAATCTATGGAGAAAGGACACCTATACCCTACAGAAGCGACAGGAGAGACGCAAACACCTAGACAGAGAACGCCTACAGATACAGAGAGAGACGAGACAAGAGACACGATGCCTAGCAACACTTAGAGAGAGACACGAGATAGACAATGGAAGAAGAATGGTGAAGGTAGGGGGCAGTGTGGGCAGTATGGTAGTTAAATGCCCAGATATAATATGATAACCATGATTACCACCGCTACCCTTCCAGTTTCTTGTCCTCGCTCAAAACCAACATAGGAAGTGCATCCCATTCTCCATGTGGAAGGTTCGTCTCTTTATCTCCTGGTATTTCTGTCACTGCCTACAACCAATGAACGAACAGAACAAACCTGAACGTAAAATGGGAAATTGGAGACAATAATAATGACGTTTTCCTTTCTTGGTTTGGACTCTGGTGTAATATGTTTGCCTGCAGCTTAGGCTATTTTGGTGGGTCGGGGATGTCGTAGACATTTTGTGGAAATTATACTTGTTATACAAGCAGCTGTATAGCTCTTGTTTGTAAACCCCCAAATTTATCTATATTTTTCAAATAGTGCACTTACTATAGTCTGTTTGGATCTAAGATCGGCGAGAACCACCGCTCGGTCCAGGTACCGGTCCGTGTGCATATAACCGCGTTTTTCTGCTAAGTATTACATTATGCATTCTTCTAACTACGAAGTATTGCTATTCTTGAAGTTGTATCAGTTGTATAATATTTACTGTCCTTTCTACATGTATCATGTCTGTTTTCCTTGATTATCTACCACCGGTATAGGTTGTCTTCATAGTTTCTGGTGGTGATCTCAGACAAAATGTGAAGCCTTTCATCTTCTTTTTTTAGTTCATTGAAAGATGGATGCACCGTATAGAGGATATCTTCTCCTCTTCTCAATAGCCATATTGTCTTGCGGCCATGGCTCCTGGACAAGGCAATGTATGCATCAAACGGATCCAAGGTTCCACTAGGTGGTTTTCCTAGATCTACTATTACATACTCTATTGTTTGACCCTGGCACTTGTGATGTGTAAAAGCGTAGCCAGCAGTAATAGCCAGCTGGCGCCTATGAATCCGTCTGGTGGATCCATCAATGGTCTGGATGGTGAAACTCCCTTCGTTGGCTATGATTGGAATTAATCCTTTATCTAGACCTGGGAAACTGTATTCCTCTGATGGATTGTCTGGTTTGAATATGATGATGGCAGGTGGATATTTCAACACTGTTTCCATCTGACAACCAGGATTATCAGGAAGTATTTCTCGGCTATCCAACACTATGTCTTGTATTACTCCCCTTGTGCCGTTCATGACATCAGCTTCGGTGGCGATGTTCATCAATACCATAGCTTGCATACCTATAGCTATCTGTACTTTGTCTTCAAGACGCACAGTTTTCTTTGTTTGCATGCCTGCAACAATCACCTTCTCTTCCATTGTGAGTTCTACCCTGTTTCTACCTGCAGCATCTTCAGCACAACAGGTATATAATCGCTGCCCTGAAAGATAACAGTGTCAGCAGATAGCCTCACGATTCCACTGATCTCTCGGACCGTGATGTGATGTGACAAGGATGGCGTCTTTCCATGGTGCTGTAGAAAAGTCCAGCCTCTCATCCTTGTTAATAACAAGTTTATCTAGCTCTCGCAGATTGTCAGCTGTACACTCTCCAACCCGAAGGCGATTCAGGAGCGCATTCCATCCCTCATCTTGGACTTGGTTTTGCTTCGTGAGTATTATTATGTTTGTGAATAATTGATACAAGGCTCTACCGATTTCGGAACGCTCTCCTTTGGAATGAGAATCATATAAGGCAGCTGATGGATTTCCTACAGGTGGAAACTGGTGAAAGTCTCCATACAATATTACACTCATTCCTCCGAACGGCTGCTCCCAGTGTCCTCCCTGGCGAGACTTTTCTTTTGACAGCACTTCAGACACCAGCACCAGCAAGTCTTTTGTCATCATTGAGCATTCATCTATCTCGAGGTACTCCTTTCCTGCGATGTTTCTCTGTCTCTTTTGCATGGTATCTTTACTTCCTTTAGAATACCAGTCATCTTTCTTTCCAGGATTAATGGGTATTGCTCCGAAAGAATGAAGAGTCTGGCCACCAATGAGACTTGCAGCCACTCCAGACGTGGCCGTCTTAGCGAGTATTTCCTCCACATTGTGGTATTCGAATGTCTCTGAAATGGCATTGATCAATACCGTCTTTCCTGTACCTCCCTGGCCTTGCACCATCATGTATAATGGTTTAGGACTTTGTCCTGCTAGATGTGCTTTAAGGTGACTCTCTATGATATCATGTGCTCATCTCTGCTCCTTATTTAGCAACCCAAGCAGTGGTCTGTCCTTTGGTTGCTTGCATGGCAAATTCATTCCTCCACCTGGTTCAACTTCATTATTTGATATGTCAAAATTGTTCATCAATTCGCTGCTTCTGTCCTCGATTCCATGACCCCTTTCTTTATCTTTACTTCGAGTGATTGACTTTAGAAGCCTATTCCACTCCCAAAAGCGTAGAATGTCTTCTGCATCAGCTGTCATGGCAACGCCAGCTATAGCTGTGTGTACTTGAGGCCTAGCAAATATAGAAGAGTCCTCCGCTTTGTCCATGGCATCCAACCCAAATTGTATCTCTCTAAATGGATGGCGTAAGTTCTCGGCTGCCCTTATATCCTCCTCGGTGAAATCCGGGTGATGGTCTGTATCACTTCTGTCTCTACTATCTCCATGCATCTCCTCGACATCCTGCTCTTCTATGTTGAGCAGTGCCCCACTCAGTATACTGGTATTCTTCTTGTGCGCTTGATCCGAAGCCTCATGATAATATTGTATATTGTCTAAGACATCCTGTTGTAGTTTCGTTAGACCAATAGAGAATCGTGTCCAGGCAGCTTGAAAGGACTCTCCTTCTGCTTTAAGATCCTTCATTGACCTCCAAGGCTGCAACAGTGCCAGCATCGAGGCACAGTAGTATTCATGCTGATCTGGTCTATCTCTTCTCGGGAACCACACTCCAATGAATTGTACTATGGTTTCATGACCAGTATGTCTTATGACTCTGCATCTTTTTCTGTGTCCTGTTCCTTCTTTGTAATTTACACGCGAACTCCTCCAGGCACCTGTCTTGCTTTTTGAAGGCTCTCCATCATACGTCTCACTGAAAAAGTCCATGAATGACATGCCCTCTAATTGCTCTCCTCTGTCTGAATATTCTCACAGCTGATCTTTCAGTTTCATCTCCCCTCCAACTAGTTCAACAGGCAATGCTACTTCTTCTTCGCTTTGATCTTGTACACTGGCACTGGCGGTCGCAGAATTATCATGAATGGTCTCTTCTGTATGTGATCTAGAGCACGCATCAGGCATGCATCAGTTATACATCTATTAGGACTAGAAACATTCTCTCTTACCTTTTTTCCCTGAGTTGAGGGTAAGCATCTTGGATAGCCGCTGTGACGGCACTCCAGTATACAGTAACATAATGATGAGAAAGAAACCGATCTCCCCATCCCATAACGTGAGATATCACCTCGCAAACACTGAACTCCTGCTCTTTATTTAGTGCATGAGCGAATTTCTGAACTAGCTTTTTCCCTAAGTCACGGCATTCCATCACCTTTTGGTCTATCTCCATCTCAAATGCTAAAGTGCATGCCAGTGTTGCGGACATGTTCCAGGTAAGCATCTGTTTTTTGGTCGCATAATTGGTTATGTACCAAGTGATATCCTTTGTATCGACAGCATTAGTGATCAGTTTGATATCCTGGTTACTCTTGATACAGTCCATCAAATCGGGGCACCATGCTACCATATTAGCCGACTGCCGTTTTGGTCCCCATTCACCAGTAGGTAAGACCCATGCATCTGACGACATCGGAAATGGCGCTCTCCTCTTGCATATGGGTCTCCCTTCCTTGTTCTTCTTTACTATGCATACACCCACCTTGCATTTATGATACTGTACGGTCTGTGCCACTGACTTTAATGATGCCAGTCTACGCACTTTATAGTCAGGCTCTAATGGATGCATTGGCCTTGCATACGACACCGCTGTTTGTGGTACCATTTTATCGATTTCTTCCGCGGAAGCACCATCTAAGTCTGCAGTAATATTTGCCCTGATAAATTCCTTCATTTTTTCTCTGAAAGTATTGGATAACAAAGCTGTAGTCATGTCCTTTGAAGACAGGGAACCTCTCAACCACAGTAATATGTGAAGATGAAGGGTTCCTCTGCCTTGAGACTCTACGGCTCCAACATAAGCATTAACCTTTCCAAAAATACCATCCTTCCTCGACACAAATGCACCTGTTGT